GGAGTAGCTACAACTCGGTGTCTGTCCCTACGCCTACGAGATACGTGTGCAACTCGAGACCCATCCCATAGACAATAGTAAAAGAGAACAGTAAATCATTTTTATACTTTTGCAGATTCGTGGGTGGGTAAAAAAGAGCGTTAGGAAGAACACTTCTTCTCAAAACAAAATTTGTTACAGCACTGTTTAAAAAAGGATAAGTGTAATATAACGCAGCAGATTTAAAAAAGTTAAAACGATTTGAGTCATACGAGTATGAAACACATGTGATGGCTCATAAAATTAGAGGTTACATCAGCTATTACAAGTCAAAATACCCGAAAATTGAAGAAGATTAAATTGACACTTTTATCTTGCACTCACAAAAATTTCACCTGAAAACTCATAGCATTTCTCTTCTCGTCAAAGCGATTAAAAAAGCTCCTTACATTCCTATTATAATTGCCATTGTATTCGTACGAGCATTTCTGTACATAGTTCAAGTACTTTGAACGTAATAATTATACTGTTATCTTTTACTATACCCATACACCCATACGGCATATTGTAGAGAATTCTTTTGTCCATTAGTGATCCGGGGGGATTGTGCGGGGAAATAGCCACAATAGGGTTGATTTTATGTATAAGTCGGATTGATGTGGGTGTAGCTTTCGTTATGGGAAATGCAAATGTTTTGTTTACGGAAATCCTGGTCTTATGGAAGGGCACTCCAGAAGTTATTTTTGAAGCGTAACTTACCCAACGAAAACAAGCAAAATAAATTATTTTTAGCTTTCTTTGAATCAAATAGGCACATTTACAAAACAAAATTCAAGTTGCAATTAATTAGATGGATAAATTATTTGGATTTGTAAAAAGGTTCAGAAGAACCTATAAGTATATGAAGCCCTTCAAGTATCAACGAATCGAAACATAATAGAAATCAATTATTACCGCGCTCTAATGCAATCGCTTAGGGTTAATTAGAGATAGAAATATACGTACCATGTAATTTTCACTATCTAAACCTACCCTTTTACCTACCTATACTATGTGTATATTTGATGAACCAAAGTTCAAGTCTCAAATCAAATTATTTCATCTAAAACCATTTTGTGTTAAATACTTATTTAACTTAAACGTAGGACTCTCACATAATTAAACGATAACGTCGAATTTAACGCTCCGCAACAGGTAACGGTTAACCGCGGAAAATATTATCTAAACAAAGTTTAATCTCGAAGTAAAACAACAACGGGGCGGATGCTGAATCTAATTAGCCGAGACTTTACTTCGTCCCCGGGCTAAATGCTACTTACATTCCAAAAGTACATGAAAGGTATTTAATAAGCACACAGTGTTAAAGACAGGCAGTAGAAACTTAAATAACAAAAAAATAAATATTTAAAAATGTGGGAATATCGTAACGTAAAAACTTCAGTGGTTTACAACTAGGAAGCAAAGCTGACTAAACGAGTTTCAAACGAATTTAGTAATATTATTCTTAGGCCCAGAACAGACGGTGAAACGCAACTGCAACGAAACTGCAACTGCTAGTTACTTTTGAGTAGCATCTAAGTTTCTGCCATAGCGTCCGTTGAGAGACCACACATGACGCGACCAGTTTCAAACTTTCAGTTTCAGTTTCATTCATCAGAATCATCACAAAGTTGCAGTTTCGTTGCAGTTGCGTTCACCGTCTGTTCTGGGCCTTAGTACCTAATCAATTCAACAGTTTTATGAAAACGAGATCCTGTAAGACTTCATCTGTTTTCAGTCTAGATAGTTCTCAACTTTTTAAATTAAAAATTATTTTGAGCATCAATAGCGAAAGCAAACCTTTGAAGTCATTTTCGATCAAAAACTCAGAATTATAAATAAGTTACCAATATAACGTGAGCAGATTGAGCAAAAAAACTCAGGTGTTCGGCAGCCGACGGGAGGAAATTAGTTTTTATATTAACATCTTCTTTGTCCCACGACATCAAAGACGGAGGTGGGACACTTCGTCTCGCCCCTGTTCTCATTATCGGTGGAATTTCCAATTGATTGGGGACAAGCCGGTGGGTAAATGCAATTTCAAAGAAACGTCCTAAGCTTTGGGCTTCGATTCGATTTCGAGGAGCATTGAGAAGTTCGATTTAAGAAAGCGTCGTAAACACCAATAAATTAAGAACTAAATTGTTTTCAAAGAGTCGCAGCTGTGGAAAATTTTACTCTCCTTGAAATACTTGAATCGTCTGACCTATTTAAATAGCTTGGCCTAATAAACTAAGTCTATACCTGAGTACCTAGGTCATTAGGATAAAGTAGAAAAGCTTTTTTCGATAGTAAATTATACACAAGATAAAATCATAAATTAGATTATTTTGAAGAAAAAAAAGCATATCACTCAAAACAAAAAAAAAGATCAATCAAGCATATAAAAAATTCTTTCATATTCATCAATTAAGTACATAAACCCAGTGAGAACAGTAACAACGAGAGTCTGTTTTAATAAAAAAACAAACACTAAAAAGTAGAAAAATAATTACCTACTAATTACTTATTTATTAGGACGAATTAATATTTATGTTATACCATGATTGATACTTCTGGAGTCGGTGCCAAGATTATGAAACGTGTGAAGTTTGCTTGCACCGACTCCAAAAGTATCAATCATGGTATAACATAAATATTAATTCGTCCTAATAAATAAGTAATTAGTAGGTAATTATTTTTCTACTTTTTAGTGTTTGTTTTTTGGAGTCGGTTTTATTTTTTTTATAAAAATTAACTTATTTCTTGCTTTTTAGTTAACTAATTATTACCTTGATGTTACCACTGAAGGTAGGCAGTACATTGAGACTATATTCTTCATGTCAAGTGCTCCTAAGCGTTAAGGAGTTGTACCTACCATGACCAGTTCATCATGATGAGATGATGACTATCTGATGCAAACACTTGAATAAATTTAGAAACTATAGTTATCTATAAAATTAAAAGAATTATCCTCCAACTCCTGAGCATTAAGGAGTTGTACCTTCTATCATCACCTCATCAATATGAGATGATGATTTCCAGGAGCAAATACTTGAATAACTTAAGAAAAAGTTTGAAATACGATATACGTGCCTATAAAATTTGAGGGTTGCCCTCGATTTCCCTAGGATCCCATCATCAGATCCTGACTTGGTGACAATGGGACCACCTCAGAAGTGTACCCTATCGAACAAAAAAAGAATTTTGAAAATCGATCCACAATTGACGGAGTAATCGGTGAACATACATAGAAAAAAAAAACATACATACAGTCGAACATATAACCTCCTCCTTTTTTGAAGTCGGTTAAAAATAGATATAATAGACCTGGAATTATTGCGTTCAATACCTTGTCTACCTTTAATGTGGTAGACAAGGTACCTATTGAACGTCTTCAAAATAGATTCATCAAAAAGACCTAAAACACAATAATATCGCAGTTAGCAAAATCAAACAGGTCAAGAGTGGAGTCATGTCGTGAATGGACCGAAGTGACTCTTTGTGTTAAAGGTAGCTGACAAAAGGATCCGCGGGACTTCAACTGTCCGTCGGCATTCAAGTGATCTAGACAGAAACCCAATATCTGATAAAATTGTCTTTTGACAGTTTAATTGTCTTATCTTGCTGCTTATTCTTAAAGCAATACTTAATTTAAGTAGGTACTCGTACGTTTTGTACGTTTCAGCACTTTAAGCTAAGACTCAAATCCCAAGTAGGTACAATTTTCTTTGAATTTATTATTTTATTTAAGTCATCGCCTCTCCATCCACACAAAAATCAAAACAACTAAAACGACTATTACCTAATTAAGCACCTAACAGCCCGTGTAACCCTAAGCGGTCACATTGAGATCGCGGTAACAATTGTTTTCTATGCTAGGTACTTAAAGGGTTTTAGGTTAGTTGCTGAAACTGAAGCCACCAAAAGATTTATACAGGAATTTTAGTTTCAGGAAAGACCGGCGTACCCGTTTTACCAATACGAGCACTTATGTAGTTCATAACAACAGCCATATGAAACAAATATTATGAGTCCCTTGAAACGCGACTGCTCACCTCGGCAACAAAGAGCGAAACTTCACCATTTTCGTTGAAGCACCATCGAGTACATTCGCGCACATTCGCACTTTTCGTTCAACATTGGAAATTCAACGATTCTCCACTTGGCAAAGCGTTTTTCAAACAAGTGGATTCTCAATACGATCTCTTTGTGTTTCGCAATATACCTACTACCTAACCTAGTGTGTTCAAGAAATATGATGTTTATTTGTGTCTGTGATATGAATTGAAAATCGTTTTCCCGGCCCCAAGCAAACACTTTGAATCAATAAACGACGTTTTATTGAAGGGTTGGATCTTTGCGCATCTTGATATAAAAATAAAAAGTTAGTAAAAACGTATGGAGTTAGACAGTATGCTACTTACGAGTATTTGAGCTAAAACGTTATAATCTAATGAAATCGGACGAAGGCATCTCACTTCTTACGCCGCGTAAGCAAAGTATCTTAGCTGGGTACAATGGAGATTCAAAAGATAGGACATGTCCTGGCACTTGAGCCGGGAGCACCGGGCACTTGAGCCGGGAGCACCGGGCACTTGCCTTATCTTCGAGGCTATCTCGAGATAGAAAAACCAATGACACCAAGAAGAGTAATTTTATGAAAAAGACCCTTCAAGGTGGTGATGGATAAAGTGTGTTTAGGCTACAGCCTAACATCTTACATCGCAACTCTTGATTTTAAGAATGCTCATATAACTTCTCATCACCATACCTGACTATTGTTTTCGCGAAGCAAAGTACTTATACATTACAGATGTGCAGAATGTGTATTGAAAATATCTTGTTCGACTCCGAGCATTGGCCTTTTGAGTATTTTTCTGTGGGAATATGCAAACTTTTCCAATATAGAAACTAATTTCCCCGTCCTTCTTACATTTAATTCATGTGATAGAAAGATGACAGACAAAGAGATGTCATTGTTGTCCTGCCATTGTCACTAAACAAGGCTCATGTATTCAAAGAAGAATTTCATGAAACAGTTTTTCAATATGTCCTAAAGTTTGTAACTCAATGTCCCCAGTGCTAAGCTGCCATGATTGTTACATGGCAACATTTGATTAAAATAATAATAGTGGTTCAGTTAAATTACGCAGTAGGCCTAAGTCCAGTGCACAAAGTAGCAAATCCCAGAGACTGGAAGATTGTGGAGTCTCTCGCCGAAGAATATCCCTATATTGTCGCGTTACTGAATGCTAGCAAAGACTATATGTGCACAGGTATCATTGTTAACAAGAAAACAGTGCTCACCTCCGGAAGCTGTATCGACCCGGATCTGTACTACATAGCCGTCGGATCGGCCGTTCTGAGCAAAAGCATCAACAACAACAGCCTATTCGAAATCGCTGCAACTAGGATCCACTCGGATTACGTATTCGATTTGAGGCCGTACGATCCTAACGTCACTCGATTGCACAGTAACATTGGCTTAGTTTTTTCTGTACGCTCGGAGTTGGAAGCTTACATCCCACACGCTGATCTAGGCAACTACTACGCGTCGGAGCTGCAGGATAAAAACGTGAAGGTGGTTGGCTACGGGAAGATTAGTACGTCTAACATGTACGTTTTACAACATCAGGCTTACCACCAAACGCCGTGCATGAATCCTAAGTGGTATTATTGTATTTGCGGGTACGAATATTCGGCGTACAGTAAAACTTACGAGCAAGAATTTGGGAAAGGCGCTCCTGTTTTCCTTAGACGCGAAGTAATAGGTGTTGCTGCTTCCCCGTGTGGGGCTATGGAGCTTCCTGACGGCATAAAGTACAATATTTTCACAGTCATCGGACCCTATATGTCGTGGATACAAAAAGAACACCCAAACATAACGAAACCAATAGTATTCCGTACTAGAAATAGAGCACATAGCTCTACAGGGCGTTGCGGTATTTATATTTTGTTTATAATTAGTAAAGTAATATATTAAAAATGCTTTCTGGCTGAAGGTTTTTGTTTACTTCTTCAACTTTATGACTGTGAACAGTAAAAGTTTGAATTTATTATTTTTAAGACACTTTCCATAGTAATGCAGTGTTCATGAACATTTCTGTTAATTAATGCCTACATAAGTACTTCGCTATACATCAATGGGCAAGTAATACGCATTAGGATCTACATTATCGTATTAGAATAGTTGACTTGCTATTCTTCTGATGAAAAGTTTTGCATTCACTACCTACAACTTTGTTCTTACTCAATTTTGTAAGCAACGCATATTAATTTTTTGCAAGAAATATAGTTTCTGCTTATTACTTCTCCACAGACTGCAAGTGAATAGGAATAACGTAATTAGGAGTTAGGAGCGCTGCCATTCGGTGGCCGGCGCGTTAAGTACAAAACAGCACATCAGATTCAGACTATACATTTTCGTTGCAAAATCACCTCTATCACAACTACTTAAGATGCCACAATGTTTACCTTGATGTGCTCTGTACTTTATGCATGGAGCAACACTCGGCCAGCCCTCTACTGGAAAGTGCAGTTCTTTGAAGAAAATAGAGTAAAGCAAGTAGTTACAGCCTTGGCCCTTTTTGCACGACTGACCAAAGAACATACGAGGCAGTTATTTGTTGTTTTACATCCTTACTGCAAATGCTTGACATTTTAGGACTCGCAGAAAAGTTGACTGGTACAGTAACAAACCTGTGGTCATTTTAATAAGAAATTATGATTCATCGTATATATCGTTGATAGTTTACGTCTCTCCAACAGTCTGGCAAGAGCATGGGGAGTGCAGAGGAAATCCTACGTTTACCTCTGGTTTAGATAGACTCTTTCTGATGCAGTGGAAACTAAATACACTGATGACGATGAGATGACAGTGGATATACTCGTACTACTGCTGGACAAAAGTCTCCCCCAACTCCACAACGACGGTTAAGTACTGCCCGCATCCAAATGCTTCTGCCGTGTTTAGACGTCTTTTCGTTGAAACGACATAGCTAAGTACGAATAGTCTTAAGAGCGTTGTAGCAAAAAGTTGGCGTTCGAATTTTAGGTTTTTATTGCTTGACGTCGCGTAGTGAGTGCGCAAACTGCATTTATCTGTACAATTTCAACGCTGCGTCGACTAAACGATCTTAATCCGTAGTTGTATCGTACCTAAGACAGTACATCATACATAATAATAAAGAAATTATGTATAATTTACCTATTTGATTTTTTCTCAGATCAGACTTTTAGCAAAATCAAGTTACGTAATTAACGTATTTTTTACACTAGTAAATCCCGCGACAAGTTTTATTCTTTAAATTGAGTAAAGTAATAAGTTGATGGGTTTGAAAGAATTTATGTTTTATTTTATTCTTTTTACAGCATCAAAAGCTTGTTTATGAAAAATATTTACTATTTAAATTTTACTTTTGACTTTTTAGTTTTTATGATGCGGGATGGAAAAATTAAAATTTATTCTGATTTTGTGACGTTTCCGCACATAAATATGGATAGGTTAAATATGTAGAATGAAATGTATGAAAACGAGCGTGCCATTTTTAAACCTTATCTATAATATCTGTGTCCATCAAAGAGCTCGTAACTAAACATCGTAAGCGCCATTCACATTATTATCTAAAAGTTAATAAAAAATATTTAGTTTTTGTAAATCTAAACAAGTCAGGAACAAGTTTAAACACTCATTATGTTTAAATAATTTAAATTGAAATGTTTCTCAGGAAGTGAATTATTGTTAATTCTTATGAGAAATAAAGTTCTAAAACCGTAAACCGTTAGGAAATCAAAGAGGTAAATACTGATATCATTGTGATTTTATAGAATTTATGTGTCATGCTCTGGGGCGGGACCACCTTAACGTAGGTACATATAATATATACGAAAGAAATGTATAAAATATGTATATAATTGTAGACTTAGTTAAAAAAAATGTATATCTATAGTTTTGTTGTAAACATTAATTCAAAGTGGTCCCGCCGGAGAGCATACTCCCTAGCGGGACCACCTAGAAGATTTCGTTACTGAAGGTTTCTGAATTCGTTTATAAGCCCATAAAAATGTATATTAAATGTATACAAATCTGCTATACTCAATTTTTTATTTGATTTAGTATAAACCGATTTACGGCAAATTTAAAATTTCCTTTCGGAACATTTAGGGGAGACTGGCCCAAAGCGGGCACCAAGAAAAAAACACATGTGAAATGAGAAGTGAGTGAGTGAAGCGAATCTCATGAGCATGAATACTATGTGAAATGGAATTTCCACAAAAAAATTCATCCCCTATTTTAATTTTACTCCCTTTTTTACCAACTTTAAAGGCAATATTTGTATCTAATCAACAGCCCATAGTAAGAGGACACGTTTCTGAGCCGTACCTATTATCATCATTGATAGCACACACATACCTGGTTGTAGACTTTCGTCTTTAGGTACTGAGATATTTTGAATGAAAAGATGTTGCGTAGTTTACTGAATGCTGCCCAGCCGAGTTGGATGCGCCATTTGATGCACCCGATTTTATAGTATTTTCAAATTAATTTTTCATTTAAAGATTGAAGATGGATATTTTTTCTTTTTCACACAATAATAGTACTATGATTCTTCTTAAGTATAAAGTAGTTTATGTTGCCAAATGACTTTTAGATTATGAGATGTGACCTGTTTTCTTGCAGTAATTTTCTCGAATTTTGACTATCTTAGACATGATAAAAATGCATTTTAATGAATTAAACATCAAAATTTTCTCAATACACTTTCTTCTTTAGGGTGTGCTTATTCTAATGAATACATTCTATCTTCTTACTTAGAAATAAATTTGTTGTAATATTAGTTCAAAGTTGTGCCTTCGCGAGTTACCTGGAAATCGGGCTTTCGAAATTCGCTGTTTTCGTAGGCAAAAATTCAATTTCAACGAGATTTTGTCAATAGACATTCCGTAAAAACGTATGATAATTACGATGATATAAGTCAAAAGAAGCTATAACAATAAATTATATGACTAAAATCATTTCGAAATCTGCCAAATTCTCGATTTCTGCATGAAAAATGTGACAACGCTCTTAACTAGATGCAGCAAAAAGTTTCTATCTTTTATTTCCCTGCTGACTGTAAGAACAGGAATAACCTAATTAACCGTTACCATTGGAGTGGCCAACGTGTTGCTTTCTTTATGCACAGAGGAGCGTCACTCAGCCCTCTAGCTGTTGCGCTTTAATTGCAAATCTGGGAAGTGCAGTGAGCTTCTTTGGGAGTTCGTAGAATGGAATGCATTTGTATGAAGTTTTGTACGTACGGCTGGTCAGGTAATTATTATGATTTCTTTCAGTGTTTCTGTTTTTCAGTTCATTTCACCTTAATTTAATTGAGCCTTTTAACTTCCAAGATTTGCTTGAATTGGGACAAAACAAAATGTTTAGAGTTTGGCAACGTTTTTAATAACGCCATGCATGAACTGCGTCCTTTTTTGACGTACCTATTTCATATCACTTGCTTTGCTCTCAATTTACTTTACAACTTCTCTCAAAAATTCCATTTTTAATACTTTCTTTCTGTGATTATTGAGGATCTCTCATGCTAAAAAATCGATTGAATATCTTTTACTTTCGATAAAATATCTTTTACCTACTTATTTCCATTAAAATTACACATGCCACATATCTTAAATCGAACTATCGTCGGAGGCAATATCGATGTTAAACATCATCAAATGGATTCCTTTATCTTACATGTGAATGAACACCATAATTAAATCGTCACGCCAGGTTTCTGTTCCGCACGAGGTGGCCTTCTTGCACTCGATCTGTAGATTTCATTTCAGTTACAAATTGGAGCTGCTGTGCTACACTCTTCCGTAAGTGACTTTATTCATGTCGCTACCTATTTATCAATTAATGCACCTATTTTCTCGAAAATCCCTATTACAATAAAATAATACAGTAAAATGTTAATACATCCAGTTCCGTTATGTCATGTACATACCTGAGGCAAAGAAGAAACAAATTTCTACAATTTGAAATCTCCATCCTTACTAGAAGTTTATCTGTGCCAATAAGTGACCATCTTACAGTTAACGACCTCACTTCACATCAATTATCTTATCCGAAAACAAATAAAATTGCAAATGTTTGAATCGTAATAGCTCAATGGCGTTATCTAGATCTCATTACTCACGTTCACCAATAATCTTGTTTGTGATGTAATTTAAAAATATCTTAAACATATCTCACCCTCTGACCTCAGAGTGGAGATAAGAATTATTTAGTATCGAATCTGTAGACTCTATAGTTCGGTATTGACAGTCGAGAATGAGAGTTGGGTATCGATAGCGTTGTGTATAGTGCTAAAAATGAATTCGATCAGAGTGTTCGTGAGAAACATGAGCAACGTGAGGAAATGGGAGCCTCTGAAGCGAGTGGGCATCGTCGGGGTGCCCTTTGAGAAGGGGCAGAAAAAGTATGGAGTTAGCGTCGCACCGGCTGCCATGAGAGCTGCAGGGCTCATTGAACAGCTTAAAGAAATCGGTAAGTAATTTATTGTTATAAGGTATCTTCATGCAAAACAATCGTAGATACTTGTCTTAACAATTCCTCTGTCGTGTGAGTCTAATTTACCTATCTCATTACATCAGTTTAACTTTATCTCCTGTCTACGATCGCGTTATTAAATGTAATAGTCCAGTCATTAAAGCATTATACATGGAAGTCCGAGGAACACAATTTCTGACTTCGGGACTTTATTTAGGAGGTGAACATAGCAAAAGTCCCCGCCCTTAGCCCTTGAGCCGGCGGGGAGAGGGGGTTTAAAGGTATCACTTTTCGGTTTTTCGCTTAATCCTCGGAAACTATGCGTCCTAGTGACATGACTACTATGAGCGAAAAAAAGATTATTGAATTTGCTACAGGTGAGATAGTCAAGTTTTTCTATATCTTGTATAGTTTTCGCGACATCTGCTCTAGAAGGTCTGTAATATTGGAAATTTTATGTTAGTCTATAAATAAAGTCCCGAGGTTAGAAATTGTGTTCCAAGGATTTCTCTCTACACCGTCGTTAAAGCATTCATTGACTGGACTGTAAGAAATATGTGGTTGTTATAATCAAAGTAGAGTCAAAATTCAAGTAGGTAGGTAATTATAAGCACATAATTTATCATTTCAGTCTTTTGTTTGAGTAAGACAAAATAAAAGTTGAAGAACCACTGGGAGCTTAGTGTCACAAACAGAATTGCGACCTTTTCTAATTAAACATTTATTTAAAATCCCGTTCATTAAACACCACAACAAAATTCTTTACAGAGACGATTCTGTAACCCAAGTAATTATTCACTTACGGTTTTCGACGGGACGAATTCACTTGGCAGGGGTAAATAGGTATAGGTATGTAGGGACGTAGCTGCAGGCAAGCGAAAGGGGTGTAACAGAAATAAGATAAATCCTCTCTGCGAACTAAGCGAGAGCTAAAACATCGTTGGCAAAGCAAACAAAAAGGACAACACCAGTGAGGGGTCTGACATTGTTTCGTTTCAAGCCGTGGAAAAAGTTAAATTCTGAAAGAGAATTAGAAGTGCCCAGTTATTTTAGTTACGTACTTCAAAACTGTTAGGAGAGTACGTACGATGTTAGAACGTAGCACTTTTAAATGTAGAGTTAGCAGCTCCAATTCTCGTATTATTTTTAGACGACGCTAAACTTGATGCAATCGTGAACATTTGACTGTATAATAAATCTTAATCATAGGTACGATTTTTTAAAGTTCAAGAATAAAATATTTTTCCTATTTTTTATTTCATTTAAATTCAAAAAGAAATCTAGGTAATTCCGATGTCTGGAACGTAAGTAATGATTAAACAGGGAGTTGTTTAATCTTCTTTTTGAGGGTTAGTATCAAAAGCTGTTGTTATCTAAACTCTTACATACTTTTGGTCAAAACTTCATTCAAAGCAAGAATATTAATTAAGCAGAAAGCAACTTTGTTTTACTGCTTTTTAGAGAATTTGAAATTCCCTCCCATTCGAAGCGCGTTAAAACAAAACATTAACTTGTAACAGGTGGCTTAGACGTAAAGGACTATGGGGACATCGACATCAGCTCCTGTGTGGAGACCGTAGCCGTGGACAACATGGCGCACTTGCCTCTGGTGTCTGAGTGCAACAGGAAGCTCTCCAGTAAAGTCTCTGAGGTCCTGAAGGATGAACGGGTAGCCATCACCATCGGCGGAGATCACTCTATTGGAGTTGGTGAGAATTAACTTTATGTAATTAGTTTATACGATTTTAACGATTTTAAATATTTATGAAATTATTCTAACTCTCTCGGATTTGAACTGCAGATAGAGCACATTCTAAAGAGTCGGAAATGTCAATAAAAGCTAAGCAATATTAAATTACTTTATACTTATACGATAATATCAATTAATATTTATACGAGTAGGTATGTAGGTAAGTACGAGTAACTTCAAACAGTTCAACCTCATAAAGGCAATAAAAAAACTAAAGGCAGCCATTTTGCGTAGTTCTGGAAATAAAAAATCTTTAGAACTTTCTAAAATTGCAGCTTTTTCAACTTTGAGTTGAAAAAAGTGCAATTGTTACTTGCTGCACTGTGGCCACGTATTCCCAGCTCGCAGTACAATTTTCCTAGCTTATTTATACTACAGACCGTTTTCCGCAAAATTTGATAGTAAAAAGTGAAGTTTACGGCAACCCGGACTGAACTTTCGCGCCTCCAGGGGTTTCAGATCCAGGTGTACAGGAAATATATTTTTCCAGTGACTATATTAATGTGACAAACTGTTATTGGTATAATATGTTTGGAAACACCCGGCACATAAAAGAAAGGCTCTACATAATATTACGCGCAGTTGTGTAATATTGAGCGCTGGGAAGTTGAGTCATAAATTAATACAGGGAGACAAAATATTTATATCGAGGGATCTTAAAGATTTAAAGGGGTTAATTAAAGGTTTTTGTGTAAGAATATAGCCTTATATTCCTACGGAAAACTCCTCAACGAGATGACAACAAAAAATTTTGAAAGAAGCAAAGGTAGAATCTATAGACACCTACTACTACTTAGGTACTTCTTACCTTTGTTTACTCTGACATTAATCTATTTGCTAGCCAATATTATACGTAGGAGATACCTTAACGTAAAGAATCCCAATATAAAGTCATTATTAGACAGACACACACAGAACTTATTAAAAAATCCTGCTCACTTACAATACCCAAAACACTACCCTAAAATTCACGCGTAACGCGACCCGTATCGAAGTAACATTAATATTCTGCGCTCGTTTTATCTAAAAAATAAATTGACTTCGTTCCCCAGGAACGGTGGACGGCCACTACAACGTGAACGAAGACATGATCCTCATCTGGGTGGACGCGCACGCAGACATCAACACCAACAAGACCTCGGACTCGGGCTCCGTGCACGGGATGCCGGTGGCGCTGCTGGTCAAGGAGCTGTCGGACTACTGGCCGTATCTGCCTACCATGGACTGGCAGGTACCCAAGTAAGTGATTCAAACAGTGATTGCATGAGCACTTCTCTAACACTGATTTAAGTAAAGTATAAAAAATTACAACCAATCTCCCAAAATATAATACTTTAATTGAGAAAAGTCAGGTTCAATTACTGGCAAATGACGCTAAGAAGGGTTCAGTGCCAGTCACCCTGTATATTATAAGCTGACAAACTTTCAAATAGAATTGTCAAATCCGTTGTGATGTGTGGATACCTAAATCGATATTTTATTGCTAAGTAAAAATAATGTAGAGATCACTGAAAAAAGCTGAAAAGTTGTATCTATAAGATACTACTTAGTATGAGGTATAACATAAATAGGTAGGTACACAAGTTGAGAACTTTTAGTACAAAATCAAACAGTAAAGATAAACAATAAATCACTTTAGACAAGCCAAACTACTTGACAAAACGCAGTCCCAGCCGTCTGCCAGGCTGTCCCTTAAAGTTACCTGCTAAAGTCCCTGCGGAGTTAGCCACAAAATCCGCCTCAACCGACACAACTTGCCTTGACAGCTTAGTGAGTACTCAAATCAAATAAATATTCCAGTAGCTCAAACAGTGACAAAACCCCTTGACATGACATGTGTACATGCTTTTTGTGTGGCGAGGTGAGACTATAATATGAATTATGGCGACAGATATGGGGGATAAGCAATTAAGCTATCTACTTACCTAAGCATGTGTTAAGTTTGTGAGGGAAGGTCTCTGAATAGAAATAAGCGTAAAATATTGTCACGACAATCACACAAATTCAAGAAACTTAGCGCCAATTTAAACAGATGTTTGAAACTAAGTATGCTCGTACTAATTCACTTGCCCTCTACGGGAATCGCACCATAGAACTAAGTAAGTAGTGACTGTGGTAGTGGTTGCAACTGTAGGTATTTGAAATATATTTTTTGTTTATCGAACCAAGTAAAAATCTATCAAGTAATTATAATTACCTAGATAATTAGATAAAGTTAATAGGACCATTTTATTATTTGCAGATTTTCCATAAAAAATCTTGGATACGTGGGTTTGCGGTCCGTAGACACATACGAGAGGTTGGCTATAGAAAAATACGAAGTACCAGCATTCGCAATGGAAGACATTGAACAGTAAGTTTCTTATTTCTATTTATGAATAAAGCATAAGGCGCCGTTATTTTTTTATACCAGTCAAAAGGAATCCTTATAATTTCATTATATCGATCTCCCATTCACCTCCCTTTATTTAAAAGCTTTTCAACGCAGGAAAATGCTTTTATCGTTAACAAAGGGCGAGAATTTTTATTAACAGCTATTTAAATATCTGGTAACACTCAGGCAATATCTATCTTGCATTATTTACGGAAAAAGGGAGGCTGTACTTTAACCTTCATTGACAATCGATATCTCATTTACATTTCTGATAATTACGAATTTCGATTACGATATAAAACTTTTATTTGATTGAATCACCCTGTATATTATGTCCTCAAGTTATTTACGTACCTGGGTAAATCTAACCTACACAAAGGTATGCAATATGAAGAATCGAAATCCGTAAGAAACGAATGCTACATTGTCCTGTGCCGGAGGTAAATCAACTTTCGTTACAGATTAAATTTCGGGAGCGCTTCGCGTAATTACTTACCAACATAATATTAAATTAATTACCTACAAAAGATGACGAACGAATTGATCACGAAACTTAATCTGCTACGAATATTACTTTGCCTATAGAACGATATTTCAAATATTTTACTGTATGAACAAATATGTAGAGCCTATCTAAAAATCATTAATCATCAAACAAATCCCCTTTGTATTTTCAGACACGGCATACAAAAGTCCATACACCACATTCTCCAAGTGCTGGATCCGGACATGAATAAGCCCATTCATGTAAGCTTCGATATAGACTCCTTGGATGCTTTGGAAGCACCTAGTACAGGCACACCAGGTATTTATGTAACAATAGGTACATTTTACAGTAAGCCTTTATAGCCTTTCTTCAAAAATGAAATCATATCTGTTAAGTGTTAGGTCATAAAAGAGATAAACTTAGGCAAATTAATAAATAGCACCATATGGACCTGAAGAATGTCAATTTACACAGAGTTCTATAATAAATTGAACAAGTCCATAAGTAGGTAAGTAATAACAAAAAAGAAACTCACCACTTCATCTTGCATTCACTCTTCCACTTGCAGCATTTCACTATATCTAAGTACACTACATCACACCATACCTAAACAAAAACATCTGACAATTTCCTCCCTATCTGTCAACAGTTCGTGGTGGACTGACGCTCCGCGAGGCTATATCCCTAATGGAGATCATCCACTCAACGGGGCGTCTCCGTGCCGTGGACTTGGTAGAAATCAACCCAGCGCTGGGCAACGACTCCGATCGTCGGAAGACGCTGGAAGCCGGCCTTTGCGTTCTGAAGGCAGCTCTAGGCTTTTCAAGAAGGGGAACCGCGCCTAGAGGCATCCTGGACCTACCTGTACAGACTTATCATAATCAAGAAACTGCTAAAGCGCAACAGTAGTGCGGTTTGAAAACGAGAAAAACGATTTAGATGTTTTGTAAATAGTTTCGCATAAGCCTGGATGGATCTAAATATTTAAAGGGTCAATAGCAGCCTTTTAGCCTTTTTTTATACTTGATTTTGAATTGAGTTTCATTTCAGTACTATATTATGCTTATTAACAGTATGATGGACTAAATTACTTAGCTGCTAAAAAAGGCCAAAATTGATATCAGCTTCCTGGAATATTTTTACTTCTTCTTAATTAAATCTGATATCTACCGATTTTAGGTAATTTCACTTGGAGACGCCCAACTTTAAGTCTACCTATTAACTTAATCAATCATAATTATCGCCTATTTCAAAGTAAAGTTTTAGAGTCAGTTACAAAGTTATAATTATGATTAAATGAAAGTACCTAGTCAGCTCCAGTTTCAGGAGCGAAAATAAAAATTTTGGTAGTTACGCTCAGCTGATTGAATAAAACCGATTGATTGAATAAAATCCGATCGCATTAACATCCAGTCTTTCATTACGATTGTCCCGTTTTCAATTTGTTACATGAGCCTCTCTACAATTTGTTGATAAGCGGAACGGCAGTTAATCTTTGATTGGATTGCTGAGAACAAAGGCAGGTATTTCCATTATTATAATTCCTAGATCTGCGGTTTTAATTACGCGCAGTATGAAAGCAAGATGATTGGAATCCTAGTAAGTGATTTTCTTTTGTTTTCACATCTAATAAACCAGTAGGGGATTCAGAACCATGCGATTAATCGAGCGACAAGAATGCATTTCAGTCTCACGCGGTTAAACCGATTCGTATTAAAACGGAGCTATTTTAATTAAAGTTCTGACTGGATCACCTAGTAATCTAGTTTTTTTTTTTTTTTTCAAATTGACTTGTTGCACCAAACATTGTTTGACCGTTCCATTTACTTTTCCAATGTAACGATGAAATGTACCTTTACAGATATTCGCCTTTATTATTACTTTAGGAAGAACCTTAGAAGCTGAAAAGGACGAAACTGATGAAGAAATAGTTAAAATTCTTAACAAATACATAAGCAAGATCCCAGATGTGGCACAAAAATACGTCATCAACGAAGGCCTCACCAAAATGATATCCAAGTACTTTGATGGGAAATTAAGTACTTTTCCACTGTATAAATTAAGTTTCAAAATAGATCGGAAACCTGTGAAAATTCCTTGGGAATTAGGAAAACCTAGTAATTTCAACAACACGAAGGGAAGTAAAAAGTACACCTACGTTCGAGTAGAAAAATTAGAAGAACCCCATAATAAGTAAAGCAAATAAAAAACTTGTGTAAAATATTCATGTTTATTGCTTTTATTCCATTTACAGATTGTAGTTCTAGCAAGTGCAGCAACCGTAACATTATAGTATTACTTAGTCCCGATTTTTATTTAACATTTAGATTAAGTTAAAAACAGAAGGTACAGATGAGCTTTTATGTATTTAATTATTTCTATTTTTGTACAGTAAAAGCAGTGGACTGTAACGTATTGGTTTTCAAAATATTTACATAATATTATTTTAAGTCAGGTATACGCATGGATGGATGGAAAAAATGTATAAATACCTACATGCTAAAACATGTTTGCAAGTTATTTCATGGATCCGCGTATTTTAATGTGTTAAAGAAAACGTGAGCATTTCTTTCAAAATGTATTACAGAGGGTGAATAATTTTTCGCTGGTTTTTCTCATGTCGAGTCTGAGTTTAACGTTATTTCAATAAACGTTATTGGTATATCTTACCGGATTTTATTGTTTTGTTCGCAAGTCATTTTGAAAACTAGGCATTTGTCCAAACTTGAATTTTTCATTCATCGACTTGATGATTCAACTTACTTAATAAAATGAGGTACAACTTTAGCTGACTCAAATAGTAAAATGTTTATGTCAACAATATAAAGGACACAAGAATGTATCTTTTAGTACCTAATTTTAATTACAGATATAATCTAAAACAGTATTTTTGACATTTCTAGTATCTATTTGACGGTTATTTCTAGTAAAATTAAATATCTATCCTACTTGAACAATCTTTTTACATTCAGTTATATTTTACAATTAGATTTCATCTACTGCACAACGATTTCACACACACGCACATACAACATCAAGTTTGGACTTCTTTCTTTCTCTAGAGATCAAAATGGCGACTTATTATTACGTACCTAAAGAATTTTGTGAGTATTTCTCAAAAAAAATGTACGTAACGAAACGGTAGTAACGAAATAGTAAGGCCATAAGGCTTGTTATACATTGGCGAAATATTGTGAATGCTCTAAATTTATTCAATTCGAAATATTTGTAAGTAGCACCCAAATACGGGGTAATATTAAGGGGTTAGAAATAAAATAAGGGAGTAATCATTCATACTATTTTAATAAAATTATTTGTGTTCCATCATGTTTATCCATTTTGAGTCGTTCTCTGTAAGCTTATTGCCTTTTGGCATTGGTTTTTGGCGGCATTCCTAAAAAAACAAAAGAAGTAATCACATAAAAACGTAATCTAAATTATTTGATTATTTTTTGCTGGTGGCACTTCTGTAAAGCAGATAGTATCCAATCCTTTTGTTATTGACGCTCTATATTTTTTGAAATAAATTAAGTAGTGAATATTACTATGCTTAGTCAGGTAATAACAGTATACACTCAGCATTATGTTGTACTTTTTCGTAACGTAACGAAATTCGTAAAAAACGTAACGAAATATTAGACAAAATGAGATCAGAAACAAGTATTTTTTTGATAAAATTTGTTACAGCAAATATAAAAGCTTACTAAATGTTCGTACCACACGTATTACAAAAAATGGTTAAATGAAGACTTACCGTTCTATATAAAATCGCTGATTTTACTGCCTGTTACGAAAAAGTAATCCCACAAAACACACACGTTTTCACTAATTTTCGCGATAGATGTAATGGCGGAGACGTCAGGCCAACAGCCATTCAGAGTGCAGCTATTGTTGTCCGTGTAAAATAAATACGGAATTGTTCAGAAACCATGGGAAAGTAGAAATAAATCGTAACTAAAGAGTAAATAACGAAATAGTAAATGAGAGCGACTCATTTTGTTTTTTTGCTTTAAATTGCCAATTCATTATGACACCCCATAGAAAATCAATTTGATACAGAAACTGCGATTACTGTAGAACGATAATACAAAGAAATTTACAATAATTTAGTTACGTATCGCATTTTATGAAACAAAAATACATGAAAAAGCTAGGGTGGCAAACAGGTTTTTGTATGAAAGGTAAAAAATGACTATTTTTGAAATATCTAAATATTTGGTAATAAGTAGGATTATAGCTATAATTCTTCGTTATCTTAAAGATTAATATTCATCCTTCAAAATTGTGTGTGTGTTTTTTTTTGTGTGATGATTTATAAATATAAAACTTTTGAACTGTTTCAAAGCACACTTTTTTTTTCAAAATGTACATTTTTTTTGAGAAATACTCTTGTATAACTGTACTATGAAGAACTAATCTATTATGTATTTTCAAAAGTAAACCAGGAAATTGTCAACTAGGTGTCAAATGATTTATAATTTATTGCAATGGTTTTTAAAATTACGTCTATTTTTGTTAAACAAAATTTATCAGCTCTGCAGTTTTTCAAACTATTTGAACGTGGTATACAACAATAAAGTTTACTAACAGAATGTGCCTAGAAGTTGACTTGAGGCCGGTAATGTTTCTGGAACTTGTTTGCGTTGAGCGATAGCTTCATCTGCCACTTGGCCTGCACTCGCTTCATGAAGTGGATGTCACGTGCTTTCCTGCAACAAACGTTTTAAACTTAGCAAATAATAAAAGATCTTATGAATACGTTAAGGTACAGTCAAGCATAGCGGATTTTAAAGTTTTCTTGCAAAATAGCAGAGCGCCACTCTAAAACAGTTAACAACTTCTTTAAAAAAATGGAAGTGCTTCAAAGTTTAAATGATTCAGTAAGTAAGTAAAATAAAAAAAAAACGATTTAAATGTTAGTACTCAGGATAGTCTGTACGTACTTTTTGTGGCTCATAAAGTGGCAAAAGGATATTAAAGTCACGAAGGAAAATATTTAACTTAGAATAAGTTTTACAATGCTTTGTTTAAACAGATGACCTAGGTATTATAAGTACTATTGTTATTATCAAACTGCGCCATACAATCTTCGGAATTCTGAATTCTTACACGCTATGCGTAATTATACACAACAAAGCTCTTTGTAGTACTATAAGGTCTTATCTACTACCTGCGCCTACGATTATTTATTTATTAGTCTACAACTATGTTTATTATCTTTTAACAGTTTTACTCTTATAGCAATGACGCAAGGTCAACATTTGAATGAACGCTTATTATCACTGCCCACGTGTAAGTTATACTACGCATAAGTTATAGTTGATAAACAAAATAATACGTGTTAACGATTTTGTTTTCTTAACGATTTTGCTACTTATTTTTTATGAGATTTTATTTATATTAATGCTCAAAAACCACTGAAGACTGTATAAATGACTATTTTTGTTTATACAGTAGTTTTATACATATTTATATAAAACATAGATTTCATATTAACTGAATTTATCCACAACATAGTGAATAATGGTTTATTTTTCCACTTAAAGTACAGAAAGGGTCCCATTGTAGGTTTTATATGGTAATATAAGATTTATACTTACTTGGCTGCCTGTGCTTGGTCCTTAGGCGCCCATCCAATTGCTTTGTACATTCCTAAAAGTCTATGTAATTTGCGATCTGATTTCTTCACTAATGCTTGACCGTTGTTTGTTATGTGTTGTTTATAGTATCTGAAAAAAAAAATCATAAACCACTTTACAATATTGTACTAACATACAGTACTAAGTAATGATTACTGGTAATTTCATTCATACACTTCCCACATACATAAAGTATTTTAATCTTTCAGTGATGACCTTCTAAGTATGAAAGCAAATTGAACAACACTGAACAAACAACAATAAATGATTTCACCAGCCTTGTTCTTTATAAAAAAATCTTAGTTGGAAATAAATAAATACTGGAATATGCACACAGTTAAGCTAAGCTTTAAACATAACTGCTCGTTAATGGGACTGGGTTTCCCAATGTCTGTTTTAATGTCTCTATGACACAAATGACTCATCGGTAACCATCAGATGAAGTTCAGTTCATCAGTCAAACACAAACTCAGTGAAAACTACAAGTGACTCACTTCATAAGGGACCGATGACCAACTGTAACTCCTGAGGGTAGCACCAGCTGGAAGTCATCGCCTTCCAGCGCTGTCGGAGACTCCACTTCTTCATCTATGTCCATGTTCTCATCGTCATCTTTATGGTCCGGGTACGAGGCACTGAAAATATCATGTCATGATATAGGTAATTACTGACTTAAACAATTGAGAATATCTCAGTGAGTATACTTTAAAGATAAAATCAGCATTGATAATATTTTGACATTGAAAGTACTCAGTGTTTTAAACAGAAAATGGTTGTACACAATGACACTATATTTATGAGTGCAAAGATAATTATTAATCTAATTAGACTTTTATAAATAAAAATATGAAAGTCATCATTTTTTCAAAGCTAAATACCTGTAGTCGTAGTAATCAGCATACTCTGCCAATGCAAGCCCTTCATGCAGCATTTTGCAATGGCCCTTATCTACCATATGGCCCCGAGCAGCCTCCATGGAGTAGAATGTTCGGCCTGTGTCATTGCACCACAAGCACATGAAGCCTTGTGATATCTAATAAGAAAATGAGAAAGCATGTAATTTTATAAAGTCCTAGTTAGTAAACCTAGTTCATTTATTGGTATGTAAATACTTTAGAATATAATACCAAAAATTGCCCAACATTTACATCAGATAGAAGTCAAGTAGGTATGTAACAGTAAATTACAGAGTATAAATTAACCAATTTACTTAATAAAAGGAGGTTTAAATTCTCTTGTTTATAAAACTATTGGGACATATTAAACTGATTGTGGAAGTTTCTGACAGTAAATCAAATTACCTTTTCTCCCAAATAAAGCAACAAGCCTTTGACATCAATGCAGTACTCCAGGTCAGGTATGAAGAATGAGTGGGCCTCAGACATGTGTTTGAGATTCTTCACCATGTTCTTGCTATGGTGTGTGCAGAACAGGCAATCTCGGGGTTTGATGAGAGAGTCACTTCCCTTAATCCGGCATTCCTCCCACTCATCGGAATCAAGCTGTAAGAGAAACAAGAAATAAGATTGCACAATTATATGAAATGAGGTGACTGCTAATAAGATTTGAATAGAATTTATATAGTAGTAATTACAAACCTCTTCAATTTCAGAATCTGTCTCTATGTCGTCATCGCCAGAGTCATTTGGATTAACAACTACAAACTTGCCAGGCGCAGTCCCTGGTTGGCTGGTCTCAACTTTAACGAAACTGTCAGTGTCTGAATGAGCACTGAGCTCCTCTTCCACATACTGTTCTTGAGCTAGCTTGTGCTTCTTACTATTGAGGTGGTTATTGTACGCATTCTTAGTGTTGAACACTTTTGAGCAACACTTGCAAAACTCTGATTCACCCTGGCTATCATTTTCAGCCTGCTTCTTGTGCTCTCTAGCTCTCTGTTCAAACTCCTCCAGTGATACAGGAGGTATTGAAGCTACTTTCCTCTTTAGGTTATACCTGTGCCAGTCCAATTTATAATGCTCCCGTTGAAGTTCGGGAGTTTTGAAAAGCACCTGGCAAGTAATACACGTGAAGGTATCAGGCATTTTGGTTAGTCTTCAGGGCTCACTACGAAGTATCACAGATTATTGAACACAATGAAACTATTGATATAAATAAACTGTAGATCAATGATGAATAATTAATGTAATAGGTTTTTACGCCACTGCGAGTTTAGGTTTGTGCGCAAGGTGTTTTTTACGCTGCTGCCTGGTGGTTTGGTTGGTTGATAATGAATGATAAGCGGAATAAGAGAAATAAAAAATAAGAATTGTATAGGAAACGCATTAGTGTGACAGAGACAAAAAGATTGAAGAACCAAGTTCCTTCCTGACACTGACGTTTAGTGATGACGTCATCATTAATACGGTCCACCAAAATAAAATGAGCCTTCAATAGGGTGAAAGTATTTATCACAGATTCTATCCATATCTGTGGTATTTATGGTACGTGTATGGTACCTTTATTTAAAAAAAAATTATCCGGACAAACTTCATACTTGTTTGTGTGACAGATGATGAATGAATGAATGAAGAACTATTGACCAGCTGTTTTGTGTCAAACAAAAATTTTTACATAATAATTGATAGCAGAAAATATAAATTGTGCCATTGTATATTCTCTAAAGTTGTTCCCAAATTAAAGAATAATGTGCTAGAAATCACATAATCGTAATATAATTATAACACTACTTGCACAAAAATGCTGGAAACTGAAGACATAGATGATGATTATTTTACTCCTGCATCGAGGTAAGTATTCTATTCTTAATAATATTTATTTGCACACTAACACTAAGCGAACCTATCAAAGGTCCTCACTTCCACTACTCCTACTACTTATTAATAAGTAAACTAGACGTAACTAATAGGTACTTGTATTTATTTATTATTATTTTTACTTAACTAAGTACTTTTATAATTTTGCCTTGTTCAACTTTGTAAAGCGAATGTCTGGATATTAATAAGGCTTGAGTACAACCACATAAATAAACAATACCTATTTTACTTTCGCAGCACTTCATTGGCAAATATATTTGGAAAAACCAGAAAAGAAGATGGAACGGAAAATGAATCCTTAAAATATACTCCGCCGAAACCAGCAAAACCTGAAGAAATAAAAACCACGCAATGCCTTTTCGCTTGTGTACTAATAGGATATGACTGGTTAGTGCTATAATAAAAAAAACTTGTCTCTTTACCTATTTCGAATCATTTAATCAACCAATTCTTTTTCACTTTCAGGCAAAACGGTGCTTATGTAGCCAGAGGAAAGTTGGGATTTGCCATTATAAAAATTATTAAAAGTGGCTTTCATAACATTGTACTATATGACTCAAATAAGACAACACTATCATGTGCCACAATATCATCAGCATTTGAAATAACTGTGAAAGAAAATGTGTATTTCTCATACCATGACAATGGCCAGAAATATTGGAGTTTGTATGCTTCTGAAAATGAAATGAAAAAAATTATTGATTTGTTAAAAAGTTTCAATGCTAAAATAAAATTTTCTTCTGGTGAAGAAAAAGAGCTTCCCCAGCCAAGTAACTTAAGTGTAGTTACGGACAAGGAGTCTTCTGAACCAAGTAACCAACATGTATTAAATGAGGTCATCTTAAACACACATGCAGAAGAAAAAGAAAGTGACACAGATTCATCAATTAATAGAAGAACAAAAATGTCTATACTGAATAGAATGGCAAGTATGTGGCAGTCAGTACTGCCCCCTCGAACTATATCTACAGAAAGAACTAGTGATTCTTCAGACACAAATGATACAAGTACTAACCATAAAGCTGTGAGGCATAAACCAGTCAAAAGCATTATGAAAAGGAACAGTTCTGATAAAAATCTTCCAGAATGTCAAAGTGTAATAGAAACAGGTCACATAAATATGGAACAGGCCACAAACAGTGTTCCATTATTTACCTATGTCAATGGTCAGCTTGTGCCTGTGACAAATAGTAACATAATAAGTTGTAATAGCAGTGGGAACGATATGAGCTTCTTTATCTCTGAACAAAGAGTAAGCAATAGTGAAATAAGAATAAACATGACTAGAATGTCTGATAAAGTTGATCAAATTCTTGGAAAACTCTCATTTATAGAAGACAAGGATAAAAACAATACAACAAGTAATTTTCAAGCAGAAGTATTGCAAAAGCTTTTATCAGAGTATGAGAATAAAATAAGAATGTATGAAGAATTTATAAAATCTAAAGATTTGAACAATAGTTCAAGTAGTCCATTTATGGGACTAATTCCTAAACAGGATGTTCCAAAAGTAGACGAAATTAACATTCAAAAAATTCAACACTTGGAACAAATTAATAAAGAAAAAGAAGAAAAAATTATCCAGTTAGAATTTCAATGTAAAGCTTTACAAAATGAGAATATCTTGCATATTGAAGAAATGAAAAATAAAGTGAAATTAACTGAAGAAATAAGTAAATTGAAACAAGAATTATCTTCTAAAAATGAAGAACAGAGTAAAAGGATCCGAAAAAATGAGGAATGTTCTGAGATTGAAGATAATATGGGTGAAAAAATAAAAAATATCATGAATGATACATTCCGTTCTATATCTGCTAATTTTGAAAATGATGTAGAATACTCTGGCGAAAGAATTAAAGCTCTAACTGCCTCCATTATCAAGAAAGTTACAATTGAAGCTCTTAATAAATTGTAATATAACCTGAAGAAATAATGTTGTTTAATACATAGTTATGTATGCCTTATTGTAATTATAAAACTTATGCGTAACATTCCTGTATTCAAGAATTAAAATAGATTTCTTGTATATTTTTATAACTTCTTAAAAGCGTTTAATTTTTTATCCTCTGAATGCCAGATTTTGTATGGAAGGTGGCGTCTTTTTTTTTCGCGCGGCCATCGACCAAAATTTGTTTTTTGATTACAAAATAGTGTAATAACCAACCTAACTGTGACATGTACCTCTAAACTCAGTCTAAACTGAGTTACGAGCGTTAGAATTTTGATGATTTACATACTAGATTTGCTTTTTGCGCGCAAGTTTTGTAAGAAATTAATTTCCAAACACTATTATGCTTTAAGCGAGTATCTCAATGATAAATTACTAGGCTCTAACTTCTGATACATCTTTCCGTTGATCTGGGGTGGTCCTCCTCTCTCCTAATTGCGGTGCCCTACAGGGCCCATAATGTTCTAATTTTAAGTACTTAGTGGATGCAATAAAATATTGAGTATTAAATAATCAAACTTCTAACGCTCGTAACTCAGTTCAGACTGAGTTCAGAGGTATACATGTCATAGTAAGTTTGGTTTATTACACTATTTTGTAATCAAAAAACAAGGTTTGGTAGATGGCCGCGCGAAAAAAAAAGGCGCCAATTTCCGGCATTGTCTTTTTGTTAATCAGTCCCACCAGACTTTAGAAACGTGACAGTTTTAATTCAGAAATTGCAACTTGCAAATAAATAAGGCATTTCGAAATTATAACTGTCACATATACGTTTTGCCACTTGTCTAGGGGGCTGGTTTTAGAACACGCTGTATAAATTTTAACTATCGTTCAGTTGTGTTCGTTCATTCATTCATCATTCGTTCTCATCTACATGTCATTTAGATTTGTTTCCAGTCAAATTGTAATTTGTTTGTCTTTCTGTTTGAGTCAATTTGAAAAGATAAAGCTATGAATAAATAAAATTACATATTATAAAGTATTAAAATGGACGATATAAAAACATCTATCAGGCAGTACAATGACCAAGTATGTATCAATCAATAGGTTATCTCCAAGGAACCAACAGGTTCAATAGTGTATTTATTTAATTATTCGTTTTTTTAGCTTTCAATGGTTAATGAGGCACTAGCAGTGGTCCAAGATGATAACGAGAAGGAATCCCTATTAGCTTTGCAGTCTGAACTGAAAGAGCTCATTCATCTAACCCAGGAAAGTTTGGATGCTTTGATTGCCAAAGAAAGCACTTCAGATTCTGGTGAAGCTGAGTCTAAGCCAGGTCCAGCAGTCAGTAATGATAACAACGAAGAACTAGATGATGAGTATGCTTTGTTTATGGTAAGGAAATAAAATAAATAGATATATTTAATTAAGTATCCTTGATACACAGTCATTGTTCACATGATATAAGATTTCTTGCTACTATTTTAAGTGAATTGAATCTGTGACTACAATTAATATTAATATTTATGATCTGAAAGTTGTATCTTTCAATTTCAGCAAGAAATGGCTAAAAGTGGTGCATATGAAGGAAATGATCAAGATCAGCCAGAATGTTCAAAATCTTCTAAAAATGATAAAAATGACAATGAAGATGATGATGACAGTAATATAGAGGTACTTTAAAGTTTTATGGAAAATAGTAATATGTTGCATTAGCACTTCATCAAGCCAGTGTTGCTTCAAGTGGCAGTAATTTGTAAATTTTGAAGATATCAGATACAGATAACAGATTTTTGCTATTTAATAATGATTAATTTTAATTTACTTTACATCACATGTATTTCAGGATGAACTAGCCACATTACAAGGCATGAAGTGTGCTGTGTACCACACACATAAATGGGGTGGCCAGCCTACTCTCCACAATGCCATGGTCAGTGAAATCATTCCAAAGCAAGATGATGACCAATTCACAGACCTTCAGGTAATTTAAAATACAATCCCATAACTTATCAGGCTATTAGAAGCACTCATTGTTATTGTAAATTATAATTTAATATCTTTTGTTTAGGTGCGCGTCTTGTTCACACATCCAACTCATGCAGAAATGCTACCCTGTCCATTCTACCTTGATGGCGATTGTAGATTTGAGGATGAACAATGTAGGTGAGTTTGTATCTAATGAAAATTATACTTCTAAAAGTTTTATATTATGCAGGATTTCAACTGACTTGCTTCTTTCAGATATTCACATGGGGCTGTAGTCCCTTTGTCTAATTTAAAAGATGCTATTGAACCAAACTTCAATTCAATAAGAGTTGGGAGCAGTATATTAGTTAAATTGAAACCCCCAGATGGAGAGGTAATTCTTCTGAGTTAATCATAATTTTAGTTTGTAACTTTTTATTTGGTTTTATACAATAAAAAAAATATTTTATCTTTCAGGACATTAGTCTAACAAAGAAGACATCAGAAAAATACCACTTATGGCACAGAGCAATACTTAAAAATGTTGATATTGAGAAAAGATCATGTATTGCCAAACTTGAGCATGGAGTAAAATCTGGAGAAAAAAGGAAGTCTGGATCTGAGGAAATATATGTAAAATTTGAAGAAATATTTCCACTGAATGGTAGCATAACTATTATTATTTTTTTAGCATAACTATTATTATTTTTTATGAATGGTGGTTTTTACAGAAATTATATTTTTAGCTGAAGATGATGACAGTAGTGATTCAGATGACAGTTTAAGCGACACCGAGTATCCAGAAAGCAAAACACTAAAATCTCAAGATGAAAGTGAGGGTCGAGCCCTCTTGATTGAAAAGAGTCTTATGAACAACGCTCCAGCTATGGGCGAGTGGGAAAGACACACAAGAGTGAGTATGTATTATTTAAAATATTCTCTGCATGCTATTTAGCATTGTTTATGTTAAACAAGGGCAATTTATAATTTGGGCATCACCTATAGTTTAAAATCTAACTGGTCTTCTTCTAAAACTGGCACTAAGCGAATGAATTTGTTGTTTCTATTGTTCAATGTATTGTTGTTTCGAATCTCGACTAATGCTGTTTCGTTTTCGAAAAATGCTGTCTCATTTCTCAACAAATGCTGTGGCGTATCTTGACAAATTAATACTGTTTCGTATCTCGACAAATGCTGCCTCGCATCTCGACAAATGCTGTCTCGTATCTCGACTAATGCTGTCTTGAATCTTAACAAAAGCAGAGCCCCGATTACGGTAATTTTTAACGTCAACAATCCAGACACGCTTCTCGATTCTGCGATACGATTGGTCGTTCAACAGCGTACGTCAGCTGTTTTGACCAATCGTATCGCAGAATCAGAAACGCGTCTGGATTGTAGACGTTATAAAAGTTACCGTAATCGGGGCTCTGTGTTGTATCGAGATACAACTACTACTAATACTAATGCTGTCTCATATCTCTAGACTAATGCTATCTAGTATCTTCACCAAAACTGTTTCGTTTCTCGACTAATGTTGTCTTGTATCTCGACTAATGCTATCTCGTATCTTCACAAATACTGTTTCGTGTCTCGACTAATGCTGTCTTGTATCTCGACTAATGCTATCTCGTATCTCGACTAATGTTGTCTTGTATCTCGACTAATGCTATCTCGTATTTTCGCAAATACTGTTTCGTATCTCGATTAATGCTGCCTCGTATCTCGACTAATGCTGTCTTGTATCTCGCTCGACTATGCTGTCTCGTATCTCGACTCTCGACTAAAGTTGTCTCGTATCTTAACGAATACCATTTCGAATCTACTAACACTCGTCTTATTTCATAATGAATGCTGGTTACTTTCTTGACGAAAGGCGTCTCGTATCTCAACGAATGCTGTTTCACAGGGTATCGGCTCGAAGCTGATGCTAGCCATGGGTTATGTCCCGGGCACGGGTCTCGGCGCGGAGGGCGCGGGCCGGGTGCAGCCGGTTGAGGCGCGCGTGCTGCCCGTGGGAAAGAGCCTCGACCAGTGCATGGCGATATCAGAGAAGAATGCCGGACAGGACCCGTTGAAGGTATCATCACAGAATAATCTATACTAATATTATAAATGCGAAAGTAACTCTGTCTATCTGTCTGTCTCGCTTTCACGCCTAAACCACTGAACCGATTTTGATTAAATTTGGCAGGGAGATAGTTGTTTTGAGTCCCGGGAAAGGACATAGGATAGTTTTTATCCCGGTTTTTGAAACGGATGCGCGCGATAAAGTTTTTCTGTGACAGACAAAATGCCACGCGATCGAAGCCGCGCACGGAAAGCTAGTAATACACGTCATGTACTACGTACAGAAAGTTTTCTTTGCGAACAATGGTGTTTCTTTTACATACGTCAGTGATCGGTATTATGCCGATGCGATAGGGCTGACTGCTAGAAGAAGCTATTGTGCACCACACGCGTGTTATTTCCAGAACTTTGAAACTATTTGTAATATAACATTTAATTTTTTTTTACATAATAATTAGATTAAAACTTCTTTGAATAAGATTGTTATTTAATTACTTTGTATGTAATGTTGTTGGTATACCTTAATAAATAAAATTGTGACAGCTTCTTCCTGGTTTCGAACAAATGTGTTTTCTGTACAGGTGGAACAAAGACTCAAAAGGCTACAAAAGAAGGAAGAAGAAAGGAATAAAAGAGCGTACGAACGTGAAAAAGAGAAAGAAAAAAGAAACGTTTTCAACTTCATCAACAGAACATTGGGCGACAATGAGGATCAGGAATCTACTGCTGCTCCGTCGCCTATGGATATAAAACAATCTACAAACAAAGATTTGAATATTGAGCAATTTAAACTTACAGAAGATAGTAAAAGAATTGAAAAAGATCTAATGAAGCTGAACAGTTCTTTGTCTCGCCAAACTCCCGGATCGAATAGCCATAACAATGTAAAAGCGCAAATCGTTGAGAAAACAAAAGAATTGAACATTCTTCGAAATAGAGAACAGCAGATAAGTAGAGAGCAAAGACATAGGAAGGATAAGCAAAAAATGACAGTTTTTTAACATTAGTTAAGTACTTTTTATTTAATTAGGTTTTATTGTGGATTAAAATCAGTATGACAAAGTTAATATAGTTATTTTATTTCAGATAAACCGTTATTTACGAATACTTCATAGTCATATAAATGTATTCTATTATGAAGTACCTACATATAAAAGTAACAGGAATGTGTAGGATTGGAATCTTCTTATCGTCTCGGGGCAGGATTGGAATGAAAGACAGACATATTAATTACAAATTCCTATATTTACATATGTGATGTTTTTAGTTTAAAATAAGCGTACATGGCATAAAATTACAATTGATATACATACGAAACATTTTTTCTATAAATTAGATATTTGTACTATCAAACATTACATAACAAAGTACTTAGACATGTTAATGGGTAGTGTGACTAGCAAATAATATTTGCTGAATTAAATAAAATTTTAATATTTTAGAAACAGTGGGTCAAATATTTTAAACTAAATTACCTAATATTATCTATTCTATACCTACATTAGGTATGGAATCGCGGCTTTGAAAGCCATTGTTTTAGTTTAATTGCAAGCATTAAATTGTATAATTTTGCATATTAAGAAAATTCCTCCGAAATCTTAATTTTATTACAGCTATTAAAATGAGTATAAGATGTTATATTAGAAATTGCATAAAATATTACACATAACACGACAACATACCCTTAATTTTGCTACATGAGCAATACATTTGTACTTTTATCCCAAAACTTTAGCAGTAGTGATGCCAACTCGCGCTCGACACTACACTATACCACAATTAAGATCTAATTTGAGAGAATCGTCTAGAGACCCACTGTACTGTACCACTCGTGTGTACATCCCAAAACTGCAAATGTACGAATGTCATCAGTACTTGCACTAATAAGTATCTGGTTCAAGTGCTACAAGGTACGTGATTTGCGTGAAACGTGACAACTTTTAACCGCTCCTGTACGCAATAGGAGCAACCAACGGCGACATGTGCGATTGTCATGTTAAGATTCAGTTAAAGTTATACTGCTACCCGGACCTGCCTGCGTAACAATACTACTAATAATCACTAACTAATAACTATGCATTGAAAATTCACAAATATTAAAATTTCCTAAACAAATTCATCACAGAGATTTGTTACATCCTCGTCACGACATTCGCCGCCATCACCTTTCGCTCTCGCTCAAATAACTTCTAGTTGAATCCATATTAAAAATTTAGTGCCTAAATTACGTTAGATATATTACAATAGAGAGTGATGAATAAAAGAGAGACATTCTTTGTACTAAACTAGACGTCTTGAAATTAATAAGTACACGCGTAATGAGACTCCTTGCCGCTCTTCGATTTGTGATGTCTTTATTCCATTTGTGATTGGTCATCGAATGTGTATTACGTATAACAACGAGTTTGTATAACAAACAATAGAGTTAAAGGGTGAGATTCAGATGTAAAAGAACTTGTGAGCGCTGTTAGCGCAGTGTAAATCGACCGGCCAATTCGTATTGGCATTAGAAAACAGAGGCGGCATTTAACTGTGTTGCACTGTCACGACACCGAATACATATCGTACAGAGAAACCATTCGATTCTCGCATGAAAAAACAACTTGCGAGATAAATCATCATCGGGTATCCTCAGTATTTCGGTGCGGTGCTTTTACTAAAATTATTTATTGTGTTCATAAAAATTCTAGGTGGAATGTAAGAATCTCCTTTCGGTCATGCTCGAGTACGTTCCTCTAGCAGTTCCTCTGTACGTTATCTACTCAATGGTGTGAGTGCATGTGCTATGTGGCTTGCTGTAGCGCGCGCATTCGGCCGACTACGAAAGCCATCGTGGACTCTACGTCATCGAACACAGGTACGCCGGAGCGCCGCGCCAGGTCTATGAGATAGTGTCGCCCTCTATTGTAGTCTTTGATCGCACATTCGCTGTACTGTAAAAGAAAAGAAACTTTGTTATATTTATTTGTCAGAAACAATATGCATAATTTGACTGGGTACCTCTAAAATATGAATATAACAATAAACTTTAACACAAGTGGATAAGGCGCAACATTTAACCCTCTAGGTATATTGCTCTGGCGAATTTATTTCCACCTTATATAGGACCTTGTTCACTTGTCATAAGGTCGAAAACCAATGAACATTATTAACATGTTGTGCCTTATAGAGGTTATAATTAAACCGCATGATAACCAGGGATCTATTTCATTGATCGATGTTCGTATGGTTCCTCAATAAATCTGTTAGTAAAAATCTTTGAATTATCTGTCTTTGAAAAATAATCAAATAAGGTAAATAAATATTGTTACGTAGTTTGTAATAGATGCTATTTTGCAACAAATATGTAGTCTGTGATCACGAATTATTTCTTAACACTAGAATCTTGTACATTTAATTCCACTTAAACTCACCATCGTGTTAGGGCTCATGGTTTGCACCAGTAGCACGATGTTGGCCCGCTGCAGGCCCATGTAGTGCGCCGCTAACACCATGGCGGGGAGGCACGGCGCGTCGGCGCTGAGGCTGAACACCAGGATGCGCGAGCCGAGCAACAGATCCTCGTCGTACATTCCTGGAGAGGATTGCATGTTTAATTTTTTATTTTGGGATTCTACTCGTACAATAATATATTTAAGTACGTCCAAAGCTAGAAGTGATAAATAGTCAATTATTCAAAACCATAATTACATGTAAAGTCCGGTCGCCGGGCAGATAGAATTTCGTACAATGACCCCAAATTACTGTTAGCGCCCGTCGCGTCGCACAGTGAGTGTGCGAGCTCGACAGCGATATAATTACGCGCGGACTAGAAGAATATTCTCTAATACCAACAGCGGTCGAGCGTCAAAATGTGCTGGAGATACCGTAAACAGATCTGTCACCATACACTTTAAAGGTATGACCCATCGACCAAAAATTACTCAATATTTTTTTCTCATGCTCACCTTTGAAAGGTTGCGGCGTAGAATCCTCGGTGACCGTGTAGAAGTCAGAAGCGCTCAGCCTTTCCGTCGGATCTACCGCTGCAGATCTTTCTCGAAACTGGACCTCGTCTTTCGGCGATGTGGGCGTGGCCAAAGGCGATGGGCGAGGCTTCTTGTCGTGGCGCGGGGACTCCGGGTGCGCTGGAGCGGACCGCCGGGCGGGCGCCGAGAACATTCGCGTGTAGTCGTTGGTACGTGGTATCACGTACGTGAAGCCCTCCCGTCTTAGTATCTCCTCGGGCCGCGTGCTGTTCGACTGCGGGAAAATAAATCTCGTTGAAATGGAATTTTGAATCAAATAAGACCAGTATCATGAAATGACACTCAGGTATGAGTCTCCCTTCAAAAAAGAGTCGTGTCTGTGATTGGCTCCTAAATATTAACATTGCACTAATATCACAAGCCAGAATCTCATCTTCAGATTGAATCGAATTTAGGGCGTGTCGCTTCGTTTTAAAAAACGGACCTTAAACATCCAAAAGTAGTTTACACACCTATTTTGCATACTTTATGTGATATCCTATCACAAAGATATGGGCGATATAAACTTCCTGTTTTATTTGATTTGCTCACGTTTTATTAACTTCAGTTCACAGTCTTTATGTTTGACGTCATACGAATTACTTTCATCCAATATCGAATATTATCTTAAATGTTAGATTAGGGCGCGATAAAATGGAAAGATATTAAAGGAAAAGCCGGTCCGTAGATATGCAACTGCTGGTCGCAAAAAAGTAGCTTTCGGTCACATCAGGGGATTATGAAGATATCTAATAAATACCAAGGTAGATCATTATCGTCGATGTAAATCGGTTAAAATCAAGTCCTGATAATAAACTTTAGTGGGAAAACCCCTGAGAAGTGGATTTTATTGTTATACGCTCTTAAGGGCGAATATAAGATGCCTCATAATAACTATGAGGCAACATGATAAGTAAGTACGATGAAGTAATTTATAGTTTCCGTTAAGTTATAATTGGCTTTGTGAAAGATAAATGGTCAATTATTATTATTTAACTTCGGTATTGTAATTTTCTGATATTTACACTAGTACATAACTAACTAGCCTAAGAAGTTAACTACATAGTGTATATTTCAACGGATATGACTGCGTTTAGATTATTTTTGTAGTACATAGGAACTTGACAACAGAAAAGCTATACCCAGTTACTCGAGCATTACTGGTCGGGTGTCATTGGCGACCAAATTGTAGATCCTGTCTATACTCGTAGCTTGACTGCCACAAATAGCTCAAGTAGTAAAGGCCAACTTTCTCCCGCGTGAACACAGAGTCGCTGCTGCTGTGACGTCACGCGGTGGCCGCGCCGCTGTCTGCCCGGTTACCGCCAGTAGCCGTTGCGGTGACTACTGGGAAAGCTCCAACGAGGTAGCGAGCGAGGAGTCGCTGCTGCTGTGTGATGTTACGTAGTGGCCTGCAGCCGCTCCAGCCGCCGCTCCGTGCCCGGCGTGAACACGGAGTCGCTGCTGCTGTGTGACGTCACGCGGTGGCCGCGCCGCTGTGTACTTACTGGGAAAGCTCCAGCGAGGTAGACGTCGTGCGTGGGCGCGCCCAGCATGGCCGGCAGCCGCTCCAACCGCCGCTCCGTGCCCGGCGTGAATACAGAATCACTGCTGCTATCTGATGTCGCCGCTGTGACCGCGCCGCTGTCACCCTCAGTCACCGGCCGGTTGCCACCGTTCTGTAAAGATGTGTACTCCGTTAGTATTTGAATTATTTGGACCAAATACTTTACACAGACAAATCAAATTCATAAAATTAGGACGGTACCAAATGGTATACGCTCAGTATGAGCTGAGAAGCGAGAGCGCATTCGTCACAGCTACTAGGACCTATTCTGCGAACACCAAGAGATTCATTTGTTTCGAACACTTCGACGTGTTTTAGAGTCAACGGGGGGCTACTACCTACCGTCGTTTCTAAATTTCAGAGGTCAAACGCAAGACTTAGCATTTTAATTTAAATATTGTTTCTTAACTTTTTTTCCATAGTCGAGTTTATGTCTCTGATTCATAGAAACAAAGCGGTAAGACATTACATTGATGAAATCTATTAAGTTAAGGATCGATCTTGAACCCATTTGTACCACAAAAGCGTAATGGTCATCAAACGTGCCATGGGGATGACGCAAAGCAAGCGCCGTGGAAGAGCTCTCAGCGTCGTAACTTACGAGTTACGTCATTCCTAATCAAACGGCGTCACGCGTCGCCACACGTCCATTATTATACGGAGATGCGATCAAATGACATTTTAAAGGTTATAAGGACTTTGTATTCTGTACACGATTTTCTTAAGAATTCGCAGATGATTTTTAAGCGTATACCTATTGATGAAGATCCTGAAGACTTTTTATACGCTATAATGCGGCGATTCTAAGCAAAACAACAAATTATTTGAAAGAAAATAAGTGTAAAATTGTGAAGAAGCATTTCCAAAACGTTGTCTTATAAAACTTGTCAGAATAACAATGGGTTTTCTTTCAAACAAACATTTAAACTTGTAGAACATAGGTACAAAGTATAGCGTGTGTATATTTGTTTATAATAAATAAATGTGGCAAATCCTTGACAAGATTTACTCTTCTTTGATCTTTCTAGATTCACTATACAGAGCCAGTAATTTATATTTTACTAATAAAATGAGTGCGTAAAAGCTCAGAAATAAGTGCGAATTTGGTAATGTCATTTAACGTCATTTCCTGTTGTCTTGTATGTCATTTGTTTGAATGTGGGAAATACGGCGCTGAAACTTCCTAATGACGTTTTAGTCTTAAGACAAATGTATGTAAACCCCTTTGATTATTATTGGTTATCCTAAATAAATAAAATAACCATTGGTTAAAGAGCTCATATTATGATTTTAAACCGAAACTTCAAAATTACTGACACGACATAGCAACAGTCATCATAACTAATTGTTTTATCTTAATAAATTCGCACTTACTTATTACACGTATATTAACTAATAAACAAGTGAATAACGGCTATTGTTTTTATTGTGACTCAGACCCCGAAAGGTTACCTAACACTAATCAAAATTCCCAATTTAATTTCAACTTTATGGGTTAATCAATAAGGTCACCAATCAATAGTTGACGTAATTTTTGGTAGGATGAAATGAACCATGATACCAATTTGATTTAGAAGTCACTCTGTATATCTATGATATCACTTTAGGCTAATGTTCGACATTCCTGATTTCGATAAGTGATAAAGAAATAATTTGCAATTTAATTAAGTTAACTTATGATTGTCGGCGTACCTAAATACAGATAATCTAAGTATTGATAAATGAAATATTAGATACATAAATATCCGCTATTTAAGCGAGGATGTGAACTAATCGTTTAGTATTAACGTCACAGTTATTTTATTGTATGTATATCCGATTAGGCAACGCAAACTTATATTGTGGATTAATCTTAACAAATGCCTAATCGCTTTAAAAATGTTATTGTCTATGACGTCACAATCGATTCTGCTTATTGCGTTTGCAATTTCCCAGAAGTGTAGACGAAAATAATACGTAATCATCGTTGTGTAAATAAATCAATAAAATTATTTATTATGTTAAATATTACGATAACAACATCTTCGCGAATAAAGAATGCGCCTGACTCAGTAATCTCTTTAATCTAGAATAATAAACATTTCAAAGTTCGCGTGTAATCAGTGCCCACACACTTTTGGTGTGCGTAAATAGAATAGTTACCTTAGGAATGAATAAACCGAGCTTCCTGCCGTACGCTTTAAGTCGCGCGTTGCATACGTGTAGTCCGTTGGTCTCCCGGACACTGTCCGAAACGCGTTCGCCCGCATTTCTTTCTGTCCGCGCCTCCGCGTCCGGCCCGTTACGATCTTGACTCTCTGGAGACAAAAACATAAATATAAAACATTTAGAATTTAAATATCATAATGGGACTGATTTCATGCAGCTTTATATGTCAGTGTATCTCTTGCCATCACAGTGAATGGAAATACACTAGAAGTAAAATTTTGGCTGTCAAAATGAGTGATAAATTGCCATATTTTTCCGCCTGAGTTCAACAATGACGGATGTGTGCGTTAAAATTGTTTATACATTCACTTTTCTGCTTTTTCATTTAACAGCGTCAATATCTACTGTTTTAAAGAAAAAAGAAATACAGGGATTTTTATGCACTAAAAAAATGTTGGTGCTTACACAAAAAGTGACTTGCGAATCCATATAAACAAAACTGGAGATAAACTTAGCAAGTATTGAGCTTACTCATATTTCTCTAATTAGGTAATACAAACATTTTGAAACAACAAAAATAGTTCATCTAGTCACTTTTTCAGTGTAATTGTAAGATAACGGGAAAACAGTTAAAAAAGAAGTAATAAATTTAAACACAGTCATAGACAAAATAAATAAACCTTCACACTCAAGACAAAATTTAAGGAAGGAACAAACCAACCGGTGACTGTTCCTTCAAGGAACGAATGAGACGAGCGATAAGATAATGCTTGTTTACAGCTGTCATGATAAATGTTACGCATATATGAGTAGTCGTAGTAACCTATTTACACCTACGCGAAAACCCCAAAATAAAATAAAAGGGCAATAAAATCAGCGTTGCAAAATCCAACGAAAGCGAGAGAAAGCTTGACAACGAAAATTAATTAAAACTCAAAAATAAAAAACTGTAATTATTATGAAGTAGAAAGTGAAATGATCGATGGTACTAGTATGATACTACACACAAGCGCAATAGTAGGCATCCAATAGCATGGATCAGTGTGAGTATTATTATTTTGGATGTAAAAACGAAGTAGCCTTGGTGACCAGTCATATTGTACCACAAACTGATATCTTGCTATCTGAGGTTGATTTCATGGTTACGCTTACGACCGCAATACGGAAGAATGAAAATACAAAAATATTTTGTAGTAGGTAATGTAGGTATACTATCAGTGATATACAGCTACGTTATTACGTATGATGCCTCGAAAACACTAGTGGAAAAGTGTAGCCAGAAATGTCGTACGATATCGTCCGATTTTGCCTTACTCCGCAAAAAAGGTGTGCATATAGAAACGCCAGTTTATGATGAAAATCAAAGGGAAAACTTTTCTTTTGAAAATAGTGCAGTGTATGTAGGAGGTATGTATTATGTTAACGAGTGCGTGTAATGTATACGAGTATGCCTTCATAATAACACCAAGGTAGAAGGGCTCCGGAGGCTCTATCTATACGATAGGCTTTAGTTGGATGCCTATATTGCCTATCGTTGAGCTTTTGGGCGATTTGTTTTCTTACAACTAACAAGTGTATCGACCATAAAAAAAAAGTTTCACTGCCCGCCCGCGCATCGTAAGCGTAAAACTGAAACGCCTCACAGCTCGCTTTCGCTGAAACGCAACACCGATCTTACTGGCGTGATGTAATGGAGTATGGTATTTAGTTGTCAGTGCGTCACGCACCGGGTGCTAGCCTGTCGCGTAGCGAGCGGAATACGCGCCGCAGCGCGGCCGCGACGCCGCCGCCGCCGCGCCCGCCCTCGCCCGCCCGCCCTTCAACAAACACACCCTTACGACCCGCCACCGTACCGCCACCGAGCATGTGAGAACATCGCTACGTCACTACCACCCGTATTCACAAACGATGCTTGCTTAAGTGAAGCAGCAAATCGAACGCACAGCGTTGAATAGAGCTCTGTGATTGATTCGTGTGCTACCCTGTGCGTCCACGCGCACTGTGAGACCTCATAGTAATGTTTGTGGACGTCACGAAAAAGGTGTGTTGTCGCTAATCGATTGTTCTTTCAATGCCGCGCGAGTTGAACTCGCGAGGTCGTAACGTTTGACATCTCGTGAGTCATGCAAGTAAAGGGTGAAGAATTTTATGGATCGTAGGATATAGTAGTTTTATTAGAGAACTGTAAATCAATAAGTATTACTGAATGGACACTTATGACGATTACCTACATTTATTTGATTTGAGAGTTAAATATTGGCAAATTTTAATTATGCTCTTCAGCAGGACAGAGTTTTCTAAACTTGTAATTCGATTTGGAAAAACTCTTAGACTACGTCACCGCTCAGACTTTTAGTTAATTACCGCCCGTTAAGCCCCTGGTAGCCAAGATATTGGCAGTTTACTATTGACCAAAGCCATATATTTGCCACAAAAAAACTTGGCCTTGCATGTTATGTAAATCTATGATAAAGTAAAAAGTGTACAATAATATGACGTAAGACTTGCAGAGCGTTCAATCATTTGACCGATAACGATTTTCTCACGAGCGTGAAACGTGGATACTTCGCAAAATGCATTTAATGTTAGGATTAGTAGTGTAGTAACTCAGGTACTTACCAGGGTCGGCGGCGAGCTCAGCGACCGCAGCGCAGAAAGTTTCGAAATCGACCGCGTCGGTACTTGGCAGGCAACTCTCCGCCGCCTCGCGGGAGCACTTTGTGACGTCCCGCAACGCGTCGACTGCTTTCGTGCGAGGCAAAAGTCCGTTTCTGCCACCCGCCGCGTCGTAAGTCCTCTTCAAACGCCGTATGGTGTACCCTAACAAGTGGCGAGGATGCGTACGCGCGCCGCGTATAACGGACCGCGCACACAACAAAGCCTTCTGTATGTCTGTGAACACCGGCAGCCCTCGCCTCTCCACCGCCTCTTGCAACGTCGCCCGAGCGCGCGACAACTCAACGTATTCGCTGAAACAAATAAAAACGAGGTTATCACATACATATTTATCGCTTTCGCTCAAAGGGTGATTCAATTTTCGCGTCTAACAAGTGATGTCACCTCTGCAAATACTTTAATGGTCATACAACATCAATTTTATCATTCGATCGTTGCAACTTATACACTGTGGTTTAACTGTATAATAAGAAAATAAATAGATACGGCTATAAATCTACTTGATTTATACGATCAGACGCGTGTACAGTTATACTGTAATACACATTTAAATATCGTTAGGTAATAATAGCTTGATTTCACTTTCCCAGTTTGTTTAACTGATTTTTACACAGTTCCGAAATGGAGCTAAACAGTAAAAAATACAGATTGTGTTGCTTGAACTCTACTTTATACTTATGCAAGTGATAATTTTTATATGATTAGCAAAGAAATAATTCTTATGAAGAAACATTTAGAAGGAAATTGCATTATGTTCGTACCATTTTTGTTAATTATTTAGCTGTTCATATTTTTTAATATCTTATAATTATTATGTGCCAACGGCCTACTTGGCCTATATTTTGAAATATTACTTCCAAGATTATTATAAGAATCATAACTTTAATTAAAGTTATGTGGCATGTTGAACATAACTTATACAAGAGCAATATTGAAAAGATTGATGATTATAATACTCATTTACCTAGTTCGCTGGCATTTATTATAACTGGTTAGATATTCGAGATAAATGATCATAATATAACTTAGTCATTTCGTATTTTCGTTCATACATTATCAATCAAGTTTTTCAACTATGACAGTTCAAAAGCACCGTTGTGACTATTGTATACGTCATTGTGGTGACGATGTTGATTGATAAGCCCTTAAGTGGTTCTAATGATATAAAAACGTGTGTCATGCTGATGATTGATGCAAAATCAATAATGGTGTTTTTATAGTCTTGCATTATGTACTTACATTGTAGTTTAGCAGTAGATTGTCGAGTATTGAGTATTTTGTTACAAATAGTGATTTGGTGTTTGCAAAAATTCTACTGATGACATATTTGCCATCAGGCAAATGTGCATAAGATCTCGCAGACTGTTTATCGGCCGATATTTTGGTCGGCTTCTAATTTGATTAAGCTTAGCGCTACCGCTGCTAAGTTAGCCGCTTCCACCCTCGCTGCGACTGCGCGCGTTTCCGAATCGAGTACGAAGAGAAGTGCCCGCTTGTCGATTTCGCTCGATTCTACATTTTGACAGCTTTAATCTAATGTAATACCTCCGAGAGATACAGCTATGGAAATGTTAATAATTATACTAACTGGTCAGTGATCTTCTCCTGGCCGATGGTCTGGTGGCGCGAGTACGGCCTGAGTACCAACAGCAGAGCCGTCGGCGCGGCCGCTGCTAAGTGCGCCGCCTCCACGCTCGCTGCGACTGCGCGCGTTTCCGAATCGAGCACGAATAGAAGCGCGCGCGCCGCCGCTTTCGCTCGGTGCTCCACTTCGATCAGCTCTGTCGACCAGTCGTCCACTTGCTGTAAAAGATGACTAAGTTAGAAAACGTATTCGCATCTCTCGTACGAGGGCTGCACTAAAAGTATCGGGAATGGAATATTTCCACTGTTCCAGTCATATTAAAATCTATTTAATTGCAAACTCCAGGGTTTTAAAAATCGTATACCATTTATTTATTTAAAAAAAGATTCTCGGTCGTATCACAAGGTCTTGTCAAACTTGTTTAGTCGTTGAGAAAATGGAATTGACTCGAGAAAATTCAAGAGCGATGATTTATTATGACTTTTGAAGTGGTTTAACACAAAAACAGTGTGTTGACCGGATGATTTCTGCATTTGGTAATGAAGCCCCATCCAAAACCACAATTTATCGCTGGTTTCCTGAATTTCAACGTGGACGTGTCAAGCTCAGTGATGATCCCCGTCAAGGTCGTCCAAAAACTGCAGTCACCTAAGAAAACGTTGATGCTGTGCGTAAGCTGATTGAAGAAGATCGACATGTGATATACCGCGAAATTCAGGCAACTTTAGACATTGGCATGAGTCAAATACAAATAATCTTGCATGAACAATTAGGTGTAAAAAAGTTGTTTTCCCGATGGATACCGCATTCGCTCTGTGAAGAGCAAAAAGCGGCTCGCGTTACTTGGTGCGTCAGAACTCTCGGGAGATTACATGCAGGATCCTCAAATGCTGTATACAACATCGTATCAGGTGACGAATCATGGATATACGCGTACGAACCCGAAACAAAAAACCAGTCACGAGTTTGGGTGTTCGAAAATGAATTAAAGCCAACAAAAATTGTTCGTTCACGGAGTGTTGCAAAAAAAATGGTGGCCACGTTTGTCTCCAAAACCGGCCATGTTGCGACTATTCCTCTTGGGGGACAAAGAACGGTTAATGCAGATTAGTATGCTAGCATTTGTTTGCCACAGGTCGTTTCTGAACTCCGTAAAGAGAACTGCAACCGCCGCATCATCCTCCATCACGACAATGCGAGTTCTCACACCGCTCACTGAACAAAAGAGTTTTTAGAGCAAGAAAACATAGAATTATTAGTCCATCCGCCGTACAGCCCCGACCTAAGCCCTAATGATTTCTATACTTTCCCTAAAATAAAGAATAAATTGCGTGGTCAGAGATTTTCATCACCTGAAGAAGCTGTGGAAGCCTACAAAACGGCCATTTTGGAGACCCAAACTTCCGAATGCAATGGTTGCTTCAATGATTGGTTTCGTGTATGGAAAAATGTGTCAAAGTTCGCGGAGAATACTTTAAAAAGCAATAAATACATTTTTAAATAGTAATGTTGTTTCACTTCCTTGATTCCCGAAATTTTCAGTGCCGCCCTTGTACCCATTGCTGTATAGGATCAATTCCTGTATAGGATCTGCAACATGACCGCTTATAAAAACCCAACCAGTGAAGGCCAAGTTTATCCCAAGGGGATGCTAAACTGTTAACTGATATTGGACTCGCAACAAAATTAATGAAGATAATATTATAGAAGTTCACGATAAATATCAATTTTAGTAAGTTTTAGTGCCGAATCGTCACACAAAATTTGTTTTGTAATAAGTGATACCTACCATCAAGGTTTTCCGAGAACTTACTTCTATGTTTCTTTCCTTTTGTTTAGTCAGTGTCTGACTAGAAACACAAAAAACGTGAATCAACTGTCGTGTAAAGGTAAGACAGTAATTCAAAACAGTTTATTTTATAAGTCTATTATGATAGAATTGATGCAATTAAATGCATATTTTTTGCTTACATTTTTTTCAAATATTTTGCTACAATTATATCTGAAACTACTCTAATTGGAAATAAGAAAGCGCGTTCGCCTGTCACACGCTCGAAGAGAGCGCACGCAAACGTCCAACTTAGTTACGTATTTCGCAAATAAAAGTAACACCAAGCAACTGGACTTGATAAGTATTCCAGTTAATTGATTCATTGATAAAACGATCGATCGATAAAATATATCTATCAAATTACATCATTCCATTACTTGAAAATCTTATCAAAGTAAATTACATCTTGAATTCGAAGATTTAAGTGTTATCAAGAACAAACGTGGGATATCTAATGTTGCATGTATAGGACCAAAACACGTTTAATTTTATCAGGCAAACACACATTATCATCTATCATAAAATAACAATGGAAAATTAATTGAAGACGATATAGGTAGCGTTAATTTGCGCAACGTAAGGTACTGTCAAATTGAATGCGAGGCGTAGGCGAAACGTTACTTACAACTTCAAGTTACAGCGCATACGCTTCACAAATTCGTTAAATATCAGTCTTGTAAAATCAATTGAAGAACGACGATTTTTTTTTTTATCCACAACGAGGAAGCTCTTGGCCTGTATCTCACCTGATGGTAAGTGACGATCAGGCTGAAGGTGGAAGCGAGCTTCACCCGGAATCCTCAACCACGGAGGAACTGGCTATCTTACCTCTAACTGCCGGAACACAACAATGCTGTTAACATTGTTGTTTTGGCGACAGACTTAGGTAAGATGGTGGTAGCTAGCCAGGCGGACTTAGAACAAGCCCTACCACCAACCAAACCGAACAGAAAAATCTGCCCCCACTTGGAATCGAACCCGGGACCTCTGCGTCTGAAGCAGGTGGTCTTACCACTAGACCACAGAGGCGGTTAAGTAGATAAGTTTATTTCAAAGTAAGACAACTTTAGTTATTATTAGAGCTAGTATTACCAAAAGTATTTCGATATCCGGCTCGCCTAGCGCTTGCTTCGCGTTGATTTTGACTAAGGTTTTATAAATGTCGTGGCTATCGCTTTAATAATCTTGCCTCAAAAACTTGCTGCGGAATGCCGTTATTATAATTAGCTAATTATGAATCCACCCACATAGTAACACCTAATACTGGGTGATTGTCTCCTACATACATAATACGCGATGAACTCAGACTTCATTATATTCGGATATTAAAATAATGTGTTTTGAAATTTGATGTCCTATATTTTATGTTTTGATAGAAAAAGCATGATATCAGTTCGTGTTTTTCTGACATTGTGTTCCAAGACAAGCTCAGCGTGTATTCACAATTTATTGTTCTAATATCTATTCTAATTCTAGTTCTAATATCTGGACATCCGAGCTTTACCAGAAATGAGACCTTATTAATTACAATATTGAGTTGATTTTAGTCTACTTACTTACATCATGTTAATGTTATCGTTATTGTCTTTTCGACAAAGCTATTAATTTATTGCACGTATGGAATATTAAACGAACGGACACAAAGTGCAAACGGGCAATTCGCTAAAAGTTATACAATCATAAAATAGTAATGGACAATAAAGCTACGGCGTAAAAATTTAATTGTCTATGACAACCGTATGAAGTTGTAAACGCAAGTCATAGGTGGTTAATAAATTCATCAATGATGTGTTCACTGCGGGCTAGAATTAGCGAGTGGTTAAGAGTTCGCTGGCATATTATTACGCACTAGTACTAGCACTAGCACAATGCGATTATCGCAAACAATGCTCCGTTATGATGTACGATAATGACTGACAGTTAGACGTGGTAGGGTTGCCAGGTCCAAAAACACAGAAGCCAGACTCTGTGCTTAATTTGGCCGGACATTTTACCCTAACGTACCCCAGGGCTTGAATTCGCGGAAAATATTCTTTATTTATATGTTTTTTTTTTCTAACTAAAGAGTTGTTTATTTTGTTTAGTTTGCACATAAGGCCCTGCAGCCACGTAAAAAGACTCGTCCGTAAAAAGCCAAACATAGCCGGACACCTGGCAACCCTAGACGTGGTTGCTTACTCTACACGTGGATACGTCCGTTGTATCACACAGCTACTGAGCACTACTAGACGCAAGATAACAAAAAATAATGAGTATGTACCCTAAATATTAGCATGTATGAATGAAACCCCAGGTCAATGATTTACATAGTTAACAATGCAAGGATCAACTCAAAGATTACAATCACAAAAGTATAAAAGAAGTACGATTCGACAGTGGTTAGGCCAGTTACACACCGCGATATTTTGCAGCGATTAAAAACGCGCTAGTGTAGTCTGTAGTTTAAATGCAGAAGTTATTATGAATAACAAAAATATACTTAGAAGTCATAATTAAAACGGTTTAGCACTAAAACTAGCTCCGTTGTGGCTGCTGATGAGTGAGTGATTAAATCACGTATGTACACATGACTGCAGTTGCATTTCTAAAGACTACAGCCACTGTAAAGTGACTGAATCACAACGTGTAGATGGCCTTAGTGACCTAGTAGATATAAAGTTTTATTACAATATTTTACCCTGATCATCCGATGTTTAAACACATACGTAAATCTCAACTGATTGTTAAATTGATAAATTATTCATCGAATGTAAATATGTTGGAAATGATACATCCTCATGCATCATCATGCTTAACTCCTTAGTCTCGATACGCAGCAGCGGAAATTAACCGTCACAGATAATGTTGCCAGTTTACTGAAACTCAGTACTCGGGGCAAAGAGTAGAAAATAAATCAGGACTTTAAGTTTCATAATATCTGAATTGCTTTTTTTCAAATGGCCAGTTATTGACTTTTTAAAAACGTTTCGTTGTATTTTCACTTTTTTCTTTTATTTGTGCTTATTAAAATTTGATGTTTTTTCAGATTCAAATTCAAATAGTTTATTCAGTACATAGGCCCTTTATAGGGCACTTATACACGTCACACGTGAGTTACGATTACTCAGAAATAGGGCCATTTCGTGTCCCCATCAAGGGTAAATTGGGTCCCGCGGAAACGGGACACCGCTTAGCCATTCTACAGTAAAGAGTTGTGATGGGGTTATTTTTCAACAAAAAAGTCAAAGCTTGATATGCTGTCCTTATTTATTAATATGCGTGTGTAACGGTAAGGAGTAACTCACCGGGTTAAAGTATGTGATGCCCATCTTCTTCAGCATCGGAATGGCTATGTCCGATCTCCAAGTGGTGGGGTTGCAGGAGCCTCCCAGGAACACCTCGTACGGCGGCGGGGACGCCTCGCTGCCTGCGCAACGCAACAAGTCAACCATATGCCTCACAAAAACATAATCTACGAAAGGTGTAATGGATTTTGCACTTTCAATCTTTAGTGTAAGTTAAAAACGCATTGAGGAATTTGCTTAAGTATGTTGGTATGACACGTTCCAAAAGATATAAGTGCGTAATGGATTTGGAAGTTTGAATTATCTTTAGGGTAGGGTTGAAAATGCATTGATTTGAGATTCTGTGGTGGTATGATATGTCCAAACAATGAAACGATACTCAAAAGGGCAATAGCAAATATATGAGGTTTTTAATCGTATGGGATGTAGCTGCTGAGGACTCGGGTTCAACCCTGGTGTCAGATCTATTGACCTGCAATAGTATAGTCTTACATGGCTCAATCAGGAATCATACTTCTAATCAGATAATCAAATTGATTCAAGCCAGCACTACCTTACTTAACCATATATAAATACTAACGGGTATAAATATTGCCTGGGAATCGAACCCAGAACCTTTGAGTCAAGAAAGTCTACTACTTAAATGAATGTTCACATGTTCGCCATATCCTGTGATTATACAAATTGATGCACATTTAAAATGACCTAAGACGTAGCAGACGTAGCAACAAAGCCTTCATAAGAGTATCGTATCAATATTCGAGTGATTATCTAACAAATCACAAGATTTATCAACTACATCAACATTCAGTGTTCAGATTAAGGCCCCTAATCCGACTTTAATGGTCACGTTATGCTAATTTACACAACCATTTGTCATTATAATGTTCTTTACATTGCTATTAGATATATGGTGATATGAGAAACATGTTTACACAGTTTGAATATAATAAATAAAGTGTAGGAGTTGCGACGGCCAGCAACTATCTGATTCTATAGACACATCTTATCACGTGTGTGTAGACCGAAACCCACGCATTTCATACTACCACCATGCCTAATGCCTCCAGTCTACGTCAATACTACGTATGAATAATTCCTCGGTTACTAGCGTAGTGAGGAAAGAGAAAACGCATTCGCATTCTAGAGCACCGACTTAAACTCGGTCATGAAATACGAGCGTCAAGAAGACGTTAAGAAATAATACTGTCATGAAGGATTCCTCAACCGCAAGTACACTGAATAGTTGACCTTATTTCTAAGATGGAATCATGGCACGCAAAAGAAGAATAGTTAATTGCTAACAATTGTAGTGCGACCGAGCACGCAACTGTGCGTGAGCTGTAACCGCGGTTTGACAGGGCACGATTACCAGTATCACTTCTCAGCTATGATGGATGGCTATCAATACAACAACGGCTGGCGCTTACCTCGAATATAATAATGAGGCATCACAAAGTGTGCTTATTTTTTTAAGACGGACACAAATATAAAAGATCAAGCTATTAATAGCAGTGACTAATAATACACCTTGGTTTAGAAAGCATCACGTTAATCCGAGTACCTACTGTGGTTCGTTCAACCAGCAGCACTCATCGTTAATGATTGATGTGTATCGGCGGCGTGGGCAGCACGTCCGCTGGGCTTTGTACCACTTACCGACACCCACTTATCAACCGATGGTTCCGTAAATAGGCAAAAAACTTGTGCTTACATTAACGACGAAGGTCTACACGCCAGGCATTCATAAATCTAGGACAACAAGCACCTACTACACTTAAATATAATTAGAGAAAGAAAATAACTCATTCATGCATCACTTAACGTAGCCAACACAATCCAATTCGGGAACCTCATTCAATGCCAAAGCGAAAACGTAAACAGAGGTGATCAACAAACGCACTGCACATCCCCTTCCTCCGCTTGCACTAACGCACATTACAAATCCAAACAACGTCCACATATTTACTAATTTCTTGTGATCTTTACGACACCGAACATTTGCCAAAATCCATAGTAATCGGCCAGCACATTTCTCACTTTTGATAAAATTAAGAGTGGGTTTCGTGAATTAATGGTTGTTTATGTTGAGATGAAAGTTGCTTTTGAGAACGACGGAACACTGTTGGACGCACTTATAATATTTACAATATTTAGAGACGCACAGGGCACTATCATAGTAGTCGGCGGCATGTTTGCGGATGTAGGAACGAGGCGTGCAGCCAGCGATCTGCGGCTCCGCACGCTGTCCACGGTCGAACGGTCGACGGCCAACTGGCGCCCGCGCAGCGCAACACTACATCCAAATACTAGCCAATTCCGCATTTTAAATTCCGTTATTCCTAAAGCAAATGCAAAGTCTTCGCCATTCAGAATATTATGGTGATGCCAAGGCTTCCGATCACCCATGAACCTGTTGTGTGTTTAATACAATCAAAGTGTCATTGAATGATTGTGACACATATCTGATACGATTAATGAAAGTGCAAATCTGAACATGTCTGATTTATTGTTCCTTGCGAATTAACTGGCGGTGTAACGTTAACCCACTTAAAGTAAAAAGCGGATTGACTTAACGGTTCATGTTCATATCAATCTTTTGTCCCTTGTTATTAGCGCGTCTCAGAAAAACAACAATATTTATAAATAACATTTTAAAAGAACGAGTCAAGAAACCAACAGCAACTATTTGTCATTTATTAATCTGTGATAATTGGGAAAAAGAATGTGGAGATATTTATTGACGTATTTTCTTAAGTAAAGTTAGTGTCTAATAATTTTAGATCACCCCATAACTACTATCGTGACAAACATTTATTTAAGGTCGATCAAAAGTGTGTACACTGAAGACTTTTTTACTTGAAGGGATTCACAAATATGGATAGGTTCGATTCGTTTAGTCGAAACCAGTTTCAAAGTAAAGACAAAGCGTTGTTTTGATGATGTCGCTTTACGGAAGTTCGCTAAAGATAAGGAAGTAAGGCACGTGTTTATAGCACAATCATTTGCAGATGTTTTTTGTGTTCACGTTTGTCGTATATATGCATTAATATATTTCTATGTTCAAATTGATCGACGTGGAGAAGAAGCGTGAACATCGCACCGATACTTCCGTGCTCCGTTTATAGTTCGCGCGGAAGACTATGGGAAGGACGATTGGCATATTTATTCACTTTATCGTGTACAGCCCGCCTTATAAGATCTATGGAATCACAAGATCGGTGATTTAAGTAAATGCCATCAAACATATCCTTATTGTCATGAGTCGACGCAAATTCTGAGTAATCATTTTATATTTCGTGTAAATCAGGCTCAGCATCTATTAAGTTGGATCTGTTTTTATACCTGTAACTATTCTTACTCGTTAGTCAGACACACCGGGGGATTGACGCAAATTCATCTCGAGGCAGCGAGTGCAAAATCCAACGACTATACAATATTATTACATAAGTTCGAAGGGGCAATTAAAAACGAGTGATGACCGTACACCCTGCGAATGTACTACGAGCGTGAGCACAATCACACCGCATACAACGTGACTGCAAAATATATTCATCACTGTAATGAATAAGCTTTAGAATAGAATAGTAAATCAGTGCAACTATATTTACTGTAAGAAGATACTAATAATACTATTAGGTATTGTCGTTTTGGCAGTGATTTTAGGACAAGGATTATGACGGCGGCCAGTTTCCGAAACAGCATGCCAAGTATTGTTTACGTGACTACCAGAAACTCACATCTTGTTTATTGTTTAACCTACTTCAGGATTTTCAGCTGTAAAAGAATTTGACTTTTTCAAGAATGGTGTGTTCGGAGGGAGTGTCAGAAGTTCAACGTTAGCGTGGAGACGACAGACGTAGCGTGGGAAGTGGCCATCGACGACACTGAACTATACACTCGCGTAAAGTGAACGTATAGAGCGCATCGCCGCATCGTATCTGCCGGGACTGCCGCCGAGTATTTCTGGATTGGTACCGTGCGGAAAGTTTAGTCACGATTTGTTTGATTGCGGGACGCCGTCTCCGATCGACCTTCCGCACTGCGAAATAAATGGAAACTTCACGTCCTCAGACAACGGAGAAATATACAAATATACAACCACGGAAGCAAACCGCAGCGCGGAATTGTCACATACTTTTAGAGGCCATAAAATGTTTATACAATCTAAATATTTACGAGCGCTTTCGAGTTTCTTTTAGTAGCTGAAGATTTTTTTCTTACCGTTTATTTGTTTAATAGTTTCCTTCTCCCGAAGCTCCTTGTCGGCGTTCCACACCGGCGACTCGGGTTTGTTCGATGTCCTGCGAATGAAAACTGAAATTAGAAACAAAACACAAACGTTGTGAAAATGAAACGTGCGTAGGCGTAAGTAACGAGTTTGCAAATACATGTTTTTTGCGTCGTGAAAATTAGTGCATGTATTATACGATTCAGTGTATGACAAACATTCTCGTTGTGTGGCATTAAGGGGTCAACGCTCGCGCCAGCGGTAGTGGTAGCACCACCAGGAGTCCTCGGTTCAAGACCGGGTAAACGGCTGAACATTCTCGCGTCATCGGCGAAATTATACTGATTCATTTGGTGACTATAACTTACAGAGAACGCGAAGGGCGTTTGCGTTTATTACACCTAACAATACCGTGTTAAAATTCACATGAACGTAGGAGTGACAGTCGTCGTCGCGTCTGTCCGGCCGAGGGTATTTACAGTAAATTATGTTTCCGTTTATCAACTTGTCAGGTTCGGAACACGCATCGCAATTTGTACATCTATTACGAATACCGGTTATGATGATTTTAATACAAAAAGGTTTGCTCATACAGCTAAACAATAAAACGTAGTTACAGATTAAACGACATAATTATATAAGTTGTTTTGCTTCCCGGTTATGTAGATGACGTAATCGGCGTCACGAACCCGTGATATTCAGGACACGTTCTCGACATCTAACGTCGTGAACATGGCAATATTAAACCTCAATATTAATTATAATAGCGGGTTATTAAAACAAGTGAAGTCAAAGATGTATACCGATAAAACAGATTAAGTTTATATGTAGCCAATTGATTATTTTAATTAGTACGTAGATAAGAAATACTCATTTAAAAGAGGTTAATTTGTATGTCTACGTCAATAAGTTTGATTAGAATTTGAAACTAGCTTACTGAACCTTGCAGTATTCCCTAGTAATTGAGTAGATTTCCTATTGAAAAAGTATAAAAAATTGAAAAAACAACTATGAATAATCAAGTAGTCGATAACCAGTTTCAGTGCGTTATGAACATTTAACAAAACTAAACACAATAATCGTTAGGGTGCATACTCACTGCCTGGCCTGTCTCGAGCACCGGCGCAGCTCGGCAGCGAACACGCAGAATTCGCCGAACGTGAGCGTCAGCGATTTCCGACGAGCACATTGCCGCGCGCATACCAGCATCTCGAACACTGCAACGAACATTCTCATTAGAATTAAGAAACTCATTAGACATATTAATTAGCTTAAGTTCGGAAACGTGTAGATTTTCAGTAACTTAAAGGTAAAATTTCAGTAACCTAAAGGTAAGTTTTCAGTAAACGAAAGGTTAATTTTTAGTAACCGAAAGGTAACCCGTGAAAAAGGAATATTCGTGGACATCGTTTATTTTGATACGCAGATGAAGCAAATATGTACAAAGACAGTGGATGGGAAGAAACGGTAGGGTTTGAGTCAAGTGAATGATGTGCCAATCTTGGTAGCATCCAACTAACAGACTATAGTGATCAATAAACAGAAAAATATCACGAGTTCAACCGGAAAACCGATCATAGTCGAATAAGGTGAATGACGCAAAATAAAAGTTTGTAAACAAATGTATAAAAAGTCAACACGTAGAGGTTACAAAACAACTCGACAATTAAAAACAAACGTCATTAAAATTTGAACTTTGTAGTTTTTAAGAATAAGAATTAGCATAAGTACTTATTAGTAAAATAATATGAGTAAAAGACAAAGTGTTTCTTAATTAACGTGTACAATTGACTCACCACAGTTGAAATAACAAAGATCGTGCAGTAAAAAATGAATCAATAATTTTAACGGTTATTTCGGCATGAAAGAAACAGTTAATTTACTGTCTGGGAGAACTTAATCAAAAAAGCGTATCGAAAAAACAACAAATCGCATGTCTTACAAAAAGTGTGGACTATGGAGCCATGCAGGGAGATAATTAAAATACAATTTTAAATTCGTTACTGCTACACAGACCTCGAAACGTATTTATTTGGAAGAATGGACAAGGTTTTCTAAACAATGCACTCTCGATTTATAATCGAGTCAATCACTGGTATACTTTGGTTCAATAAGTGTTCTTAAAGTAGTAGCTGTGGTAGTAGGTCAAACAATCTGAAGACTTATAATATTCTAATATTATTATCGCAATACAATACATTCATTCAATTTTGAATTAGAGTGCAAATTCTCAAAAGTACGCCTCTTGCTTCGGGCGAAATTTCGATTGAATATTGGTTCTCAGAAAGTCGTCGAGCATTTACTCACTATGTAACTTTCTTTTAATCTCTCTTTGCCAGTTAAAACACTTTTAAAATCTTTCAAAGAAGCTTTTTTTTTCGTTATTATTAAGATCCGTTTACGTTGCTAATAAATTAACTGCCATTATCAGATCCAGTTTTTTCAACACGCCCTAGGTTTTTTCACATTTGTCTACAGATCCCTATAGCAGTTGTTGATCAAATCAGGTGTCAGGCAGGAGTTAAATACAGGCAAGTAGCAATAACGATGAGATTAATGTTTACGAGTAGGCGCACGAGCAACAAAGACAATTAACAAACCGCTTCACGAGTCGTACGTACGTTAATCAACAAGTTCATAGTGAAATAAAAATAGAGAACAATAAGATGGAGCGTAGATAGAGTAGCGTAACAACGTAATAATTGTCACCATACTATGAAGATTTATGTTTGAGCATTGTATCGTAAAATGAGGCTGAATCGAATGCGATATTGTTTCATTGTAACACATTGGTTATAAATTCTGAATATTGCAATGTTGAGATGCAAGAAATATTCATATTGCCACTATTTTACTTCCTTTTCACAAGAAAAGTTTTTTTAGTATCACAACTTCTGGGTGTTAATATTTAGTATACGAGATTCATTGAAAAAAGCATGGAATACAAATTTTCAGTACGGTATCACTAAATTTTCATGGTGAAAATGAATGAGCTTTTCATTACAAAAAGTCGTAATACCTTCAACTAACGTTAAGTTAAAAATAAACCTTGTAACAGAATCTGCTGATAACTTTTCTTTTGTCTATTGTTTCTTCGTTTCGATCTTGGTGGTGAACTCACCGTTGGTCATCAGCCCAAGTGAGCAATGAGGTGAGATCACGCCGGGTCGCACGCGCAACACCTGTCGCAATCGGCAACAATACTCTAATACTACCAATGATAACGGTGTAGAGACGCGTCCGAAAATACACCATTAATCTATAGTCACATTCGCATTACATCGGTTACTAATTACATAATTGTACGACCAAAATAAACGTTACACAAACAGGAAACCATACTATTGCATGAATAACAAAGCTGTTACTCTATCTCAAATACAATAACAGTATTGAAGTAATCCTAGGGCTCAGCATGTTGTAATCATTTCCAGTTCCAACAATGATTGAATGTCAAAGGTTCCTTTATTATGTAACCAAAATCAATGTGACGTGTAGAAGATGAAATCAGCTAAGTGCGGAAATTTTAACAGTTAGGTACATAGAGATGACAATGACATGTTAGTTTAAGAAACAATAATTAGCAACATGTCTCTGCTTATTATTATTGAAATAAATAAAATAATATGGAATAGTTTTGAAGTTGTCTTTACACAAATCATTATAGTACATACAATAAGAGGTATGTTTGAAGATACTAAATCATATTTACTACAAACGTAACTACGACGTAGTTCGTAGCTACATAAAGACACGTCAGAGAAACAATACAAATAAATATGATTATTAACATTTACTAGCCTAGCACTGGCGGTCAGGACAAAGAATACTGTAAGCTTTATAATTGGAATTACGATCGAATATGACTTCATACTTCCACATCGGCGTCTTTGTGTCTGGCGGCGATGACATGAAAAACTATGAACTAATAAATCTATGCCTTCTACTATTATTCAGTGCTTTAGTCATATTTAATCACACTAAACAGTTTGTAGCGGAAAACTCAGGAGAATTAAATTTTAATTGCAATAAAATAATTAATGTCGAGGTTTTATTATTATTAAACAATTAATGACTAGGAAGAAAATATAAAATACCTAGGGAATGACTACGAAAACTGTTCCTTTGGCACATCTTACTTTGTTTGCATTGAAATCTAAGATTTCCTTATAAGTTTTAGTTAATCAGTATCAGATTTAATTAAAAACTGAAAATAAAATTGAAATTGATAACTTTTATGGAAACGGGCGAAAAGATCTAACCGTGAACAATAAAAACAAAGCAGGTTATTACCTGCTTATTAAGTATAACCATATCATCAATTAACAAGACATAAACAGGTAGACAACAGACATCCTCACAAAAGACAATACCATAAAGTGGTTAATGAACGTTAGCGGTTATTAACTAAATGATCCGTGGGTCGAATGCAGGCGCGTTATTTACGAGCGGTAAATAAACAAAGAGGCGTAACCTACGCACGGGCCCGTAAATTGTTTTATATGACAGAGAGCAATCGGCCAATGGATTGTGCTTTTAGATACAATCGCCGCTTCATTGACCGTGTGTGCTGGGTTTAGACAATCAGTGGTCCCATTGTTGTGACACGCCTTGAACTTTCGCGTTGCTTGTTTCAGAGGGCATGTAGAGCGGTCGGCCCGATTGAGCTAGCCACACGCTTGAGTAGCTCATAAAGTGTGACAACAGAGTTGTGACCCCAGTTGTTACAACCACATGAATTTAGTAAAAGATCAAAGCACCAGTGGCAAAATGTGCCGAGTACAACTGAACCAATTACCGCAAATGATTTATTGCGGACTTACAAAACTAATAACACCATAATCGAAAAAGAAAACTTAAACTTTTTAATTAGTAGTAGTTAAAAATGTGGTTAAATTATTATTCATTATTTATAACTTTATGGTCTAGTAACTAATCTATAGCAAGAAATATCTACTCATTGATAACCATCAATGAGTAGAGATTTCGTTTCGTTTGAAGTTTCCAACAGTGTTTATGATTTTTAAACGATAACCTATATCGTCACGATGAATGGGGGTCTATTAATCATCAAGACAGTCAGCAAAACAAAATTCCCCGGTTTAATTTATATAATACAGAAAAGATAAAATTGTCAGTGTTTAATCAAACCTAGTGTGTTATTAAAGGCAGTTTACTGTTGATTCTTAGATCGCAGATAACGTACAAAATGCAATAAATTGTTATCTGTGCAATGCAACAGTTGCAATGTATGATTGCTATTAGTTAGAAGTAATTTACGACATGCGGAACCGACATGCGTAATTTTTAATAGCGTATTGACATTTAGGTAGGTACTGTTGATTCAGCCTGACGGGTGAAGATGACGTAAGCCTTTTATCGTTCATTCAATCGAATGAGACATTCATCAAGCCACATCGAATGAAGTCCATTCCCTTTGGATTGGAAGTAGAAGCTAGTACGGAGTTCGTTCCAGTATAAGATTAACTACATCATACATAGCTGCTTGGTTTATAGAGATACCGAAAAGCTATTCACTTGTAATACTTTTATATGCATACTAATGAGTAGATATTGCTAGACCTTAATTAAAAAAGATAACGATTATGTAGGATTGCAAAATTAGCTATGCAAAAGAAACAGACAGTGAACGCAGTAAATGCATAGAGATAGAAGTGAAAACATATCAACAGTCGTATCAGTATCAACTTAAAATACATCAAATATTTATATGTAGTAACTGACACGGTATATGTGACTGAAGATCACGTTCACGTACCATGTATTTTCTGGAAGTTTTCCATGAAGTATTAAAGTAATAAAATGTTTTATTCATGTAGCAACCCTTCGTTCGGGGAGTTTTATTTTGATTGCAAATAAGCAAAAGTTGAAGGCTTCTCAGTTCAAGGGCAGATTTCATCTTGTATACGAAGTATACGAGAATTGATTTTTTTATTTGGGTATTGTATAAAAGAGATTTTTTACAGGTTGGTAGAAACTTGAACCGTGAGCTCAAACCATGATTTTAGTTAAACCAGTGATTTTTCCCGAATCATGAATAAAGTCTATAAAAATACACCACCGGAATGGTGAAAAACTACAAACAAGTATGACTTTAATCATATAGGTACGACAGTTATGGACAATCATAATTATTTTCATTTTGCCGACTCGTTAACCAAAATTTACCTTAATTAGAAAATAGTATAATCTAGTCGCTTCTCGACAATAATTCTATACTTATACGTTGTATACTTAATGATTTAATTCATTGCATATACGTGGACGTGGCCACAGAGAACATTTTTCGTTATCACCAGCTTAGCTTACATCATGGTTCGATAAAATGAGTTTAACCGCGATGTCTGTATCGAATACAAACAACTACACTTATTTGTCAAATATAAACTTATAAACGAATGATTTCGTAATAACTATGAATCTTCAGCCACCGAATTTTCATAATTAACGAAATTATGCCCCATAAAATAAACATCTTTCACGATTCTTTATGTCTGTACTGTAACGTATGCGGTATTGTAATATTTTTCTTGTCTTTAAAAATGCAACCAAACTGAATACTGTACACCCGAGCAGTTTGTTACATGCTCATTCGTAAAATAAGCAGAAAACTAGATATAGACAAAAAGCTTTATCAATAGTTAAAACGCCCGTATTCACAAAAGATGCTTGCTTATGTGAAGCAGCAGAATATCGAACGCACAGCATTGAATAGAGCTCTGTGATTGATTCATGTGTTACCCTGTGCGTCCACGCGCACTGTGAGACCTCATAGTAATGTTTGTGAATACGGGCGTAAGATATCAATTAAGTAAAATAAGTCTCTACGTAAAGCTGTTAATGTGTGTTAATTTGCTGACTTAACTTTCACTAATTAAAGGCTTATTTATATCACTTATTTGTATTTATTATTTTAGACTAATAAAAATGATAATGTTTTTCTTTAATCGATATTACGAAGTTTATAAGTGAGGTTTGTTTAAAGAGATTATTAAAAAGTATTGTATCTTGACTTGAAGCTTAGAGCTTGAGCTTTAGATAAACATTTTTTTATAGCTGGGCAACAATAGTCATGGTGTTTGCTGGCTACAGATCTATCGGTCGCACTCTAGATTGTTCTACGTCTTTCCAGAATACTATCGTCTTTTTTAAAAGAAATGAAAAAGAAATAAGTCTTACCCTGGGTCTTAGTGGGGTAGAGTTCTATGTCGTTGAAAAGGCTCTGAATGCGGTCGGCGGGCGCCGGCTGGTCGGGGGGGCCGACGCGGCTGCCCCACGCACTCGCCACTTCCCTGTGGACAATGAGAAAACACTTTTAAATATAAGTAATTAAGTTACAATTTACAAAGTTATCGGAAAAATTCCCCAAACAAACGTTAAAGAATAACTATAAAGAAAGTTTCTGGACAAATTGAAAACCTGGTTCTTTTTTTGAAGTCGGTTAAAAAGTAGAATATTGGTTTGAAAAAAGTCCTAAATAAGGTGACATTCAAGCCAAAAAATCAAGGATTAGAACTTAGACACGGACACTATCAAGTTCAACTTGTATTGAGATCCAAGACAGAGAGATAAATATCAACATCTTGCAAACTGTAAAGATGAATCAAACACTTAAAAAAATCAATAACAAAATCTTCTAACAGATGTAAAAAAAAAATTGGCAGATTTACAAAAAAAAAAAGAATACGGCAACTACGTATAAAAAGTTCATTGCCACACGATCCCAACTTACATAGGCTCACTGTTCGCACATGTGAAACTAATATAAATGCGAGCCATTTGAATCACTGTCGGAGATAAAACGTATCGCTTAGACATGGAGTCCAGCTACAACTGAAATAGAAAGATATGGCTGCCCTTTAAATATTAGTGAAACAGATAGGTAGCACCGATCGGGTGTCGTGGTGCGTTACGCGCTAGCACGCATGAGCTATGCGACAGGCATATTTCTGACTAACCTTTTGGGGTAGGTTAGGTAGCTTACAGCTATAGTGTTTTGTTTTTTCTCATTAAATGTCAAACCACAAAATGGCCGGTTGGTGGCCTATGTTCAGCAGTAACTCCTATGGCTGAAATGATTATGATGATGATCATGATGTCAAACCAACCTATTTGAATGTAAACCTGTGAGGAACATTTTCATTCTAAGAATGAAGGTAACTTTATGAACAATTTTGTTCGAGAAGGAAATTAAAATTACAGATACGAAGTGTTAAATTTTGTGTGTCATAAACATCATTACAGTCTGGAAATTACTGTACAGTAGTAATATTTATTATAGTGTAGTAATGTTTATATGTCAACTGGTTTATTTACCTAACCCACGAATTTATTTATGAGGATATCACAGAAGTACGAGTAGGTAGGTTTACCTAATCACCAATAATAATATAACTTATCTCGGAACATATTTGCATGATTATTTATGTTTAAACAGTGGCAATCATAAAAGAAAATATTTTTACTCATATCGATGGTTCCAGAATCCAGATATTAATTACAATTAGATCATATAAACAAATAAACAAACGACTTCACATCTATCATATAAAATATGTAATGTGCAATAGATAACGATGGAGGTGTCACACAAAAAGGTAGGCAATTATGGGTACTTTTAACAATGACGCATCGGTGATGTGATCGTTGATATTAGAAAAAATCAATAAACTACGAGTACATTAAATAGATATCAGTAATTAATGATACCTACGTAATGTTTATATTACACCGCAACAGAATACCTAATCAAATCAAACAATACCTAATTAACACTAAAACTAGTTATTACTAGAGTCTTCTGTTGTAACAAGAAGCCGTGAACCTTCTATATTTTCCTAAGTCAATACCTTAGTCAGAATTTGAATATTTTAACTGCGCTTTTAAAAAGCTCTCATATCTACCTACGCGTCTTAGTATAAATGTAAGTTTCAGTACAACATGCATGAGCCCGAGCATGATACTGACAAAAAGCACATTATGGTAATTGGACATTATGCGCTTACAGCCGCTTTAAAAGTTTTCAAGTTTTAGGTAAGTAGTACCCCCTTTTTCAGTGGACCAAAAACCTCAAGAAAGGTGCTGGACGAAGAAAGCAGAAGCTCGTGCTTCATGGCGTTTCTTGGATGAGGCTTTATTTCAGCAGTAGACTGACATAGACATGATGAATGCACCATGTTCAGTTTCAAGGAACCAAAAGTTTATTTTTAGTATCAAATTAGTGTGAATCAGTGTGTGAAATGCTTATATGAATGGAACCAATATTTACTTTCATATCGCACGGTATGGAATTTGCAGACATGCATTTCCGGACATTGCTAGACTAAATACACCTACCGGCAGACGCTATCGTGTTACAGCGGCGTGAACTGAATGTAGTCCCCGTATCAGAAAATGACAATTTTGCCATAGAAGTTTTAGCTCTAGCACTTTGGTATAAGGTGCAAATTTAATTGATGAAATTGAACACTTCATGGTAGGTTGATGTGCTGGCAATCGTACCTGTGAATGGGGCATATTCTCACGTGAATGGACGCTTCGCGTTATCTTATTACATACGCAGAATGCCAAACGTGTAGCATGTTTGTCGAATGTGAGTAATAGTTGTTATGTTTTTGACGCTGAATTCATTGAAGAAGATGTTGATCTTCTTATTCACGAATTAGATAAAATATTGCGTAGTTAAATGGTAAACTTGTTGATGGCCTAATTGCTTAATTCTTTTGTTTACTCGTAAATATGCGATAAATCCTTCTAGGAAGCACAAACTAGAAGTAGTTAATAAACATTACAACTATTAAAACTAATAGAGCTTTCAAAAACCTTTTAATTTTCCACAAACAAAGCGATGATCAATTAAATCTTTCTAACAAAAAGATTCTACTGATTAACAAACAAAAAATATTGAGGAAGAGTGTTTCTTTCCGGCTTATCAAACAATAAAATTGAATTAAGTAAGTAAGTACCTACTTCGTATAAAAAAATTAGAAACGAATGCAGACAGGAAAACGTTGCTGCAAAATTAATAACAGGGTTTAATTAATGAGTAATTTACCATACCTACTACAGAAGCTGATTACTGTAATATAATTTCAGCAAAAACGGGAATGAATTACGCTGACTATTTTCATTTGTCGATACCCCGGGGTTTTCTAATTCTATAAATATGCCATTCATAGAATGTATTATGCACCATGTGCGTATTCATGTATGAATCAATAGAGTATCCACCGGTGTTAGGTAGGATCATAAACAATATTATTTGTAATTGCTTATATTTTGTTTTTAATATCAATCTTGGGATTAATCAAGCTGTTGTTTTTTCATAAATGTATGTTCACGTCCGCGAAACGCAATTCTTTGCAAAAAGACATCAACGGGCTCTCTTTAGCGACGAATTTTTTTACATCAAAAAACATATGTTTTACATAGCACATATTTACTATGGCGTTGCACTTCTAAGGCGTTGTATGTAGTTATGATAGGTGCTCTCTTTACAAAAATGACTAGTGTGTTATCGACTTTACATACAACAGCGACTTATATTTATCAGGCGGACCTTGACATCGCCCATAATCCCTTTAGAATATTCTACTTTTTCAGTGCAATTATACTTAGGCCCGATTCGACCAAACTTTTATCCGAAAACTAGTTTCAGTATGGGAAATATGTCAAAATGATAAGTTTATTCTGAGATTTATTTACTCGTTTGGTCGAATCCACTCTTAGTCGTTTATGTGCCGTGGTTTGTAACAAACCATACAATTTCATTTAGGAAAAAAACATTGTACTTATTCCTCACCGACATCTATCACTGTGTCCAAATTTCAAGCAATCACACACACTAACACTATTGGCTTTTGCACAAAACTTCAAAACACAATTGTTACACATTATAACAACACACATAGCTATAATTTTCATTACTTTTAATAAGTTAGTCATTCGATACGACTGGTGTAGTGCTTCCCTGTGTTCCCACTAAGGCACTGACTCAGTTAGCTTGTTAAAATCAGTAATTTACTTGTGTGTGTTTATTAATGTTTATGTTTTACCCAAAGAGTAGTTCAATAAGGTATGACGTGAATAGGAGACAGGGCACACATGATATGACCGGATCACCGGAGTGATAACCTCGGGCGCCGGACGGGTATTCGATCATCGCAGAAAAGAACTTGCTATGATTGTCACAAACATCTATGATACAATATACGTACGTTTTTAATAAGAAAAAAACTTTAGAAAACTATTTCGGGAAAAAAATAACATAAAATATAAACGCCTGAACGCCTACAAACAGAGAAGTAAGATAGAAATAGAATAGGGTTGAATTAAAATATTGTATTATGGTGTTACCATTTCATCGTCGAAATGTTTTGCTGCTACTTAGTTTGTTATTTCCTTAATGAGTTTCGTTTATACTAACAGGATCAGTAAGTAGCGTAAAGTAATCATACGAAATTTCATAAACTCAAAATCAAACATTTTATTTGCCATTAAGTAGGGTACAGGTACAGATGGAATACAGGAAAAAGTTCATTAACCTACTTAGCCAATTACAAATTGCATGCAAATATCATGAAGCAATTTCGTATCATAATCGGACAGTCTATTAAAGATCACGTCCAAAGTATATCTAATCCCAAATAGGTATGTAGAGCTATATTTGATAAGTAATATAATTATGTATTTTCATAACGTTCAACGTGTGTGTAAGGAACCATAGAGTAATTGAAATAGACATCTAATGTTATTGTTTTTATGGTTTATCAAGGCTGTTTTAAGCTGATCGATAAAGTTCGAGCTCGTGACTCATTGATCAAAATAATATCTTGTCCTGTTGGTAAAGGTCTGTGCTTATAGACTACGCAGTAAATGTTGAATATTGAAAACGTTATAGTTAATATTATGTATTGTATATTAAAAGGGATGATTTCATATCGCGTTGAGGATAGCCATCGATGTTATTTATTAAGGAAAAGGAAATAACATACGGTCACTGGTATTAATTATGCAAAACTTAAATAGTTTTAACAGTACAATAACAACAAAACCCTTTTTTTCAGGAAGTTAGCTTTATTGTTACAGAAATATAATGAATAGTCTTATTAACTAGATATTAATTGTCAAGACTTCATGAAAAAGAAAGTGCCTAAATGAATTAAATTGTATTTAGGCAGTTTTTCGTTATGAAAATTCTTTGTGAAGAGGGTTCTGATTATATTCTGAGTAGATTCTATGTTAAATTATGTAAGTTTCTCATCATGTACTTATTTAATTTAAATCTGTTATTAAATTATTTGAAATTCACGTTAAAATACCGGATGGTCCAACAAGAAACGATTTATGACTAACACGGTTTTTTTTTTCCTTTTCTTAGAAAAAAATGGGAGTCACCGGTATCTTCATCATGTAGGTAATTGTTGGTTGCTGTCGATGATTGAGTGACATGAACATGACTGATGAGTCCGGATTGTAATGATTCAAGTAAACTGGGTTAATTACACTGTAAATTATTTCAGAGCAGTCAGCCGGAAGACATCAAGCTCTCTGACTTCTGATCGGGTAGTCATGCGGTTACTAACGCGTTATTTTTGCCCTTATGACTGTTGATTGTGAACATTTCCTTATTCGGTGACAGCGCATATTTTATGTTGTTTATTGTCGTCAGAAAACATTATGAAATACTACATGTGTTTTTCTCACGCGAAATATCCAGTAAAGTTTTATCAAGATACAAAAACAAGGTTATCATCTCGAGTACCTGCTTGAAATTAATATTTGTATTGCTCTGCCTGACACAATAATGCCAATCACTTTTTAGAGTTCCTTGCTAAAATAAACCGGATTGCGTACGCAGTACGCACTTTATTTTGGCAACACTCGACTCGTGTAAATCGGGGACTCTCATATCAGGGATTGGAATAATAGCATATAAACAAATGATAAAGACTACGGAATATTACTATTACGAGTATTGTTATTAAATAATTTAATAAGAGCTAACCTTACTTAGTCTCTTATGAAATAAGTAAAATTTTTGGATAATGCAACTTTACAGCGACGTAAAAGACGTTCAGAACTCGATTCAAAGAAGGATATTGACTAGGTACTGGCCAAGCTTTTAAACGTACAGATATCACTTATTCAACTTTGTGTCATTGTGTCTTAAGTCCCACGATCATTGAATGTGATCGTGAATGTTTCCGTCATCGAATACCGTGTAGTAAAGGAGACAATAATCGAAACCGTAAAACAAATACCAATAGTAAAATTACAAACGCGTGCGACCCGGCTGTCGAGCGTCTACAAAAATATACCATGACATCATGGTGTGCGAACGAGACAGTCTCGCCCTCCCACTCGCTCTGGGCACGCTTATAAATACTCGAGTGCATTTACTTCATTCGGGTCCGATTATGTCTGGTGTACTGGCAAAGCCTGTTTGTCCCTTAAGGACGACCCCGTAGCGCCGATGGAACGACCTTTATTGACTCGTTGCATCTGTCAACGAATATACAATTACGGATAAACGCAGCCTATATCCTTAACAGTATGACAGGCAAAAACAAAGCATAAAATATCTAAATATTATAATAATATATCGGTTGTCAGTGAGCTGTGACATTGCAATATTAAAATAAATATTTGGAACGCGTATCTAACGCCAAACGTGTCCCTGATCTAAATTGGGCAACTCTACTTCCGTGTGGATAACGGTGTTTACGAATAAACAAAACTACAATGCCTACTATAGTTCAAAAGTCACATAAAATGCTTAAATGTTATGCAGCAAGCACATTTAATGTTATGCCATAACGTTTACTTTAAATATGTACAGAAGTTAGTTACAAAATTTTGAAAGAATGGAATAGTAGTAAATACTGTGAAAGTGTTGCAGTGACTCTACATTTTTGCAAGGAAAAGGAAACTACAAGTATTCATCTTTTGTGGACAATTAAATTGATTTTATATCGTTTGAGGCTTAAGTGATAAATAATACTTTTATCAGAGATCAGCTTACTGACTAAAGCCTTTATACGAGCTTATGGGAGTGACGTCACTTAAAGTTGTTGACCAGCGAGCAAGTCATCGTGCACTTAAATCACCTGTGGATTCACCAACACCATTTCAAAAGTTTCAAATGTATAATTAGTCACATTGTTAGTGGAATTTGACTAATCGTCAGTGACCTCATGCCCCTCATACTTACACTGACCTAACCAGGAAGGAACTAAGTAATTATTTACTTTGGACCACAAGAAGTTGCAACTCGCAAATTCCATCAAGTACACAAACATGATTAAGAGCTGAACAAACTACACCTTAGATAACATTTGTTTTTTTTTTGGGTCAATGTGAGAGTCATATTATCATTAATATTGAAATATAAACAACAATAAAATAATGCGCATTAAAATCAACAATCATAGAGCGACGTAATTAGCGACATCACCTCCAGCCGGGGAGCTGGGTAAACAAGTCACCATGATGTCATGCTGGTGTTGTTGACCCAACCAATAACATGAGTGAGTGCCGCTCATTTCCGAGCGCGGGCTGCGAAACATTCAAAATTTGGACATCTTCTCTCATTTCAATACAGTTGGCTACATGTTTGGTAATTTAGAAACTCTCATCTGGTTAGTACGGTTCAAATTCTTGACTTTAAAGAGTTTCTAAGTCCATGTCAGTTTCAGTAAAAAGAAAAGTTGTAGAATTTTTCCGATTCATTCATTTTAATAATCATATTTTTGGTGTCTAAAGTTAAAATTATACTCATAAATTAATAAAACAAGCTTACCTGGCCAGTGTTCCTTTTAATTTCACCGTTCCATTCGGTCTGTTATGCGCGTGAGTGTCGATGACATCATATTGGATAGGTTGAGGCTGCTCGACCGCCATGGCCTGTTGGACCGAGTCGCAAATGAGGGGCTCCATGCGGCATGAGATGGGCGCGCGCTTGGGGGGTGTCGCCCGAGGGTAGGTGTGGTGGCGCGCGGTGATCGGAGCCACCACTTCGGCCCGCCGCTGTTTCGGCAGTGTCCTAGCGCACAGAGCGCTGGCAGCATTCTTGAAGTGAGCAGTGAATCTGTTGTTACTCGCGGTGCTCAGTATGGCACCTTCCATCGTCACTCCCGGCACTTCACTCAGTGTATATTCGAATCCATGGTTGTATAGGTATTGTTACAACACCGTTATAACCTCAACTATGAAACACCATATCTGTGTCAGCTAGTGACACCTATTCAATCAATCAGCTGATACCTTTAAGCACTTTATGATTGCTACTGGAATATTTTTCGTTCACTTTTAGAGCCACTATGAAGTTATTTGCTGCTATACTGTACATGTTCCGATTCGATTCTATCTAGGAGAAATAAATACATATTACTCGTACTATACAGGTGAATAAAACGTATAAGGTAACCAATCCTTACTTACTTAATCAATTTATTTCTTTAGTAAGAAAATATATCCTACAATTTTATGTAGTGCAACTGTGCAATGAAGGTCAGTACAATTTTCTTTATGAGAGACTCATTGTACAAAAAAGGTTTTACATTTATAGCTGACCATCTAGTTAAAATTCTAGTACTATCGTCTTAGGATCTAATTTGAATTTAAAATATTACTCTGCAAGTCACCATGGACTACGTCATCTCAAATCATTACATACTTTGTTTGAGGTTGAGGTTGCCGGTAAATCGAACCACTTAAAAGGTGAGATAATGATCCGATTATGTTCAAGACCTAGATAGTTATAATTGGTAATAAATGATAGGTAAAGGATAACAAGAGCAAATTGGTTTTGTTTACAGAAATGGTATAAGTCGCGGTCTAGTTGGTGAGATATGGTCGACTGCATTGCGGCAAAGATTTCGTATAGGCGTGTACAGCAGTGTATAGGCACAGCTGGTCGACTGCAATGTGTTCAAATACAGCAACATTATATTTAACCTACATTTAACACCTTCGCGAAGTTTACTAAGCTACATTAGAACCTGTGAAGCCTTGGTTTTGTTTCGCGTTTGACGGTCACAATCGGATCCGTTTACTTTGAGCAAAAAGCAAAAAAGATTGATTTTAAAAGGCGTTTTGTGTGAGTCACGAGATGTTTTTAATAGTTGTTAATTTGATAGAACGTGCGTGGTGTCAATTTCACACATAATAACTGTAGTTATAGATATCACGCGGGTAGAGGTGATTAGTTTCGTTCCGTGTGTTTCTTGTTCTATAATGTGAGGAGCTGAGCAGGCTTGCGGAAGGCTTCGCGGCTCGCGGGGCGGGCGTGTAGGCGCTCTGACATCACCGCCGGAGCCAGCCGATCTTACATCACCGGCTGTTTCTAGGGTTGCCAGTGATGATAAGAATAAAATACTATAAATTACAGTTGTCAGATTCTGTCAGATAGTCGAGCAATCACGAATCAATCACATGTCAGAATAATTTAGGCTCGCTGTTCATGATTATTTTTTTATCTGTAAAATAGGCAATGCCTATGTGCAAATATTATCTTGAACTAGCTTTCCGCCCGCGGCTTCGCCCGCGTGGAATTTCGTTTGTTAAATTTTCCTGAATTTTCTTTGCTATAAACCTCACGGAGCCCGAGACCTTTCCAACGAATGCAAAACCGTGGAAATCGGTTCGTGCGTTCTGGAGTTATAGCGTCAGGGAGGAAAACCCGACTTATTTTTATATAGTAGATATAGATTCGTAACTAAGCGTCATCGTCGTTTCAGAATGCTTTAGTTTTGTTATTAGCACTATTGCATACATAAATACAGTTAATAATGATACTTAAGTTTTTCCGTCAGTGCAATGCTACGTGGCTACGTCGTAGTTTGGAGATTTTTAGTCGTAGCTAAAATTGAAGAGAGCGTAATATTTAATTAATATAAAAGTTTTGATGACCAATATGTGTTTGTTGATGGCATCTTTTGAATATATTTTATCTCATAGTTATTTAATTAAGAGTAGCCAACCGCTCTTTCAGGCAGTGTACTTACTTCATTAAATATTATTGACAAAAAGTAGTGGGTGTTAGCCCTAACAGCCTCCCACAGAGCCGCCTGCGACCCCTCGCTCCATATCGACAGCCGATCGCCGCGCGCGCACGTTAACGAGTAACGACCCATACTTTCAAACACCACCTAATTATTACCGCCCGATTACAAAGCCGCTCTAATTGAACCTACACCTCAATTTAAGTGAGCTAAGAGGTTTTTTGTTTCAGCTATTAGTAACATTGAAAATTGAATTTAGATGTGTCCATAATAGGCGCTAGTTTTTCAGTTCCATAACAGTCATCAAGGACTCTACATTTTAATTCAGTGTCATATTTAATTTAATTATGTTTATTAAACATCCACAGAGTATTTCACTATTTTGCTTTTCAGACTGCTGAATATAATTTCCATATTTCATTGTTTGTATATTAAATAAAATTAAGCATAAAACGTAGAAAATATGCTGTTAATGACTACATAATCATAAGGATATATGTACATACTAAAGATCTTTGCGGTTTCGATGTAATTTCAAATTACCATTATCTCATATTTACTAATAAATAACATGCTAAATGTTTAAACTTCATTTACCATGAACAGGATACATTTTATAGAAAAAATAAAGATGACGTTACCCACTTGATTTATCGCTGGTGTCACACTTATTATAAAATCAGGAGAGTTTTGTTTTTATACTGCTGATATGTGCCTCAATAATTTTATTTGAGACTTATCATGTTTATTAAACGACGGAAAGTTATTTTCATTAACACATGAAGACTGCAGATCATTGTTCGGCCTTGAATGAGCCGAATTACGTCTCTACCACACATTTCACTGTTCATCGCTAAATTAGGAAATGAGCACCAAATTAATGGGTGGCCAACTTAAATGGTCAGGTAGTGCTCGTGATAAATATGTCACCCGTTGGAATATATCGAGCGTTAACTAAGTGACCGTCCATATCCGATGCTCAAGGCTAATCCCAACCCACGTCCTCTTTGATTAACCGATTTCACGACAATTAATAGACAATTGTCTAAATTAACGTAACCTTCATTAGGAAACGAATAATTAGAATGACATCTTCAACAACGGAGTCAAAGCAGCGGATGACAACAGAAGTTACATGAATGAGTGGTACTTTGTTAGACATAACATTTAGTTGACAATGGGCTGATCCATGTATCAAATCACGGCGTAACGAGCCTATTCCGGAGTTTCGCTGAAGCGAAAAGCGCGGTGTGTCCCACATTTCCCACGGCAATGATGTCAAATTGGTTTATCAATCACTGCGGGACGGATGCGAGCGGTGTCGGCGGCCGCTCGCCTGCGCGTGGGCGGTGTATACCAAGCCGTTCAGTTCATGACGCGATGCTAATCGCGATGTGCTGTGCAATTTAATACACGAAATGAGCTCTTGAAATTCATTGAAATACCTTTCACACAACAGATCACAGCACAGTTACAGTTCTGAAGAAGCAAAAACTCGGACCGTTATGTGTTAACAGCCGATATAATAGCGCGGCCAATTTTAACTGAGCCTCGTGATGTAGACGCGGATGTGGTCGGTTATAAGAACGTTTGTTAGCAAAGGAATCTTATCCATTGCCCGTTAACAATAGAAGCGCGAGGTCAGGCTTTGTGCCGCGATTGTATTCTCCTGTAGAGCGGGTTCAAGACATCTTTGCAATAATGTCATCGCAGTGGACGAGACCATTCTACTATATTGTAATTGGAGGATAAAGCCCCGGAAGTTTCGAGATTTTCTTTGTTACATTTTATTTGAATTTAAAAGAACGCCATTCGAGATTCGAGCAACTGTTATGGTACTTTACTTAGTCGATACTGCTACTATACTAAGCGCTCATTTCAAACTCATTGCAAACTTAATTTCTCTCGATTTCATATTATCGTTGGATATAAAAATCGTAAACTCTACTGTCCTTTCATTTGATCGGTTACCAGTTTGTACGCACAGTACTTATATCTACTCTATACCAAAGTCAATCAAATACAGTAATCTTGAGATATGGATTTCACTATACACCGGATACGATAATTTGATATGACTGATGGACAAACATGGAATGATTTTAAATGACGAATTGCAATCACATATCTACAGAATAAAGTTTATGATACAATCGACATTGACAACGAATCCACCATTTTATGGTTGGTAAAGCAGATAACACACACATAGTCATTAAACGATACATCTGATCATTAAGTTTTTGTTTACATGAAACTCTAAATGACATAATCAAAATTATTTGACGCAGATGCAACGTTTTAACTGTCCATAAAAACACATGAACCTATGACTATGTAATATAAGGATGACGTCACCAGCGCTGAATCAAAACTTCGGGCTCTATTTAACTTAAACCCATGAGACTATCCATGTGCTCTGACGTGTAAAAAATATAAACTTCGCGATGCTATGAACGAGGTATTGAACCCGATGAGTGAATAGGTATTTAAGGTTACGAGTAATTACAAATTATTGTCGATAAAAATAGTCAAGCACGAAGTATTTATGTGGGTAGGTTACTGAAATGTTAGCCATAAACCGTGAGAGCGTTTAAACAGCTTTTAATTGAAATGTTTGTATGACTTCGTTACAGGACGAATGTCAATGAAATAAATCACTGTCACACATAAATCTAAGCAAGTTTTGTGGACAACAAGCATTGAGTTGGTCATTCAACTCGAATTTGTAGTGTGATAAAGTGTAATTGGATCATTCGCTCGTGTGAAATGATGTCGTACGTTTCATTGCACGACCTCTGCTGAAATTGTATTGTACTTAATGTACAGTCGACCGCCCATCATACTATACATTCCTGTTGCAAAATAGGCTGTATTACATTGAATTATTAAGACGCCACTGTGTGTAGCTTGAAGTGCTGTCACGGTAATAATATCATACAGTATTGTAACTTCATATAAACAGACGAAACGAGAACTTTCTTTCGAAATTCAAATCTCGGTATGCGCTCGGTATGCAAAAGTCGGGGGTGTCGCGAATGTGCCGAATGGACGTCGGTGGCCAAGTGTTAAAAATGACAAAACTGATTGAATTTGAGTGACCGTCATTTACGGTCAAATTGTTCAAAAACTAGTCAATTTGTCATTTTCGGTCAGTTTGATTTGAAATGAAAATTATATTGTATTAAACCAGCTTTTGCCCACGACTTCGCTCGCCCGAAATTAACGTAACAGATCATTATGATTATTAAAGTTTCAAAATTATTTACGTAGTTTTAAATAAATTAAATCTACTAATCACAAAACAACACACATTTTTAACCTATTCCATTCACAAAGTATTTTGTTTGTCTAACTAAATAAAAAAGTACAATCACAAAACTAGATAGAAATTGTAAGTAGGCAGATGTAATTAAACTGGGTACTGTAGGTGGGCAGCCCTATCGCATGTTGTCATACTGTGACGTACCGCGCGACTGTTGACATTTATTTCAAAAATATGGCCGAGTTGGAATACTGTATAGATAGTATTACCGTGGTGCTGTCGTCCGTACATTACAAAGCTTAAATCTGTTTTGGACGATTGTTTTTGCAATTTACTGAATGTGTATCGTATTAAATACAAGACGGTAATTATCAAGGCGATCCGTCGGACCTGTTTGAGCAGTTTCCAACGTCAACAAGAAGCGAGAATTTTAAAACAAATGACTGGCAGAAATTGGGAGAGATTTGGCGGGAAAGGTTTTCTTCAGTTTTTTTATTCCAGTTTGACTTTCAAAATATTTTTAATAATAATTACTGAAAAATCCTTAGATTACAAATTATTATTTATGAGATTAGATAGACAGAACAACACTCTTGATTATAAACAATTTAGCCTGTCTTATAATTTTAAGTGTTTTTTTAATTGACTGCAGTCTCAATATGCCATTTTAAGGGTAAATGCAGTTTGCATTAGTAGATATTACACTTAACTCACTTGAAGTTCAATATACTAAGCTGAAACCATAGGCATAGCAAACATTTCCAACATTATAATAAACAAATGTAACCATACCCTTAATTTTTATTGCTATCATTCAAAAAATGTATTCACTATCTGGAATTATGCAATCAATCATTGATACAAAGTTGTTAGGAAGGATAGGAGATAAAGCACATCGAAATTATCAATATGCAATGTTCTCACATAAAAGTACCCCTCATAAAATGGGTTTTCTATAAGTAACACGCATACATAGACATCTCTACATATAATATTAATATGTTATACGCTGTTACAAGGCAAATTCCGAGCCGGTAACTGGTTTTATAATTTATACGTATCGTTATTAATAAATTGCAATTATATACTTATTTAATGAATTGTCTCAAAACGTTACTAGAAGCTAGGTACCTGGTACAGTTGTAATAGAATAATACGTTATGCGAAACGGTAACAACTGCGTTAGATTGGTTTAATGACATAATATCACAATGACGTAAATATCGCGATATTGTCGTTATTTATATGACAAAGGAAGCAGAGAATAATGCATGAATTTTTTCAAGATTGTCGTAAAATATGCACCGATCCGTGGGCTGTGGCTACACGCGTCACAAGAATTCATTGTTCAGTACGCTGAAATTGTTCAGCAGTCTTACCAACTTTCAGTTTAATTCAAATAAACATATCCACACTACATTTAACGGCTTGCCGTTTTAAAAAGCCTAAGATCATCGTGTCCTTGGTGAATTGCCAACAAAAATCGTTACCGCAACACAAGTGACCAATCGAGAGAATAAGCGATAATAAAAAATAAAATAAATAACGCGAACCACTGCGAGCATAACACCTATTCACAAAACAAAACCTTGTAAATTCTAAATGTAAGGATTGGTACGAAACTACTAAAGCTAATAGAGAACCTTACATTTTATACCTTGTTTTATTCACCCGTGTAGAACTCAAATACTGTTTTTCACCAATGTACGTTTAAAAAATTGTTTCACATAACGTCACTGTAAATAGATGGGCATGTTTTATCAATTAACGAAACGTCAAAAAGTTTTTAGCGTAGCCACACATGAACCATTCAAGAGAGCTGATCGCGCAGCACTGGTGACCGGCGAACGATAGTGAGCGCCCGACCCTATTGCCGCTACCACAAGACTATTATCAACACACACGTACACATTTCTGTCGCTAAGCTAGTCGTTTTCAGTTACTTAAACTTCTCTAAAAGTTACAAAATCAAACTTTTTACTGAAGTATCAATCATTTATCATGTAGATTGTAGACTATTCTAATCCAAAGCTAATATCCATATCGAAATATACGTTAGTAACCAACCAACTTTCAAGTTCATGTTTGACATTATTTTTATAGCGAACGTAGTAAGAGCTAGCGCTGTTGCCTGGCCGCTGATAAGAGCACACAGCTATCAGCACTTACATACATACATTTTCTTGTTGTATAGGTATTTGATAAACAAACTTTGCCTGTGGTTTACACTACCTGTAAATAATAAAGAACTAAATAAGCCCTGTCGCTTAAGTGAAATAAATAGAAACCATAAAAGGCATGAAAATTTTTGGAAAAAGGATGGCCAGAGATATTACAAATAGCAGACGTCATAGCATGCATGGAATTGATATAATACTCAAATACTTTCATTTAAGTTAATAATCATACACAATACATTACGTATTCGTTTTTTATGCGACTCTATGTGTAACCAAACATTGGAAAATTCAATGTGTATGCTTTCTTAGATGGCGATCAATTTGAATTTGAAATTGAACCACCAAAACAATATAAATCACAACATAAATAAGTAAAAATATGTACATGAATATCTAACAGAACGGGTGCTCGCTCATCAAAGCTTTCTACAAAGTTTTTGAAAGAAAGAAAAGATATTCATTTGGTTTTGTAGGTGTTTTGCGAAAAACGTGAGGCTACGACTGGTTTCTAAACTACATTAATATTTAATTGTGAAATAAATACATATTTTATTAATTTCATATGTTTACTGATCCATTTAAAAGGCATTATAAAACTTAACAGTACTTCTGAATACGGTTCAATTCAGAGCTTTCTACGGACAAGATAGATCTTGCCTTTTGTAGAGTTTTGAATAAACTATCCACGGAGTGGTTGTGTCATGCCTTATTTAGGGCTGCTGTCCACCAAAGGAGACGAGACGACAGAAGACCAGTTTGTTATTATAAGCAACCAAAAGAATTTATTTACACATCAGCTAATTCCCGCACACTTCACCTCGTCTCTACATAAGCCCTTAGAAAAAGAAATAATTTCAACAACCAATTTTCTTAAAGTTTTCCATGCCATTTCAATGGGTGAAGTCAAGGGGGAAGGAAAGCAGATTTAAGGACGTGTAAATTACAGATAGTTTCATCGATTACAAATAAGGCTGTAACACCTAATAGTTGCATTCTAATTTAGTAATGCAATCATTCAAAAAGGTGTACTTGGCACACAGATGGATGTCAAAGGGGAGTAACATATAAGAGATTGATCGACATTATATTGGCAAGGAACGATCAGACGGCTTGTTTACAACTCGGCAAGCTTGCCAACAATGCCGGCATAAACAAAGGAGCGTCAAATTTTATTAATGGTGAATGATGGGATTCCTTTGTGACCTAGAGCACCATAAGCTTTTCTGGTAACCCTTTTTTATCGTCCCTTGTCAACTTGCAAAGTTGCAAGTATGAAACCAAAGCTTTCCCATGAAAAAAATAGCTATGTAAGTAGCATTTATCCTCCTTTTGACAAGTTTCAGCAGACTCTGGCAGACTTTTCAGTTTTTACCCATCATAATAGCTCAGGCTAGATTTTTAGGCTTTTGATCTAAGATGTAATTAAGACGGGAAAGCTCTATGGGCAAGAATAAATGATCGATCATGGCCACAAGATCATAGGGCATAAAAAGGTTGTTGATCGATTCAGCTTTCTTACTTTCACAAAGTTTTATAACAACCAGAAGAGTGAATGTCAAGTTAACATGATGTGCCATTAATCCACCCGATCGAATCGTGATGCCTAATCACGTGCCATTTTTGCCAAAAGACACTTAAACTGGCTACGATCATTACTTATGCCATGCCGTGTCCGTTGGCGAACAATGACCAAAATAAAGTTGATGGCGGGGATCGTGCTGTGATATTTTGGCAAGTTGGCCGGTGCGTGTCGCGGACGCCCGATGGCATCATCGCCGTGGAGGATCGTGACGTCACCGCGCCTTTTCCAAACGTGGCCGCCAGACGAAAATAGTCCCCTCCCCGCGGTCCGCGGCCCCTCGCACCGTCACCGACGGAATTAGCGATTCGAGCGGTCGACACCAGCGCAGGCCGCCTTCTCAACAGATGTTGAGTTGGCGCCTGCAACTTCGGAAAAGTGCTCATTCTTTGTCGCCCGAACAAAGCCTTCCACTCCAGCGTCATAAGTTCGAACAAAGAAATCCTAAAATTTTTACAGAAGATCTTCGAACAAAAATAAAACCAAAAATAGTATAACCTTCATGCATGTTGAGAAACTACACCTAACTTAGAGCTATTAGAAATTCTATTTGATTACGTCAATCTTTACAAAGGCAGCTCGAGGTGTTCTTTACTCGAGGCATACAAAGTCGTTTTAAAAGTCATTTAAACTTTAGTAACCTACAGACCTAAACAATGTCGGTGACTAAATTTTCCACGAAAATTACTAAGCTGACCAGTAAGATAAATCAGCTGTCGTACGATCCGGTTTAGAATTGTCAGAGAATCATCTAACTCGATTAGTTATCGAATGGTCTCAGAAAACTGGCGTACAGCACTTCTCAATAAACAAACCCAGAACGAACCACGCAGATAGGATAGGCCATTGATATTTGGTAACCTACTAAAATAGGCAACCATCTGACCTACTTCCAAGCAGTTCCGTCCGTCCAACGGAAAACGGATAATAATGTTCGCCATTAAACTTTTTGCTTGAGGTTTGTTCATAATCTATAGTGAGTACCTATAGAATGTAGATTTTCTACATGGAAGGTCGTGATGTACATGGATGACATCATCGGAATCAATTATCATAGCTAATTACTGTACAAATAACACGTTATCATAACGTTGTCAAATGTAAAGTATAAAATAATATGTTTTGATATCGTTCTTTTACAGGGTATCGAAAAGGTTAAAATTATTCATGAAAAATAATGAATTCTAGAGGCGTAGAGTAGACCATAATAAAGTATGTTTTCAGAACGTTTATTTCTAAAGTTATATTTTGTCTACCTCCCGCAATTTCTATTCTGAAATCTGCATGTGGCCTTTTCATAGATTGGAATTAGAGAGTCGTTTTTGATCATAGAACAGAAGATAAAGATAGAAGAGCCACGGAAAAATTGTAGCAAAGTAAATATTATTTGTAGAAGTCGTACTCGTATCTTTACGTTGTATGACCAAGAAAATGGCCAATTCAAAGATAGCCCAATGATCCTTGGATTAATAAAATAAATATTTATGCGAAGAGAGATATCAGTGAGGTTACTTCTTGCCGTGTGTGAGCGAATTGCATCGTTATATTTAGCGAGGCCAGGTTACGATAAGATAAAGGTGTAATGCGCTGGTGTTTTCTTTTGTTATTTCAGCAATAGTGGTGGAGTCTTGCGCCATTCATTGCTGAAAACGCGCGCGACAGTGAATCGCTTCTGAGAAACCTACTCGCGTTTCCTGGAAGCGCTACTATATTCGCACACATACACACGTGTATATGTACTGAAGTCGCACACATCGTCGCCCACGGCCAGTGATAACGCGCAACCGTGACGAGACGTATCGGTGCTCACTGCTCTCATTAACTCACTCGATATTGCGTGCCCAGCTCAGCTTACACCTAATCAAACAATTTGCTGAGCAGGAGTTACGATCCTGCTGTCAACAAAGCTAACTAGGGGAACGAGGCTAACTACTGATTAGACACAACACAGCAACTCACAAATAAATTCAGGAGCTGAGATTGCTGCACTTTGCGCCGTTCAATAGACGTCATAACGAGTCTCGTGATCATTTAAATTAAACATGATGAATATTATTAAAAGAATTTTAAAGTTCAGATACCGAAGACTCAATAGCTATTAAAGAACAATAAATTACATCGACAAAGGAAGCAATAAATGAGTAAATTGACGACTTAAAGGAAGTATCCTGTTATTGACAAAGATGTCAATGAGATGTTCAATAGAATGATAGCGGGTCATTTGGGTCAATGGGCAAAAGGCAGCGGTCAGTGGTGAGCTCATGACATGTGGTCCTAGGAGTAATGAATATCAATTGCTGATCTTTGCCATCGATGAATTTGTTTGTTATCGATCGAGCATTAAATTAAGTTAGCGTATTATAATAGCTTTTGCATCTCCGTCTGCCTACATAGAGTTTTTCCTCACAATTTTCTATTTGAAGAAAATATTAGACAGATATCAAGAAAAGCAACTTGCAGAAAACGGTTTATTCCCAAAGGTCCACGACTCTGTTGTTCTTCTTTTCCCACCAGGTCCATGGAATTTTAAAATGTACTAAGAAAAGGTTTTTTTTAATGTAGTGGAACTCGTGGACCCGTTGGGAATCAAAGTATGAACTTATTTTTTTTTATCACAATAGAGCTGTGGACCTTTGTCAATTAGCCCAGAAAACATTTCACATTTTCTCTATTGATAGATAACGGGTTTGGCATCATAATTCAAATGATAGAAACAAGTAAGTTTCGCAATAGTGGGCTTCTCGCGTTGATTGCTAAGAGTTAAGGCTTGCTAGTTTTCCATGATGTTATCGTTGTTTCCATTTGCAAACTCAAACAAGTAAACCCTAATAGGTGCTACATTGTTTCTGAAGCCGATTGTTTGCAGCCTACTTTACCAAATTACTAATATGAACTCTATGAAATTATAACGAAACGTAAACACGTTTTATACTTCCATTCGTATTATACTGATATTTACCAAGGCATAGTTGTTTTACTATGTGTTAAGACCATTATAAATATTTTACATAATAAATATCTACATTACAAAAGTTGAGGCTACTATAAGAGGAACTAATTAGGTGGGTGTCTTTTTTATCTCGATTTCACTAATCATAAACTTTCTTCGCTCGCTTTGCAAGAAACCTTGGAAATTAAAAAAATGCCTTTCTGGTAAGTGAAAGTTCCATTTGAAATATTTGTACGATACGTTTCCGATGGCACACAGAGCTTATAAAATTGCTCTTTCGTACCTACAAATATTGAGTTCCTTATTTCGTGTTAGGTACATATTTTTAACGTTCGTATTTCTGTCACATAAGAAGTTTTGTTTTATTTATTGCAGTTATCAAAACAAAATTTAGCGAGTTAAAAGAGTTCGTGGTAAATGTCAATTATCGTCGCTCGCGATAAAATAATAACAGGACACTTTTACTAATTAAAGTTGCTGTTAGCTTAATGTGATCTCATAAATGACGCGCAACATTTTATAAACGTAAGACTGTCGATCGATTCCTGAAAGGCTGCAAGGACGAAAGAAACAGTGAATTTTATCCTCAAATTGAAAAAGACAGGAATTATAAAGCCCGTTTTCCACCAAAGCGAACACCTCTCCGCTCAGATTCAGTTCGGAAACCTGATTGATTATTCAAAAGTTCAAAACACATCTCCTCTCGTCTCCGCTTTTGTGGAAACCGGGCTTTCGTTTGGGGACTGCTAGCAGTAAGTCATAAAAGACACTTTTATTCAGGTTACTTCTTCTGTAAAACTGCAATTTTGCTGTCTTATCCTATTCTCTATAAAAATGACGATTTCACAGACAAGGCACCAAATAAAAATCTTGGATTATCAACTCACTTGGTAAGGCTGGAATCGGCATCGCTGGCCGCGGCGGCGTCCGGCCGGCGCTCCGCAGCCGCGTGCATGCCTCTGCATCACCGCGCCTTGCATCACTCGCCGCCTCACCCCGTGACCACCGCCACTCACCACATCACTACGAGAACCCCCCGATACTTGATCTGATCGATCGGTCGATATACGACACCAACGTGCGGTCACGCCGCACTAAATCTATGACGTGCGCCTATTGAGGCGAAAACGCGATCTGAAACAATGAAGAAATATATTTTTAAGCATAATGGACAAGTTACACAGCGTGCTATGGAGAGGGCTATGCTCGATGTTTCTTTACGAGATCGAATCAGAAATGAGGAGATCCGTATACGAACTAAAGGTAGCAGGAAGGCGCTGGACGCAGGCCGCTATCAATCGATCAACATGGAAATCATTGGGGGAGGCCTATGTTCAGCAGTGGACGTATTATGGCTGAAATGAAGATGATGACCTACTTATTCCTTTATTCCCTGTTTAGTTAGTATATTGCGTGATGTCCCGTGTACTCGAGTCTTATGGCTCACCTAGGGCTCTGCCGCGCTGTCGTTATTGGTGGTTAGGTCCTGTCCTTCTGGCAGGAAGAGCACCACAGAACCCACTAACAGCCCCAGCAACTGGCTGGCATGCAATTTTATGTATTTTCTTGTATATTAAAGGCTTGAATCTACCTGATTTTCCAGAAAAGAATATGACTTTGAGCTTGAAGGGTTAAGATCTTCGTCTGGTGATCTCAGGTGTTATAAAACACAGTAGAAGAAGAAGTGTTCCATAATATCTTAGAACATACTTACCTAGTTTTTCATTTAAATTTTTTCTAAGTTTAGCTAGGATACATTATGGGTCTTAAGAAGAGAAACCTGATATTATAGGGGACAAGTAATGCAGTAAAAGTAATGTCTCATAAGATTTTTTTAAGCTATCCATTGCTCAAGCATAAAGCCATAGATTTCAGAGTTTGAACATCAGTAACAAATAATGTAAGTATATGAGTAGGTGCAACTAAAAGCCTGAAATCTATATTTTTTTAAATTTACTGCTGTTCCTAAATAAGACCTTGACTTTAAAACATTTTATTGTTAAGAACTAACCCTTCTATGTTTGTGCAAATACTACTGCATGGAATTTTATGAATCTTTATAATGTCAAAGACACAAGGCTTAAAGGCTATTTTAGGTACCTACCTCCTACCTTCATACTTTCTATAGAAACCAGTGTAATAATAGTTATCTAAAATAATTACAACATGGGTGTATCAAAATAATAACATTAATTACCTATATTTCTTCTGTTAGGTAGGTAGGTAGGTAGGGTAAGTGCGCTAGTTTTCGTCCAATTAGCGGAGTTGCCAACTTTGGGATGCGAAATGAATATCTTAAAATACCCTTACTCATATGTATCATTATGTCATTTTGGTTCTTATATAGTCTACTTTACGTTAATATTATATGACAATAAGTAAATACCACGGGTTTTTTTATAAAAAATATTTTATGCAAAAGAGGCGATTTCACTAGTTTTCGTCCAAAAAAATCAGTTTTCGTCCTAGTGTACGCTAGTTTTCGACCACTATGTAGAAAAAAGGGTGCAGTTGAATTATTAACTTAAAACCAATTCTACACTACAGTAACTATGGATTGTGGTATATCATTTGAAAGGTAATTTTGTTAGCTTTCAAATGATATCAAAAAGATTTAAATAAGTTTCTTACCTAAATTTGGGAAAATATTGCAATAGGTCGAAGGACAAATGGACGAAAACTAATCTACAGGAATAGCTAATTTTGGATTTCGTCCACCCCAGTGCTTGCTCATGACGTCATGGACGAAAACACAACAACGTTTAAAGCTGTTTTTTGTTTTCGTCCACATCTTTTTAACGGTTTTTATGGATTTATCACTGTTAAAAAGTGGACGTAAACTAAAATGTTTAATGTAATAGCAATAAAGATCATATTGGAAGAAAAAACATTGTATTTTGTAGGTCCATTGAAGTAAAATGATTATTAAAAATATTAACTAGGTGTCAGGGTTTCCGTCCACGTGGACGAAAACCAAAATCTTGCAAAATTGTTATGCTAGTATTAGTCCACTTTAATTATCTAAGATTTCTATACAAAAACTATAAGAAACCCTTAAAATAGTGTTTATTATGCTAATAATTAGACATACATGCCAAAAACATTACGTAAAGTAGCTAAAACAGTAATTAAACATACTATGAAAGTTCCCTACCGGCACGTTTTTTTTCTAACTTGACGACGTTTTCTATTCACCTGTGTGCAGCAGCAACTTCCGTAGATTTTTTTGGAGTTATTACTTGTCAAATTACATTTTCATGCAGGCAGAACTGTTACTTAGATATTATAGATTGTAACAAGTCCAAACTTGCACGGAAAGTTAGGTTTGTATTCTAATTTTCCGTATTTGTTTGTGGCAAGTCGGTCAAATGGACGAAAACAGGAGCTGGACGGAAAACCGGCGNCCCTACTTATGAAGAAAAGGCTAGTGTGTTGTATTGTTCTATCAATACCTACTAACTTTGAAATAATATTTCACAAAAATACCTTCACTGTCTGAAATTAATTTGTATTTTTTTATTACTCTACTTGTTTTATTGTGTAATGTGTATAATACTACTACCACTGAGATTAAAACCTAAGTGTCAGACTGAGATAGCTTAATCAATAATATCTAAGCTCAGGACATGACAATCCACATGTTTACCAAATTATATTAGCTAAAAAAAATATGTTTGGTCCAGACCGCTAACTTAAGTTTAAATATTACTTTAACAACAATCAATAAGATATAGGCAGGTACATTTAAAACCATGCCTACCTACTAACACTAACTTTCTTTTGTTTAGGAAAAAGGTGGATGGGTATGGAATCTTGGAAAAAACTTCAATCAAAAGTGATTTAAAATTTTATTCAGAAAGCATTTAGCCTATTTTGATAGTTAAATGTTTTGTGAAATAATGGGAAAATGATTTGAATAGGTTCGTCAACAAAAAGCATCTCTCTGGGGGGTAGTGTCAAATGAGGGTAGATAAAAATTTAACTAAAAGGTTGCGTTATTTAGTATGTAGGTAGTTATATTCAATTACAATCGACTTTAACAAAAGTTACGAATGGAATGGAAGTGTTCGCATAAAGTAGGTACTAATAATCATGAGATCATCGATACACAGCAAAATGTAATAAATATAAATATGACTCACCCGAGTACTCTGCTACAGAAAGACCGTGTAGGTTATCATTATCATAGTCTTGATTGAACGTCACAAACAAATTCACACAATACAAACGCGTCACAGATCGCACACTAACATACTCAGTAATAAGATAATGGGACCAATTTTATCATTTGAATTTGGTTCATGTGTAAAATACAAAGTTTTTGCATTTTTACGCTTTTCCGAATGTCAATTTGACACCCATTCACAGCAGCCCCACAAACGAACGAGAATCGGGAATTTGTTTCAACTTTCATGAGGAGGGGGAGAGAGAAACAAACAAAATTCAATGGCCTATTGAATTTCTGTAAATTATACGTGTGCTGCCATCTCTGCAATGGCTATCAAACTACATTGTCGAGTGGTGACGTAAACTATAGATTTTGACATTATTTTATGCTTGTAAGGAGGTAATATTACTAAAAGTAAACAAAAATTAAATGCAACAGATGATTTTAATTTAGTTTAATGTTGGAATTTTTTACATGTATTCATATTTTATAGTCATAAATTAAATTTTACGTTAATCAATGTGAAAATTATATTTTTATAATTTGACGTGTAATGTAGCCGTCCCGTCAAGGCCACTTCGTTCGCGTTGAACAACTTTTTTTGTGACAATGTCTGCATCTGTTGATTAAAATTTGAAACATAATAAGCTTCTAAACAAGGTCAACAGTTTTCATCAACTCACAGTCGACAAAAATAATAAGATTCAGTGTATAATATGTCTATAGTTTCAATGATTACTCATTTTAGTTGTTACAACCAAAGGTACAAGTGCAAGTGTCCGCGAAAATGATCCGTACTTTGTTTTTCGCAATCACAACGTTACATGAACATGGATGACCTAAAATGCGAATACGTAAAGAAAAAAGATGCTTCGGACTGTCACAAAAGCTGTATAGTAAAGATATTATAATGTTTTGTGCTTCAATTAACTTCAATCATGAACACAGTTCAACTATCGCGTAATGATCGGTGATTTGTTGGATCACAAAAGTGAAAATGTGATGTGTCAAACTGATTGTTTACCTCGCGGACAGGTGAGCGGTTTGTAGAAGTGGTACGCGAGGGCGGCGGGAGGCGGGCGGCATGTCGGGTCGCACGAGTCCCGTGAACGGCGGTTACGAGGCCGCGAACGCAGAGCCTGCGATGAGGCTCACCGTCCGCAAAGACCTATTCCCCGAGGCTCGCCTGCCGAAGATAGCGCCTGACGACCCTGACGCGGCCTCCACGGAGGAAGACCTAGACACCGTGTCCTATGTCAAGCTCGAAACGGACTTCGAGCAAAGCATTGATGACATAGCCAATCAAAAACAAAAATTAGTTAATGGGCTGGTGCAATCCCCCAAACCTCGTCACAGAAAGCACAAGCAACATTCTAGACGAGATAATGAGTATTCAGTACACAACGGATGCCTTCCATCTAAAAGGAAACGGAGAAAAAACTCTTCAAGGGAATCACGCCATAAATCCCATTCGTCTAATAGTGTTATGCGTTCAAAAGTGAAAGGTGGTAAGAATTTAAATTTAGTTAGCAGCAGTGAGTGTCAGGAGGATGAGGACTGGGCCGAGAAGGAAGCGGAGGAAAGTGAAAGTTCGGAAGATGAAGTGCTCAGGTGCAGTGTAAAGTTACCATTAATCAACTTGCCCCGGCAAAGTGGCAAACCCTACAGTCATGAACTTAGTCAATTATCCACAAAAAAGAGTAAAAAGGACTCAAAAGAGAGACGGACTCATGCCGTGACGCCTTGTAGTGGTAAACCGCGTTCTATGTTGGACATTTGTAGTTCTCGTAGCAAAAAGAAATCAAAGAAGTCTGAGTGCACACCCACTTATCGAAGTCAGATAGTGGATATGAACACTATTAAAATTAAGATTAAAAGGACAAATATTAATGAAACTGTAAGTATAATTCATTTTTAATTACATTATTATGTAAATATAACATTTTGGGCATACCATTTTACAATACTCATCACATATTATCTTTTTTTTCTAATCTTCTATATTACCTACCTACTCAATAGAGACAATACCTAAAATATGTTTGTTACTTTCATTGGTACTTGATTATTATGTTAATCTCTTTATGAATGGTATATTTTTATTGAAAGATACATGAAAAGAGAGATTAAAGCAGATGACAGGGGTATGCAGTGAGGTAAATAAGCCTATCTGGCTAGTTACTTTGAAATATTTTTGTACATAGTGCGAACTCAAAATAAAATGAATTATAAAATACTGGTCTTCATGTCTACTATGATAGATGATTGATATCATTTATACCTTAACAAAATGATAGTTTTGACATTTACAAATAGTAGAAGAGAAAGCCACAATTAAATATCAATTAATGTTCACTATCATCTTTTTAATCAAGAATGGTCATAAAGATAACTCTTCAAATACTGACCTTGCTTTTTGTTCCTGTGATAAATTAAAAATAAATATTATTTTTGCTGTTAAACATTGCATGTAAAATCATGAAATTGAAAGTGAACACAATAAAAGTAAACAGTCTGACTTCTGAGCATTTTTCTTGAATTAAAGAAAGTGAAACACAAGATAATTATCTAATTATCACCTAGCTAGGCAAAATGATAGCTTGGAATGTTTGTATCAGAAAACCTTGATTAAATTATTTGTATAGTCTGAAATTATTTTTTGTGTAATCCAGTATTATGGTCATTAGATATCTCACCAAATATTGACCTTTCCCTTTTGATATACATTATACATGTACGACATTTACAATACTTTTCTTTTAAATGTAGTAAATCATGTAGTCAATAGTATACTTTAACAACAAAACAAAAAGTTTCATTTCTGAAAACAACGTAGGTAAATCCTATTACCAAAGAAAGTTAACAATAAATCTAAGACAAAAATATTTCGCTTTTATGAATAAATTATTTTTTTTCAATAGTAATATTAACAATACATTTTCAAATCCTTCTATCAATGGTCTTGATAAAATGTTAGGTTTAATTTTGTATTTGTAGCTCAGGATCTAAATGAAATAATTTTCTAGCGTAATATTTCACAGATACATTCAGTTAATTTAAAATTCATCATCACTTGTGCCTTACAGTGAAAACCATAGGGGTTAAATAAATATTATGTATCTTCTCTCTTGCAGGTTTAGGGTCACAGCCTTGTATTTTTTCCTATAGTTTAACGGTTTCTTCTCTTACTTAACTATATCAGCTATCCCAAATTTGTTATACCCTCTTGGTTTTTATTTTTATAAAAAATGGGGGTTTTTCCCCTCTGCCAACTAATAAGTAATATCTGTAATAAAGGGGTCTCTTCCCCTCTTACCCAACTAGAAGGTATAATAATCTGCTTTCCCAAAACGGTGTTCTACTAAATATCTTGGTTTTTATTTCTTTAAATAGGGGGGTATTATCCCCTCTCACTCAATCATACCTGCTATCCCAATGAGTGTTTCTCTACACCTCTTAGTTTTTATTTCTATCTTCCCTTCTCACTCAATTATACCTGTTAAACTGTTTTTGTTAGAAATGAAAATTAGTAAAGCCCAGATTAAATTATCTAAAATATAGGTAATATTTATGTCAATAAGATGGAAAATTCGATCTATTCTAACAATGTTGTCTATGCGGCATATTTTTGTCTTCCTACATAAAATCAATTTAGATATAACTTTTAAGATATTGTTCTTTTACAAAGATTAATGCATATTTATCTCATTTGAATTGTAAATTGCCTATTTTAAAATAGTAAAAATATACATCTCAAAATAAGCCTAATGACTAGTGTTCCCGGGGCCTATAGGCTTTTAGGCCTAAAATTAAGCCTATTTAGTTCTTTTTTTGGCCATGATAGACTACTAGCCTTTTAAAAGGCTACTCATTATAAAAAGCCTATAGGTTTTAAAAAAACCTGTAGGCCTAAAATAGCCTTTTAGGCTTTATTTCCGACTAAAGTCTTTTTCGAGTAGTAGGCTTATTATAAGGCTATAGCCATTATTCAGGCTATGGCTTCGTATGAATTAAACAAGTATTTTTGTATTGCATTTATTTTCTAATTAAATAAAAACGTTATACATTGTTTCCAAAATATATAATTTCTTTTTTTATATATATTTTTTTATAAAATTTAACTTAATTGTTGCTTTTTAGTTAACTAATTACTACCTTGATGTTACCACCGAAGGTAGGCAGTACATTGAGACCATATTCTTCATGTCTAGTGTAAAATAATATTCCCTACAAAATACAGGTTAACATATCGGCAACCTAAAAAGACCTTAAACCGTCAGCCCACCTTAAAAACATGAAAGAATACAACTATTGGTATATTTGTACCTATAATATTTAAATAATTATCCTCCAACTCCTAAGCATTAAGTAGTTTTACCTTCTATCATCAGCTCATCAATAATTATGAGATCATGATTAATTCCAGGAGCGAATACTTGAATAACTTAAAAAGTTTATTACGTGCCTATAACATTTGAGGGTTGCCCTCGATTTCCCTAGGATCCCATCATCAGATCCTGACTTGGTGACAATAGGACCACCTCAGAAGTGTACCTTATCGAACAAAAAAATAATTTTGAAAATTGGTCCACAAAATTGACGGAGTAATCGGTGAACATACATAGAAAAAAAACACACAGTCGAATATAACCTCTTCCTTTTTTGAAGTCGGTTAAAAATAAATAAAATAGACCTAGCCTAAAGGACTAAAAACTTTTATAGGCTTTTTAGCCTTTCAAGCCTTTTAAATATGCGCCTAGCCTACAAAAAGGCTAAAACCCTATAGTAATCGGGTGGACAAAAAAAAGGCTATGAAAAAGGCCTAGCCTAAAGGCCTAAAAGACTTTTTAGGCTTTTTTCCCGCTGTAGCCCCTAATTCATAGGCTAGCCTTAAAAAAAAGCCTAAAAGCCTATAGGCCTCGGGAACACTACTAATGACTTTTTACAGTTATGTTTAAAGTCCATAATTGTATGCAGAATTGCCCAATTCTATTGGAACATTCTATAACAATCTCTATGTTTTTAAAGTGAGATCGAAACACTCATTGCTGAAACTTAAATTAACATTTTTTTCTGTCGTAATAATCTAGTTGATGAGCTGCGAAATTCTAAGTAGGTCTTGATAAAATGTAGTTACCAGCATTTGTATATCTGTTCACATTATTTCAGTCAGGTTTCCATTGATCTGAAAAGTAAATAGGAAATCAAAAGAAGTGGGCCTCTAGACTATGGTCCGTATTACGAAACGACCATTAAAACTTGATTCAATCTCAAGCAAGAAAAAGGCACTCAATGTTTGCATACATTCTGGATGTTATGCTAAGTTTGAAACATGTTTTAAGCTGTATTTCGTAGTTTATTTTATTTCTGATTTACCTAAAGGTGAGTCTAAACTAATCACTAGCTAGAGCATTTCCTTGTAACACAATAACGAGACCCTCTATGAAATGCTATAGTATATCATCTGTCACGAAGCAAACGTCGTACATTTTACCTGTATTGTACCATTCTTAAGAACGTTTCTTTACTAGAAATGCTCTAGTATGTACTCAACAGTGCTAAATAGTCAATTGATGTTGTCTCTCTATCAGAAGTTACAGATAACAACACCAACACCAACGTCAATCGCCGATCTTGGACAGAGGAAATCCAAAAAGAAACGGGCAGCTTCGCCCGCGCCAAGCGAGAGTTCGGGCGAGGAATACGACCCCAAAGGAGACAACACTGCGAGTATGAGTGTCGCTCCTAAGGCGAAACAAGCACGACCGAAGACGCCTAAGACCCGGAAGTCCAATAATTCTAAAAGTAAGCAAACCTCCAGCTAGATTATTAGATTAAGTTAGACACTGTAAACCGAGGTTTAGACTAGCAATAAAATTTGCAGAAGTTGACTTCCGCAAGCTGTCACCACTGTGTAAATCTTGCAGAAATTGGCTTGCACAGTGGCAAACAGCTTGCAGAAGTCAACTTCTGCAAATTTTATTGCTAGTGTAAACCTCGCTTAAAAGCATTTGTCGTCTATGTTTATTGTAAGACGTACAAATCTTTTTCTAAATTTTCTTTAACTAAAATGCTGTCCTGCGAAATGAAATGAACTCAAAATGGTCTATTAATAAAGCACACAAACATACTATTAGTACCAATATCGCCAACAAGATATTGAATCGGCTTCCTCCCAGCGACCTTGAATATTCAAGGCGATACTGAAGCTAATGTAGCTGATAGCAATAATATAACTAAGAGTGCTGTCACTAGTAGTGCACAAAACTTGCATCGCATTACGTTTTTAATATTCTTGCGCGAAAAAAATTAAGCATAATTTTCATAAACATGTTGTTTTGTGAACTGACTCATGCTTTAAACTCTCCAAGCTCCAGTAATCGATGTACTGGCTATGTTCAGCGGAGGGTACTCGATAGTAACGAAAAATACATATCGACATGCCTCCACTGGCTTAGTTTGGATGTCTAGCACTTTTCTGGTCAAATGGTCGGGTGGTCGCCTCATGACGTGTCCGTACCACCGCAGACGGCTCTCCTGCAATTTAGCTGGGATAGGTCTCACTTTGAAGGTGCCTCTTATGTGTGTTCATTTCATTCATTCACATTTTTTCTAATTTCTGCTAACGTCTTACTTCGTTATCAGCCTGATAAACCTGGCACACGTGTTATTATTTGTATCTTGAATTACTACTTATGAGACTAAGGTGTATTATTTTTTATTTTTAGAAAAAAGTGAAAAGACTGAAAGAACTAGTAGAATTAGTGCTGCTGAAAGTAAAGATGCCGGGCCGCAGAGTCCGTGGGCGACGATGCCTGAAGAGGTCCTCGTGAAGATATTTGAATATGCTGTGGCTTCACAGGGAACGTTACCTAGTGTTATAAGGTAAGTGAATTAAACGAGATCTTGTTTACTTTGTTTTTGTTGCCAGACGTCCCGATTTTGGTGGGACGTCCCGATTTTTAAATCAAATTTAAATGTCCCGCGCGGGACAGGCTCTGTCCCGCTTTTGGGAGAGAGACACTCACTTCATCAGACTATTGTTTGAAACTCCATATTATTCTAAAGAATATTTTTTTATTTCGATTTTTGTTTTTTTTTCTTTTTTTATTCTAAAGACGAATTTAACGATAGAGTAAATCTGATTTAAAATATTATTTTTTTGTTAAAATACATTTTCTATGGCTACTTTTGCTATCTATTGTCAAGTAAACGTAATTTTAAGTCAAATAAAAGGATAAATATTTGAAAACCTTTGATTATATACGTTTTTTTACTATGTCCCGCTTCTGACGGAAGAGTCCCGCTATTTTCACTCAAAAAGTACCAAAGTCCCGACTTGGCGAAAAAAAAAACTGGCAACGCTGTCATTTACCCACTTAAGAAGTTAAATGCGCGTTGAGCACTATAGCTGACCCACGCTGAACTGTCCCACCAAACTCAATGACAGGGGGGCGCTACCATCGCTCAACTATATGGTTTCCAACATGGCAAAAATCTGAACCAGCGATCCGGTATTGACGGTGGCGCCCCACTGTCAATGTCATCGACAGGACAGTCCAGTATTTTGGAACTATAGTTTAAATTGACATAATAATTGAAGTGCTGCTCTCATTGTTGCCTGTTGTATATTTTTTGACATTCTATTCCTTATCGAACATGACTTGTTGTTATGCATCATTGTATTTGTTTACGTATTTAATTAATATTTTCTGTATTTTCAGATTTGGCAGAGTTTGCAAGTTATGGCATATCGTGAGTTGTAGACCAGAATTATGGAAAAGCGTGGATTTGGCACAATATACTAAGGAAAAATGTAAAACAGACTACAAATTAGTGTGGCTTCTTGAAAACAGATTGTCACAATGTCAAAGTTTAAATATAGGTAAGAATGATTTCTATTTCCTGACAATATGGTAAATGGGCGAAGAAGACATCATTGCACTCTGCTCATGAATATGAAATTAACTGAAAAACAATATTTACTCAAGCATATCAATGCAGGGAAATAATTTTAAAGTTTCATTTTATCATACAAGCGTGACCATTCTCGGTAACTCGGCAATTTCATTGGTTTTTCACTATGAACGTTTATCAAAGGATAGTATTTTAGTTATGTAAAACGGAATGGCGTAGAGTAGAATATTTTAGACGTGGATATTTTCTCAGAAGCTACGTGATATCTGGATTTTTTTTAAAGAAAGATAATGAAATTAATTAAATTACAATTTTTAAGTGTAACCTTAAGCTAAGCCATTGCAGAGTTTTAACTCTAAGGGCCTACGCTAAGACGGCGCAGACCATTGATTTTTAGTTGGCTGATAGTTGTGCCCGATTTTAAATTGTATGAAGAATCGGCCAAATCAAATCAGTGTAATGTGCGCACTTCCATACATGCCCATACTGATCAACTGCCCGACTAAACTATCGGCCGACGAAAAATCGATGGTCTGCGCCTAGGCTAAAAGTTGCGCGGGCGCGTGAGGTTTCAACACGGGAGGGGCAGGGGCATGTCGCAAGTTTGTACTAGTGGTGTAAGTAAAAAGCGGCGAGTGTCCGCCGTGGAGCGCAGGCCAGCGCCCGATGACGTCCGAAACGGGTACTCGCTTTGCGTACCCGCGCAAGTTTAGCGTGGGCCCTTACGGCGCGCGCGCACGGGTTACTTGTTAAGGCTAAGAACTCATGGCGCGATTTTCACCCGCGCCCGCGGCGGTTGCGGACCCGCAGCTTCTGTAGAATGCAGATACTTATGTAAAAACTAATGCACTCACGACGCGGTTTTCGCCCGCAGCGGGTGCGGTTGTAATCGAGTCCCGCTCGGCGGTTTTCGCCCGCGCGAAAACCGATAGACGAGCGACCATTTTGTACCAGTGACTTAGCACGCGGTGCAATTTATAATCGCGCAATTCCACAACCGCCAGGAGCGCTAAGGGACTTCTTATAAATATTCTTGTTTCCGCAGCTCAATGGAAGGTGTGCAACTTGTCGTGGGTACTGGCGTGCGTGGCGGACTACTGCCCGGCGTTGGTGGAGCTGAGCGTGGCGGGCTGGAGCCGCATGACGCCCGAGCAGCTGTTCGAGCTGGTGCAGGGCCTGCCGCAGCTGCAGCGGCTGGACCTGTCGCTGACGGTGCGTGTGCAATATCACTGTCCCCAGCTCAATGGAAGGTGTGTTAGCGAGCGTGGCGGGCTGGAGCCGCATGACGCCCGAGCAGCTGTTCGAGCTGGTGAAGGGCCTGCCGCAGCTGCAGCGGCTGGACCTGTCGCTGACGGTGCGTGTGCAATATCACTGTCCCCAGCTCAATGGAAGGTGTGCTAACGAGCGTGGCGGGCTGGAGCCGCATGACGCCCGAGCAGCTGTTCGAGCTGGTGCAGGGCCTGCCGCAGCTGCAGCGGCTGGACCTGTCGCTGACGGTGCGTGTGGTGGCGGAGGATTTTAGACTTTATGTCTCCCTGTATTTAAAGTGTAAAGTCTCTTGCTGTCTGACATCAACACCGCCATTATCGCCAATATTACACTATTTTGCCAGTCTTTAAAATGCACTTTCCGTGACGAGAGCATAGTGCCTTTCGGCGACTATACTATTCTGTCTGTCTAAAAAGTATAAAATTCCCTAAAAGTACGACCCCAATACCATTGGGCTATCCTCGTCCAAATTTCGCCATTCGCATATTGTTTCGTCAGTCTTTAAAGTGCATTTTCCCTTGCAGTCAGAGACGGGCGCCTCGAGTACGTGCCTATCGGCATCGTCCATACTATTCTGTCTTCAAGTGTCCCTTGTCGAACGACACTGATACCTTTGGCGTATTGTCAGAGTAAATACAAATGAGTAGGTCATCTTCATAGAAACTCATCGAGCGCGGTTTGTATGCGAGTGCGCCAATACGTATGCGGCGCGCACGTACACACTGACAAAAATTAGCGGGGTGTTGTATTGTCACCAAAATTATACTGTTATGTCAGTATTTAGAGTGCAGTTTCCCTTGCAGTCCTACACTGACACCATTAGCTCAAATTATACTATAATGCCTGTCCTTAAAGTTCACTTTCCCTTTCAGGCCTACACTGACACCATTAGCCTAAATTATACCATAATACCAGTCTTTAAAGTTCACTTTCTCTTGCAGTTCTACACTGTCACCATTAGCCTAAATTATACTATAATGCCTGTCCTTAAAGTTCACTTTCCCTTGCAGTCCTACACTGTCACCATTAGCCTGAAAAGGACAGGCATTATAGTATAATTATTATACTATAATGCCTGTCCTTAAAGTTCACTTTCCCTTGCAGTCCTACACTGTCACCATTAGCCTGAATTATACTATAATGCCTGTCCTTAAAGTTCACTTTCCCTTGCAGTCCCACACTGTCACCATTAGCCTAAATTATATCATAATACCAGTATTTAAAGTTCACTTTCCCTTGCAGTCTGAAACCGGCGGGTCTAGCACGTGCCTATCGGCGGCGTCGATGGCGCGGCTGGCGGAGGCGTTCGGCGCGCGGTTCACGCATCTCACGCTCGCCAATAACAAGTACACCGCGCTGCCGCAGATACTGTCTTCGGTCGCGGTGAGTGCTGCGATTTCATTGACTTTATCGATATTTCTTGTCCATTTCAATTGACTAGAGATTTATGAATCTTATTTAGAAGCATGATGGATCGACATCAAAAGATAACTAATTTTATAAAAATGAAAGTCTAAGGTGCTTATTAAGACAAAGAACGAAACTAGATTCAACTTCAAGCATAGCTTGAGGCTTTTTTTTGATTGGTTGAATTTCAATATTTACATACAATCGCAAGACCGAATAGCGAATAAATGAGATTGAAATGAATTTTGAGCGCTTATAAGTAGATCATAAGAAGCGTGTCCCTAACAGTTCTTGGTACCGTATGAGATGACACCATATTGATGCTACATCATAGTAAAGAGCAATAGTGAAAAAACTTCATAGATTTTTCTGTTCGTCTATTTATGTATAATTATTTTTTCAGGCGCACTGTTCTAACCTGGAGGTGCTGGACATATCAGGCGCGCTGGCAACGTCGCACCCCGCCGCCGTGCCCGTGGAGGCGCTGCAGAAGGGCTGCCCCAAGCTGCGCGTGTTCCGCGCCGCCAACTCGCAGCTCGTGCTCGCGCCCGCCACCACCTCGCAGCAGGTACTGTGTGACTAGCACCAGGCGCTGGACACAGCGGGCGCGCTGGCAACGTCGCACCCCGCCGCCGTGCCCGTGGAGGCGCTGCAGAAGGGCTGCCCCAAGCTGCGCGTGTTCCGCGCCGCCAACTCGCAGCTCGTGCTCGCGCCCGCCACCACCTCGCAGCAGGTACTGTGTGACGTAGCACCAGGCGCTGGACAGCGGGCGCGCTGGCAACGTCGCACCCCGCCGCCGTGCCCGTGGAGGCGCTGCAGAAGGGCTGCCCCAAGCTGCGCGTGTTCCGCGCCGCCAACTCGCAGAAGGCACTGCTGGCTTCATGTAGCTATCATGACAGCAGATTGATTATATCAATTTGATCCAGGTCTTCACTACCAGATGGCGCGCGATAACTGGTATGCACAGCCGCAGAACATAGAGATGTCGAGCAAACGTCGATTAAAATCAAGCTCTGGCATCACCAATCTTCTGTATGGATTTTACTTGTACGCAACTATAATATGTGCTAAATCACAGGAGTATGTGTGACACTGCCCGACTTCCAAATTAATTATAATGTGTGATGATTGCAGGTCACAGGTTTCTTTGAAACCTACTTCAGGCACCAGTCTCTCACAAGTGATAGGAACTACGCTAAGACTACTAGTATAAGACCTTGTATCTAAGTACGCATGTATCCTACTTTGTGAAGAGAGAAAAATAAACAATTTATTTATTTACTAGCTTTCCGCCCGCGGCTTCGCCCGCGTGGAATTTTGTCTGTCACAGAAAAACTTTATCGCGCGCGTCCCTGTTTCAAAAACCGGGATAAAAACTATCCTATGTTCTTTCCCGGGACTCAAACTATCTCTATGCCAAATTTCATCAAAATCGGTTGCGAGGTTTAAGCGGGAAAGCGTAACAGACAGACAGACAGTTACTTTCGCATTTATAATATTAGTTGGGATTATTGCAGATGGAAGCCGTCGGCTGGACGCAGTTAGAGGAGCTTTCCATCGCGGGCGAAGCGGCAGCCGAGGCGGTGGGCGTCGGCGAGTACCGGTTCAACGACGACGCGCTGTCCCGCCTCGTGCGCGCCGCCACGCGCCTGCGCCTGCTGGACCTGCGCGGCCTGCAGCGCCTCACGGACTCCGGGCTCGTGCGCGTGCCCGCCTGGGACCTGCAGCACCTGTTCCTGGGCGGTGAGTGCCCGCTGTAGCTCGTCCTCCACGACGCGCGCTGTCCCGCCTCGTGCGCGCCGCCACGCGCCTGCGCCTGCTGGACCTGCGCGGCCTGCAGCGCCTCACGGACTCCGGGCTCGTGCGCGTGCCCGCCTGGGACCTGCAGCACCTGTTCCTGGGCGGTGAGTGCCCGCTGTAGCTCGTCCTCCACGACGCGCGCTGTCCCGCCTCGTGCGCGCCGCCACGCGCCTGCGCCTGCTGGACCTGCGCGGCCTGCAGCGCCTCACGGACTCNTTCGCTGTAACTCGTCCGCCTGCACGAAGACTTTTTGTATTTAGAAATTACTAACAGTAAAAACAATAGCGCACACGATACGCCCTCTCGTGGCCGCGGCGTATGCCCGCCTGAGACTTGCAGCACCTCTTCCTGGGCGGTGAGTGCCCGCTGTAGCTCGTCCGCCTCGACGTCTCTTTGTATTTAGTAATATTACTAATAGTAGAAAAGATACGCCCTCTCGCGGCCGCGACGCGTGCCCACCTGAGACCTGCAGCACCTGTTCCTGGGCGGTGAGTGCCCGCGTTGTAGCTCGTCCGCCTCGACATCCCTTTGTATTTAGAAATTACTAATAGAAAAAATAGCGCACAAGATACGCCCTCTCGCGGCCGCGACGCGTTCCCTTCTGAGACTTGCAGCACCTGTTCCTGGGCGGTGAGTGCCCGCTGTAGCTCGTCCGCCTCGACGTCTCTTTGTATTTAGTAATATTACTAATAGTAGAAAAGATACGCCCTCTCGCGTCCGCGACGCATGCATTTCTGAGACTTGCAGCACCTGTTCCTGGGCGGTGAGTGCCCGCACTGTGGCTCGTCCGCCTCCACGACAATAGTCCCTTTGTATTTAGTAATTACTAACAGTAGAAAAGATACGTCTTCTCGCGGCCGCGACGCATGTCTTTCTGAGACCTGCAGCACCTGTTCCTGGGCGGTGAGTGCCCGCACTGTGGCTCGTCCGCCTCCACGACAATAGTCCCTTTGTATTTAGTAATTACTAACAGTAGAAAAGATACGTCTTCTCGCGGCCGCGACGCATGTCTTTCTGAGACACGCAGCACCTGTTCCTGGGCGGTGAGTGCCCGCACTGTGGCTCGTCCGCCTCCACGACAATAGTCCCTTTGTATTTAGTAATTACTAACAGTAGAAAAGATACGCCCTCTCGCGTCCGCGACGCATGCATTTCTGAGACTTGCAGCACCTGTTCGTGGCCCGCGCTGTAACTCGTCCGCCTGCACGAAGACTTTTTGTATTTAGAAATTACTAACAGTAAAAACAATAGCGCACACGATACGCCCTCTCGTGGCCGCGGCGTATGCCCGCCTGAGACTTGCAGCACCTCTTCCTGGGCGGTGAGTGGCCCGCACTGTAGCTTACTTACTGTAGCTTTACTGCACATATTTAGTAATTACTAACGGTAGAAAAAATTGCGCACAAAGTACGCCCTCTCGTGGCCGCGACGCGTGCCCTTCTGAGACTTGCAGCACCTTTTCCTGGGCGGTGAGTGGTCCGCCTCCACGACGACAGTCTCTTTGTATTTAGAAATTACCAATAGAAAAAATAGCGCACAAGATACGACCTCTCGCGGACGCGGTGCCTCACCGATTCACAAGGCAACGATACAATTACGACCCCCGCAACTTTTTATAGGAATCGAAATCACCAGCTGTATTAGGGACGACAGCCACAGTTTCGTCAACGTCGCCGGCTCGATCGTCCCTATTGTGAATGAGATAAGGCTCACACGACGCATACGAGCCGATCACTGTGCCATGCTTTAATGTAAAAGATCCTGAGCTCTCTGGCACATGGTGTCGTGCTTTCCACCTAAAACATACACTTGTACCAGCTGCTTTCAGAGTTTTTTTTTAACATTATTTCTTCTTTATCCTCAGGTTGCAACGTCACACGCCAGAGCAACGCGTGCTTAGAGCTGATCTGCGAGAAGTGGTCCCACAGCCTGTTGGAACTGGACTTATCGTGGGCGTCTGCCGCGAGGGTCCTGGATGACGCCGTCTCGGCGCTGGCGGACTCACCTAATAGCAAGCTAAGGTATGACCTTGTGAGCTAAAGCCCGGTCTCTGAGCACGTAGAATTTTGTCCAATGACCCCAACCTACACATCCTTATCGCTCGCGCGTAATTATGTTGCTGTTGCGCTCGCACACTCACTGCGGGCGCCCGTCGCACAGTCGCGACAGCAATATAATTACGCGCGAGCGATAAGGATGGATAGCTTGGGGTCATTGGACAAAATTCTACGTGATCGGCGACCAGATTATAGTGATATACCTACATATTTCAGCAATATTTCGGCAACCCTAAAACATAGACAGAATACGCTTCGATTTGAAGTGCCTTATCTTGACCTCGAGTGTGTGCTCTTTTGGGCTTTTGAAATGATAGTTTTGTAAATAAATAATGTCACCCCTCTCGTGCCCCTACCATACCTCAGGCACTGATTGAGTTAAGCCCTGACCTATAGGTTATTATGTCGTATCAGATATTTTTCTACATTTTTGTATTTAATTTGTTTCAGAATACTCAATCTATGTGGATCATCAGTATCCTTGGAACCAGTAAAGAAAGTGTTACTACGATGTCCCCACATAGAGTCCATCAATCTCAGCTCGTGTCGCGCACTTCCCAGGGGCATGAAGCGTCTGTACACGGGAAAAGAACTTCAGGACCTCAAAGACAGCTTAGACCCAGAAAAGGCGAAAACCAAAGAAAATGAATCTAAGGAAAAGACCAAGAAAAATACAAACAAAACAGAGGCTGACTCTAAAACCGCTGCAGAAAGAACGCCAAAGCAAGAAGTTTCCGATAGCTCTGGAGATAAATCAGAAGCGAAGCCTCAAGAGAAATCATCAGATTCCCTTTTCCAGGAGCCTAAGAGTGTCTCTGAACCGGGAAGTCACAGGCAAACGTTGACAGACGCCGGGCGTAAGACGTCTCCTGATAGCAAAACCGATACATCTTCCAACAAAACTCCCGAAAACAGAGCTTCCATGTCGGACACCAAACGCGTGAAGGGCGACACAACTCCTAAACTGTTAAGTCCAATGGCTCAACTGAGACCCGACTCCTCCTCCACACCCAGGTCCGAACAAACTAAAGGGGACATGGGCAGTCCTCACTTCAGCCCCGTTCCCAAACCCGACAGTCAGGTGCAGAACAGTCCCGAAGTACATCCCGAATCGATCAAAAGCAACTCCTGGAGTTTGGGTCAGTTCAAAACTACACCCACTCACAAGTCCGAAGCCAGCCCCCTGAACAGAATAGAGAGCCACAACAAACTGAAACACGGCAAATTCATCGAACAATGCAGCCCCACCACGTCGCTGGACAACAAGCCGAGCCCCGAGACCCTCGGCGTGAAGCAGGACATCAAGACGCCCAACAGCTGGAGCTACGGCAGCCCGATGCCGCGCCAGGAGGCGCAGTTCGCCTCGCAGCGCAGCCCCTACTCGGCCCAGCCCAGCCCGGCGCAGCCCAGCCCCTACTCCACGCAACCGAGTCCCTACTCCACGCAGCCCAGCCCCTACTCCTCGCAGCCCAGCCCGTACTCGGCCCAGCCGAGCCCCGACACGAGCCAGATCGTCAAGCCGGAGCTGCCGAAGGCCGGCGCCTGGAACACCGGCGGCTACAGCCCGATGCCGAAGCACCACGCGCCCTTCTCGCCGCACCCGTCCACGCACGCCAGCCCCGACGCCGGGCCCGGCGCCAAGGACCCGCGCGGGCCCGGCCGCACGCCCGGCCAGTACAGCCCCATGTCGCGCCAGGACCGCCTGCACCCCGGGCCCTACTCGCCGCGCCCCGACGCCTACACCAAGCGCAGCCCCGGCGTGGCCGGCGGCTACAGCCCCATGCTGCGCGCCGACTGCCAGCTCGCCAGCCCCGACCAGCCGCCGCGACCGCCCCGCGCCGACTACCGCGCGGCCAAGGCGCCCGAGCTCGCGCCCGCGCCGCCCGACGTCGCCTGGGGCATGGACCGCTTCGGCCAGCTGCCGGGCGCGCCGCCGACCAGCATCGAGTCGCTCGTGTGGGGCGCCGGCTTCGAGCAGGCGCCCGCGCGGGAGCCGGCGCCGGCGCCGCTGAGCACGCCGCCGCAGTGGGGCGGGCTGCCGGGCTTCGAGGCGGGCGCGCGGCGGGCGGCCGACCCGTGGGCGCTGGGCCACTTCCGCGTGGAGCCGCCGACGCCGTCGCAGCACACGTTCGTGGAGCAGAGCGTGTCGTTCGACGCGCTGAGCGGGCACGTGGGCCACGCGGCGCACGCGCTGTCCAGTTTTTTAGACGAGGCCTTCGCCGAGTCGTCGCGTGTGGACTGACGCTCCCGCGAGTGCCGCGCCCGCCGCCCGCGGTCGCGTGACGCCGGCGGCGGGTGACGTCGAACGTTTCTCTCGTGCGAGTTTGTAAATAAGATTTATTAGTTAGGCGTAAGAGTGACGAAGCTGTGACAGTGCGGTCGAGTTATTTTGCAATCCATAGTCTATGAGAGGATACGTGATGAGAGCAAATTATATAGAGTTAGTGAATTCATCGATGAACTTAGATATTGTTGAATTATACTCATGAGTTAGATTTTAGAATGCGTCTTTATTTATATGCCAAAATCTGTTAATATCATCAACTGAGGCCAAAATATATTTAATTCAATTTATTTGTTGAACTTGAAACATTTAGCTGCTGTATTTATTTAGGACTTCCCGTTGGGGAGACGTGAAGATTTATAAGTTTCATGAACTACAATAAAATTAAACATTCCTTTACATTTATTCAACTTTGGTTTGACATGACATTTAGGTTTAAAAAATATCGCAAAAATCAAGATTGTTTATAAACTTTGTTAGTGGCTTTAGATAGTGTTGTTATATTTGGGCGATGCTTTAACTATAGCACATAACTTTATTCACGGCAACTTTAAGCAGCTACCTAATTTTAAGCTGCTTTATGCATTCACTGTAACAGTTGTGTCTTCGTTAAGTGATTGTTACTAAAATAATAAGTATAATAAATGTTCTGTTCTCTGGTCATTAGGTTCTGGATGTCATTAGTGTTGTAAACATCTGATTATGAAAAAGCAATATCTTGGTCTAAAGTTATGAGATTGCTTCAGCCTTAGAATATTTAATTGCAGTGCTAGGCTAGCCTGTTTATTCCAAGTAGGCAATATTCTCCGAATGTTGCCATATTGATTAGGAAAGTACCCTTCCTATTCATAAATAAGTTTAAATCAACTAACCACACATTATGTTATGTTAAATCAAACACCACTTACATAAATATCTTCTAAATATTTCAATGAACAGATGTTTTAGACTAATGCATTTATTAGATTAGCAGTTCATTTTTTTATTTTATTTTTTCTTATGGTGTTAGTGTAATTATTTATCTATCATGGTTATCATATTTATTATTCCATACTGAGAAAGAATAGTGCAATGCACTTCACTTCATTGGAGTATATTAATTTATTTATATTTTTTTACTTAAATATTTTATTACGATATTTTTATTGTAGTTCTTTGCGTATTAAGTCCCCTAAAATGTTGGAAACGTTATAAAAATGGCAAATGGTGGATAAATTATATCTAAGGCTGTTGCAAATGCTTACTCTCTTGACAACTATTAAGTAATTTGCTTTTTAATGTTCAGAAAAATTGTAATTTTAAGACTTAGTCACAAAATCTGCATATCTTTCTTGTTCCATTTGATTACACAACTTTAATTTAACTAGAGAACAATATTAACGGTTTGCTTTTCATTAATTAATATTTCATATACTTTGTTAGAAATTTCACATGTAAAAATCATAAAATTGCCTTGTCTTTCTTTTTATAACACTTACATGATAATATCTTAACCAATGAAGTTTGTGGTTGTTGGGAGTGCTGACTGAGATGTCATACCTGATTTGAAAGCGAATGTGTTCATGAAATCACGTTGTTTGATCAATTCTGTTTCCATTTTAAATATAGTCAATTGCAAATAGTTACAAATGTTATTTGTCGGTGGCATTGCGGAGTCACAAGAGAATAATAATTATGAATCGGTACAGATGTTGTAAAAATTATGAGATGTTGATTATTCTGGGCTGTTGACGTGTTGCTCGTTGGAGCTATGTCAATCGAGTTGTTTTATGGTCTACGTCCTTGTTGTTATGGTGTAACTCCGAAAGAACTATTTTAAGTTACATAAGGTCACTTTTTCTCGAAGTTAGCTTATCGCAGATCAAATAATACCATTACATAATTCGTCTCTCAATTCTATTGATAGGACTTTTAGTTAATTACTAAACTTAGGATGATGCTAGTGCACTACCTACTATGAACACGAATATTAAATAGGTAACATGATGAATGGCTCAGTTTTGAATTTAAATCAACTAATTGAAGCAATTACAAATCATGCATTTAGTATTCAAAAATCTATTTCATTGAATTGATTGCCATGTATTAGCAATAAAAAGTATAATTTATAATTATAAGAGTTAAAAAATATAATTCAAAAATGTTTATTATGTTTTGAGCTTGCAAATATTTACCATTTACGATCTTCTTTTTTTATTTAAAAGAATTTATACTTCTGATCGTTTTAGTGCTTTTTTACCATTGCTTCATAACAAATTAATTTGTTTCTTAACCGCTCATGTTAGAAGAAAGTATCCATCTGTTATTTGTAAAGTATATTTTTTAATAATATACAACGTGTAATAGAAGTAATGCAAAATCTCAATCACTATGTGTTCATGCGTCCCCGTGGGCCTAGTTCTACTGGTAGTATCACGGGTAATTTAGTTTTTCGGCGGCACAACTACTAATATAAAAACCACTATTAGTAGGACCACTGTTTTTCCATGGTTCTATAAGATGGGTCTGAGCAGTAATACCACGGGCAACGCACGACCGAAATACCCCTGGATTAGCTGTTGATTAGATTGAGACATCGACCGAGTTAACTGTCAAAGCTTAGCCAGTATTTACTTACTGCACTTTATGATGTTTTACTCTCCATAGCATACAACTTTTCATTTGCATAACGTTTAAATACGATTACGAGATACCATTGAATGATTCATTCACAATGAATTTTAAAGTACATAGTGTAATCGATTCCTACTCTCGATTCTAAACCAATTTCAATGTATGCATTCATTCAATTACACGTTTTATTTGAGCGCTAGTGTTGAGATTTTTGGCAATTAATACTTCAATATAGTATTGGGTCTAAAACAATAGTTGGGTACCTACTTCAGGTAACTATAAAAATGTCTTTTGGTCTCTGGAATTGACACATAGTAGGGCTGTGCCTAAAACTCAGATTTGGAAGTTCTAAAAACATATAAGCAACACAAATGAGGAATCTCTATGTCAAAATTATTTTCTGTATGCATAAATAATATTTTGAATCACACAATATTTGGCACAATTACTTTTTAGTTTTAATCTTACCCAAAACTTAAAAATTGGCGGTATAATTTAGTTATAATTTTGTGTTCAATCATTTTGTTTAGAATTTTCTTTTTTGAGATCGTTTTATTAACTAGCCTTTAACGCATATTTTTCCACATGAAACTGTAATAATTATCATTCTTTGTGAGAGCTTATGACCGAATGCTTAAACAAGTTAGAATAACATCGAATAAATTTCTATTTGATATCGATTATAGATTTGCCCTTGATTCTTTCAATTTCAATATTTAGACCAACCACAGGTTAGGGTCAATTTTGAGACTCGCTTGAAAATACGGGCCCACTAACTCATGTAGACGATTTTTTTTTTTCTTAAAATGAATTGCGTTAACTGATCCTTTATTATTATTATCGCCAGCATTTGGCCTTAAGCCCTCACTGCAGTGTTTATCTTATGTAATGTTTATTAAAATAAATGTATTTATGGTTTGTATATGAAATTTTAAATGCCGTCACACCAAATTATTGGATGCGCCACCGCCTGATCTAGATTTCCTGCTGGGTCCCATTCAAATTAAATTGAAAGTCCTTCTTTTTACTTTAAGTGATGCTGTTTACTTGTCCCCTTTAAAATAGTTGAATAGTTGAGACAAGTAATGATTTGCCCTCTTCATTGTTTGTTAATGGAATTCATATATTATTATTATAATACTTATATAGAAATTGCGCAAAGTTGACTACAGTAATTTTCAACTACAACTGTGTTGCTATAACTAATATTCCCAGTGTAGATTTTGCGAAAGCCAATTTCATAAATGCCATTCATATAAATATACCATGCTTCAACTTTCCACAACGCTTAGGGTGTTTGTTTTTGTAAGCTATGCATATTTTCAAACTTTGATAAGCCAAGTACAAAGTGCTTTGTATAAATTAATGTTACATAGGTACTTCACGTTGTATTTGAAGAGACCCGAGAAAACCACCAAATATTGTTTCCAAGACCTGCATTAGCCTTATAAAATTGCCTAATGTGTTACTGAAGAGAATATTTTATAGTTTTATTAACTTATTACAAAATGAAGTATATCTACTATACATAGAATGTATAAATTAAATATAATATTAGGTGAATATTATGTTAAATAATCGTGTACCATAGTATGTATAAAATAAAGTTGACTAATTACTGTAAGTTCTGTTATGTAGAGATTTTTGTTTGTAATATTGTTACACTTGCATGGACTTCTCACAGGTGGTCCAATTTTTATAATCTAACCAATAAAATATCGATGTGGTTGTACATTTACATTTTGAATAGAATTACTCTATTTATTAAAAATCTTTTGTTCGAAATCATATCCCATCTATTTCGGATTTTCCCCCCTTTTCCCTTCAATTTTAAGATACCAATCAAACATAAACAGTGAATTTGTTGACAATTTTTATTAATACAACAAGCATATTTAATATTTAACCGTATCTTCATAAAATATATTGCAATCGCATAACATTAAAAACGGTAAAAGGCCAGTAAGACTGCAATGGTTATTTCATAAAATATGTTAGTTTATACAAGTTTGAGCATACTGGTGTTTGGGTAACGGCTAAAGATGTTTTATGAACTACATTTTGCCACTGATTCGTCCAATGAATGATAGCCCAAAAATAGAATATCTTTAACGATACCCAACATCATGTATCTAGTCAATTAAATTAGTCATAGGAATAGTATAAAAACACACAAAGATTGACATAGTTTGGACGTTTGGTTTATGAAAGATGGAACTTTTTTATACTTGCAGCAAGGTATTTTGTGTCGAGCTGGAAGGCAGTGTGTTAGTGCTTTTTGACAGTGACTCGATTCCAAAACTATTTCTGACAGACCCTATATGAGGGCAACTTAATTTATTGTACTTTGTGTACAACGTGTATTGAGTGAACGACATGACTTTTATAAATAACGATGTATGCCAAGCACCCATTATGCTTTCGATTTTGTTCTGATATATTACACAGAAGTCGACTTTACAACGATCGACAAAATATACATATTATGCCTTAGGAGCGTAGCGCTTTGCGCAATGAGTATTTCCAAAACAAATTAAGACTTGAATGTCCGGATTTGGAAGAACCAGATATTATGATCTATTGGGCAGTTGACAATGTTACCTGATGGCTAGATACCCAGATTAACTGATTTCCAATTGACTAGTAATTTTAACCAGCCAAGGATCAAGTGTGTCTTATTATCCACAACAAGACAAATTCGGATCGTTCATGTTAAAAAAGGACACTAGAGGACCTTTGCTGTCTTCTGGTTAATAAATACAACAAAAAGCATTGCTTACGCTTTTAAAACGTTTAAAAGCTGGAGGCTGGCGTACCTACGAGTATAAGTTGTCAATAAAATATTTTAATATTTAAATACTAAAGAGATTAATATTAGATCCATAAAACAACATACAAAGCTAATACATTGTACACAGGATGTTAATGTAATCTGTGCCAGCCATAATTGTAAGTATGGAGGTTAAAAGACTCACTCCTTGACCCTTCGATTTCGATAACATACTAATAAACCTTCATGCTCGTAGATATGGAACAATTAACACCCTTATATACATATTGCACATACACATACATTAATAATATTCAATGCGTCTTGTACTTATTTCAGATTAAATGCTATCATAGTCGTCGTAATAGAATCCTGCGCCCACAGAGGGTGACAAAAGGTCCTGCTGAGCGTTAGAGGAATGCTTTTCGCCTTTTGATTTCTTGTGCTTATGTTTCTTCTCTTTTCGATCAGACTTGTCGCTGTAATCGCCCTTATCCTTGTCTTTGGATTTCTTTTTCTTGTGCTTCTTTTCTGGCTGTAAATGAGTAAGGAATAAACGAGTGAAAAATAATTTTCTCATCTTTATTCAAGGGTTATTTTATTATATTAATCTGAATCAAACATTGAAATAAACTTAATTACCTTTTCTTCCGGTTCTTTAGGTATATCTGGATCTTCTCCACCTGGAATATATAAATCAAGTTTTTATTAATGTAGGTAGAAAGATGAATGATAGTTGCTTATTTTATCAATTTGATTTAGTACCTTCTGGAGACCTTCGCGCGCTTGTATCGCCTGCCCATAGTGGGAAATCGTTATCAAGTGACATTTGTATGCTATGGCTGCTGTCGAGCAAAGAGTGATTGACGCTCATTTCGTCCTGCGTTGAACTTTCCTTGCTTATTGACGTCTGTCTCATAAATCTGTTTAGAGACTCGTCCTCTTCTTCAGGTCTTGGTTGAAATGATTTGTGATGATCTGAAGACAATAAAGTTTTTGGTTCCTCCATTGTAGTTTCAGATGTGGGAGTGCCGACAAAATCGAAGTCATCTTGATCGACGGTTACTTTCGGATTTGTTCCATTCTCTTCATCACTACAAACCAAGATATTTAATTAATAAAGGATAAATCTTGATTATTATATTTGTTTATTTATTATAATATTACCTGTCCGTTTCGTAATATTCTTGATTTGTATTGGACAGAGGTGCTAAGTCTTCTAAGAAACTGCTATCGAGTGTTCCTGCATAAAACTCGTCTAGTGCACCGGAAGACGATGATATATTCGCATGTGAAGGCGAGGTTACTTCACTAAAACAGATAAAGTTTGTTAAGAAAAGATTACATGATAATAAAATAACAAGAATAAATAATAAAAAAATATGTTACCTCTCTTGATTAGGTTTGGACGGAGTCATATCTAAACTGACAGTTGGTTTAGATCTTGTTAGTTCAGTGCTCACATATTGACTCTGTGATGACTGAGCATTCTCTACCACATTGCTCTGTGGTTTCGGAGGGTTTAGAGATTGTGCGAGCTGAAGAAAAACATCATATTAGTTATTTAATGAATTTATTTTTTCATTTTATTTATTAGTTTCGTTGATAGCGCTCACCAGTTGGCGCCACTGATGATTGATAGGACCTTAATTAACCTTTTCAGCGCCACGTCAAATACAAAAGCCATCACTCTGACGCCACACTTGATAAATTATATCAAAATAATCATTGTATTCATTATTATTCAGTTTACATAATACTCAATTAGCCTATTACTGATTACAACATCCATCATTGACGGTCAACTTGATGTACGCATAATTATATCCGTCATTGGCGTTGAAAAGGTTAATAGTGGGGCCAAACTGGTAAATACAAATGGGATATTCCTCCTACAGCTTTAGCGCTCCCTGGTTGGTGCCACTTTTTGAGCCACAAGCACGTATGATTTACTTACTCGCCAATGGCGCCAACTGGTGAATGCAATTAAAAGGAAATTCTCATTATATTGAAAAAAAACTCACCAGTGGATTAATGTGAGGTGGCACGATTGGCTTGCCAGCACCTATAACGATGCTCGGAGAACGATCGCTGCTGGGCTTTGGATCTGATTTAGAGTTCTGTTTTCGCTTGTTCGCTAACCTATCCAGGAATGAATTGTAGTGGGCCTCTTCTGAATTCTGTGGAAAAAACAAAGTACATATGTTATAAAGAAGTTAGATAAATAAATAGGGATTATTTCTGCAATAATAATCGCAAACAGTAAACCGTTTTTTAACAAATCATTGGCGTTTAAAATAAGGAGGATAATTTTTTACCAAATTAATTAAATTAGTATTTTATCAGTTAATTTTTATTCTATTTTTGTATAATTATTTAAATGGAAAACACTTACTTGGAAATCATCAAGTTCTTTCTCAGTCTCTTCTATATCTTTTTGATTCCTCTGTAGTTGTTCCAGCAAACTTGTTCGTTGCAGTCTCAGAAATGGTACACTAAGAAATTTATGTAGCAATCGCAATCCAAAACCATTTCTCATAGAAGATTCCGCATAACGCACGGGTGCTGTCCTGGAAAATAAATAGTATACATTCAGAAAGCATTTAATATTTTTGTAATAATTTATGTGAGCAAAATTTATAAAAGAACAAAATGCGAAGTTAAATTTCTTTAAGCAAAAAAAATTGGGAAAATTAGAACTGGTTGGTTGGCCAGAAATCGTTATAATTGTCTTTTATTTTCATTCATATCAGGTTGGTTATAGATTTCACAATCAAGCACAGTAATAAAGTTACCTGGTTAGTTTTGCATTATGTAGAGCCTGATCAATGTGATGCATATGCACTTGACGGTGGTGTTGCATGTCGCAGTGGTTGCCCAGCACAACCACTGGCAAGTCGGCCGGCACCCTTGACAACTCCTTCACAACATATTCAAATGTCCTGCAAATATTGGTTAAAGTTGCCAAATATTGTACTTGAAGGGTACAGGGGCAAAACAAGAAATGTCACAAAAACAAAAAGTTATGTAATGAACATTTTAAAGTTTAAAACATTCTTATGTGTCACTTAAAATTATAAACTATTAATAGGAATACATACAATACTATGACTCCTACTTGTTTTTACGCTTTTTGTATAATTTCAAATAAAAATACGCAGGAAATCGAAAATATTGCCATCAAAAATATACTTTTGAATTTTAGGGACATTCCTTGTTTTGCCCCTGTACCCTTCACTTTTGAATATTGTTACGGGTCAGGCCAACATGGTTTGTTATTACATTCCATATTTATTAGCAGTTGAGATCTGCATATGAGGCAAATGGGAATAGGACTGAGCTGTATTTTTCTCAAGCAGAAATCACTATACCAATCACATTATCAATATTAAACAAGTTGCAGTCTTCATGGTACCTTCATTTGACGATGTAAATTTTCAAAGATTTAAATATTCAATTATTATTATCGTAAAAATATCAGTAATATATCTTACCAGGGCTTTGTAATATCTAGCATCAATATAACACCACTAGCATTTTTGTATACATCTAGGAATGTAGCGTCCAGAACTGGAGTCTCATAGCCCTCTTCAGGGGCTGCTGGAGCTGTTTGGTTTTCCAGCTTAAGGCCTAGAGGAGGCTTCTTTTTAGTACGACCCTTATCAACAACTTCCCAAACTTCTACCTAAAAGAATAGAAATACATTTGATTCAAACAACATACCTACTACTCAATGTATTGTATCAAAAATAAAATTTTTTGATATGACACATTAATCATACCAAAATGATTATTTATTAGTTGTGTACTTTATACCTTTACTATATAGTCAGTATTCTTGTAAGTCCAATTGATGGGTGCTACTTGTATTTGATCCGTAGGCACATAATCTTCGATAAATGGTCCACCCTGTAATCTTTGAAGGAGGCATGATTTTCCCACATTTCTATCACCCTTTATTAATATTTTCACTGGAAGAAATCCATGTACATGTTACACTATTGATGTAAACATTTGGGTAAGCAACATTTCATTTTAATTTATTCAGTTTCTCATCAAATAAGAATTATTTTCAGATCGATAAAATATGAAATATTCCATATTTTGTAGGCAATACAAACTGGTGATAAATGTATTAAAATAGTAAAGTAAAATAGTTATTTACTGTTAAAGTGAACGCCTCGTGAGAATTTCTTCTGAAGCGATGATGACATCGGAACAGGAGCTGGACAGCGGTCATCGCCGCTTTTGGTTAGTTTTTTAAGAGCAGATAACATAGTTTTATTCTAAAGTGAAAGTAAAGAGAAGAAAAATCCTAAAGAAGCGAAAAACCCTCGAAATATAACACTTTGTTTACGTGACACAACAACACCAATCAGACGACATGACAGAAATGTCAAAATCAGATGGATGACATTCCACGCACAGATAATGGTGGGGGTATCGATTCTACATTCTCTGTTTTATGAAAGCTAAATAAAGATATAGTTCCAAAATACTGGACTGTCCTGTCGATGACATTGACAGTGGGGCGCCACCGTCAATACCGGATCGCTGGTTCAGATTTTTGCCATGTTGGAAACCATATAGTTGAACGATGGTAGCGCCCCCCTGTCATTGAGTTTGGCGGGACAGTTCAGCGTGGGTCATCTATATTAGCGCTTTCGTTAATAGTACTTATTCTTATCTATGTTCGTTAATTACATCGTGTATTCTCGAGAGTAGAGGCGCAACTTGTAGTGTGAAATTCCTATGAAAGTAACATTATACAATATATGTAGGGTGTGCCTAAATAAACACTACAAAGTTATTATGTGCCTTAATAAAACACAGCGTTCTGTTGAGAGAGCTGTCTATGATCTTTGCCTTATTTTAGTCTATGGTATAAGAAAACTTACCAATTGTCTCTGCTTTATCATCTAGTTTACCTTCTTCATACACCAGCTGGCACCACTTTCTATGGAAATTGGTGATCTGTCAACTTGACATTTCATAGTCGTCGGCAACAGTGTTTCCACATTGAGGGGAAATTCCCCTTTTGAGGGGAAATTAGGGTCAAGAGGGGAAAGAAAAGGGGAAAGACTATAAAAGGGGAAATTGCGGGAAATCGTAGATAAATCCTTTCGGAAGTAATGAGGGTTTTCGCGTATGATAAATGATGGCTCTAGCTGCTACGATTGGTGAATTTTGACAGTATCTATCAATGCTATGCCAAAAATATCCAATCATGCAGCACTCGGACGGACCTCACAAGTCACGCCTGCGTATTGCCATCTAGTGGATTTTTCATACACGAAATCTTTTATTATTTATGGACTCTACCGTGGACTAGTGTGTTACCGTATGAAAGGAACTGCGACAAGCGACAACACGAGCAGGTGGCGTATACTTACCCTTATTTCAATTCTGTTTGAGGCCTAAAATATTATTATGTGCAAAAATGTATGCGCTGACAGCGTAAACTAATTTGGAATAAAAAATGAGTACACAACTCCAAGTTTTTATTATATTTCTGGTCAGTCTGTAAATAAAACACAAATCGTTTAGTTATATTTTATTCATGATTGATGATTCATGAGGAAATTGATAGCTAGTGATGTGCAGCTATATCAAAATAATAGTAGTAATCTGCAAAGTCGACTGTCGATGATTTTGTTGACGAATTTTGTGTAAATAATAATATTAATACAATAGACTATAGAAGAAGAACGATAAATAAACTATAAATTTTAGGTGTGGCGTGTGGTGTCAAAACTACAGCAAAATAATTTTTGAGGGGAAAAAAGTCCGTAGAAGGGGAAATCTGAATTGCCGTGTGGGGAAAGGAAATCGTTCTAGTGGAAACACTGGTCGGCAATGTTCTACGTTCTTTACATGTGCTAGCTAAGTACTAAACAAAATTGTATACTTAAGTTAAGTATAACCTACTGAAACTGAAACAATGAAACTGTGGCAGCAGAAATAAATAAATAAATATTTCTGCTAACACATAGGACTTCCTGAAAAGGCTTATACTTAATAATACAATTTGATAAATGGAGATACTTATATGCCCACTTATATTTAAGCGTAATTTCATAATATAAGTACCTACTGGCCTAGCTTCTTTGATCAACATGGTAACCCTAGCTACTGACTGTAGCCATAGCGCGGTTGATCGTGCAAACTGCTAGAACAATGAAATTAGCTCACACTCTCGCTCCTTGAAAGTGTTCTGTCAACCACTAATTTGCAGATGTTTTNATTCCTAAAGGGAAACACAGGGTCATGGAGAAAACTCATTAAGCGGAAATAAAAGGTTCGTTCGTTCGTTCGTTTCAGCCAAAAGACGTCCACAGCTGGACAAAGGCCTCCCCCAAGGATTTCCACAAAGACCGGTCCTGCGCCGCCTGTATCCAGGTACTTCCCGCGACCTTCCAGATCCACCAGATCGTCGGTCCACCTAGTGGGAGGCCTGCCCACGCTACGTCTTCCAGCTCGTGGTCGCCACTCAAGAACTTTCCTGCCCCAGCGGCCATCAGCTCTTCGAGCTATGTGCCCCGCCCACTGCCACTTGATTTTAGCGATTCTGCGGGCNGTTAATCAAAAGCAACCTGTGGATGGTGTCGTGGTTCGTGTCAGAGCACAAAACTTTACTGTTATCTATGTTATAATATTCCACCATGAATTGAAATATGTACATATAGTAGTTTTCGTTTACGACCAGGATCGGTTTTGTAAGTTGGTTTGCGTTTGCGCGTAGTGGATGAATTAGGAGTAGAAGGATTGTCATTATCAGATGTCGAAATTAGTGAATTTATGCTTGGTATGTTATGGTCTTCCGGTACTGGTGGCGTTGTTGCACTGAGGTCGTTTTGTTCGGAAAAAAGTGCAAACGGCGCATTTTCTTTATTTAGAGTAGTAACAGGGTTATCAGTTGGTGGTGACCCGAAGTTATTTTCTTGTTCGGAAGAGGGTAATGGTGTTGGTATCCCTTCTTCGACGTCTTTATTTAGCGTATTAACTGGGTCATTCGTTGGTGATGACCCCAAGGTAAAGTCTTGTCTAGAGTTGGGTGATGGCACTGGTGTGCATTCTTCGCTGGCAAGTATAACGCTGTTGGAATCATTTGCCTGGATATCATTAGTCTTGTCATCATCCGATTCTATTTGTGATGTTGGAAAAACATCTTCATAAATATCATTCAATATCCTCCATTCTTCCTCTGTGTAATCCTTGTATTATGCAGGGGATTCTAAAATAAAAGAAAAAATACCTAAAACATAATAAAGCCACTAGGTAGGTACACTAAAAAAGTTTTTTAGTCAGTTAAAAATTAATGTCAATTAAAATTGGATCTGTCATCTAACCAAAAATTAGCGTAGAACAGTATAGTAACTGGTAAATTCGATAAATATTTTATAAAGTAAACTATCAAAACTGCCACTTACAATATTTTCCAAAAAATATTTACCTAGAATACAATCGAATCTACCAATTTCGATAGTTTAAGTTGTTAACCTCAAATGGCTTTTAATTCTTTTGCAGTTAACACTTTAATTGTGCTGCCGACTTTTGAAAGATTGGATTTTTTCCAGAAGCATTCTACTGATGTGCAAGATGGTTCTTCACTGCGACGATGAAACCACATTAAAAATGCAACAGCATGTTTGCAGCCCCCTGCTGCAGCTGGACAATCTTGACAAAGAACTGTAATCTCTTCTTCTTCTTCATAAATGACTGCTGAAACTGTATACTGCTTAGAGCGCACCTTATGTTTAGGACACATTTTACATTTCACAGTGCAGATTTTACTTTCCCTTTTAAGTTGAACATAACCAATTGCATCATCACCATATGATTCTCCTGCAATAATAATATAATAATTTAGCAATAGTTGGTCAGAGGTTAGATTACTTATTGCCTTATTTCCATTTAATGATGTGGTCTATATTAAAAAAAAAGTTGTAAATGAATTGTACTTAGTTAGTTATCTTAACATTCCTTAGCTCAGCTGAGCAGAAATCAGGATTTGAAGCAAAAAATTTTGCAACCATCAATGTGCCGATTTTGGGCAGATTTGTGCTTTCTGCTTTCACTAACCCAGGATTCATGATAATTTATATACAATAAATGCGAACTGTACAATATTTTTATGTGAAATAAATAATTATCAAGGCGTATTAGGGGTTTTTCTTTCGATGTATTGGAAGAAAACATCGATGTTTTGTATAAATCGAGTACTTTTTTAAGATTTTTTATAATCCACTAATTTAAGCATTGTATTATTAAAAAAAAAAATAATTAAAAAACAGTAAATGAGAAAAATCTTCATTATACATAATATATTAAAGTAAGAACAAAAAAAAAAGATTGATTTAAAAATAAGTAGGGCATTCTCAACAAAACTGTTTCTCCACCAGCATGTACTACAACCTATTTCCTTTAGAAACAGGATTCAAAATCCCGTCAAATTCATTACTTTGCCAACAACGCTCAGCCGTGTGTGATGAGTGGATGTAAGTCTCATCCAAAAATATAACTGGCTTTTTTCACGGCTTTTGTTCTGTTAGAGTACACTTCTGAGGTGGTTCCATTGTCACCAAGTCAGTTTATATTACATTTGTTTATAAGTACAAATATATACCTACCATGATTGATATTTTTGGAGGCGGTGCCGGTAAATTTATAAAATTTCTTGAACTTGGCACTAGGCAGGCTGGCACCGACTCCGAGAATATCAATCATGGTAGGTATATATTAATTTGTCCCAATAAACAAATAACGTAATTATTTTTTACTTTTTACTGCAGGTTTTTTGAAGTCGGTTTTAATTTTCTATATTTTAGAGGTTAAATTGATTTTTGAGGATTTAAATAAAAAACCACTTTAATAATATAATACTTTAATCATCAGTATCACTGACCCTTAAACAAAATTAATTTGTTATAAAAATTCCTGACGATGTCAGAGTTTTCTGAAAGCTTTTTAGCTGCATAATATATTCGAACTTTCAGATACTTTAAACTTATGGCTTTAACTAAGAGCGAATAGTGACAGTCAAGAAATGTTTGTTGTTTAAAATGTGAAGTCTTGGAGAAAAAAGGATATCCTAAACAGTATCTAAGACTTTCTTGCATTAGGTCGGTTAAATGTTTTTTTTTAATAAAATCCTTTATTCCTACGAAATATAATTTCACAAATTTCGCAAATTTTTATGACATCTACTGTAGGATAACACAGTCCGCCTTTGTCTTTTTTCAATTGTAGGCTAACATATTTAGTATTACATACTATAGCTGACACACATTCCTCACAGTTAAGTTCTTTTTTCAGTTTGCTTACAACAAAACCAGCTATGTATATAATTATATGTTTAGAAAATTCAGTCAAAATACTTGGGTCTGTTAAATAGTCGTGATCTTTCATTAATATTTTTTCAACCATTTCTGTATTTACAGGTTCATTATCAATTAATCTATTTTTCTCAGATGTTTTATTTATTGCTAATTCAGGTTTCGTTAGCGTTAAAATGTTTAATGTTCGAGAGGAATACAGTTTCCTGACGTTATATGTTTAATTTCTCCATGTACTAACATCCTCTTAAAGGCAGATTTAAACTGTTGTGCAGATGGATTGTTGTTAAATCCTCCTTTAGCCGTGATGGTACTAAAAATACTCTAGATGGTCCTGACTCATTTTGTATGTGCTCAGAAATTGGAGGTTATTATTTACCACCTGAGTTTCGTAAACTTTAACAACGCTTTTAATACAAATAACAAATCCCATAATTCCAATTTTTCTTCGGGATTGCATAATATTTATACCCCCTAATTTTAAGTTCGTCAAATATACAACCATCTCGTCTAAAAATTGTTTGATTTCGTTAGGTTCTATCCGGGTCCAAGTCTGCCTGGGCGATGGTGACTACCAGACTGTCCTTGAAGACCCGCCAGTCGGGCGTCCTTGATGTCTGATAACGGTACGTAGACTGACGTGGTGGCAGAGGCACAGAGCCGGAAGAATAGGTCCTGAATTTAAAGGTGATGGCCACGTGCTGCGACGAGGCCGCCGCCGCGTCATCGGTGCGCCAGTTGCGAACTTTCGAGACGATGTCATGCGACACCAGGGTGAGGTCTATAGAGCTGGATCGTGGCTGCCCATGGGTGATAGTTCTGAACGTGATCTGGCCTGAGTTCAGAACTTCAGACATAGGAGGTCTCGGTCCCGCATGACACCGTGCAGGAACTCGCCCGCCGCGTTGGGATTTATTTATTTATTTATATTAGGAAGACCAGGGTTTACATAATTGATTATTTTACAGTTAATAACACTTGAAAACCACTTATAGGTCCCCACAGATAGAATTGTGGTGGATATTTAAAGAAATTATAAAAACAGATAAAATTTATACGATACACGATACACCTAATGTTGTAATAAAGAGATAGTAATTTTACTATATTAGAGTTCCCGTTACCTCATATTTATAATAAACAACATGATAAAAATAAAAAACTTACATGATAGGCTTGAAAAAACGCTCGCTCAGCAGCCGCCTAAGCGCTGGTATGCTAGCGCTGGATGCCGAGCATAGTCCCACACGGCGTGCGTGGCGTTAAAGTCGCCCAAGATGACGCAGCGGGCGTTGCAGACAGCACTTAGTAGGCCCGTCAGAGCCTCCATTGTGGGGGATGTTGCAAGATCGGTGCGTGGGGGGAGATAAACGGATGCCACGTACAGCGGGCTCCCGTCCACCTCCATTCCAAGCACTGCCAAGTCCGGGGTCGAATGTTGAGCCAGTAACAGGGCCTTGTGCCTTGAGGCAATACTTTTGTTGACATAGAGGGCCGCCCTGACCCAATCACCGTGCCCAGACATCTGGAACACTAGGTCAGTGCCCTTTGCCAGCTTGCCCGCTCCGGTGTATGGTTCCGCAACAGCGGCCATCCCGATACCCTCACGCGATGCGTACGCCAGCATCTCCCTAAAGGCCGACTGGGACCTGTCGAGGTTAATCTGCAAGAAGAGAAGGTTGTGATCGCCGCTATTGCGTTCCGTAATCGATTTTGCTAAGGACTCTGTTGCGCATCGTGCGTAGTCTCGGGCAGGCTGGATCGGATGAGGAATGTTTGGTGTCGGCCTCGGTTTGGAATCTGACCTTGGAGGCCAGGCAGTTCACGCATGTAGGGGCCAGGTTGACCCTGTCGCAGTTTCTCGCCGTATGCCCGGCGGTCGCGCAGTGCTCGCATGTGGGGTCGCGAGCCGGGCAACGCGCCTGGGTGTGGCCGAAGCCCATGCACCGGCGGCACTGTATGAACGGTGAGAACTCCTCCGCGTGGACCCGTTGGTACCCCACGCGGACTCGTCCAAGGTTACGCATCTGGCGGAACACTGCCGGTGCGACCAGCAGTACTGCGCAAGATTTGGTAGAGTAATTAAACCAGTCAAAAGACCTAATTTTGAATAATACTTACTTAATAAGTGTAATAGTTTGCTATAATGTATTTTAAATTATGTTATACTTACCTACCATTCATGACATACTTACCTTAACTGAAAAATAACTTGTTCAGCTAATCCGAGATAGATAGATACTAGATACTAAATTAATACTATTGTCTTTATGATAAATTATAGCCTATTTTAAGTACTTGATACTTTAGTTGGATTTTGTTAACATGTCAAGCATTGAATATAATCTTGCTATGATAATAATATTATGTTTATAAGTATTTCAGTGATTATCTGTATTATGTGAATGCATGTACTAGGCATTTAATAATCTCTTAATAACTAACTAGATCTTAGTATAATCATAAATATGTTGTACTGTATTAAATAGTGCCTATACGTGAGTCATAGTCAACATGTAAGCAGTGAGTAAAGTAGGTACAACATGATGTTTTCTGTTTATTTACAAAGAAAGGGAGATGTAAAGTAATAGACATCACTATTTGCATTTTTGAACTGTCATTGGTCTATGCTCTATGATTAATATCGTCTATGAATGTATCGCAATTCGGAAGCAAATAAAACCACAAGTTGTATTTTCTAAAATCAAGTTTTATTTACACATCCCAATGTGCCAATAGTCTATGGTAGAATTGGTAGATTTAAGACTTCCGGTGTGTGACGTTTCTGTACTCGGGTTGGCTAAATATAGAAAAGTGTGTCAAGGACATTAAAATACATTCGTTAGTAAATCGGTTGTTTTTAATTCCATCACAACAGGTTATGGGCCCAGGCAAGTTTAAGTGAAGTGAGATAATAAAGTGATCGCAAAAGTATTGAGTATTTCTCGCTTCGGTAACGGGCTGCCGGCTTGCACGTGAAGTCGTGAAACAACTTGTTAAGATCGGACACAAAATCGGCGAACAGCGGGATTTCGGTGTGCCCTGCCCGTTTGAGTTGGGAATGGTACATTTAGGGCCGACTCAGAATGCCACAACACCACACACAACAGAACTTCTGATCTCCAGCACAGCCAGCAGAATAAAGGGGACTACAAAAAGGCGTCGGTCATCACCCGTGACTAGACTTCCGTTTCAGACTTCTCAACCTAGCCAGTCAATAAATCGAGCAGATTTTTTTTAGTTTTTTATTTTCAATAAGTGCTATTTGTGTCAACTAGCCTCTTATTGAATAATTTCGATATGAGAACTCACAATACTGCTCCTATGATTTAGATTTAATTAATTAATTAAACTTTAGAAGTAAAAGAAACACTATCACAAGTATTCGGAACGTCTCCCGCGCGTTTCGTTTCACTCAGAATATGTCCTAGAACGTTCCGAATCCACGATCAATCAAAATACATTATAATGTTATTTTAATATAAACATTGAAGAAAATACTGAAAATAACTAGAATTTCAATTAAAGAGCCTAAATATTAAGTTTTATTTAGTGTAGACTCAAATAATATCAATAAAAAAAAAGTGTTTCTATTGTGGTAAAATGGGACATAAAAAAGCGCAGTGTTGGTTTCAGAAAAACAGTGACAATAAGAAAAGTAATGCGTTTGTACTGTCAGCTTCAGAACATTATCAGAAATCAGAATGGCTAGTGGAATCCGGAGCTAGTGAACACAATATGTGCTGTGACCTCACTTTGTTTACATCTCTATCAAGCGCTACTCAAAAATTAGTGATACTAGGAAATGGTGACTCAATTACAGTCCGGCAATCTCATGCGCGACCTTCCCGCGGGGTGACAGACGGTGGCGGGGACGAGGTAAACAAGATGTCAGCGGGTAGCGGGGAAGGGAAACGCGTGCATATGCGCCTCAAATACGGCAGTCTCGGCCGCGCAGTCGGAGCGGCAACACGTGCTAGATATTCCGTACTACTTTGAGTTCGACGCACACGAGATTAAGATCTCAGGATGAGTAAGACTATCTCAAGATAACTTAAGGAAGTTGTACATAAAGTGTACAAATTTTTTGAAAGGCGAAATAATGACCACACATCGGCCTAATACGCANTCAATTGCGCACATTTAAAATAAACTTTGTTTACACTTTGACAGCAATAGACTGACATGCAAGGTGACATGTCAATGAAGTTTTCAGTTACTGTTGCCATTAAAAGAAATTAGTACCATTAGTTTTCCGCAACATGGCGAGGGTTTTTATGTTCCTGGTCGGGCTATAAAACCAAAAGGTAAGTGAAACACTGGCCAAAACTAATGAAATAATCTATCACTCTAATTTTGACAAGTGCTTGTCTGATAAAAGTCAATCAGAAGAGAACAAAACTCGATCAGGAAAACAGCAATAGTCAAAATACAACAATGTAAAAAATGAAAAATTAAAATTATCAATTCAGTTAAAACCATCAAAATTTTCAAAAAAATGTTGCAGTGCGGTAGATGCATTAATTCGAGCCTCGGAGCGAGGGCCTACAGCCTTTGTTGCCCGCCAAGACAGCCACCTAAAGCAAATAATAATCAAACACAAATGATGCATTATAGAACAGGCGTTAATTCCAATTTTGGAGTAAGGAGCTACAGTCTCTGCTGCCCACCGAGGCAGCCACCTTGTGGTGGCTCAGGCAAGGGTGCGGGCAGGCGTATTTGCCCGCCCGCTGACTGCAAGCCTGGCCCCATTCCACCCAACCCTTGTGTCCCGCGCTTTCATCACGGCAAGGACACCTGGAAGAGATACAGATTCTTGGCGATCTTTGTGTGCTTTCCACTAATCATCGTCCAAGCCATACGTGCTTTAGGCCAGGAACCACCGCATAAAGGGCCCTGTCGTGATTTCGAATTTATGCGCATACGCACGAAGAAATACCCTTGGGGAGACGGCGTCCAGACGCTGTTTCACAACGAACATGTCAACCATCTTCCTGGCGAATGTGAACCACCACCTCTCGACTGCGATTAATTTCGGAGATTTAGAAATTTAAATTGTAAAAAAAAACGAACTAAGTGACCTGAACGAATAAAAACATTAATAAATTCACAAATTGTATTATTGGCACCATTGTACAAAAATTCAGGAGAGAAGTGGTTTTAGTGAGCTATGGCGTAAAGACATACCTAAATTATTGGCTTTTATAGCTAGAGTGCTAGAGTTTACTTATGTAAGTACCTACGCGGGCTACACGGCATGGTGCGTTTTCCGCTTAAGATATGGTGATCCACCTACAGTCCACTTGAATGGGATTTGAAAGAGTTGAAACAAATTTTTGCAAGTTACAAACTTTTCGCGGCTACTTAGCTTTCAAGTTCCTACGAACAAAAAAGTTTAATTCTGCTACTTTTAATGCTCTCACTCCTAAAGCTCCACTCACTAAAAGTTTTTCAAGTAGGTATTTCAAAAGCCCGAACATTGAAACTTTGTATTTAGGCGACATAATTTATGAAATTTTACATGAGCTTAATACAAAAAATGGTGGTAATCAATAAACATAGATGTAGAGTGTTAAATTTAGCAGCCTAAAGGAAAATCCTTATTGTGCCTAGTGGTGGTAGAGGATCCTACATGCGCCCTAATTTGGTAATCTAGTAATAAAATTCGGGTTATCTACAGAGAGAATATTACTGGATTCAATATGACAGACAGATGGTTGCAAGTGTTAGTGCTGTGTTTACTCTAAATATGATTACATGTTATGCGCGCGCAATCCCGATGTGGAGCGGAGCGCGACGGCGCTTTGGGCAGGACAGCGCGCCGCCGCCGGGCGTCGCGATCGATAGGCGTTCTGACGTCAGTGGACGGGCGAGCGCCATTGGCCCGTACGGCATTATTAAATAAACCTCCGGACGGAGTGGCGCGCAAAGCGTCGCGCCGCGGGCACAGCACCGCAGCACGCGGCGGGCCCGCGCACCGCTCGCGGCGCCGCCGCCCGCCATGGCCGACATGCCGGACCTGTCGCACCTCACCCCCGAGGAGCGCGCCATCATCGAGGGCGTCATGATGCGCCAGCGACAAGAGGAGCAGCGCGAACACGAGATCATGAGGTGTGCCCCGCACCCACGCCCCGCCGCCCCCGCAACCCGACTTCCTGCCATCTCCCCATATCTTCCAAACTTACACCAACCCTAAGCAAGCATATTATGTGAAAGTGTTGTTTTCGTCTGTTGTTCAGTCCGCCTAGAACGATTCAGCAATTTTCAACGACATACTCTGACACATCAATAATGGCCGCTCTTCCCACTTGTCGTTAGTCTATGCGGAGCTTGTGCTTACTTAACCATAACTTGTACAGATATTGACGTAGGTACGTAAATACAGTCTCTCCTTCTGCGCGATCTATAATCTCTATTACGCCATAACGAAATTAGTGTTTCAGCTAAAGGAAGTGTTTCTGTTATAGGAGTTTGTTATTGATTTTAATTTCCCTTGTCTTTGCATATGAATCCCGAGTTGGTGGATTCAAGTTAGTTCTAACGGCCGAGTGTCGCATTGAACATGCAGTAGATGTAATGTGACGCATCACTGCACTACCGTAGCGAAAATAATAGCTTAGTACATTAATTCAATTAGGAACCCTTTGTGTCTTTGTGCTGAGTCATACATAATCGTCTTTATTACTTTCGTGAAAACCACTTCAATTTTTTGTAACTATTCAAGAAGTGAATCTTAAATTCAGTTGGGTTGTGCTCTGATGTAAGTACTTATTAATTTCTTGCTTAAATAATTTGTAAGACTAATTTTGAAAAGTATCTACAGCATGACAAGCCGTTTCAGTTTCGAGCTTAAACTTTAACAATTCTGCATAATATTTTAACTGACCTACTTTTGACCTATAAAGAAAATACGCAACTTGCGAAGTTGCGACTGGTGCTAAAACGTCTTCCGTTCCATATTCACATAAAATTAGTAGGCAGATAGGTATTTTTAGTAAGTTACGGTAGTCGGATACCTCGGAGAAATAAGAAAAAACAAAACGTTTAGTTTTGCCCTCAAATATTTTCATAGTTCCTTAAAAATCTAAAAATATTTTGCAAGAATTTGGTGGTAGAGCACTTCAGTTTCTGGATGTTTTTGTAATGTAGCGCATTGCATTTTTCAAATTTATCTCGGATACATTGAAGATCTACTGCTTATTATTACGAAAAAATAAAATAATCAATTTTATCGGGATCTAAATGAACTGAATGTGAAGTCTGGTGGTCTAAATCTTGAACTCTACCAGTGCCATTTAATACTTGTTCAGTATACATATTATAAATAACTTAGATTTTATTATTATCTCCAATTTAAAGCCAAAAATCTCGATTGATAAAATACAATAGTCACAAATTACAACAAAGCCTCAATTTCCAAATTCGGTACACGTGAAAGATAACTGAACATCGGATATTGCAGAGGAAAAGGAAACTCTCACTTGTTATTTTTAACAATGACAATAAATAAATGAATTGTTACGTTTTCGTTGTAGATATAGTTCGTGATCTTTTTTGTAAAGTTAACCAGCAAAATGTAGAGATTCATAAAGAAGATACCGCGGGTTGACGGTGCTATATCTATGGATCTCTCTGATGACCCTTATCTGTAAGGGTTGCCAATGTTTTTTACCGACTACAGACTCAAATCTTGATGGTAGTATGTTGCGATTGCATGACCACCTTCATAGAGCTATCGACTTAAATGTTTACGCGACTGGAATTATCCGTAAGCTTCTAAGTGCTTTAAAGTGAAGACTGACTGGAAGTGGAGTTTAGTGTGGACAGAAATCTTATGTATCATAAGCATGAGGCATAAAAAATAGGGCTGTATTTGAAGAATACGCGAATGTCAATCTTGTGAGCAATGAAGAATCAAAAAAATCGGGCGTCTATGCACGAATGGCACATCAAGCTATATCGTGGTATTTTAGGTGGTTTTATGTATAGCAGCTGTACTAAAATATTTTATGTGCCTGTTAAGCGTCACCACAAAAGGCTTTACAGCATGATTACATACAGAATGGAATAAGCACGAGTAACAAAGCTACCTACATTAAAAACAAAAATATTTTTGACGCACTAATTAATACCGTTTTCTGGCAAATAATACAAGCCAAATCAAATTAGACCAGATTCAATCAATTAATATGATCATGAATTCACTTAAGCTTAATAAAAAAAGCTAAAGTTAAGTTAAAGTTTAGAAATTAATAGATTCATATTAGGTAGAGCTGTTTTCATCCAAGAACTTTGGTATCAAACCTAGACCTACTTATTTAGTTGGTTTTTTAACGCGTCTAGCTTTTACCACCGATTGACCACAGGGAATAGTTGACCCAGAAAAGTTAAGTTCATTCAGTATTTTCGCGTCAGCTCTCTTCGATCAAATTGTACTCCCACGCAAAAAAAGGTACAACATACTTCATGAAAGTAAAGAACAAGTACGTGCCTGTACTGCCTGTGTCTGATACAATTCAGAGCACGTAGAGGGCCATGCAGGCGAGCCCGAGGGAATCCAACAGCGATCCACCTCGATAGACATCCCCGATTAATTGACTTGTCCCGCCTGCTCATTCTTATCACGTCTCCACTGTAAACCACAGGCTGAATCAGAATAAAACTTTAAAATCGAAAGCTTTCCATGTCTGTCTATAACTTTTGTAACGAACATAACGTTTTATGACTTTGAGTAGAGTTTGACTAAAAATGTTTAAATATTCACGTTTGATCATCAGACGCAAGCAAGATGAAGTTGCCGTGTTGGAGCAAACAATCCGCACCAGGAATGAGATGCAACGCGCGGCCGGAGTGGAATTAGCAGCCACCTGCCACATCTGTCTCAAGACCAAGTTCGCTGACGGAGTGGGGCACTCGTGCCACTACTGCAGAGTGAGGTGTTGCGCGCGTTGCGGCGGCAAAGTCACATTACGCTCTAATAAGGTAAACATAATTTTAATCGAAACGGCTAAAACTGCAAGTCTGGCGTCACAGAGTCACGTTACAAAATACTGGAAACATTACAGGTTATATGGGTCTGCATTCTATGCCGCAAGAAACAAGAACTCTTATCTAAAACTGGACAATGGATAAACAAAAACACCGGCCAAGATCCCATGTTATGGCGCATGGAATCGGATTTGCGCGGATTACCGCCTCAGGCCGACGCTTCCCTGGATAAGAGACCAAAGCTAGAACGAGCTCACAGTGCAGCGGAGAAAGAGAACCATCCCTTACAAAGATCAGGCAGCGCTCTGCGTCGGCAATACAGTCAGCAGGAGCCGCGCTGCTACGGGGAGCTGGAAGGTTTGGCCCGCACGCACCCGCACCTCGTGCACCCGCGGCAGAAGGCAGCGTACGGGGTAGAGGAGTCTATGCAACACCCGCCTTCGCACCTTCTGCCTCACCCGGGATCGCACCCGCCGATGCCCCCGCGGTCCTCGTCATCCGACGACGAGGTTCCCGAGTGCGTCTCTGACGAGAACGACGAATATCGCGACCGCGGTAAGTATGCACGCTGTTCTGTCGCCAACTACCCACTCCCGCAACCCTCGTCACAACCGAATCCTTTCAACCCGAGCTAATTTTGTTTGTCACCCCTAATACATACACAACACTACATAAAACATACAGACAACAATACAGAAAATATAAGTAAATGTTATCATAACACATTGCGTCCGGATCATATTCACAACGATAAAGTTAAGGTGTTCCGTGCGAGGTATTAAATAATTTTTAAGTACCTAGAATAGTTTCAGGTAAATAATTATGTTTAAGTTATTTAATAACATTTTTCACAGAAGTGGATAGTGTTGAGCACCTAAACTTATCTCTATGTGTACCCATCATGTCTACTCTCATGTACTCGTAGTTTACCTATGTTTCATCGTAACATCGACTTCCTCCTACGATTCAAGAAACACGTCTTCGATTCAACCAACCGTTTCTTTACAGACAATGACAGCTGTTGACGGGTTATGATGAGCATCAAATCTCGCACAAGTGATTGTGCTAGCTTTGAAGCCTTGTTTGTGATTGTTTACCACTTGTATGCAATGTGTGCCGCCGCGGGCGTCTTGTGTGCCCATATACGCGCCCGGTAGCCGCGCGCGAGCTGGCCCTCGGAGCGGCCTCACGACCTCCTCCCACTGTTGCAGGTAATAGAGATAGGAGCAGCTCCGAGAGCTCCAGGAGCCAGCGTCAGGCGATGTTAAACGAGAAAATGAAAAAGTTTTTATCGGTGAGGGCGTGATTTTCGGGAATATATGCGTTGTATTATATTGCTGAATTTAGATGTCTCGATATTCGTTAATGTTTTCACAAATGTACTTTTTCCTCTGGTCGACCAAATGTGATGGCTGTTTCAATCTATCTTTCAAATACTTACCATCATTTTCTAAAGAGATACATTTACATGTTTCAACTGGGGACGAGCTTAATCACCATTTTTTTATCAAGATTAAAGAACATTAAAACAGTAAATGTATTTCTTCATCCTATATGTACTGTTTTTAATTGTTTGAACCATACACTGTCAAACATTTTACGAATCTGAATCAATTCAGATTCACAGTAAAGTAAGAACTTACTAATAACCTACTTACAATTGTAATTTAATATGCATCTGTGGTTCAAGCAAAAGTCGCATGCCTGGGCGAAAAGAAGTGTACTTCATACCTTTTCTATAAAAATCCGTTAGATCTTGTGAAGGTGTTCTTTGTTTGATTGTTGTTTTGTAGGACTTGGATAAGTTGACACACGTTCTTTCCGCTTGTGCGTGATCACTGCTTTCAATTTATTTGTTTTTCATCTGGAGGGCGAGGCATCGGGTGCTATCATTGTGATTACAAAACAACACTCAATGTCATCCTACAAAATAAAATAACAAAAACTAAAAACACGTTTAACAACCATCGGTGCTGGAGTAAGAAGTTCCTTCTCTCTTCTTCGATATATCGGTTCCGGGCGCGTACGGGTGCGTAAGTCGTTCTACGGATGCAGACGTTGTAAGACTGGTCGCTATTGATGCCATATAATTCTTAGGACAACTTGAGGCGTGCGGGTCTCTCCGGCACCCCCACCTGCGCAGCACGAGCGTGGCCGTCAACAATTATTACAATTTGACTAACCATTCGCCGGGCGCTTACGAGGCAGAGGCGCGCGGCTTCGACGCGGCGCGCGCGGCGCCGGCCGGCGGCCGCAGCTTCGACTCCGTGACGGACTGCCGCTGGCGCGCGCGCGACGACGGCGAGGGCGCGTACCTGCGCCCGTACGCGCCGGACGAGGGCCCGCGCCCTGACAGAGCTGTATATAAGAGTGCCTACTTGTGGGAGGATTCTTCCGACAACAGACGCTTCACTGAGAGGAGAAAAAAGACTGTACGCTTTGATGGGCACGAAGGTGCAGCCACCTTCCCCAGAGGCGGTCGAGACGCCTCCGGCGCGCCCCAGGACTGGGCCTCTCTTCGCTGGGAATCTGAACGACAAACCAGCCAAGATTCTGCAACCAAAGACTCGGGCATCGATACCTCTAGCACCTTCACATCGAGTGAAGATTCAAACAGAGGCGATTGCCCTAAGGTACACATCATTATTCCCTAGTCAAAGACTTTTTTGCAACAGCCGCTGTAGAAAACATTCGATAAATCCACCAATCTAAACAAAACAATATTATGGGGCAACTAAAAGCGCATTCATAAATACATTTCAATGTAGATAGTTGATTGTATAAACGGGTTGTGGTCTATGTGTTTGGCTGTCGCATGATTGCATTGACGGGCATGCAACGGTTAACTTCTGACTGAATGTGCACCTTCGTATTTTGCCGTACACCCCTCGCCAAATTGCTGAGTAAAATTTCGATAACTCTTCTTCTGTCTTAAATTATCTATTGACATAATTATTCAAAAAATAATTCGTTCTTTTGAATTTTAGAAAATATTTGCATTTCACTATAAAGTGTTGACGTTGGTGTGAACAGTTCCCGCAAAGCTGGCAGGTGTCAGCCGACGGCAGCCGAATGATCGGGCACATGGTGTTACGCAAAAGCGTGGTGGAAGGTAGTTCCCACTCCTCCGCTGCTATACTAGGGCTCAAAGTCGTTGGAGGGAAACTGCTGCCCGATGGGATGCGAGGAGCTGTAGTTGAAAAGGTCAAGAAGGGTTCTATAGCTGACTTAGAAGGACAACTTAGGATAGGTAAGTTGATTAAACCGCACGTTCGCCATTAAAATATTTTTAAAGAAATAAAATAATAAATCCATACATTTTATTTGTGCCAGGAGATGAAGTTTTACAATGGAATGGAGTACCTCTTCAAGGTCGTAGCGCCGAGGAGGTCGCGGCGGTGGTGGCAGACAGCAAGCACGATTCGCATGTAGAGTTGGTGGTGTCGCGCCCGCTGGCTTCTTCTCGATCTTCGGCACAGCCTTGGAGGACTCATAAAGGTAATTTAGGTTCGTATATACTGTTCTTATATTTCACATAGAAAATAGCAAAAACGCATTACATAATATTTCTTGTTTGATAATATTATGTAATTAATTATAATTTTCTTTTCCATCTTGACAATAACTTCAGCATACCAACGCAGAACTTTTGCTGTTTCCCATATTCAGCATCATTCTTATATCTAGCAGTCTTCTTTTTAAATACGAGGGCATATTTTATATACTCGCAACTTCAGCTGTTCTGTTTTGTATGCAGAGGTATACACGGAAGTGATGGGCGGGTGCGAAAAGCCGAGTGTCCTTGTCACGTCTCCTGGCTCTCCCGACGTGCACGCGCGTAGACGCCCGAGGCACAATCATCACAACGCTAACGTGGCAGGGCGCATACAGGTATGTAAAAATAATTTTGCATTAAGACATCTTCGCTCGCAGCTGCTATTCTGTCATCTTTGATATTATATGATATTTTCTGACATCAAAGCCGATTGCAATAAATTATGACTGTGTTGGGATAGTTTCTGAACCTCAAAACCTCATCAAATTTAGCAACTTTTCTTCATCCCCATTGGTATGCAATACCTACTACCTACTTATAGCTTTAGTAAATATCGACTATTTCCACAGCTGAAGATATATTTCGACATCAGTGCTCTTCAGCTGCTGGTCACGGTGGTCTCAGCGAGCGGGCTCACGCCTCGAGCAGACGGCTCTCCTCGGTGTCCTTACGCGAAGATATTCCTTCTGCCGGACAAGAGCGAAAAGAGCAAACGCAGAACAAAGACTCTGGCCAATACCCTGGAACCACGATGGAACCAAACTTTCGTGTACTGCGGCATCAGAATCACTGACATCAAAAAACGAACTTTAGAGGTACCATAATAACACTCTTGTTCTTATTAAGACAAACACATTATAGATGGTGTGGTGATATTGACTTTGTCCATTTTTCTCAGGTCACCGTCTGGGATTTAAATCGTTACGGCCCAAACGATTTTCTCGGCGAAGTCCTCCTCGACCTCGATAACATTGTGATGAACCACGAACCGAACTGGTACACGCTGAAGCCTCACGAAGAGACTGCGAGTTTTAGTGTAAGTATTACCCTTAACTTCAGCTCAAGCATATGTTAGAAAGGTAAGTGCAATAGCTTACTTGCTTTACAGAGATACCGCGAGGAGGAGGCGGACGGAGAGCACCTGTCACCTCCCTCTACGTCCACGTCGCGACTGTCCGACTCGGACACGCCCAGCGAGTGTGACCTCCGCCGACACCACTCACTCTCCAGTCTCGCTTCTAGTTCCAGCCCGCCGCCCCCTCACGAGGTACCAACTCCATTTCGGTTATCAGAAGATCAAGTTCATAAGCTGGTGACTGATCCTGATCATTTGAACATAAAGCAACATAGTGTCAATTGGATCCGTCTGTACCTAGTTACTAACCCATCGATCTGCTTGCCGCTAGCTCTGGGTAGAATAGGATTGTTCTCGATTTTAAGATACGAGTAATCCGATGAGGTACATGCTCGTTGTATTACGTCACATGAAATGTTCAGATCAGTCATCAGCTTTATGAAGGTCAATGTAAAATCCGATCTCTTCTTGACTTGAGAGTAGTAAGTACAAATACTTTGAATTCAATATGTTGTGTATTTTTATGAACGCGTACGGATGTGTTCCTAATATAATTATTTTTCACAGCGAATGGACATGGACGGAAATCGTAATAATCGACGAGACATGTCTCCGGCGGGTCGCGTGCGCGCCGCTGGAATGTCCAGAGAAAGGGTATGTGCAAAAAATTGTAAATTATTAAAATTCAGAGAGTCGATTTTTGAGTTCATCAAATCATTATTTTGAAATAATAGAAAAAAGTTAAAAAAAACGGAAGAATTTTAGTGCCTAACCTAGTCATAATTATGACACTTTATAGAGTTCAACTGATCCCATCGTTTCCTAGTATTCGATAATGAATATTTAAAAAACTAGAAAGTTAGAGTGGTAAAGGTGACGTTCAAGAATCGACTCCCTGAGTGAGTTTGCGTGTGTACACACAGAGCGCGGGCTACAGCGTGGCGCGCTCGCAGTCGGCGGCGGGCGTGGCGCGGCCGCAGCGCGCGCGCAGCAAGTCGCCGCGCCGCTCGCTGTCGCCGCCCGCGGACCGCGACCCCTGGCGATACTCAGGTGCCGCACTCGGCGCCGACTCGACTCTACTCACCAATCGAGATCACCGGCATCCGAAATACCCTCTGCCGAACCACCCAATCCGATTGGTCCGTGGATGTCGATCAAAGCGGGACCGAACCCCGCACGGAACACTTCCATCGAGAAACGCACGTTCTCTCGTTGCGTCCGCTCATCACCACTTTACTGCAACTTACTGTTTTGACTTCCTCGCTCTTATTCCACTTTATCTTTTATTTCACGCATCTTCCGCTGACCTTGTCCTTCTACCTGATAAGTGCACGCTGTCACTTGGTCGTATGTAACGTACGCCGCGTCCACGTTGCGACTTTTCTCGTGGACGCCGCGTACACAATCATGATTCCATCTCATAAGATTTCAACGATTGCATGATGTTTTGAAACTGATAAATTTCTACTTGAATTAAAACGGACTGCGCAATTTTCCCAGTTTTCGTATCTTTTCTGACGTAACACTTCATACTTCATATCGTCCGTTTTACTTGAATATCATCGGATGCCATGTCTCAATTCGCGGGCACAGCACAACTGGTAATATTTCAGTAGGCGAGGATAGAGGCGACGTGTCGCGGCTGCCGACGCACGCGTACGCGCCGCGCTTCCAGTCGCGCTCGGCCACGGCCACGCCCACCACTAGCCCCAAGAAGCGCCAGCTGCCACAAATTCCCCACCAGGTACGTTCCAATTTAAGCACAAGTGATTGGTTTCGGTGAAGATGATCTAATTGATTTCTTGTTTGGTTGTGTAGAGTGGCCAGAGGGCAGTGCGGGCGCAAGTGTCTGCGGACCTGGAGGAACGTAAGTGGATCGCCCCGCATCACATTGGCGCCACACTCACCTACCGCAGCACGCCGCAAGGTCAATACACGCACACCCTGCCCAGTGCCTTGTTCACTCACTTTGTGATCTTGTAACATACAAATATTCGTTAATCGGCTAGCGAAGCAAACGCACTGATCACAATACCACGCAATTCGTTTTCTTCAAAAACGATAAGAGAGCGACAGGTCCAACATAACTAATCAAATATCATTTAGCTTTCATCACATATTAGTGAATTAGTGCAAAAAAATAGGTGGTAGGCAGGCATGCCTATGAAATTGCTGAAATTTCTCAATAATTCTAGCGGTCATATTTCTTACTATTTAATTTTTTTAGTGTGAAAGATCTTTAAAATAACAGGATTTTAAAAACCATTACGCAATATTAGGGCATAATAATAGAAGTACAAGTTATATGATTATTCCTAAAAAATAAAAATACATAAGTACAAAGCTGCAATTTCGTAGACAAGCACTGAATAGCAGAGTAGTGGAATGAATTTTTGTGTGGTCACAATACAGCAATACAATTATTTACCTTTCGGTGTAGGTTGGGAGCGGCACTACGCGGGCCTGTCAGACTCCGAGCTGGCCGCGCGCGGGGGCACGGGCTGGGCGCCGCCGCGCCGCCGCCTCTCGCCGGACGCCGCCGCCGCCGACTCCGACCTCGAGTCCGTGGCCTCGGTCACCTCTAGCGCCTTCAGCACGCAGTCCGAGAGGCCGCGGCCCACGCGAATGCTCAGGTACCAGATCCGATAGCACGGTCCCGTAGATGTCTTTGGAGGTATTCGAATTTCAATACATAATTAATTCTTCTGCATAATATGGCCCTTTGTCCATCTTGTCCCAGAAGAATTCGAAATACAAGTTTAACGTTGATGAGAGGACTGTAAAAAATATCGTTTTTAGCATACATATTATTATGTGAACAGGAATTCGAATGTTTCAAAAATACGTCTCCAGTTTGAATTCCCTGAGAATATCCACAAAGGAGTAGGCCTCAAGACTGCAGAACTCAATACTCGTTCCCGTTTTGCAGCCGGCGACGAATACTTCCTCCGAACAGTACATCTTCCTCTTGCGATAGCGCTACCCCTGTCCCTAATCACTATCGCTGCGAGCGGCTCCCTCGCCGTCTTCTGCCGTACGTGTGCATACCGGCGAATGCGGAGCGCGCGGTGCGGCGGCGGCTGCGGCCCCGCGGGGACCCCGCGCCCGTCCCGCCCCCGCACCGCGCCCGCCCCTCTCGCCGCCTGCGCCGCTTACTAGCCCGGAGCCGCTCGGCCGGCTCCACTAGAGACTACCCCTATCGCCACGCTTACGAACGAAGTCACAGCTGCCCCGAATACCCCGTCCGCGTCGACACATACAAAATAACAGAGAACCGAAAAGACTACATATTCCAAATAGCTCTACCTCGCTCGATTAAACATACACATAACGTTTCTAGCGTGACCGTGAACAGGGAACAGAGGAAGGTCGTACCGATGAATCTGACGCACTACAGTCAACCCATGCCGCCTAGAGCGCAAGTGAACCAGCTCAGAAGGAACTTCCAACCCAGACAGGAGCCGATACCTTGGCATTCTATGCGTCCGATGTCATTAGATTGTTATCACTATCAAGCGCAAAATTCAAAAGAACTAAAACGAAGAAGATTGCCAAATATTCAGCAGTTACAAAATGATCGAATTAGATCTCTACCTGATATACCAGCGGTGACTGTAGATAATATTAGATGCGATAAATTTAATAATTTCGTCGCAGCTGGGAGTAGTTTCGAACACGTAACACAAAACGAAGAAACTACCAAATATCATGGTTATGATAGCGATGGCAGCGAAGCTGAAACTACTATCCATGTTAGTATTGAGAAACAAAATAGTTTCGAAAACGCTAAAGCGGATAAATGCGATTTTGGATATGACTTAGGAAGTAGAAATCGTAGGTCTTCAATGTCCAGCATCATGGCAAACAATAATCGAAAGAAATTTCTCTCCCTTGATTTAAGGTCTAGCTACGAGCCAAAAGTTTCAATGCAGTCACAATCATTAGATATACCAGTTGGTGATGAACCCAAATGTGTGCCTAAATTGTTGACGCCAAAAAGAATTTCCGAAAATAACGCCAACCAAAATAATTCTGAATGTAATACTGTTCATAAAGTAACCAATAAAAAAGACGCAAAAGCAAAAGACACAACCAGCAAACGTCGACGTCATTCGGATTCTTTAGTAATGTTAAAATCTTCACCTGAAAGTCTAACAACGCCAGAAGACATACGAGGTCTTTTTAAAAAAATGAGTATTACATCATTCAGTATTTCAGAATCCGTAAACCACACAGATAAATCTAACAAAAAACATGGCAACGTTAGCATTAATGAAATACCAACTTTCCAAGAATACTGCTCGCCTTCTTCTTTGTTTCCGCAATGTAGCTTTGACTTACCTTCAATAAAACCTTTACCATCTATTATTAAGAAAGCTCGTACCCGATCTCATTCTTTAGCATCTACTGACCATTTAGATCATGAAATAAGTATGATGGCTAATACTATGTTTATTGCTCTTTCTCCTCCAAACCTCGGCTCGCCCCGTCGCGTGCTCACTCCTGTCGCCTCACACCTGCCACTCGATGACATCCATCACGACTCACATATCGCGGCGCCGTTATCGCACTCGCCGGATCAACCGCCCGCCGCCACTGAAACGTCAACTGCGCAATCCGTGGCGCAACGCATCTGCGACCGGGTCAACGCGGAACACAACAAAACACAATCGGCTGCGGCGAAAAAACAACGGGGGAAACCTGCATCACGCCGGGGATCGAAACGCAGCAACGACTATGGCGGGCGCGACAACGGGCGCGGCAACAACCAGCCGCAGCCGCTGGAGCGCCGCGAGTCCCGGCGCGGCCAGTTCACGCGCAGCCTGAGCAACGCTGACGTACCTCCAGATGAAAAAGCAGGTAAATAACACTTATATTTCAGGAATTTGCAGGACGCAAAGGTTAATAGCAATTAACTGATGTTTTCTTCCACATCAAGATGGAAGTCTCAGCGACACGGCTCTGGGCGGAGCCGGTGAACTGGAACCGGTCAGCGATGACGTGCTACTGAAGGCTGAACCACGAGACTACTTCGGTCCCGGGATGGGCAAGAAGAGTAACTCGACATCCCAGCTGTCAGCTACAGGTGATTCTTATTGCATCCCACACCATCATCTACTCGCACCACCCCACACTCCCGGTCAGTCTTTCTGCAACGAAATTTACTGAATTGCAAAAAGGCTGGCTTCCGTTAGAAGTATATAACTTATGTTTGTGTATTAATAAAATGATCGACAGGACGAAAACGGAGGTTAGGTTTCGGTAAACGTGGGAAAAATTCGTTTACGGTACAACGCAGCGAGGAGGTGGTGCCCGGCGAAATGCGCGGCGCCGGCGGGGTGTCGCGCGCCTCCTCCGCCTCCAGCGAGAACGACGACGACAGGTTCGCGGCGTCAGCCGGCGACATTGACACAATAGTGCCTCGGGCGGCGGTAGCTCTCGCGACGCGCGTCCTAACTCGACAATCCGATCGCGGTCCGCTGACAAAACTGACTAATGCCAAGTTGTGTACTCGATACACAGCATGTCCAAGACAACACGACAACTTTAGAGGAATGTGCGATGTCGCTTTTGTGGAATTAGTTAACGTAGTGCTTTAACTGGTAAATGTAAATGCTTCCAAAGAGCGAACAAAGACGAAACTAGTTCTAGCCGTCTAGTAAAATATGGATTTGAAAACGACGCTACATCATCCACTGTAAATAATTAATAGTGTATTCGCTATCACTGACGCCAATGAGAGTTTAAGTTTAGTTAATGAGTTAAGCGATATGCCGCATCGGCCGCTCGCGGTGGCGGGGCGGCCGGCGCGGCACTGAGCCACTGACGTGTGTTGGTGAGGCAGCGCGCGCGGGCCGCGCGGAGGCGGGCGGCGCGCGGCGCAAGCGGTCGGGGCCCGCCACCACGACGTTCCAGCGCTCGCACGAGGTGTGCGCCGCGAGCCTCGTCTCCATATCTAGCTCGGAAGGATCCTCGTAAGTCGCTCGCTCTTCCGCTCGTTTGCGCTGCAGACCGCCGAGTGCTCGCCGAACTCGATTCTTGTATGTGTGCATCGATGTTGCTCGCGTCTTCTACTCTGCCCCTCTCTGTGTGCCTCTCGTCTTGTACAAACGCATGATGCCGGTATTTATTGGTGTTTTCACTTCATTCTATTTTCTGTTCAGCACGCACGAGTCTTCTCTCGCATAGGCAACGCACTCTCTCGATTCCTTCAGACTATTTTCGATGATAGATTATGTCGGTGGTTTTCCACATTTCTATTTTCAGTCGGGTTGTCGATACGAAATGGAACCGGAGTGCTATAGCCGACGCCAAGTGTGATTGGACGATAAATGTTGCCTGACAGCCTTAAAGTGTTTGCACTTATTTTATTATTTTAAATCGTATGACAAATACTGAATTTTGTCTCGACGTACACACACCCGCCACAACACCCATGCATGTTTTACTGGACAATCACATCATCTTTTTTTATTGGTAGTAAAATTCAACGAGAAATAAATAAAACAAAATTCCAAAAATTAGGAAGATATTATTCATAGAGGCACGTAACTTTACACCATAAATAAAATCTATAATTTCTGACTTAATAAATATCCGAGCAAAACTTACGTTTACTTTCAAATAGTGCAACGCCTACAACTATTGTATAATATTATATCATTATATCCACTTTAATTATGACCCGACCCCACAACTATGATTTAATTTTGTAACATAGCACGTAAAATATAATTGACTATCTAATACCCTCTTGACCTGGATAATTTATAACATCTATTAGGTTTGTATTGATCTAACTTTGACCTCTATAACTTAGCAACAAACCATTCTATAGTGATTCTTTAGCACCTATAAAATTTATTCTACTAGATGTCTTGAAATTTTTCTATATACATAGTTACCTAATTTCCACGTTTTACCTAACTTTTATCACTCGATGCATCCGAAAGACTACCGCCCTCTTCTTCACTATTGTATCAATGTTGTCATATTGTAATATTTATACCTAATCTATTCTCCTTTAGTAGTTGAGAGAAGATGTCTGGTGAATTAATATTTTCATTTAACAACCCATAGATTACTTTAGAAGTTGTATCTGACATAAAAATCCTATCTTTTTCGCTACTTTCCGTTATGCATTGGGTCATACCGCATTATGAGTTACAAAGCAAAAAGAACTATGAAAATATATTTTTAAATATCAGTTTTGTAAATTTTTAAAAGAAATAAGTTTTCAAATAGTAGAAATTATTTAAAGCATAACTTCAGCTTGAACCCGATGCATAACATTAAGACGTAAGTTATTCACTTTCAATTAATCACTATTTAAAATTCTCAGTGTTAGATAAATGTGTCTTATCAAAATATAAAGTCAACGAAGGTAGTAATCATGGACACGTTAAAGCGCTTTTTATGTATAAAGTTATTTAGCATGCAGTAAAATCCCTTGAATTCAAGTCGACCGTAGATTGAAAGCCGGGTTGTGATAATGTATCGTGAAGTTTATGTAATGAATAGATTTGGAGATTTTGGTAGGTATTATCGAACCCCCAAAATTGGCAGATGGTCCCCTGGCATGCGGGGGTCGGGGTCGTCGGACGGCGGGGGTCTGTCGGACTTCATTGACGGCCTGGGCCCGGGCCAACTCGTGGGCAGGCAGCTACTTGGAGCGCCCACTCTGGGAGACGTCCAACTATCAATGTGTTATCAAAAAGGATTCCTTGAGGTAAGCATTAAAGCTGGATTTGCAATACTTTCGGCTGTCTAGACGTGATTAAACCATGTGAATTATGGGATGAATATTACAGGCGTGACCTACTTGGCAATAGCCTTCTCGACTTCTCGGGATCGTTACGGAAATTGTTATTTTTTTGGCAGAATTGGAGCGCAACTAATGTTGTATGAATTTTGGAATAACGACCCAACTGCCTGCCTGAAATAAGAATATTTGTTTAGATAGAAAGCTACAGTGTTCCCGAGGATCATTTTATATTATGGGACTATAAACAGTTCCCAAAGGGCGCACACTTAATTTATGATGACAAAACAATATCACGGCGCGAAAATACTGTTACTTTTAAGAGCCATTTCACAAAAATATTCCGCGCGAATTTAGGTAAAAGCTGTCAACGCAACGTCAAAAGAGTAAAAAGAACGCTGAAATGGACAAAAAAATCTTGAGCCGTGACCGTATTAAGACTTGATTTAAGTTATTAATTTTAAGGTAGAATGAGGTATTCAAACTTGATTAATTAATTTAAATTTTTAATAGAGTTTATTAAGTCTTTTATATTTATAAACACGAATAGGTATAATATGTAAAATATATATTAAGTACAAAATAAAGTTTTTCACAGACACAAAACCAGAGAGAGAGAGAGGATTGTCAGGAGCATCAAAATTTTAACACCAAAGTGTAAAAAGATGTATAAAAAGTGTCGCGACATTATAAATTCCAAACGGCGTCTAATTCGATCATTTGAATAGAATTTGGAAAGGCCTACACATTTGAGTAAACAATATTGCTTTAAGCAATTGATACAAAATTTAACCCCTCAAGCAAAATCGTTTTTGATGATGCAAGTACGAGTAAGTAAATCAGCTAAAGCCCGGTCTGTGAGCACGTAGAATTTTGTCCAATGACCCCAAGCTACCCATCCATATCACTCGCGCGTAATAAACTGTCAAAACGAAACTCTCCCATAGATTTTGTATGGCACTACAAGCAAGTGACGTCACTATTTTGTCAACCCAATTAAACTACTTTTTTCAATTATAATTCGAACAAAAATCAAAATTTACAGGTAATTTAAAATAATTAGGTTTTTAAGACCAGAATGAAGAGTCTTTTTAAAACAGTTGTGGTTTCGAATTATTTGGGTATGGTGTCAAACTGTCTATTATATTGCTGTCGCGACTGTGCGACAAAATTTTACGTGCTCGCAGACTAGATTATAGATTATATCACAGAGCATGGAATCGTCGCGCGCCGCCCGCTACTAGAGACGGCAGGAATAATAATAGCCGTAGCTGCAATTGCAATCAGACAGCGCCTATCAACCACAGTTCAGTCACGCATTTTAACCTTCTTCGGCCATGTATCTCGGCGCAGTAATGACTCCATAGAGCGTCTCGTAGTGCAGGGAAAAGTTGAGGGCACCAGACCACGTGGTAGATCACCAATGAGATGGACGGACCGGATCAAGGCCGCAACTAAGTGCTCGGTTAGCGAAAGTACCCGGAAAGCTGCAGTCCGCGAGGAATGGCGCCGTATTACGAAGAACATCACTCTGAATCGTGATTCAAGATGATGACCACGACCACTCTGACAAGAGTGTACCGACTGAGAAGAAGAGCTGCAATTGTGCGTTGCGCGCAGAGGTGCGCTCAAGCGGTCGCCAGTATCTATTCGATCGTTGTGGAGTGAAAGTCAACGAAAAAAGCATTAAAAATGCCTCATTGTGCTGTTATTTGGTGTTACAATCAAAGTGAAAACGTTAATAAACATAATTCTGGCGTATCATATTACAGGTAAGTAAGAAAACCCTACTTTTAGACTTTTTTAAAACTGTGATCCAGATGACATGTGTCCAGATGGTCAAGACTCGCTGTCATCCTATCTGGCCATGCGATAGTGATGTGGTTATGGTTGGGTGGCGTCATGTCGATAATGTGTGTTGGTGAACATGCAAATAGACTTTGAATTTTTTTTTAAATCCAGACAAATGCATGTTCTAATTAACGCATCTATAACAGAAACCTTACTTTTTTTTAGATTTCCTAATGATCCTTATATTAGCAACAGAAAAGTACAACTGGTTTCCACAAAAACATGATACGATATGCTCTGAGCACTTCGAGGCTGTAAGTTTCATAAAAAGGACTTCCAGAACTTACTTAACTTCTGATGCTATCCCAACATGAAACTCCACCCCATTATTAAAGAGGTAATAATTATTGCATATTTAATAACTAATTTTATTTTATTTTGTTGTAATAATGGAGTCGCGGATAGAAGCTATTATAAGGAAGGATTATTATTAAGCTATAATGAAATTTGTGCTAAAAAATATATATCTTTCAGATTAATTCACATTGTTCCACAAAGACTGTTGAAATTCATGACATTGCTGCACCAGCAAAACGTAGAAAGGTAATTTTAAGTAGACAAACAAGTATTTTTGAAAATTATATTATTCTAATTACTATTTTTTAGTTATTCGGAACTCTTCATTGATCTGTACTATTTTTAGATGTCTGGTGAAGATTCACTCGTAGAACCAGCCAAAGAAGCTATTCAAGATGGTATATCAAACACACAAGAAGAGACAACACCAAATATCCAAGACACACCACGCAGACGTAAATTGAAAATGTCTATATTGAGGGCTCAGCAAACCATTAAAAGGCAAACACTTCTAGTAAAACGACTGAGAGCAAACAATATAAGGTTATCAAAAAAAATTGCTAAAATGGAAAATATTATAAAATATCTACGAGAGAAATCTACTTATACATGATGAGGATATATTGACGTTACAGAGTACTAACGTAAAAAGTAATAATTTAACCTTCAATCTAAAAGGTGTTTACTCAAAGGAAGTTAAGTCTTTTGCATTAACTTTGCATTATTATTCGCCAGAGGCGTATAATTATGTGCGTGAAAAATTTAATACATGTCTGCCTCATCCAAGAACCATTCAAAAATGGTACCAAAGTGTCGATGCGAATGCTGGTTTTACTACAGAATCGTTAACGGCAATTACTTTGATACAGAAACAATCCGAACATAAGATTGTATTATGTAGTTTGACGTTAGACGAGATGGCTATCAGAAAGCGAGTTGAGTGGGAAGGGAAACAATTTCACGGCTACGTCGACATTGGTAGCAATATAAACAGGGATGACTTAAAAGAAGCAAAAGAGGCACTAGTATTTCTAGTAAATGCAATAAATGCAAATTGGAAAGTTCCCGTCGGTTTTTTCTTTGTGTGAATGGAGAACAAAGAGCAAATTTAGTTTTACAGTGCCTAAAACTGCTGCATGATACGGGCGTAGAAGTAGTTTCTCTTACATGTGATGGATGTCCAGCAAATGTCAGCATGTTGAGACAGTTGGGATGTAATTTTAATCCGGACGATATAAACACACATTTTGAGCATCCGGAAACAAAATTAAATGTATACGGTTTCCTCGATCCCTGTCACATGTTAAAATTAATAAGGAATGCCTTCCAATTTAACGAGATATTCGTAGACAAAGAAAATAGAAAAGTAAAATGGCAACATTTGAAAAATCTTCACAAGATCCAAGAAAAAGAGCAATTACATCTGGCGAATAAATTAGGCAAGGAACACATCAACTTTGAAATAAAAACAAAATGAAAGTTAAGTTAGCTAGTCAGTTATTTAGCAACAGTGTAGCGGATGCTTTGACATTTTTAAATATTAAAAATATAAAAAAAAATACCACAATATTGACTACTTTTTCTTTACTTAAAATAAAAGTATCGACTCCGTACCGCAGCACTTGTAATAAACTCTAAGACAATACGGATGCGTAGTCTATGTAAGCGTAAGTGTATTGGTGTGAGTAAATGGTGACGCTCACTAAGTGCCTATTTACACGTCCCGGTTGCCGGCTAACCGGCGCCGGGTATCCGGTGGTGAAGTGTATGGGCATGGTACGTAGCTTTCACATTTTCCGGCGTAATTAATCCGGCATGCCCATACATTCAGGACCGGCTATCTCAAGACAACTTAAGGAAGTTGTACATAAAGTGTACAAATTTTTTGAAAGGCGAAAAAATGACCGCGCATCGGCCGAATACGCAAACGACATTAATTTAGCAGAAACTGTTTCTGAAGCCACAGGTTTGTCTGAAACCAGCGTTAAAAAAATTATAAAAGAAGCTAGAACCATGGAAGCACAAGGCAGCACAGTGACTTTCAAATCACCACGGAAAAACCGTTTTCCTAAAAAAAGGATTGAAATGGACAGTTTTACGGAAGGTGTCATACGAAGAAAAATTTCACAATGGTATACTGTCAAAAAATGCATCCCGCCGTTGAGAAAGTTAAATGCGGAATTAAAACAAGAAAATATACTTCATTGCTCACGTGAATACTTAAGAAGGACAATACGTAGGTTTGGTTTCAAATATTTATCAAGCCAGTCAAAGAGGAAATTATTAATTGAACGTCACGACATAATGCGCCTGCGATGACATTACATCAGAGACATAAAAAAATACCGCCGAGAGGGTAAGGTAATAATTTTTCTCGACGAAACCTACGTGAATCAAAATCACGTGACACAAAAATGCTGGCAGTCTAATACAGAAAGCGGAACTATGCAAAACATCGGTAAAGGACCTCGTATTATAATTGTACACGCTGGCAGTCGCAATGGCTTTGTACCTAATGCTTTACTGATGTTCAAATCGCATTCCAAGACCGGTGATTATCATGGAGACATGAATGCCACAAATTTTCGAAAGTGGATCTATGAAAAACTGTTACCAAACATTCCTCCGAATCCTGTTATTGTAATGGACAACGCCGCTTACCATAGCATTCAGATCGATAAAAAAACTACAGTGAGTTCCCTGAAAAGCGGAATGCAGCAGTGGTTAGAACGGCGAGGNTTTTTTTTTTTTTTTTTTGAAGGGACGCGCGCTGGTAGCTTGAGTTGCTTTTCCAGCTTCACCGGGCAGAGTGGCGAGTACAGAAGGTACTCTAGCCGTTTGGCGATCGTCGGTGCGCGTGCCGACGAGGCCGAGTGTGGGCTTCGCGAAGCGAAGCCCAGGCTCGTCCGCGTCGGTCACAGACCGACGTTCGCGATCGGGCCGTATCAAGCATAATAAAAAATTATAAACAATAAAAGTAGTTCTGTCTATCTTTTTATTTACTCCTATATCACGTCACAAGCAAGCACAACTTATCGCAAGACTTATTCTGGCACACTTCTCTTCGTGTGTAGACGTGTGCTAGAATGACATTGCTACCTCGTCCCCGCCATCGTCTGTCACCCCGCGGGAAGGTCGCGCATGAGATTGCCGGACTATAGTGTGTCAGGATGTGGACAAGTAGCTGTACAAGTTCATAACGGGAAAGAATTGATTGGACCTTAAAACCGATATCTTTACGGTAAACTGTGCGTCTGACAAAAGTTATGTCATGGTGACAGATGACAGATCGTGTAGGTTCATCAAAAACAACAATGTTTGTGCGATTGCTAAACGACATGGGAACTTATATTACATGGTTTTTCGCTACAAAAACCAAGTGGCTAGTGTTGCAAAAGTAGTGGACAATAATCTCTATCAGTGGCACGAAAGGTTAGCGCACCAAAACTTCGAACATGTGAAAAAGTTACTTACGAAAAATGACATCAATGTGAACACAACTTCGTTGCCCAAGTGCGAAGGTTGTCTTCAAGGGAANTTAGAACGGCGAGGTGTTAAGTATGATAGCGCGATGCGTAAATGTGATCTAATGAAAATAATTGACGAGTAAAACACGGAGAAACAGTACACAATTGATAACATATTACAGGAAAATGGACATATCGTGCTTCGCTTGCCCCCATACCATCCGGATTTAAATCCAATAGAACTCGTGTGGTGGTACGTAAAAGTCGAGCTTGCAAGGACTTCCATTGATTCTAACTTGGATAAAAAGTTAAAAGATTTAGAATTGCTTTTTTCTAATTATTCGGTTGAACATTGGCGCGATTGTGATAATCACGTCATAAAAAACGAGGAAAAATATTATAATTCAGATAGAGTATGCGACGATGAAATGGACAGGTACGTTATTGTTTATTTTTAACATAATCGATTATTTTATTGATTTGACTGGGCAGAGTGCTCAAGTTAAAACTCTCAGAATCTGGTCTTTGTATGCGAAGTTGTTTGTTATTTTTGTAGTACATTTTTTTCTTTTTAGATTCATAATTCAACTGAATGAAAACGACGATGATGATGACGACGAAAGTGATGAAGAAGATCAAACAGAGAGTGAACAGGAAAGTGATATGGAAATTGATTTATAATAAAACATTCTATCATAATTTTAGTTTTTATAATTATTTGCACTCGAGCATAATAAAAAATTATAAACAATAAAAGTAGTTCTGTCTATCTTTTTATTTACTCCTATATCATATCACAAGCAAGCACAACTTATCGCAAGATTTATTCTGGCACACTTCTCTTCGTGTGTAGCCGTGTGCTACGAGGGNCAACGCAGCTTCTATTTAAAAATCCCAGAATTTCAAGGTGAAGTCACAATTAATTTCACAAGGTTATTAAACAGCATTTTCGATGTCTTAAACAGCCGATCAATAAGACCACCAGGGTGGAAAAGGGCTATATTTTCGGGAAACATTGGTTTGATGTATTCGAGCATATCTTCAGAATCTGATGCTGCCATCTGGGCAGAAATTCGTCGATTCCAGAAAAAGAACCGGCTTTGTAGGTCTTATTGTGGACATGACCAGTGCAATCTAATTATATAAAAATATTTGATAGATGGTACTAAACTTTAAAAACTAAACTGATTTCTGCTCCTCAATCGCGTTACAATCGCAAATCGATTGTGGGTTAAAATGGTATTCTACTATTATTTGACATTTGGACCAATGAACTCTCAGTGTCAATTTTGCTATTGAAGTACGATTGAGCAACAATACGTGTATAATTGTAACAATACGTGTAATATCTGTGGTGTTACCCAAGCAAATTGTTGGTGTTTGGATTAAAAAATCGACATGAGACCATCAGTGGTGTCTTTAAGGTGGCGTATTTTGGCGCTAGCAAATGCCAGAGAGCGAAGATGCGCCGTAAAACGCGTGCCTATATAAGGCGTACAGTGGATGCCTTAGAAGATTTGCCCGAGACGGAATTTATAAAAACTACTGTACTCACTCCGTATCTGACACAAGCGAGGACGTGAAGGGATGCGATATCCCCCAATTTAAAGGTTAGTAAAATGCTATTACCGAATTTTTTTAAGACCAAGTGGATAAGTAGATAAACAAATATAAATCTATTAAATAGGACATGCGACGTTTGTTTAATATAATATTTCGATTGCAGATACTAATTGCTCTCAGTTTCTACGAAACTGGGTCATACCAGACTCTGGTTGGCCAAAGTTTATTCCACCATGTGTCACAGACCACTGTCTCAAGGGCTGTGAGAAAAGTGACTGAGGCACTCAATAAGCCTGACATATTTAAAAGATATGTTGTCTGGCCCATGCAAAGGCAAGACAGGAACAAAATCAAGGCAAAGTAAGTAGACATCTTCTATGAAGATTTACATTTATTTATTGGTGTTTGAAATAGGTACTTACTTTATACTTGATGTTATAGGTTTTATAGATTCGGGATTCCCGGAGTGTTAGGCTGCATTAACGGCACTCATGTGGGTTATCCACGAGGAGAGATATTTCAACAGAAAGGGATACCATTCCCTAAATGTTATGATTGTAATACCAATAAACATTTAATTTAATTTAAAACTACATTCTAATTTAACAATTACTTATAGATATGTGATTCTGAATTGAATATCCTGTGTGTGGATGCAAGCAGCCCTGGGTCAGCCCACGACTCGAGTGTGTGGCAAAGCCATCCGATATATAATCACATGGAGTTATGTGATGCTGGAGAGCACGGGTATTTATTGGGTAATATATTGACATTCAAGAATGAAGAGCTTTATTTTGAAATAATTTGCAAACATTATTGATACTTTTAAAATGTTTAAGGTGATAGCGGATATCCACTAAGGATGTTCATGATGACTCCGATATTAAATACCATGGAAGGGACACCGGAGCATCACTTCTATCAGTTGCATGTGACTGCACGCAATTCAGTGGAGCGCTGCATTGGGGTGTTANAGGATATAGCAAAATTCCCACGGGAACGGGAGTTAGCGGGAAAAACATTTGTATGAAAAAATCTAAACCACGTAAGATAGATGAAGGGGGTAAAACGGGATCCACGCGTACGAAGTCGCGGGCGGCCGCTAGTAGTTAAATAAAATAGTTCACCAAAATTGGCAATTGAAGGAATTTGCGTTTGTCGCCACCATTATTTTTTTCAAACATTTTTTTCCAATAGCCTACAGTAGGTATCTACGGAATCGTTACAATCCGTATCGGCAAGGAGACTTTGATATCTCCATTCCTTGTCCAGCTCTGTTAAATCTACAGTAATTTGCGATGGAATGTGTTTTTTCGCGATTTCATACAATGATGTAGGGTGCAAATTAGCAGGGGTTTGCTTGACATAATTTCTATTCATGAAATTTAACGCCAATGTTTTAATTAATTCCTCAGTTTGAGTCTTCAATTCTGAGAATTTAGGATAATCAGTTTGAAACATGCAATTAAAATCATTAAACAGTCCAAGATCGTAATCTACAAAATGCATTTGGTTTTTTATCAAAGGGTTCTCCAAGGTTTGGAGAGTGAGGCGGTTTGCATGTCTTGGATCTTCAAAATTTACTATTCTCCGGTAACTCTTTAATGGATCCCACTGTTGCTGTGCTGCTAATTTAGCACACAGAAGCTCGTTAGCTCGCTATGTCACAATACGTGTTGGTCGCATTTTTCGTGTTGGAGCAGTTGGTGCACTGTGTACCTGTTATGACAGAATAATTTCTTAAAAAAAAATATATTTTTGTTTGCCGAAAGGAGATGGGAACAATTACGTACAAATCTGGGCCAAGATGTAACAAGATAAAAATTGTGTAAATTTAAAGCTTAAAATACTTTGCAGATGTTCACTAGAAATTATGCGTGTTTTGGCTATCTTAAAATCTGTACTTGCAGCTGCTGCGATTTCTGCAGATGTTATAGAGGTTTGCAGTCTGCGGCCTGAAGTCCATCTTGGATTTGTACCTTATGTGTATTTTGTAGACGAAAGGAATGACAAGGTGATGAATAGGATGTTAAAAAATAATATTAAAACATTTTTCTTTACTTAATGATTTTATTCGTCTTCTATAATAATTAAAATATCATCTAAGAACTGTGTAGGTGGTACTAAATGGTCTTGGTACCTCGCCCAGCTAAGGTACCATATTATCGACATGATATGGGCGCAGCAGCCTGTAGGCCTAGTTCGTCTGCCTACAATGCAGTTAAAATACTCAATACTCAATCGTTTATTGCATAACCACATTAGCATTCACATTAGGTCTTACAATTTAGGCAGTTATCAAAATCAAAATCAAAAATATTTATTCAGTTTAGACCACAAGTGGCACTTATGAACGTCAATAGAAAATAATAAAAAAAGAAAAAAATAATAATACAATACAATGTGGACCCAGTTAGGGCACAGCAACTTTAGGAAGGAGACAGAACGACGATCTTAATAGTTTCAAAAGAAATTAATGTACACATTGAGTTTGGTGGTGTTGAAATAATATCATAAACAATAATGATGTTTAATCTATACTAAGGAAGTACTAGTAGCGCCATCTTATGTTAATGTGGTTTGATCAAATAAAACTTCAGTTCGTTTCCTGCAAGCATTCAAGTCGTTTTATTATAGGTTATGGGCCCAGAACTCGCCGTAAATCGCTGTATTTAGTAGATTTTAACAAGAATTTTGGACGTTTAGAAGTGTTAAAGACAGTTACTAAGTGCGATAACTCAGTTTCATCTATACTTATAATAAATCTGTAGAGAGGTCAATTCTGTACATGAAATATATTTTCAAAATAACTATCAGGGGGTGATTAGTGATAGATACTGATGCCAAAAATGCAATCATTAAATTTTTTGTCTGTCTGTCTGTCTGTCTGTCTGTATGTTCCTTATAGAAACAAAAACTACTTGACGGATTTTAACAAAACTTGGTACAATTATTCTTAGTACTCCTGGGCAGGTTATAGGATACTTAGGAATTCCCACGGGCACGGGAATTAGCGGGAAAATCCTTTTGTATGAAAAATCTAAACTGCTTAAGTTAGACGCTTGAAATTTGGCATGCAGGTACCTTAGTACACTTAAAGCTTAGTTACAACAGGATATTGCAAAATTCCCACGGGAACGGGAGTTAGCGGGAAAAAACATTTGTATGAAAAATCTAAACCGCTTAAGTTAGACGCTTGAAATTTGGCATGCAGGTACCTTAGTAAACTCAAAGCTTAGTTACAACAGGATATTGCAAAATTCCCACGGGAACGGGAGTTAGCGGGAAAAAACATTTGTATGAAAAAATCTAAACCGCGTAAGATAGATGAAGGGGGTAAAACGGGATCCACGCGTACGAAGTCGCGGGCGGCCGCTAGTAACGAATAAAACAGTAATTGTGGATTTTTTTTGCAAATAACCGGCCGGTGTGTATGGTGTTTAGCCTGCTCTACACGTCTACAGATACGTCCGCGGACGCTGACAGATGCATCCGCAGATGGATCATCTCGAGTCGTCCACACGTCTGTTGCTTGATCAGTATAAGTTCATTCTCGACAGAAACACAACGTTTAAATATGGATATTGATATCATAGCTGCCGCAGCTATTTATTTATTTAGTACTTTTAACTACTACGTAAAATTAAATGTGCATCGCAAAAGAGTTATTAAAAATAAAAGGAAAAGAAGAAAATTGTGGATGCTGGCAGGCAGGCATTATACATCGAAACAGAACGAAGTAAGCGGAATTTTTATCCAGACTCAAATCAAATTTACGTAATTGCACATTACACACGTAATAACAAGATTTTTTTTGCAGGAATAGCATGGAAAACCAGCTTGCAGAACTTTACTTGGAGCCATCTGGAGAATTCAATAATTTTGTTCGAATGTCTAGCAGCGATTTTGAATACCTTCTACAAAAAATATCTCCAATGATTTTTAAAAAAGATACCGATTGGAGGGATGCAATACCAGTGAAAGTGCGCTTGGCAGTAACATTAAGATATTTAGCTACTGGAGACAGCTACAGAAGCTTGCATTACCTGTTTAAAATTTCAAGCCAAATTATATCTCTTATTGTCCCTGAAGTATGTTTGGCACTCAATGCCGTGTTAAAGGATTTAGTGAAGGTAAACTACATTACAATGAAAATTCAACAAGTTTGTTGTTTACAAAAAAATTACTTTCAGACCTAATGAACAATTAAATATTATCTGAAAATGTAACTTTATTATTATCCATCACATATTCGAAGTTTTCATAAACTTCTCTACTTGTTTGTGGTAGAATAATTTCTTGTGATATAATGTTCACTACTTCGGATTGTTGGTTGACCGTATTTTGTGGCACCGATTCCATAATTAATTAATTACATAATTCGGTGATAGTGTTGATAAATATACACTATTGCTAGTGCTAGGACGACTCAGTATGATGTTTTGAGGAGAAGAAACAGCGTATGAACCTGCATCATGCTGTTGTACCGGTGACGTCTGTTCATCATAATACCATGGAGTTCGTACATTATTTTTTCCTTTTCAATTTTTGGATATTCCTTGATTTGTTTTGCCAACATTCTACAAAATAAATCTCATTCATCTTCTTCTTTTGCGCTTTGTTTACTGGTCAATGCCTTATTTAGTGTGGTTAAAGCAGTATTCATTTTTTTACCGGCTTCCTGCAATTCAGGTGGATTGAAAGCACGACGTTTTTGTGCTTGAATGTTTGGGTTCTTTTGAGGGGTAGCAGGGACTTCTGCGTCGTCGTCGTTGCCCATTTTAGGTTTTGGTGGGATGTCACTAGCCTGCATCTTGGAAGGGCTAGCCTCTTCATCAGTTTGTGTCTGGGAAAAAACAAATACAATTTAAAAAAATGTAAAGAAATTACAGTAAAGAGCTAACTAGCAAGGTTAAAATTAATTTGCTCAAAATGAAAAATACGTATACATAATACTTTAACTTTATTTTCAGATGCCTAAAACTACGGATGAATGGCTTTCAAAGGCAAGAGGATTTAATTTTCCTCATTGTATCGGCGCTTTGGATGGGAAACATGTAATGATTCTACCGCCGCCTCATACCGGGACGGAGTACTTCAATTATAAAGGACATTTTAGCATTGTACTCTTAGCGCTAGTTGATAGTGACTACTGTTTTATGTTTGCCGATATAGGTTGCCAAGGACGGATTAGCGACGGTGGAGTCTATAATCAAAGTGTATTAAGACAAAAAATTGACACAAATGAAATCAACTTGCCACCTCCTAGTCGCTTACCTAATAGTAACACTGAATTACCATAGGTATTTTTAGCTGATGCTGCATTTGCGTTGAGTACACATATTATGAACCCATTTCCTGGGCATCATGCTGTTGGAACTCCACAGAGAGTATTCAATCAAAAACTATCTAGTTCACGAGTAGCAGTCGAAAATACTTTTGGAATAATGTCCAGCGTATTTAGAATTTTTAAGAAGCCTATACCACTATATCGAAAAATCATCTTCAATTACAATGACATGTGTCTTGTTGCACAATTTCTTAAGAAAAAGTCGAACTTCTCGACATGTGTACACTCCCCCGAATTCAGTAGATAAGTATGTCAATGGAGAATTAACACAACCAGGATCTTGGAGACAAAATTACACGGGAACATTTGATCCATTGCAACCTGTAGCTCGAAGAGCTCCTATAAGCGCAATTGATACAAGATTAAAATTTATGAAATATATTCAAGAGAACAACAATCAACAGTTATAAGATTAAGTAGTTAAGTATTCTGAAATAAATAAGATAATAGAAATTTGGTATTCGTTTTACTTACTTTATCCTCCGAATTCATGAAGCTTGGCGATTCATACACATCCATCAAAAATGCCGCCATTACGTCGTAAAATATTCAGATGGGACGGTAGACATCTTCAGCTCCAGCCCCAGACGTAATAGAAGCCTTTCTTTTTTTTTAATTTGCTCTGAATGTAGTGTTAGAATTAGTTTAAATGAAAGAGTATTTAGTTAACTTATTTTATTACGTCTTGCACAGGTCAGGTTACCATAGAGAAGGAAGAATATCCATACAAATGTCATCGAGTCTTCTAGCTGTCATTTACAATTTACACAGTATAAAAATCAATGATGCTAACATAAAATATTATTATTTCTCAACTTTCTTCACGACCCCTCGATTTAGACCTTATAAAATACAAGTATTGTTAAGTTTAAATCGCTAAATAATACAAATCAACTTATCAAATAAAGTATTAGAATCCTCATTTAAAAACAAAACTTTTACACTTTAATACACAACATTAGTTATGTTATTAATTATTTTAACATAAACATTTAAAAAGGAAATCAAGATAAAAATCCTTTTACAAATCTTAGAAGTTAGTAACATCAAAAATCAATTTTTATGACAATTTATTAAAAGTTAAATAATTAATATTTAAACAATAACTGTAGAAATTAATTCTACAATGAATATTCTTTATTTTGGGATACTTTTATTGCAGTTATTGCTGTGTTTTTAAACCAAAAACCACGATCAAAATGTGACGTTAATCTTCAAATTTGCGTAATTATTTTTAGATTTTACTCAATAATGGTAATGATTAATTCAAGAATCTATTTCATTAATGGACTACAAGAATATATGTCCGATGATTACTATATATTTTTAAGCTTATTATATGAGCATAAATAATAGATACAGGACTTTGAAAATGAGTCTGCGGCAATTTTTTCGTAAAATGGTTGTGGGAGATGGGGCACTGTGAATTAAGCAAAAGAGTTTTAGTAAATCCGTTTCATTAATGGTCAACAACAAGGATTGACCTATCTTTCGCAGTTATTAAATAATCTCTGGGTGTTGCTTAAGATAGTAATTCATGCTTCCAAAATCTTAGAAATTCGCACGAAAATGTAAAATGGCTCTTAAATTCAAGTTAACTAATCACAAACGCAGGTGACATCTTAGCTTTGCGAGCGGTATAAGCATTACTTATACCACAGGTATACACTTATACCGTACAGGGGAATAGCGTTTTGACAGCGCATTTATATGTCATATTAGAGGTATTATTGGTAACTACCCAATTAATTTGCCATTATCATTTTAGGTGGAGGTAATCCGCGCCAGAGGCTTACAGGCGCGACAAGGCAGCCGGACTCTGCCGGCGCCCTACGTCAAGGTGTATCTAGTGAGCGGCAAGCGCTGCGTGGCTAAGGCCAAGACTAGCACCGCGAGGAGAACGCTCGACCCGCTGTACCAGCAAACGCTCACCTTCAGAGAGAACTTCAAGGGATGCGTTTTGCAGGTGAGTGTAACAACACTAAGGTAAACGCCGCACCTTAGGTAGGTAGTTGTAAAAGGAGCGGTTTTTCAATAATTATAGTTTGTGTTCATAAGTTTTTGTAAAGTTCAGAAAGAACGAAAGTGACCAAACTGCTATTTCTAATTAAAAAAAATACCAGAAATGAAGCACTTATTCGCATATCTAAACAAACACATCAAAATCAAAAATATTTATTCAATTTAGACTACAAGTGGCACTTATGAACGTCAAAATATAGTAAATAAAAAAGGTAGCCCTCATGTGGCACTTTACATGTCTCCTTATCTTTTGGACCCTACCAGCGCTTCGAGACAAACATAATATGGCAAGTGCTGAGAAGAGACGCTGGAACAAACTCATAACATATTTTTCATGGGGAGTCCGCCGATATAAAGCGGCCCGAAAATTACGTCTCGCAATTTGTAATGGTTAATTACTAGGGTTTAAATTAAACGCAAGTTCATCGCCATAAACCAAAAAAGAAGAATAAGTAGGGTTTAAATTACAATAACATGAATACGGTGGCACTTATCACAAATTTTCAAAAATATGAAAATTCGTTATACAGGGTGTCCCAAAAACAATGGATAACCCTGTAACCATCGATAGGCCTCGCCATGATCTCCCTAACGTCCATTTTTGACCCCAGTAAAAATAACACCGTTTTCAAGATTTTTAAGTTTTAATGCATTTTTAGAAAATTGCCACCTGCGATTACTTTTTCTCATGCCATTTCTACAAATGAGGATACTTTTCAATCTAGTTTTTTTCCTTATCACAAGGGATAGTTGGGCTATCAAAAGAAAAGATCAAAGTTCAACAAACTAGTTTGAAAGTATGAAAATTTTAAGAAATTGCAGAAGAAAAGGAAAAATTAATTCATTGTCTTGCACTTTTGATCAGCCATCGTGTAAAAAAAATGTAGGAAGACCATCGTGCCCATTACCTTAAAAACTTCTTTGGTTAATTGAGATTCTAAAAAGGTATCACAAGCCTATGTATTATGTATTATTTTTATCTTATGGCTACTTGAATAGCAACTAGTATGAAAACTGCAAAAATGAGTTTTTCTCGTAATAGTTAAACTAGGACTGCATAGTGGCATTAAATACAAATGGATAATTTTTAGCGTAGGAATTTTAATAAAGCAACATTTTATCATCATCATCATCATCATCATTTCAGCCATAGGACGTCCACTACTGAACATAGGCCTGTACCCTAATGATTTTCATAATGACCGGTTGGTAGCGATCTGCATACAGCACCTTCCTGCTATCTTTATGAGGTCGTCGGTCCACTTTGTAGGTGGACGTCTTATGATACGCTCTCCGGTACGTAGCCTCCACTTGAACCCTGCAGCCTCAGTTCTGCGAACTACTGTGCCTTGCCCTTTGCCACTTCAACTTGCTGATCCGTCGGGCTATGTCAGCGACTTTAGTTCGTTTACAGGCCTCCTAATTTCTGATACGGTTTCGTAAAGAAACCCGAGCATAGCCCCTTCCATAGCACACTGTGCAAAAAATCGACGTTTCCGAGCCGTATATCATCACGGGTATCTGTCTATAGGCACATTTATAAGGTGTAAAACAAAAATTAAGTAATCAGAAAAACGCAGAACGGACGGCCAATGGGGCAACAGGGTTCAAGTGGAGGCTACGTACCGGAAAGCGCAACGTAGGACGTCCACCTACAAAGTGGACCGACGACCTCATAAAGGTAAGCAGGAAGGTGCTGGATGCAGGCCGCTACCAAGTGGTAATTATGAAAATCATTGGGGTACAGGCCTATGTTCAGCAGTGGACGTCCTATGGCTGAAACGATGATGATAAAATGTTGCTTTATTAAAATTCCTACGCTAAAAAATATCCATTTGTATTTAATGCCACTATGCAGTCCTAGTTTAACTATTACGAGAAAAACTCATTTTTGCAGTTTTCATACTAGTTGCTATTCAAGTAGCCATAAGATAAAAATAATACATAATACATAGGCTTGTGATACCTTTTTAGAATCTCAATTAACCAAGGAAGTTTTTAAAGTAATGGGCACGATGGTCTTCCTACATTTTTTTTACACGATGGCTGATCAAAGTGCAAGACAATGAATTTTATTTTTCCTTCTTCTCTGCAAATTATTAAAAATTTTATACTTTTAAACTAGTTTGTTGAACTTTAATCTTTTCTTTTGATAGCCCAACTATCCCTTGAGATAAGGAAAAAAACTAGATTGAAAAGTACCCTCATTTGTAGAAATTGCATGAGAAAAAGTAATCGCAGGTGGCAATTTTCTAAAAATGCACAAAAACTTTAAAATCTTGAAAACGGTGATATTTTTACTGGGGTCAAAAATGGACGTTAGGGACATCATGACGAGGCTTATCGATGGTTACAGGGTTATCCATTGTTTTTGGGACACCCTGTATTAAAATCATCACTATTTATTGCGAAGTTGACGCATTATTTTGTTTGCAGGTGACCGTATGGGGCGACTACGGGCGTATTGAGGGCAAAAAAGTGTTCATGGGCGTGGCCCAGATTATGCTCGATGACCTAAACCTTTCCAACATAGTTATTGGATGGTACAAGCTTTTCGGAACTACTTCTTTGGTAAGTTCTTAAAAAAGAAGTCTACCGATAGGTACCCGTTAAAAAGAGTACATAAACAAAACTAATAACTGTTTTTTTTTTGTTTCCAGTAACCGAGAGTACAGCACTATCTACAAAGTGTTTGGAGAACTTATATCATCACAATAAAAAAATGTCCAAATAATACATTTAGTGATACTGCTTTAATATCATGATAAAACGCGAAATATCTTGAATATAGGAAATTTTCTATAAAACGAAAGGTATAATTAAATAATGATTTGTAATTAATTTTCTTTTGGAATGCCTACCGGAGTTTTGAATAGATAGCATTTTATAGCAATGAAACAAATGTATAGTGTACTCAATAATATGTAATTAAGTATTAAAAGCCAAATGCAATTTCGCTATTTCTTTTTGTTATAAAATCCTCCCGTATAAACGAAATTGAACATTGGTCTCGTATAAACTCATCTAACTTTATCACTTCCTCATTTATCTAAATTCATATTATATTATGTAACAATATAATACTTTAAGAACATAATTAAAATTATATTTAAAACAGTTGAAGTTTAGGTCTATTAAAAATAAAATGTGAATATTTCTACCATGTTTATTTAGTCCAGTTAAGAAAATTTATACATTAACGGCAACTTTGTCTCAACATCATTCAGTCTATCCCTTACACTTCATAATCAGTCGTATGACGCATATGTAACAATCGCGAGAACACTATAATAATATACTTGATTATTTGTCGATTGGATAGTCCGCTTTAAAAACACTATCCACAATCATTGAGATTTCATTATGAAAAAAAATGAAAGTAAAAAATAAAAGTGTACTTACTAACCATGAAGGCGAACATTATTCACTTAGTCGACTGTACATAACTAAATTATTCTATGATAAAATGTCAAGGTGTCACAGACTAACACTTAGTGCAGTATTTGTTTGGGCTGCTTGGAGGGCGACGCGCCCGGCAGCCGGCCGTCACCCGCTCGCTTCACTCCTGTAGATTTGATATCTGAAAATGGACAAATATTGTTAATATTATTAATCGAATATATTTATTATTTCTTATAATTAAAAGAAGCGGCTTGTTTGTTATTGTAGTGTCGTACCCATATTATATTTATAACATTGAAGTTTGACAATAATAAAACTGAGAATGTGTATTATTCTATTTATAATTGAAATAAAATATTTTTTCATTGAATCCTGAATACGCACATTGAGCGTTCGAGTCGTTCCAATATTTTTAACCTGATTGAATAATATGATCAGTTTTTAAGAATCCTTTGAGTTGCATCTATGTATTTAAATGTGTAAGTTGCAAGCCAACCGCTAACATTAAACGCATACATGAGCAGTTTATTTTACAGATATGCATTGCATCATGCATAAAAGTCGCTGCGGTTCCGACTTAATTACGACTTGGCACTGCAATATGCTGTTGGCTTCCAACTCACATTACATACTGAACGACCGCAGAAGCAGAAACAGTCGAATATAGCAGCATTTATTTGTAACGAAAGTCTTTAGACCCCACTTGCGTGGCGGAACTCGGAAGACGATGGCAGGCTTGGTGGCGAGTGACACGCCATTAGCGGGCCAATAGATATCAGCGTGTCGTAGCAGTGTCACGCGGCAAGCGAACCACCTTGCAGATACCTGATTTGCGTGGCGGGCCCGGAGCCCTTCTCGTTGCGCGCGGCGATGAAGACCATGGCGGGCTTGGTGGCAAAACGTATCACGCCACTAGCATGTCGCGGCAATGTCACGCGGCGAGCGACCCACCTTGCAGCCACCTGACTTGCGTGGTAGGTCCGTAGCCCTTCTCGTTGCGCGCAGCGATGCGGCAGATGACGGCAGACTTGTTAGCGAGTGTCATGCCACTAGCAGGCCAGTAGCGTATCGCTGCAGTGTCACGTCACTAGCGTGCCAGTAACGAATCGCGGCAGTGTCACACAAGCGACCTACCTTGCAGCCACCTGACTTGCGTGGCAGGTCCGTAGCCCTTCTCGTTGCGTGCAGCGATGCGGCAGATGACGGCAGACTTGGTAGCGAGTGTTATGCCACTAGCGGGCCAGTAGCGTGTCGCGGCAGTGTCACGCGGCGAGCGACCCACCTTGCAGCCACCTGACTTGCGTGGCGGGCCCGTAGCTCTTCTCGTTGCACGCGACGATGCGGCAGATGACGGGAGACTTGGTGGCGAGTGTCACGCGACTAGCGGGCCAGTAGCGTGTCGCGGCAGTGTCACGTCACTAGCGGGCCAGTAGCGTGTCGCGGCAGTGTCACGTCACTAGCGGGCCAGTAGCGTGTCGCGGCAGTGTCACGCCACTAGCGGGCCAGTAGCGTAACACGGCAGTGTCACGTCACTAGCGGGCCAGTAGCGTGTCGCGGCAGTGTCACGCCACTAGCGGGCCAGTAGCGTATCGCGGCAGTGTCACGTCACTAGCGGGCCAGTAGCGTGTAGGGCGAGGGCGCCGTACACACAAGCGACCTACCTTGCAGCCACCTGACTTGCGTGGCGGGCCCGTAGCCCTCCTCATTGCGCGCGGCGACTAATCGGACTCGGTGACGAGTGTCACGTCACTAGCGGGCTAGTAGCATGTCGCGACTGTGTCACGCAGCGAACAACCCACCTTGAAGCCACCTGACTTGCGTGGCAGGTCCGTAGCCCTTCTCGTTGCGCGCGGCGATGCGGAAAATGATCGCGGGCTTGGTGGATGAGTCTACGTGCGCTGCGCCCAGAGACGACTGTGGTACGACACATGTGTTCGCTTTACCGCAGTACACACGCACGAATGCCAGTTGCGATTTTGATGCCTCCTAATGGAAGAACAGAATGACGAATATCAATAAAGAAAAAGCGAATCGTCTTTGCGAACACTTAAATCGAACAAGAGCATCGTGACCTCTCAACATAGTTTTTGCATTTGCGTCATTGGGCACTCGACAATTTAGAAGCATTAGATCTATAAGATTGCTACCATGTGCCGTTTTATTTACGAGCATCCGATATTATATGGTAGCAAATAGCAATCCCATAGATCTATAACTATTCTAATGTTAGTGACCAACTCATGGTCGTAAAACAATTTATAAGCAATCTTTCAAATTAAATTCTCAACTATTACAACAATACTAACAATGGTAATTTAACAAGTAGTAAGTGCCAAGTATAGTTTTTATTGTAAGTAGTGAGACATACCTTGGGTTGAGAGTTTGACCGGACTGCGAGATACACAGAGTATTCGAATATGCCTTCAGCGGCCACTTGTGGCGGTTCCCATGATAAATGTGCTCCTTCAACGGACTTTGATATTTTTATAGCTGACGGCGCCCCAGGGAACCCTGGTAGACATGTCTTGAATGCTGATTCCTGTAGAACAAAGATGTTTTTAAATTGGTATTATTTAAATTTTTTGTGTAACTTCAGCAAATAACGAGGTGCTGCGATAGGCTTCTGTTAAAAATGTATGACCTTTTTATAAAGGGTAGGCCAAATTTTTTTGCAAATCGCAACATTCGATTTCTCGAAAACCGTTCGAGGCGTGGATAGCAGGAAACTATGCATCGCTTCTTCGCTTCATGCAAATGCAGTCACGACGAAAGGCTTCACAGGACACTAGTGCTTTTAGTAGCACAAAAGTAAAGATTCATTATGTGAAAAGTCACACGACGCCTGTTTACAACTAAATACGGATTACGCAGTGAAAGTGAGTGTCCAAATGTTTATTCTAAGCTAAAATCGCTTACCTCACTGAACTCGCCCCGACCGCAAGAATTGATTGCTGCGATCCGAAATTTATACGCTGTGCCGTGTTCTAGGGGAGTTGTAGGCAAACTGGTGAAGTCTGGCAAACTGTCCAGGGATAAATTAGACAGGTCTACATTGGGGTCCGATATGTAGTTTTGAACCTAAAACAATAGTCAACATTATTTTACGAAATTAAAGTAAAATAAAAGTTTGTTATACGAATATTCAGCTCTTTTTTAATATTTACCGTGAAAGTAGTCCCTCTTACAAGTCCAACAGTATACCATGCATCCTCCTCAATTTGAGGTTTAACGTCTTCAGGTTCAGCCTGAAATTAAGATGAACATAATTAAGAACAGATAACACTCAAATATATCAAGATCAAACTCAATAGCTACGATAGTCGAACGGTGAAGGGGTCGGGCTGGCCGACTCGAGATCCGATGAACGCGGGTTCGAATCCCACCGCCGCTCGACTGTTGTGGTGAGCCCACTCGCAACACAAGCTTATTTAGCTTACCACGAGGGGCTAACGGGACTATTAGCAATTTGTGCAATACAAATTGCTAATAATCTTTAAAAATAAAACATTAGCGGAAGAATGGAGGGGCGTCTTCGTGGGTAGAACGATCTATACTAGCCAACGTTGAACGTAGTCAGGGCGTGCTCACATTGGCGAATGGCAAAACCTTAATCTACAGTGGCGCTAACTAGAGCCCGCCACTGAGCTACTGGCGCCCTCGCTCTCCCCGCTCGCTACATGCCTATTAATTTACGCCATCCTAGCCCTCTAAACTTGTTAATATAGCTAGCCAGGGTCGCCAACGCATGCGGGACGTTCGTTGGCGGCAGCGGCGCTCTCCCCACCGGCTACATATACTTGGAGGCTGGTCTGAGGTGTAGGGGAATCTAAGTACTGTCTATTCATCACATACAGCACATCCTCGCTCTGTGCCCTATATACACCTAATCATTTAACCTTCATACCTAACCGGCAGCGGCGGCGCACCTTTGGGGCCCGCCACCGAGGTGATTCATATACAACATCCTCGCCCTGTGTACCCTACACTACACAGCACCCTTCATACCTGATCCTGCTGGTGGTGCAGCGCGGCGCTGGCCAGGGTCGCCAATGCGTGCGCGGCGTCGGTCGGCGGCAGCGGCGGCGCGCCGTTGGAGGCCGCCACCGAGCTGCTGACGGCGCCCTCAACCATCCCGCTCACTGTCTATTCACATACAGCATCCTCGCCCTCTGTACCTCACTACACAGCACCCTTCATACCTGATCTTGCTGGTTGTGCAACGCGGCGCTGGCCAGGGTCGCCAACGCGTGCGCGGCGTCGGTCGGCGGCAGCGGCGGCGCGCCGTTGGAGCCCGCCACCGAGCTGCTGACGGCGTCCTCAACCATCCCGCCCACTGTCTATTCACATACAGCATCCTCGCCCTGTGTTCCCTACACTACACAGCACCCTACATACCTGATCTTGCTGGTGGTGCAGCGCGGCGCTGGCCAGGGTCGCCAACGCGTGCGCGGCGTCCGTCGGCGGCAGCGGCGGCGCGCCGTTGGAGCCCGCCACCGAGCTGCTGACGGCGCCCTCAACCTTCCCGCTCACTGTCTATTCACATACAGCATCCTCGCCCTCTGTACCTCACTACACAGCACCGTTCATACCTGATCTTGCTGTTGGTGCAGCGCGGCGCTGGCCAGGGTCGCCAACGCGTGCGCGGCGTCGGTCGGCGGCAGCGGCGGCGCGCCGTTGGAGCCCGCCACCGAGCTGCTGACGGCGCCCTCGCCCTCCCTGCTTGCTACATAATGTCTATACACCTGTTCATATACGCTACATACCTGATCTTGCTGGTGGTGCAGCGCGGCGCTGGCCAGGGTCGCCAACGCGTGCGCGGCGTCGGTCGGCGGCAGCGGCGGCGCGCCGTTGGAGCCCGCCACCGAGCTGCTGACGGCGCCCTCGCCCTCCGCCGCGCCCTCCCCGCCCGCGCCCTCCGCGGCCACCGATGACGACACGCCGCTGGCCCCGCCCTCCTCGGCTTGAAACATACTTCATTCAATACTTGCCATTCACAGCCGATTTATTTGTCATTTGTAGCGGTGTTATACTTTTATAACACAGCTATAAAGGACAGATCAAATTACAATACATGAAACAACATAATATCATTATACATCGTTTGCTTCAGCCAAATGAAACCAGGTGAAGGGGTCGGACTGGCCGACTCGTAATCCGGGGAATTCGGGTTCGGTCCCCGCCGCCGCGGCGCTCGACTATTGTGGTGAGCTCACTCGTGATACAAGCATATTTAGCTTAGTACGAGGGGCTAACGGGACTAATAGTAATTTTTGTAATAACAAATTACTAATAAATAATCTTTAAAAAAATTACAAAGGCCTTCCCCAAGGATTTCCATAACGACCGCTCCTGCGACATTATACATAATGGAGATCCACAAGAGACACTTTAAAAATAGGCATTTTCGAACCCAAACAAAAAGGCTATTTTAATATAGTGCGAATATTCATAATTTGATTCAGTGCATACTCGTCCAAAAACATTTGTAACTTATTTTACAGTATTTTCGGGATATAAAATATGAAAGATCACGAAATAAGCTTTGAATAAGTAAAGGACATCAACACTCAGTATGAATGCATAATATGAGTAAATCTTTTTATGCGTGCATGCGTCGCATGTAGCTTGGAAGTCTTGGAACTTGTCCATAATCACCAGCACATGGGAGAGCATGTATAAAATATCAGTCTCAAAAATAGATTTAAAGTGTTTTCTATTATTATGTTTGTTTACCACGTCTTAGAATTTTGATAAGACAAATAATAACGGTTTAAAGACTTCGATTTCAGTTAAAATTACTGCAGCTGAAGTGAAGGTATATCGAATATGGAAAAGGTCAGTACATAGAGAGAGTAAATATGGCTGGACAAGTGGAAAATGGCGATCTTGAATCTGAAATTATAATGAGATCATACCATACCTCTAAAGAATAAGCTGACGAATTATACCCCAGTTTATTTCAGTGGTAAAATTTAATCAATATGAAGTATATTAAACTATTGAGATTAAATTACCTTGAGTAAAAGTGGGTGAAAGCAAAGCCGATCCGTTCGCTGTCATAGTGAGCAACGGCATCGACTCGCTTACTGTGGGCATCGTATCAGCGGCTCCCTCCATTTCCGACGTGTCAGCATCACCAAATCTGGACGAAAGGAAATTCAGATACCTTTTGAAATTTAATATTATTGGCCAACTAAAATTCTGTAGGAAATAATACCAACTCATTTGCTTGTTGCTGCTGTGGAGTGATAGAGAATGAATGTAATACTGCCGGTCCGTTGGCGGTGGAGGATATCAGGGTGGCCTCGGTCTGGCCGCTGCTGGATATATCCGCCGCGCCTTCAGCCGTGCTTGAACTGAAATATTCGCCGATTAAAAACAAACAAAAACTGGGACACTCAAAAACGTTCGAATATGTACCTTATGCCTGTGCTGAGGACCTCTGCCGCGGCGCTACTGATGTCGTTGACGTCGTCGCTGCTTGCAACTCCCTCGCCGCCGCCCATATCTTCGTCCATTGTGCTCGATTCATCTATTGCGAGTAAATAACGAATTTTGTGTAGAGATATAACTGTTACGGTCAAAGTGATTAAATGTGAAAATTATGAATAATCGCCGGTTATTATGAATAATTACCGCATGATTTGGTAAATGTGATTAATATGAGGTCATTTATGTGTGTATAAAACTAAATCGGCGGCTTAGGGGTGGCCCAAGGGCCACCCCCGCCGCACATTAACCTATTTTACACTTTAAATCAAAACATTATGTTATAGGCATCATAGAAAAGTAATATTATGCAAGAAACATTCCAAACTCATTATGCCAAATTATATTAATATATGATATCAAAACGTTCAAAAGTTTGGCTGTACACGAGCACGTACACAAGATGTTGTTCTCTTTTATGAAATTTGTTAGTATAGCCTGACCAGGAACATAAAAACCCTGGCATAGAGGCGCTTCAATTGCATTTGATAGTGCAACACTGAGTACAGTCGTACCTGTGTTAAATTAATAGGCTAACTTTATGTATCAGGATTCAGGATTACGGGCTAATTTGATATTTTCATAAATTAACGAAAAAATATTATTATAGGTAACCTGATTTAAATAAATTAAATGAAACCATCAATCGAGCTAGTAGATTTATTTTATTATTCATCAATAATCAAATTCAGAACTTGAATATTCTACTGCAATATCTGCTCATGAACGCTTCAAACTCGGTACTTCTTTCCCAATCCCATAAAATTCAACACTTAGAAAGTGACAAAAAATTTTAAAATAGGTAGTTGAAACAAACCACAGCTAATTTTCATAGTGGACTGTACTATACGATAAACATGTCAGTCAATTTGACAACCTTTGTCGGAAACATTATTCAATGAAAATATTGTCCGAACCCTTAGTATTTCTCTTCGACAAATACTTTAACACATTGTGAACCACTTTTCTTTCACGACTATAAAAATATTTTAGCAATTTAATTCATAAAACCAATTGCGCACATTTAAAATAAAGTTTGTTTACACTTTGACAGCAATAGACTGACATGCAAGGTGACATGTCAATGAAGTTTTCAGTTACTGTTGCCATTAAAAGAAATTAGTACCATTAGTTTTCCGCAACATGGCGAGGGTTTTTATGTTCCTGGTCAGGCTATACTAAGGTTGAATTATTAAATAATCACTGTTAAATGTGATTAATTTATCACTTTCACCGCGACTGTGGGTAATTATTCATAATAACCGGTTATTATTAATAATTTTCAATTTATCACATTAACCGTAACATAACCATTAAAAAAAATTAAAGCATTTTATTTTAAAATTACATAAGGTTTCGCCTCTTCACCATCAAAATTCCTTCAAGTTGTAAATAAGTTATCTATGACAAAAATTTTCTACAAGTCATTTATGTATTTATTTCAATAAAACTAATATTTTTTATTTTGTAGTGGATTTGGAAACTAATTGGGTTGCCAGGGCTATTGTGGAGTGTGACCTGCAATCACTAGCTTTAAAATTGTGATAATGAAGTCATAAAGTAAATAAAAGTGAGAAAAAAAGGATTTCCCACATGATTCAGTTTAATATTCAATAGGAAAAAATATAAAGTTACCAATGATAATAATAAGAACACATACCATCCTGAACCATGTGTGCGCCGTCTCCCTCACCCACAGCGCAGTCTATGGGCATAGCGGAGCTTATGGACTGGTCCGGGGACTCCTCTGCGGCAGGGTCGACGCCCTCCGACTCATCCAAACCCGCCTCGTCCTTCACGTCCGGGTCAAGCTGGCTTTCCTCCTGAGGGGAATTATCTTCTGTTGCTGCCTGTTCCAAATTTTTAGTACTCTACCTTAGAATTTACTACGTTCTAATTGGAGGGATTAAATTGTTAATTTTGGTTAGTGAAAAAAGGAGATTGTTATTTGTTTGTTAGTGTGGAATAAAGTCTAATAATGATAAGTAAGAAATGGCGTACATTTAGTTTTGGTAACTATGACCAGTGACCACATTCAGAATTTGGTCTAGTAATAAAATGTAGGTAGATTTATTTATATAATGTTACAATCAAAACTCATAATCGGTCAACTGATGCCCTTACTTAGTCAATATCACTTTTGACTGTTTTTTCCAGTCAAAAGTGGATTTGACCAAGGGCGTTAGTCAAAACCACTTTTAAGAGTAAAAAATATGCTAAAAGTGGTTTCGCCTGATTTAAAATTTTACCAATCAGTCAAAATTCATAAATGTGCAATGTCATGATTTGTGAAAATTGCATGGGAATCATCAAAAATGTGTTAAAAAAACCATTTTAAAGTGTAAAATTTTTGTGGTTTGTTCATACAAAATGATCACACCTAACTTAAGATACAATTGTAATGTTGCTAGGTATTCGTCAGGTAAAAGATAAGTAGATTATTAATTTGTTCGGTCGGTTAAATAAAATGTTTTGCACTCCAAAGTAGTTTTGACTAACGCTCTTGGTCAAAACCACTTTTGACTGGAAAAATCTGTCAAAAGTGATATTGACCACTTTGTGTTCAAAGTGGTTTTGACCGATTATGAGTTTTGACTGCAACATATACAAGACTTGCCACTTGTAACATCTATGTTAAAAAGTTATTATTTTAGAGCTACAATACAAGTACTACAACATGTTACTTTTAGCATCAATAGTAAAAATAAAAGTAAATAAAATATGCTAGGGTTCTAAGGAGCACTTTCTTACAGGAGTCGATAAGCAATTATCGCCTATGTACGCAGACTCGTCAGCTGCTGTCCCGGCTGTGGTGTCATCGATGTCCATTTCTTCTTCTGCACTTGCTGTAAACATCACATAATGTTAATTGTCCATCACCTAATGTAAATTATAAAACATCTGCCTTATTTAGCACAAATGTATTATTTTCGAATTAGAATTTCATAGAAGAAACTATGAAATGATTATAAAATAATATTCTTAAAAGTTCAATTTAGCCTCAATTTCTCATCAATATTGTGTCACCATAATAGCGATATAACGGAAGAGGATACAGGAGAAACAAAAATAAACCCAATAACGGAAAGTGAAGTATGGACTTACATTACAAAATTAAAACCTGAGAAGAGCCCAGGAGAAGACAACATTACAAATGAAGCCCTGAAAATCGGTGCGCGAATTCTAGTCCCATATCTAACTGAGATGTTTAACTTAGTACTGGAAGAAGAACAAGTACCATCGCAATGGACTAAGTCAAACATAATTCTACTGTATAAAAAAGGAAGTCCACTCGACATCGGCAACTATAGACCCATCAGCCTACTATCTGCAATATATAAACTCTTTTCATCAATACTTCTCAGCAGAATAGCATCAAAAATTGATAACAATCAACCAATAGAACAAGCGGGCTTTAGACCACATTACTCAACAATTGATCACATCCATAAAATAGAAAAAGTAATGGAGAAATTTTAAAAATTTAATAAAGTGGTTTATTTGGCATTTGTGGATTATTCCAAAGCATTCGACAGTATAGTGCACTCATCCATATGGACTGCTCTAAGGAACAACGATATAAATAAAACATACATAAATATCATCAAAAACATCTATTCCAAAAGCGTAAGCAGAGTAAAACTGGAAAGACAAGGAGAAGAGTTCATAATTGGAAGAGGAGTGCGGCAGGAAGACCCACTCTCTCCTAAACCGTTCATAGCTGTGCTGGAGGACATTTTCAAGAATATGGATTGGAAAAATAGAGGCATGGATAGATAATAATAAATTGACACACCTAAGGTTTGCAGATGACATAGTTCTATTCAGTGAATCAGCTACAGACTTAGAGAAAATGTTGCAAAGTGTGAACTATGAAAGTATAAAAATCGGCTTACACATGAACGCTTCTAAAACTAAAATCATGTCAAACAGTCCTAGGAAAACAATAAAAATAGAGGAAAAACCTATAGAATATGTAGATGACTATGTATACCTAGGCAAATTGGTGTCATTTGATACAAACAGCAACGAAAACGAACTAGACAGACGAATAGGTATAACATGGAAGAAATACTGGGCAAAAAAAGAAATCTTAAAAGGGAATTATAACTTAAATATAAAAAAGACAATAATGGATTCCTGCATTCTCCCAAGCCTAACTTATGCTAGCCAGACATGTCTGGCCAGACATGTTTGATCGTTCGATATTTTGATGGTTCGATATTCTGAACGTTCGATATTTTGAGCATTCGATATTTTGATCGTTCGATATTTTGATCGTTCGATGAAACGTATTCGATATTTTGATTTTCGATCATTTGTCATTCGATATGGCGTAGGTAACCCGCCAGACATGGGTCTTTACGGAAAGAGTAAAAAACAAAATCTCCTCTTGTCAACACGCAATGGAGAGAAGGATCTTAAAACTAAGAAGAATACAAAAGACTAGAAACACAGACATCCGTATGAAAACTAAATTATCAGATGCTCTTAAATTTAGCCTAAAGCAGAAGTGGAACTGGGCAGGTCATTTGGCAAGATATAAAGATAAGAGGTGGACCTATCAAACAACAAAATGGCAAGGCCCAAAAGGCAAAAGAAACGTAGGACGGCCGAAGAAAAGATGGGCCGATGACATAACAAACAAGGCAGGGAAAAATTGGATGCACATAGCCAGCGACAGGGAAAGGTGGAAAAAGATGGAGGAGGCTTTTACCCAAGTGGGGCCACAAACAAGAGATATAGATTAATTGAATCAAACTGTAAAAATGTGGAATACAAAGCTATAATAATAGGATACAAATTTTGGGGGGTCGTTAATAGGCGCACTTACGTTATTTTATTTTTTTATTATTTCATCGGTCAATTTTATAACGAAGAGACCACCTTCATACAAATTATTACGCTTGACAAGGTTTTAAGTAACCTTATTATCCTTCCTTACCATAACCTTATTACTGTCCCCATGCTTGACTTGCAAGTCAATACTTTCCACACGTAACTAAATTAGCCCCCACACCATGTTAAGGTCATTTAATAACGTAGTTTTGCATTTAATAAGACACCGAATTAAGGACGAAGCACACTTATCAACCAGGAAACATCAAGTCAGTGTTCTTTGTATGAAACTCCGTACTGCAACGCACACTTATCCGCACCGTAACGTAAACGCCTCGCATCGCGGTTGATAGTGCACGAAAGGCGATCCCTTTCCGGGTTGATAAGTGTGATATGATGACCTTCAGCAGTTTTCCTTAGTTAGTTACAAAAGTTAGGACTTTTTGGACCCTTAAAGGTATCATAGTCATATCAAGTTGCAAGAGGCAAATAAAAACAAGATCACTGGGTCCTAGGGGACTGCATTCAACACTCAATTTGTTACACTCAAATCATAGTGTAGGTACAGTTACCGTAAAAAAAATCATTTAGGTTTTCCTCCAGTGGCCAAGAACGGAGATTATAATAACCCCTGGTATCAAACTACATAGCTCAACCAGACCTTACAACACATTCACACATAGACAATATTTATTCTTAGGAAATGAGTGAAATTTGAACCCCAGGAGTAAAAAAAAGTTGGAAGTTTTAAGCCCTTCTTCCTAGAAATCCTTTGAATAAAAAGAACTTATAGTTACCTAGTTACTTGTTGAGAAAACTCTTAGGAAAAAATACGTAGGTGTCACCAAAGTTCCAAGTAAGGTATTTCAGATAAGTGCGTGTACGTATTCGATTTAACGTTTCGTCAGTGGGTAGTTACTTAGTTGGTGGAAACAAACATTAGGTATTATTCATTTTATTAGCTATAATACAGTCTCCATGGTAGCTATTTTCAGTGACTTGCTTTTTCTTTTCCTTAAACAGATGATAACAGAAAGGATGTCACGTGTCTATGCATTCTGTTTTACATATTATTTTTCACGTTTAAATTTTCTATGAAACGCCATCTCACTCTCAATTCTTCCATCACCACCTCCGCACATGCCATCTTTGTAAGTGGCCATATTATCAGATCGATGCTAATGTATAAGACGGGGCTAATAATAGGCGGGTGCAGCGAAGCGCGCGGACTGTCGCCGACGGCCCACCTTACACCGGTCGGCCTCGTGGCGAACTTGGAGGGGGTTAAGGCATTAGTGGAGAGGCGATGGAAAAACTTCATGACGGAAAATAAAATGTGAAATTGAAAATTATTATTTGCAAATTGTCTTAAACTTAGGGCCTCTGCTGCACAAAGCAGCGACATGCGATATAGCGGTTTGCTTTTAACCGACTTAAAAAAAAGGAGGAGGTTCTGTTAGTCTGTTCGTTTTCTCTTAGAAACAGATCGTAGTTAAGTCCTAATTATGTGGATTAGTAATAGAAACCCAGTAACAAAAAAAAAAAAAAATGACTATCCACCTTAGAATATTTAATGGCATTTTTGAGACAGATAAATGAGTAGGAGGTATATTAAAATGGTTCAATAATGATCTGCCAGCTTCGTTTTTGTGTCGAATAATGACATTATTCTACAAGCTGCTACAATTTTCAAGGAAATATCAAACCGAACCATTTTACTACGTGCCTCTTTCCGCTCTTCTCTGTGCTCTACCCTCAATGAGAGTCTTCGGTTCACTATTAGCGAATAATTTAATTTGAGACACCCTTGCTTGGTGCAGCAGCTAAGTCGCCGTGTCAGGAGCAGCGTCTCAATGACACCTTGTGGAGACATGCGAAAATTAAGACCGTTTTAGACTATAATTCTTACCTAGAACTACACCAGACAGATCGCTAGTCTGTAATAATTTTCTAAAGCCAATCATAATAAGTATGACGACGAAAACAAATGTGAAAGGCATTCAAATATCGCAACAAAATAACGTGTAACGCTGCGTTTGTACTATTAATTCTCGACCACACGTTGGGCGCCACTACGAGTATAATAGCTATAGCTGGTCTCGGGGTCGTGTAAATAAAGTTCAAGGCACGATTCAATCAGTAAATAAGTCTTGTATACGAGATACGAGTATCATTCATGGGATGACATAAATTAAAAACGCAAGTAACCTATGATATTCGTGATAATGCGAGGTGATACCGACATAAATGGAGGCGTCACAAATGATGCCAAATGTCGCCAGCTTTATAGGCCGCACATTGCGCTTTACCAAGGATTCTCGATGAATTTTACTTCTATTGGGCAAATTTTTCAAAGCCCGTTTCAAACTATTTTGTTTCTTTTATTTGTAGCTTATTCATACTAGTACGTCTGTAATATCTGGTTACTAAAAACTTATTTTATAAGAACTGATAGTCTTTACCTTAATTAAATGAATTAAGACACTTAGATGTGGATATAATTTAGAGTTGGTGGCCTTCAGCGATTATCCACCTACGTCTACTAAGTTAATGAAGGTCGATGTCATTCTGTGTAATTGTCAAAATCCTTGTCTCATTAGCTTTCATTAGTCAGAGCAGCTTTATCGTCGCAAAGCACGGAAGCTTTCTCATCAAAATGTTGAATTCACTCACTATATTTTACATGTGTAACCTACTTACTATGAAGTTTTCCCAATCCTCCATTTGCTCTAGTAAATTAAAGAGGGTAACTTGCTCCTAGACTAAATGACATAATGATGATGTTAACTTTTTATTGTTTTTCACACGATAACAAATCGACTGCTTGAGATGAGACTCGAACTCGCGATTTTCGCTTGCCAGACGACAATAGACAATATTAGAACCTGGCGAAATTTCCAATATTACCCTGTGAACATAGGCCGTTTCATCAAGTAACCCTATCTTTTATAATTAACTTTTTAAAAAAATAAAACCGACTTCAAATGCGTGAACACAAAAAAAAACTAAAAATTAAAAATATTGCGTATAAAATAGTTCATCCCCAATTTTCCACCCTTGGGGGTGAAATATTTTCTTCAAATTCGCATGAAACCACCCCTTTGATAATACCTATTCAACAAAAAAATAATCGTTCAAATTGATTTATAATCGGCGGAGATATTGCGTATAAAAAAGTTCATCCCCAATTTTCCACCCTTGGGNACAAAGCTATAATAATAATAATAATCTTTATTTTATACACAGATGGTAGTGCTAAGAAGAGGTCATCACATAAGAAGCGCCAATATCGCTCCAACCGTGACTCGTCTACAAGTGTCAGCCCCAGGCGCAGTTCTCGCAGGGAGAGGTTAGTTAACAATTTACATTTTTCTATTAAAAGACAGGTTTAATAAAAAGTAATAAATAAAAAGTTGGTTCGAATGTGTAGCATTCCTTCGTTACTAATATATTTATCGAGAAGGCTTCGTTCATCTTACAACCCGGTTAAGTTACTGCGCACCTGGCTGGAATGCGACTCTCCCTCGCACTTACCCGCACACCTCTTGTTCGCCCTGTCCGTATCAGAGCGTTGATGTGACGTCTCGGCAGCCAGGTGCGCAGTTAACTTGACCGGGTTTGTAAGGCTAAGTAGGTACCATAGAGATGTCAACTAATGCGTTGAGTTCGAAACTCAGTGTTATTAGTCAGAACGCTCAGTCGCATTAGAAATGCACACAAACAAAGAAATCAATATATGCGATCATTATCCACTGCGGTATCAGTACTCAACGTTGGAATAATCTTAGTACTACGCAAGCAATGTCAACGGTCGCGAGTCACGAACAATGTGTTCTGTTTTTGGGCATATTGTTGCGACACCGGCCCCGCCCCCTTGTCACATTTCCCTTTAATTTCTGTGATCTGTGGTAGTACAGACGACGGCACATCAAGACACATATCGGCACATCTTATGTAGTTGTAATAAGACTGAATGTAGTCTAACGTGTTGTCCACTCTGTTCTAATCTTTTTCCATTACAGGAGTAAGTCCCGCCGTCGCAGCAGCCGCCGCCGATCGCTGGACCGGCGCGAGCGAGACAGGGAGCGCGAACGCGAGCGCGAGAGGGAGCGAGAGAGAGAACGGAGACGGCGCGAAAGAGAGCGTAGGGAGAGGTATGTTCAATAAAATGGGTTTACTTTTTTTAAGCACAAATCTTAATAAATATCTATTAGATTTTAGTTTGATTCAATGTTAGAATAAACTGAAATATAAGATTCATTCAAGTCTTTTTTTTTGTATCGAGAGCCTCATAGTTACAGAGAGCCTTGTTTACTTTAATTATTTGATTTAATTTTAGCAGCTACTTAATCCATGCTATATTACTTAGAATTCCTTAGACACAAAACCAGTCTAGATACTGCAACCTAGATACTGCAACTTTTACGTAGTTAACAGTAAAGATTATTCATTTAAACGTACAATCAGATTACGTCGGATTTCAATACAAATTAACTGCTAAAAGTAAATGATTTATTGCAAAATAAATAAATAATCTTCTGTTGTAGGTCGCGAGAACGCCGCCGTTCGCTCGAAAGACGTAGGCGCTCGCGGTCGCGTTCGCGAAGGCGTTCCAGAGACAGGTAGATATTATTTATTTTTATTTGCTATCAATTTTATTGTGTAAGGGATTTCTTTTTTCAGTCGATTACAAATTAGATTAAGGTTTATTCATCTATTGTTACTTGTATTTATTTGGTAAATATTAACAGCCTCACAGATGGTAACAGGTGAACTATGAATAGCGCAATACACACGTTACACAGGTGTTGACGTATTTTTTATGTGGAACATGGCAGTATACTGGGTCACTAACTACACGTCACTTAGTGAATTAGGCAAGATCAAAGAGATAGATAGATAGATGAACTCCGAAATTCAGAACATGGTAATTCGGCAGAAGCTTGAAATCAAAAATACAAGCTAAAGTGACAGTATCTGTCACAATCGCTGTAACGGGAGTAAACTAGTTCCCAAATACCGCAACTCAAGCAAGAATCCTTCTTGGTGGGATTGTTCAAGGGAACTTACGTCCAGCAGTGGACTGTCATAGGCTGGAAAAAATAATTAATTTTATTGGAGTTTCGTTCGGACGTCTTTTGGCACGTCCACTGCTGGACAAAGGTCTCCCTAAGAGTTTCCATAACGACTGGTCCTGCACTACCTGCATTCAGGTTCTTTACCCGACCTTCACCAGATCTTCGGTCCAATTAGGGATGTCGCGTATGAAAAATCCGCCAGATGGCAATACGTAGACGCGAGGTCCAAATGCTGCATGATTGGTTATTTTTGACATGACATTGACAGATATGTCAAAATCCACCAATCACGCAGCACTCACACCTCACATCCATTTCCCGCCATCTAGCGGATCTTTCATACGCGAAAACCCTCATTAGTGGGGGGCCTGCCCACATTACGTCTTCCGGCCCGCAAGACGTAGTGTGGGCAGTGAGCAGTTTATGCAAATGGCGAATAAATAAAGCGTTTATTTGCACAGTAACATTGTTTAACGTAGCCGATGTGTTGTCAGGTCCGGGGACCGGCGCCGGTCGCGCTCGCGCAGGCGGTCCCGCTCGCGCCGCCGCTCGGGCCGCCGCTCTCGCGACCGCCGCTCCAGGGACCGCCGTTCTAGGGACAGATCCAGGTAAGGGGCCATCCATAAAGTAAGTCACACGAATTTCATGATTTTTTGAGCCCCCCTCCGTCCTTGTCACAGGTGGTCACATTTCTGAGATCCCCCCCTCCCTAGTGGACGTCACATGTTTTGCAATTTCACATCGAAAAATTATTAAATTAACAGCAGTTCCGAAATTAGTTTTATTTCCATTTAAACTAAGTACTTTTTTTATGAAATCAACATTATATCGAATATTTGAAACAATTGAAATGTGATGTCACGAAACTTAGGACCCCTCCCACCCCTTGTCACACCATGTCACACTTTGTCGACCCCCTCCCCCCCTCTTTACGTGTGACGTACTTTATGGATGACCCCTAACGTACGGTTTAAATGTTCTTTATTTTATTTCTCATTATGAGCTTACGCTTACATGACAAAAACAATTTTATTGTTTTACATTAAAATTAATTGAATTAGAGAGCTTGAAAAGACTAACATTCAACGTCTAACCTTTTCTTACACGGTGTCCTAGTCGAACGCATTTTAACCAATAGTATTGCTTGCTTACGGTCTACGTCAATAATAAATTTCAACGGAAATAAAATTACACTGAACTTTAGCTATGCTTTGCTCGTAGCTGTGCGTTATGATATTTTTTCTCTTTTCTCTTCATTGTCTTTGTACTTTTTTTAGTTGTCAAATAAATAATTTTTCTTTCTTTCTTTCTTTCTTATGAGTGTGTTTAAGCACTCAATGAGGCTCGCATAGATCTAGGTTATAATTTTACTACCGTTAAATGTATTATTAGATAACTTATGTCATTTTCCAAAGTTCGTTCGTTAAGTTTCTCTATGGCAAAGCGATTAAACAAACATCGAGCTTATTTGCATAATTAAAGATTTTATGATTAAAAGAGATTAAGTTGATTTTTGATGTTATAGCGGATAGGAATGGGGTCAAAACTTATTAGGTAATTAATAAAATATAAACTATTTCAGCCGCGACAGAAGAGACAGGTCTAAAGAGCGCAGCGTCAAGGACAGCAGGAGGTCGAGGGACAGGAAGTCTCGCGACAAGAGGTCCAGCGACCTCATCAAAGAACGCCTGGAGAAGTCCGTGTCTATACCACGGAAAGGTATGTATTCAAATACATATAATCAACCCTTTAAGGCTTCCACAGACCAAACGCGGGTCAGAAGCAGTGCGGGTCAGTTGCAGCGCGGCTGAGGCACACTGAAAGCAGCGCAGTTGCAACGCGGGCGGTTGTCAAATATTAAATATTCGAAAACCGCTTTCTGCTACCGCCCTGCGTCCAGTGTGTCATGCTAACATGGCCGCCATAGTAATACAACAGCGCTGGCCCGCGTTCGCGCCGCTTTTTTCCCGCTCCCGCGCCGCCTCGTTTGTCGTTCGGCAGTTGCAGTGCGGCGCGGTTGGCAGAAATTTGACGTGACACACTTCAAAGAGTTTCTTATATTACAACTTGCGCGGGCCCGCATTCAAACTGCGCTGCTACTGCCTTGCGTTTGGTCTGTGGAGGCCTTTATTGTTGTTCTAGTTATTATAAAGTAGATATTTATTTACGTTTTTTGTTTGCGCAGAAAACCTCGAAAAACCACGCAAGAAGTCTGCCGAAAGGATTTCAATCGCACGCGAGGAGCTCTCCAAAGAACGAGTCATATCCAGTTCGAGCAGGGAATCCTCTGTGGCCAACGACAAATCCGCCGCCCAAAATGATAGCCAAGTTAAAGCTGTACATTCTACTGATGACGAAAGGGAAGAATTTATACCGATACCTACTCTACGAGAGTACTCCAAGAGCCTGTCACGCACGCCGTCGCCATTCTTGAGAAAACATGAGATTGAAAATAACAAAAAATCTGACAGATCTTGCGATGACGCTTCTGGCAAAGAACACCAAGAAGAAGAGCCTAAAGTCAAGGAGGTTAAAAAAGCTAAACGCAAATCCCGCCATACCGAATCAGAAAGTGAAAGTAGTGAAGAGGTTGCTAAGTCAAAGAGCAAAGCAAAACTTAAACGTAAAGAAAAAGTTACCTCCAAGAAGACAAAGAAACCTAAAAAAGAGAGCTCCTCCAGTGACAGTGAGTCCGAGGAGTCGTCGTCGAGTGACTCTGAAGAAGATAGGAAAAAGAAGAGCAAGAAGACTTCAAAGAAAAAGTTGGCAAAGAAATCAAGGAAAAAGAGGGCCCGCTCTTCGAGTTCGGAATCTAGTTCTGAAGAGGACGTCAAACATAAGAGTTCTAAAAAGAAGAACATTCCAGAAGAGTCTGATACAGACAAGAAATCAAAGAAGCGTTTGAAGGATCCTAGTGTAGATCGTTCGAGGTCAGAGAAAGTGGATGGGAAACAATCTAAGTCAAAGAAAGCTGATAATTCTGAAGACTCGCACGCTGAAAGCTCCGATAGCGATGCGAAGTCGAGCAAAAAGAAAGTTGCGAAACGCGATTCCACTAGTTCGGATAAAGAAGCTCGACGAGGTAAAAAAGTTGACGTATCCAAAGAAAAGCCACCTTCGCCTGAAGTAAAGTCCAGGAAAGGTGAAGAAAAGGTGTCAAAGCAGAAGCATTCTGAAGATCACAAATCTAAGTCACGCGACGAACCTGAGAAGAAAGCGAAGAAACGAGAGAAGGACGACTCCTCCTCAGACAGCGATCAAGTAACTAAAAAGAAGCCAAGAAAGAAGGTGTCTGAATCTGAATCCGAATCGGACAGTGACGAACCTAAAAAATCAAAGAAAACTAAAAAGCATAAAAAACACTCGAAGAAGCATAAGAAACACAAAAAACATAAGAAAGCATCCAAAAAGAAGGACGACTCCTCCGACAGCGAGGAGGCCGAGGAGGAGGAGGAGGAAGGAAAAGTTAACAATGAAGACCTAGAAAAGAAACTTCGCGAAAGAGCTTTAAAATCTATGAAGAAGCAAACGAGTGTGTCTGGCTCCGAATAACAACCGGCACATAACTCTTTTCGTCCACTTTTGGAGTAATGCTGACTTTTAAGTAGTGTAACACTATTACATATTAATGTTTTTTATTTTAACTAAATGTTGCTAAACATTTTTGGAATGAATTAGCATGTATGATTTAATGATTACGTGTATGTCACATTGTTAGTAATAATAAAGTCTTGAAACTATGCAAATTGTATTTTATTATGTTACATCTTCTGTTATACTTAAAACTACCTACATAACATTACTTTGGATAATACTTTGGTTAGCTTACATAAATAGGTAAAATAATTTCAAAATAATAATAGTTATTGCCTCTATTCACTGGCAATGTTTGCTTTACAGCAACTTTTCATTTATCAGATAATTGACATGTATTCAGTCATAAACATTGGTAGTATAATAGTGTTAGGTATTATCTATTTTTATACACGTTTATCTCCTCGAATATCCTCTATAACCAGTTACTAAGCTTGGTGTAATTCCACTGTTGTAAATGTTTCCATAGCCAGGTTTCTTGTACCCGTATCCGAGATGGTACGCGCCTTGATACGACGGGTTGTTGTAGCCGTAGTAGGAGTTAATGCCTCCGTTTCCTCCGTAGCCGCCATAGCCTCCGTTGCCTCCATAGCCGACAGCGCCGCCGTAACCTCCACCGGCGCCAAGTGCACCAAGTCCGCTAGTATCGTAGCCTGAATAACCCTTATAACCCCCGTAGCCAGCGTTACCGGTGTACCCGTTGTACCCTGAGTAACCTCCGTTGTACCCTCTGACGCCATATTGACTGTCGTAGCCGTTGTAGCCAATGTTGTTGTATCCGTTGTACTTGTCATCTAGAAAACCGTACCCTGTGATGTAGGAGTTGCCAGGGTAACCGCCCCAGTCCGGATATCTGCGACCATCTGTAAAAATACCAATAAGTTTTAGTCTCTTTTGAGGGTGGAGCGAGCAGCACTATCTTACTACACTGCGTTAAAGAAATCGCACCTCGCGCGACATAAATAAAATTTTTCTTCTGACACAATCATGATGCTTCACCAATATTGGTGCTATTTGAAAGCCCAATGGGGCTCACATCTGGGACCAATTAGACCAATTTTTGTGGATAAAACCAAGTAATGATGTGTCGACCATGTGTCCTCTTTAACCGATTGAACAGTTTTATAACCATAACAGTTGGCTCAAGCGTCTACTACCTGTCGCTTTAAGAAGAGACACTGGATGCTTCTAAAGACACATTTTTTGGGATAAAAACCTTTCCTTTAATGAAATAAAGTTTAGAACTAGGCTTACAAATGGTACCAATATTGGTGGGAAGTGGGGATGCATACGCTTGAAAGTGCTTGTCGCGGGATGTGCGATTTTTTGACGCCGTGTGTAGTTTGAAAAACTTACATGTAGTGCTAGCATCCGCCTTTAGGTCACCTGTATCTTGAATGTCTTCTGGTACTACTGCTTTCACAGACTCGCTGTCAGCCGCTGGCGCCGCACAAACGCATCCTAGTACGACGACTAAACACGATAGAATACGAAACGCCATCTAAAACAAAATAAACTAATAAGCAACGAATATAAAAATAAGTTTTGCGATCCTAATATTAGTGTTAGCCGCAGCCAACTTGCGATTGAATAGTTTTAAATTGCAATTTAAAAAAGCAATTATGTCATTTATAAGGACCTAAGTTCCATTACGATTAAAATTGGTCACGTACCCAAACTCGATTAGGCGGAATGACTTGAGTATTGTAAACAATGGATTCATCATTGTCTACCAATCTGAACACACTAAGTAGTTGGATAGTTACGAATGCAAGGTTGAGGGTCGTGTCATATCTGTTGAACTTCCTAGTCTTACTTTAGTAACTTTCAATATGTTGTCTTTCAATGTGTTTCAATTCTATTTATTTACATAGTTTCGATGATTCAAGATAATTTCGTTAGCTGCAACCGGAGGTTCCAAGAAAAAGCAAACTTTATTTAATTAAATTTAATTTAAAAGAAAGAAATTACAATTAAACTAAAATTAGCCTAGCCTAGTGATACCGTCTCGAAGTATGAAACGAATATGATTATAGAATAATTAGTAAAATTAATGAAACGTCGCCGCTGTCGTCATGAGAGGCGCATTTTGCTGATGCTGCTCCTCGCGGTCCATAGTGCAGTTGCAATGTTGATTTGGGTAAACTGGGTCAGCGTCGATGCAGCGATCTTCATAGATTAGGCGTACGTAACAAGATGACTTATCTAGTTACTGTTTTAAAATGATGAAGATGTATTGACGAAAACTATTCGCGGTTTCTTTAGTAAGATTTCTTTACAACTATTGACCAGTTATATTATAAACAGCCTACTGACTACTGAGTATGTAGAGCCTGTGGTAGAGCGCATCATTTAATATTATAATTTTGGCAAACTATCTGCACAATTTCTATTTTGTGCTATCTGTCTGCATCATTATAGATCAAGATTAACTACAACGTGAAATTGTGATTATGGAGCACAAGCCGATGGGATTAAGCCTAGGCGCAGACCACCGATTTTTAGTTGGCCGATAGTTGGGCCCGATTTTAATTTCTATGAAGTATGATCGTCCGATACCAAATCGGTATAATGTCGCACTTTCATAAATCTCCGTACTGATATAAACAGCCCAATCCAACTATCGGCCAACTAAAAGTTGGTGGTCTGCGCCTAGGCTACAAAATGCTCGTGGGTACGGCGTGGTTGGAATCGCAAGCAACCCGCGTCGTACCAGTAATACGCAGAGGGTGCACCACAGGTTTTTTTTAGTGGGTATAAGTCATAGACCATAGGTTGTGTGGTCTGTAGTACTTGCCGGTTGGCAGCCGCTATTGCTGCCACCCGACAAGGGAGTCCCACATAATCCGCCGCCTCCCCCAGGACGGCGGGTATCGCAAAGTATTTTCCTGCGCAAAAAAAGGCTACAAATGATATGGGCATAGAACGTTACGTGTGTGACATCGTGATATGACATAAAAGTGTCTTCATAGCGCTATTATGACAAGTAATGTTTGTTTTCATACGCTTAATTGGTAGTAATTAGTGGCGTGATGACGAACATACAAATCTAGGAACCTTAATGCTGACCCCCAAAACAATAATCGACAGTTTGTTAGTCCATTCCCACGCTAATGTGCTGACCTACAAGTGTTACGTGTAGCCAACGATTCATTATCATGGTTCAAGAACGATGCCGCAGCCTTTTCCATCTTCCTCTAGTAGTCTGTCTTGCGTTTCCATACTATAACATAGGGAGGTAACAACAACGTAACTTACAGTTAAAGCTTCTTAAGTTAACTCTGTTGAATTGAGCAAATAAGCTTAAAACTAGCTAAGTAAGTAACGCCTAGTTATTTTGCAGTTGAAAATCAGTCTACTTTGGCACTACTTAATTTTATAAATTAAGCTTTCCCAAGAGTAAGTTTGGAATGGAAAGAATTGGGGGAGGCCTATGTTCAGCAGTGGACGTTCTATGGCTGAAATGATGATGATGATAAAGAGTAAGTTAACAGGTTTACCTACCACAATATTCAAATCGAACCTCCGTCTATTGGTAATTTGCAAATTAACTCGTTAATCCGATAATTAACGAAGTTAACAATTTGCTTAACGGATTAACTTTTAAATTAACTTCAACAAATGTTTACGCTCTTACTAACTTTCGTTAAATTGAACTTCCGTTAAAGTTCGTTAGTCGATGTAATGAATTAATTTAATACATACTTCTCATAATATATGTATGTACATAGGTATTTGTTTAAATACTGAAGAAGATATTATTGTGTACGATATTATTTATTTTATTCGCGGTTTTATTACCTCATTTACTTATAATGCGCCAAGGAATGCAATCAGGACAACTGCGTACTTTAATTGCGAATGTTTTGAAAATAGGAAAGCGACCATCAAAAGCAACTCACTCACGAAACAAACCGACCTGACAGGAATGAATTAATAGATTTTTTTTATTTTAGATGTCATTACGTTATAAACCTAGTACTAATTATTATACTATGACGTTATAGTGCTATTTTAAACTTATATGGCTTGGCCGGTGTTTCATTTTCTGTTTCATCACTTAGTAACTATGTAAAAAGTTTTAGGAAGTTACTGTGATTCGAACACAAGAGTTGCTGATTTACATAATATACTTAGGTAGAGCAAAAACTACTAAGCTGCAGTCATGATGTTTATTGCTTTGTTGTCTGTGACTCACTATACCTAAGTGCCTAGGGATTTTCAATACGTTACGAAGACGAACCTTTGTTCAGCTAAACCAAAAGTTAGATCCTATTAGTGATCTAGAGTCGTTTAAAGTACAAGTCCAATGCTCTATTTCGTGTGCACTAGAAGCTGCAATATTTGTATATTTTTGAGTAAGTAAACACATTTATTTGTTGTGAAAATAGTTTTATGAAATTCAAAAATACTTAAACACTGAAATATTCAGAAAATGCAACACACACTGTAGCACTCTCACATGCACTTAAATATTTGTATTTGCAGAAGTGACTTACTTCGGATATCGTAGAGCTGCACTATTGTTCACTACACAGGCTCTAGGGTCCGAGCGGAGATGCGCTCTGCGTGAGCACGCGTGCGCACAAACCTTTATAAACCGTGAGAGATTTGTCTTGTAATTGACAATGGTCACTGGGAGGTAATCAGTTCGTTTGTAGGCACTCCGTCCTTCTTCCACGACGCTATGACGCATGACGCCGCAGCGCAATCATTGTCACCCTGCATTTAATGGCTGCTGTTCTCCTGGGTGATATCAACTCGGCCACAATTGCCGGAAACGTGTGGTTACGCAAATATGATGAATAAGTTTCATGTTTTAAACAACGACGTTCTTTTTCACATTTCCGCGTTAAGGGAGTAATCGATTCTTAAGTAGGTATAGAGTTTGTTTGAGTTGATCTATAATTAACCAAATGTAGAGCAATTAAGAAAGGGAAAAGGAAATTAAGGGAAATCTCTCTGAAAGAAGGGAGATATGTGTAAACGTTAATTAATTTTGCGATTGATTTTGGTAAGTGACAATTAAATTATATTAAACTATAGATAAACGTACTTACATAGTATATTAATTGAATTTAATATTATTAAGTAAAATCTCGCTGGTAGGTTATTCCTTATTCGACATTATTGTATGTCCTTACATTGTGATTTGGACAAAGTTACTTTAGTACCGACTCAAAACAGTCATAAAACGGCCATCTGCTGGGTAGATGACTTTCTACCTTCATTGATGTTTCAGTCGAAGTTGGGAAAATTTAAGTTTGTAGACTCTTTGAAAATTCAACTGATACTTTATACCTACTTCATTTTAAAGTTGTAAAAATGTTTTTAGTGCTGTATTACAGAAACTGCTTAAACTTAATCAAAAATATAGCAGTATGATTTTTCCTACGCTCTGCACGTATTATAAAAATCTAAGTAATTTATGCAATGCAACATGAATTAGCACTTTACAGGCGTTTCCTAAAAGCGGTGATTTTGAACACTAATGGCTGTGACGATCACAAATTGTTCCAAAATTACACCTAGACGGAAGTGTGTAGAGTATGACAAATTCGGTGAAATGATTGCAGAGACGTCTTGAATTACTCTCACGCTCGGTTGGCTGAAGGTCGTCTACACAAGGCCATCTGTCATCCTTATCCACATACAGACTACAGTACATTACCGCATACGGACAAAACCAATTTTTTTTGCCATATTGTGCTGTAGACTGTAGAGCGTAGATCACAAACAACATAACCTAGGACAGATGAGGAATTATTCTGCGTGTTTTCCATGTACCTATATTTCCCATGTTTTACTTCTGAAGTACTAAGTTTTTCAGCTCTAGGAAAAATAATGTTGCAATCTGTAAAACAAGTACATATGTGAAAGTATTGCTAAATAGGTGCATCTCTCATTAACTGATTTTAATATTTTGTAGAGACTTTAGAGAGACAGGCTTACTGTAGGTAATTCCATGATCTAATTTTCTTGTCTCCCATAGATTTTCCATTCGTTCGTCCGTTCTGGCAAATGGCCACTATTCGGGTTCAATTTTTGAAAATGCTAGAGTGCGATTAATCTTAGGTACAATTAGAATTCGACTTAAAATAGAAACTGTCGCCCACGCATTTGTATGTTTATACGTAAAGTTCTTAGAATTTTTATGGTTACTTTAAGCGAGATTGTCTTGGCCTACGAATTTGTACTTATGTGGGTAAATACTAGTTGTTACTTTACATTTGCGTAACGCTACTTAATTGCAGTACAAGAAAAGCGTTTAAGGTGTGACTGAGTTCATTAGAATATAGCGTAATTGTGTTTTTTACAGTCACTCTGAGCTGAGTAATTGTTTACTAGTTCTATTGTTTGTTTCGTAAGGGCTAAGTATACGAGTAGGTATAGAGGTAGCTTGTAAGGGAATCTTCGTTATTAGAGAATTCAACTGGTGTTCTCGAGATGAACTTTAAAATTCAATGAAGACGGCACGGTAATACTTATGGTACTATTACCGTTATGACGGTGTACTTATTCAACGAAAATATAGGTAGGCAGTAGGCACTGAGTTGTGAAAACCTCTGGAACGTAGTTAAATTAATAAACTCATAGCTATGTAGGTATATTGACTGACACCGTAACGTTGTCTTTTTCTTAAATACAAATTATTTACTTAAAATTTTATCAAGTTCAGGAAAATCCGCGTGCATTGTTCTTCCAATCTTTATACCCTGTATAAACTATTATCCCGAAACAGAAAGAAAAGCGTGTTAAAATGTAATAATGCATTGCATGCATAGCAATTGCAATACTTATTTTTTTATTAAGTCTACTATCCTTTGATTCTCATCACGTAGCTCGGGCAGATTAGGTACCTACTTAACTCATCTGAAAAAGTTTTCATGAAAATCCTGTCCAGTCAGCGTCAAATACTTAGTTCAAGACAATAAAGTAGCCAAAAAATTCGCAACACCTCTTTGTTTACATCTATATTTATAAAAGGTCACTGATTGACTGACTCACTCACTCATCACGAAATCTCAGAAACTACAACAACTAGCTAGCAGGAGTCTCAAATTTTGCATGGGGGTTCCTTTTAGAACGTAGGTGCTCACTAAGAACGGATTTTACGAAACTCTACCCCTAAGAGGGTGAAACGGGATCTACGCGTAGGTATGTAGGTACGAAGTCGCGGGCGGCCGCTAGTTTGGAATAATAAATAAATAAATAAATAAATAAATCTTTGGACAATTTCATACAGCGCCAGCTAGCCCCAAAGTAAGCAACTCAATGCTTGTGTTATGGGTGCTAGCTTAACGGATATACTACTTATATACTTTTTTTTATTAAATACATACATATTATACATATTTACACCCAGACCCGTCACAGAAATTAAAATTCATCATTTCAATTCCGGGAATCGAACCCGGGACCTCTCGGCATAGTAGTCCGTTCTGAACCACTACACCAAACGGCCGACTAATGAGGTTGTGTTAACTTTTTGGCTACTTTGGGTGTCGCCAAATATTTGACGCTGACTGTACGTAAACTTTTTATAGTCAAGTGCATCCTAGTAGGAACGTCGCCCTAAGGAATGCATCAATCATTATCAACGTGTGATCGCTTCGTAGATGTCTCTAATAGTCAAGAGCCCGCTGCGGTGCAGTAAGAGGCTACAAGTAGGTACAGGGGGCCTCGCGCTGACCCGTGTCGGTGTAATTGAGTCACGGTCGTATATGCACGTATTCTAATGGCAGTCATGTAACTTGTATGTACTTTTAACTCATGAAAATAATACGCAAGTTTTATTAATACAATCCTCTACCGAATTATTGGTTAGTACTACCTGTGGTACTACTATTATTTATTCTGTGGTTAGGTTTAGGTATAACTAATTCCTCCATTCAAATAACGTTCTGAAACTGTTGCTCTTTATCATTAACAACTTGCGTCTTGAATGAAAAAAATATTAAAAGTGAACATTAATAATAGTTTTTGTTTCATATTTTAAGCGATGAAATACGTGGGTGAAAATATCACAAGCGTAATACAGGGTGTTTAAAATTAGTTTAATTAGTACTAAAGTCTTGTAAACTTTCGACCCTATTTGAATATTGAAGGTTAAAATAACTAGTGTGGTTCTGTGCGTGCTGATTGAAAGAATGTAAATCGGTATGCAGGTCACATTATCCTCTAAGCATAAACGACTGAATAAATGGCTCCATGAAGCCCCACATGGAGCGGGGACACTCAAACGGTTTATTGTTCATCTGTTTATAATATTTAGTTCCTGGTTTTACTAATTCTACAACCTTAATACAATGAAAACAATGCATTATTTTTAAATCATTTATTGAGGCATTAAATTTTACTAAAATGGCAACAGAATATTTATTTTTGTACACATTATAAAATTTGAAATACATAAGAATATAATGCATTTTGAGACGATTTTTTTACTGAGATTATTGGATACGTACATCTATTTATACAAGTATACAATTTTGTACAATATCGTCTCATTTTTATGTGTAGGTAGGTAGATATTTTACGTCGTACTTAAAATTATTTATAAATAAAGGCCCGTCATCGTACCAAAATTTTGAGATCGTCCAAGAACAATATTATCGGGCAATCTCAAAATTGTTCTTATGTTAATAACATTTCATTCTGATGGAATTCTATCAAAATATCTATTGCTTATTTTTTGCCTTATCGTTCGTTTCGCCGGTAAGTGCTCTGGAGCGCACTGCTATTCTACGTAAACCCTTTTTCATCGGTTTAATCTCGTTCATGAGGAGATTTTCTAATTCAGTAAGGGATTTGATTTCCTTCAAGTCGCCAAAGTTAGCGCTGCGTCCTCCGTTCAACCTGCCCAGGTATTTGTAGACGTCGCTGCTCGCTTGACATTGAGCGCAGTTGTACGGCACTGGGACAGCGTTGGGGAAGTTTTGTTGTGCCGAGTTCATTCCTGTAGCGTTGCCGGGACAGTATGGGACGAAAACAACTGGGACGAATCCTATGATGCCGTAGGGTGCATATGCCGGGGCCATGCTGTTGGGTGGGCCCTGGGAGGGGGGAGCTTGGGGCGCTTGGGGATGGCCTGGTGCCGTTGCAGAAGAGTCGTTCTTGCCGGGGTTTAGAAGGTAGCACGGACAAGTTGAGGGACTGGGCACGATTGGCAGTGGGTATGGAATGACGTAGATAGGGAAGGGAGGCATTTGTCCCGCAGGCGGTGGGTAGTATGGAGGCTGCACGCCTGTGCCAGTCGGGGAGCCCTCTGAGTCACCTCCTGAAACAAAATACATTACACGTTTAATTTGTAAGTCCACTGTCATCATGAATATCTTATAACTTCTTGTAATTGCTTGCTGCTTATAAAGAAAGAAAAATAAAGAAAGAAAAAATAACTCTGTCTGTCTGTCTTACTTTCACGCCTAAACCACTGAACCGATTTTGATGAAATTTGACATAGATATAGTTTGAGTCCCGGGAAAGGACATAGGATAGTTTTTATCCCGGTTTTTGAAACAGGGACGCGCGCGATATAGTTTTTCTGTGACAGACAAAATTCCACGCGGGCGAAGCCGCGAGCGGAAAGCTAGTTTTAATATAAACAAATACGAGTAAGGGCTGATTTTTCAATCGTCGGATAACTTTTAACTGAAGAATAAGTTTGGCACATTGACAGTTTTAGTATGGGAAATATATCAAAACGACAAGGTTCTTCAGTTAAAATATATATGATTTTTGAAAAATCTGCCATAATACAAATAAAAATGTTAGTCAAAAAGTCAAAAATCTAAAAATAATCTAAGACTTTCTGTCTGAAATTACCGGCTGGGAAAATAAGCTATACAGAAATGTTCTAACTAGTAATAGTGTAACTTGATAGATTTTTTCCCAACGAGTTCGCTATGCTTATTTCTGAAGTAGAATGATAAATCTAAAAAATAAATACGAACCTGGGTATCCTGGCTGTCCTGGTTGGCCTGGGCCTCCTGGCTGTCCTGGTGTTCCTGGCTGACCTGGTTGACCCGGGTAGCCAGGTTGTCCAGGTTGTCCTGGCTGTCCTGGTGTGCCGGGCTGTCCAGGGCCTCCTGGCTGACCTGGTTGTCCTGGGTAACCTTGCTGTCCGGGTTGTCCTGGGTATCCTGGTGTGCCGGGCTGTCCAGGGCCTCCTGGCTGACCTGGTTGTCCTGGGTAACCTGGCTGTCCGGGTTGTCCTGGCTGTCCTGGTGTGCCGGGCTGTCCAGGGCCTCCTGGCTGACCTGGTTNCTGCTTGCTGCTTATAACGTTATTAGGAAATGTTTGTAGTTGTTAATTAACCTTTGTAATATTATTCGTAAGTGTATTGAAGATTAATTTATTATTACGAGTAAGGATTCACGATCCTGGAGTGTTTAATATAAATAAATACAAGTAATACAAATAAAAAGGTTAGTCAAAAATCTAAAAACAATCTAAGACTTTCTGTCTGAAATTACTGGTTACTGTGTGACCGGTTGGGAAGATAAGCTATTACAGAAATTTTCTAACTAAAATATGTACCTAGTAATAGCACAGAATAATAATAAGTACTAGTAATAGTGTAACTTTTCACAACGAGTTCGCTATGCTTATTTCTGAAGTAGACTGATAAATCAAAAAAATAAGTACGAACCTGGGTATCCTGGCTGTCCTGGTTGTCCTGGGCCTCCTGGCTGTCCTGGTGTTCCTGGCTGACCTGGTTGACCTGGGTAGCCAGGTTGTCCAGGTTGTCCTGGCTGTCCTGGGTGTCCTGGTGTGCCGGGCTGCCCAGGGCCTCCTGGCTGTCCTGGTGTTCCTGGCTGACCTGGTTGACCTGGGTAGCCAGGTTGTCCAGGTTGTCCTGGCTGTCCTGGGTGTCCTGGTGTGCCGGCTGTCCAAAAAAAAAAAAAACATACGGGTCGAATTGAGAACCTCCTCCTTTTTTGAAGTCGGTTGAAAAAGGCCAATTGTTATTTTTGTGCAAACCTATCATTTTTCTTATGACATTTCCAAGTGAAAATTCAAAACAACACTATGTTTCATCTCCCTACCTTGCTCCACCTGGGCGTCGAACCCATTTAAAAACCCATGTCACTCACTACTAGAGCACAGAGGTGAATAGTAGGGGACGTAAATGTGGATGTGACACACGGACGTGTTACATATCGAGCACGCGTGCCCACGCGATACATTTCACCCAAGTAATAGGCTGCATGCGTTACACACGAGTTTCGTATTCCACACACAAAACGCATCGTCCACTACTCAACATGTGGCTGTGATGATTGTCTGCTTAAGGGTAAAGACAAAATTTTTAGGTAACACTTAATACTTATATTATGCTGTGATAAATGTAGGTTACAATTATTTTTAAAATTAGTTAATGTATTTGTAACATAAAATAGAATAATCAAATGTTTCAGTCATTTTAACATTGTTTCACTTTACATTTTAATCTATTGCCTAAATACATTTTAGTCTATTGTCCTGGATTACTTATCTACACTCGCGAGCAAAAAGTATGGAATCACCCTATTTGTTATGAACGATCGTAAGAACTAAATGACTAATAGAAGATAAATAAAAATGGTACCATTTTAAAGGTAATATTATATACTTTAAATTAATACCATAGATACATTCATAGGCATTCAGTTCTTATGATGGTTCGGAACAAAACACAAGGGGATGATTCCATACTTTTGCTCGTAAGTATAGTTGATGAGTTCAGTGTTGCACATCGATGGCTCCTACGTATACTGGCGTAAGTGAAAAAAGTAAATTTTACAGGAGAGCCATTTTAGTGGCCAGAACCATATTTTTGAGTCATATCTTCTGACCTACTAAAACGAATTTAATGAAATTTCACATTTAGCCTTAACATGTAATGCTTTTGCTACTGCTGTTATCAATTTTTATATTTTTCTTATATATTTTGAGATTTTACGCATTGCCCTTTTACGTCGGCATATTTCTATAATTTCATGTATATTGTTCAACGTAAAGAGACTTAAATGACAACGTAAATATAATATTTTAAGCGATTACTCTCTTTATTTATGCATGTAATTATTTTAATTGTTATCATGTGCTATATCAATAATAAATCAGTTAGAAAAAGTCGTTTAATGTACCGTTTTACGTTTTAACGCAAATACGCCCATATACTGTGCTCGAGATTTAGTTAGGTCTTTTAACATAATGTGTCATATTTTTAAAAAATATAAATAACTTGAAAAAATCGAATTGCCTAAGGCGGGAATTGAACCCACGATGCCNCACCCTGTATGTATAAACTAATCTATACCTACCTACTTACTGCTTCCCTGTAATCATACTTAATTTCACTGTAGTGAATTTTCATGTTAGAGGGAGCCGCTTCCTTTGGTCTGGAGATTGGACTGCGCCAACAAAATTTACTTTATCTAATTAGATTCATTGTTTTAATTGGAATTCTGTCCAGGGCGAAGAGGAGCTATTAAATTTAAAAATTACTAGGTACCTAACAGTAACAAATTGATAATGACAAGCAGGAAAAACTTATAAGTGGCATGAAATCGAATTGAGGACATATTGGTATCATATAATTAATCGTTTGCTCGGAAGTTGAAACTTGTGTCTTCCAAATTATAAAATTTAAGTAGGTAGCGAGAATTTTCCGGGAAAAATCACTAGTTGCATGCAAAAAGCTTCCCGTTGTGCATTGTAGGTATTTTCAATGATTCATCAATACTTCTCATCAGGTGACATGTATGCCAAGAGTTTTCTCGTGGCTAAAAAATAGTCTATAGGCGTAGGCGTAGAGCACTTATTAAAACAGATCCGCAACGTCAGCGCTGCGGCAGGGCCCTTGTACACGCTGCCACTCAACCGGCTCGATTGCCAATTTAGCACCCCTGCTCTGCCGGTAACCCAGTATGAAATCATAGTGAAAATTCCAGAGGGCGAGAGATAAACAAAAAATAAGGACTCGTAATTTTCTTGGACGAAAATCAAGTCGTGTATCTCGATTGTTCCAGATCGACTACCTATAGTAATATTTGTTATTAACATATAAAATATTTAACTTTTTTTTGCTTGTACACACTGCCACTCAGCCGGCTCGATTGCCAATTTAGCACCCCTGCTCTGTCGGTAACCCGGCAGTATGAAATCTGTTGGGAAAATTCCAGAGGGCGATAGATAAAGAAAAAATTATTTTCTTGGATAGAAATACAATGTATCGCGATTGCTGTAGACCATTCGAACCTATCTTTATTTATTAACATAACCTACATATAACTGCTCTGCGAGCAAGGTTATGCCTATACGGATATCATAGTGAAAATTGCAGATGGAGATAGACGATAGATAAAGAAAAATTACGGATTCGTAGTTTTCTTGAAAGGAAATCAAGTTACACCTCATTTGCTGCAGACAATCGACTATACTTATAATATTTACTAAGTAACTTATTGACCAACGCCCCAACCCTGTGCAGTGTAGGTATACTTATTGGCATACTTACCTAAGTAAATACTTTTAAGACAAGTTATTATGTGTTTTTTTTGTATATGTAGGTATATAAAACTCAATTGTGATTTCAAACTTTAGGTCAGTAGGTTACGATTACGAGGCAAGGACGGAATAGTTTGTAAATATTATGTATGTAATATAAGGTAATATATTGTTTTGTTTTAATTAACCAACTAAACATTGTGTATAATTATCACATTTGGGTCTAGGTAGAGTTGCAAACCGGCTCGAACATCTGTTTCAATAGGAAAGCATAACAATAGTTACCCAAATAGTGCGTAACGTAATGAGATATCTAAGGTTGAGCTGAGTACTTAGTAGCTTGGCTGAAAATTGTTAAACCATAGAAATTAAATGTATGACAGGACCATAACAATTTTTTTGCTTAGCCCGAAGGTAAACTGGCAGAGAATGCCTTTATGGCGTTAAGTTCGCCTTATGTACCAATTATAATTATGGCACTAATTATGGCACTAGAGCTTAAATAAATAAATGATTGGCTGGGAGAGAATGTGTTTTAGCATTAAGTCTGCAATATATGAAAACTTTACGTACAAAATGATACTTACGTAAATAAATAAAATGTGTAATTGTAAGGTTACCTAGCCTTCTGAAAATCTTATTAAACCTCCTACTGTCTATGACTCTCTCTAGAGTAATTATCTATGACTAATTTTGAACCTATTACACACACTATTGGTTTTAGAATTTTGGAACTCATTGTTCCAAAATTCTTATCAAAAACCAAAATACACGCAATACACACCCACAACAGCCAGACACTGTTCAAATACCTACCTAGTTACAGGACAGTTTACTCAATGAATTATGGACTTTGATATTTAATTTTCCCATTAGGACCGTGGGCCGACACTATTGCGGTCCTAAACAAACTGAAAATCAACTTTGCACAGCACTAGTCGACGTATATTCTTATAATTTAATTGAACTAAGTAGAATGGGACCGTTTCCCGTGCAATATTGTTAAAATGGTTCATCTATTCCGGGAATTTAGCAAAAGGTTATTCAGTTTATTTATTACGAAATTACACCATACTTATTCATACATTTCCATGCATAAAGCCATTAGGTATTTCGCGAATTAGTAGAAATAATTCGTCAAGTAGATACTTACTTATAACTAGAGATGCNAGAGATGTGCCGCTGAGAAAGTTCTCGTTCCCGGCAATATTCCCAGTGAGAATATTCTCGAGAACCGAGAACGCTCCCGGGAATATTCTCAGTGTTCTCGATAGAATACATTTAGTTTTAATTTTAATTTTGTTGTTTATGTGATATTATTTGTAATGTTTCGAAACGGGGCGTTAAGACTAGTCGTTATAAACAAGGCATGACACGTGTGAGAGAGATATTGCTGTCTTGCTCACTCTTTTCGTGGCGAACGCGTACCGCGGCTTTAGGACTCGGCTACGGTATTTGAACATCAGTGTGCCTCTGAGTTTTAAGGCCCTTGCCACCCTAGCGGATTGCAAGCGGATTCAAAGCGGATTTAAAGCGGAGCGGCAATGCAACGGAGACGCCGCGTGAAAATATCGTGAAGCTTCCCGAAGGCTGCCCAGCCGAGCTGGATTCGATGATTGACCTTTTTTCGAAGTTGAACCTACCTAACTGGACTGTTTGTCCCAGGTATACATTATTGTCACTTCGAGTGTAGAGTCTCCAGCTTTTAGAGGGGTGGGTGCAACACGGTCTTTAGACATGATTTTTAAATCTTGTCCATGTTCATTTTGAGACCCACTCGTTGAGAGACTCTATTGAGGCCATCGAGCATTGTGCCTAGATCGTCCACGATCTCGGCCATGACTACGATATCGTCTGTTGTCTGGGTGATGTGCTCGCCGTTGATATTTATGCTGAATCCGCTCTAGCCCAGAAGCTTAAAAACATCTTCCAAGGCGATGGTGATGACGTCTCCCTGTCTCACCCCTCGCTGCAACTGGATAGGTTTCGGGTCCTGGTCTTGAAACGGACTGTCACTGTGGCGTATTTGTACAAGCCTTTAAACACTTTAATGTATCGATAGTCAATTTGGCACAGTTGGAGAGACTGCAGCACTGCCCATGTCTCAATCGAATCGAAGGCTTTCTCATAGTTCACAAACGCAAAGCGGCTGATTACTCCTTGATATTCCATATAATCTGCCGTAGCGTATATTATTATGGTCTATCTATGGTACTAAAGCCTTTTCGGAAACCGGCTTGTTCGGGGGGCTGAAAGTCGTCGAGCCTGCAAACGTGACAATTCGTAATGACTATCGAAAACAGCTTGTAGACATGGCTCAGAAGCGAAATGGGTCTATAATTCTTCAAGAAGGTCTTGTCGCCTTTTTTGAAGATGAGTATCACCATACTTCTTTGCCATGCCGTAGGCGTTATTCCCTCGAGGATGACGGAATCGAGCAGCTTCTGAAAAGCCTTTAGTGCCGGCGTTCCGCCTGCTTTCAGAAGCTCAGCCGTGATTACGGTACCTTGCTGTTTTTCAGCTTTTTGAGAACCATTCTAATCTCGTACAGACTAATGTCCGGGATATAGTCGGTAAGTGTCGGATCAATCTAGCTAGCACGTATTTTCTATAAAAATGTGTCAAATGATCCGTCAGACAAGCTATCCACAACTTATCCAGAAGTGCCGAAACAGGCCCTTACTAAGCGATTGTGAAATATGTCCTTTATGTCAAATAAGAATAGTTTAAAAAACTAAAAACACGCTTTTAATTACTAACAGCACTAAAAGGCAAAAATCATCAGGACCCTGGACATCATCTAGCATTAAAGTGCTCAAAAAGACAAATCCAACGAACCCAACTCGATGAGTTTCCACCGTTTCGTTTAGGAGTTCCTATGGCCACCTCCTGAGTCCATCATTAGGACCCTGGACATTATCTAGCACTTAAAGATCTCGAAAAGACAAATCCAATGACCCCAAACTCGATGTGATTCCGCCGTTTTGTTTAGGAATTCCTTTGGCCACCTTCCAGTCCCATCATCAGACCAGCTGGTACCACAATATTGTATTATCATCTAATCTACATTATAATTCCCAAGTTTCATGATGATACAAGACTCAGAAGTACGTGTAATTCAGATTCTAAGATTCCATTATATAGTTAGTTACATACACGACGACCTAATAAAAGCGTGATATAAACGAAAAAATGGACAGCTACATTATTTAATTACGCGTAAAAAGAAATTTCTGTCATCTTACATATCATGAAAACGACATTTCACGACGAAAAAAAATAAAATATAATAAAGGTGCAGTTGCCGAGAATATTGCCGGGAAAGTTCCCGAGAATATTCTCGGGAACACTGGGAATATAGCCTTTCACTGCAAATAGAGTGTATTGTTTAATATACACTTATCTGTCGACTTAATTTAATACTAATTCACTTAAGAAAGTTTGTTTATTTCCATTTGATAAACATGATTCTCAACCTTTCTCACTTAGGAGAACGCTCCCGGGAGCGCTCCCGAGAATATTCTCAGTTGGGAGAGCGTTCTCGGGAACGGCACATCAATACTAGTTGTTACTTTACATTTGCGTAACGCTACTTAATTGCAGTACAAGAAAAGCGTTTAAGGTGTGACTGAGTTCATTAGAATATAGCGTAATTGTGTTTTTTACAGTCACTCTGAGCTGAGTAATTGTTTACTAGTTCTATTGTTTGTTTCGTAAGGGCTAAGTATACGAGTAGGTATAGAGGTAGCTTGTAAGGGAATCTTCGTTATTAGAATTGAACCGAGACACAAAACCGAGATAAACTTTGCAATCGTGCATTGTTCTTCCAATCTTTACATCCTGTATAAGCTACTATCCCAATATTAAACAGAAAATCGTGTTAAAATGTAATAATGCATTGCATGCATAGCAATTGCAATACTTATTTTTTTATTAAGTCTACTATCCTTTGATTCTCATCACGTAGCTCGGGCAGATTAGGTACCTACTTAACTCATCTGAAAAAGTTTTCATGAAAATCCTGTCCAGTCAGCGTCAAATACTTAGTTCGAGACAATAAAGTAGCCAAAAAATTCGCAATACGTCTTTGTTTACATCTATATTTATAAAAGGTCACTGATTGACTGACTCACTCACTCATCACGAAATCTCAGAAACTACAACTACTAGCTAGCAGGAGTCTCAAATTTTGCATGGGGGTTCCTTTTAGAACGTAGGTGCTCACTAAGAACGGATTTTACGATACTCTACCCCTAAGAGGGTGAAACGGGATCTATGCGTAGCGTAGGTACTTATGTAAGTACGAAGTCGCGGGCGGCCGCTAGTTTGGAATAAGGTTGTGTTAACTTTTTGGCTACTTTGGGTGTCGCCAAATATTTGACACTGACTGTACGTAAACTTTTTATAGTCAAGTGCATCCTAGTAGGAACGTCGCCCTAAGGAATGCATCAATCATTATCAACGTGTGATCGCTTCGTAGATGTCTCTAATAGTCAAGAGCCCGCTGCGGTGCAGTAAGAGGCTACAAGTAGGTACAGGGGGCCTCGCGCTGACCCGTGTCGGTGTAATTGAGTCACGGTCGTATATGCACGTATTCTAATGGCAGTCATGTAACTTGTATGTACTTTTAACTCATGAAAATAATAGGCAAGTTTTATTAATACAATCCTCTACCGAATTATTAGTTAGGTTTAGGTATAACTAATTCCTCCATTCAAATAACATTCTGAAACTGTTGCTCTTTATCATTAACAACTTGCGTCTTGAATGAAAAAAATATTAAAAGTGAACATTAATAATAGTTTTTGTTTCATATTTTATACGTAAAAACAGTTAGTACCCAAATAGAACTTAATAATAATGCCATCGATCTGGTAGACTNAAAACCGATTATTAAAACCGAATATACTCGTAATTGGGATATTTGGAAATTTAAATTAAATAATTTATTTTACTTCTCCAAGAAACACAGAGGAATGCTTTATACTTTTTGCTTTTTATTTTTAAGTAGGTACATACCACCAGGTCCAAACGGTCCGTTAGGGCCAGAAGGTCCTCCGGGGCCGTTAGGTCCTCCAGGTCCATTGGGTCCACCAGGGCCGTTAGGTCCACCAGGTCCATTTGGTCCACCAGGGCCATAAGGTCCATTGGGTCCACCGGGTCCATTAGGTCCACCAGGGCCGTAAGGGCCATTGGGTCCACCGGGCCCAGATGGCCCGCCGGGACCACCAGGTCCGTAGGAACCGCCTGAGCCTCCTGAAAATTAATAATAAAAATTACATTCTACGATAGCTTAGCTCTTGCAAAGCAAAGGTACGCTAGGTATACCTAATTGCTATTTTCGAAAATACTTAAACTTTAAAACTGATAAAAACGATGCCTACGTAGGTTAACATTATACATGTATAGGTACTATCGAAATATCTACTGCAAAACACTGCAGGATTAAATTGCCGCTTGCTCACTGCCAGGCGTTTATTATTGACTAGCGGCCGCCCGCGACTTCGTTCGCGTGGATCCCGTTTTACCCCCATCATCCATCTTACGCGGTTTAGTTTTTTCATACAAATGTTTTTTCCCGCGAACTCCCGTTTCCGTGGGAATTTTGCAATATCCTGTTGTAACTAAGCTTTAAGTTTACTAAGATACCTGCATGCCAAATTTCAAGCGTCTAACTTAAGCGGTTTAGATTTTTCATACAAAAGGATTTTCCCGCTAATTCCCGTTCCGGTGGGAATTCCTAAGTATACTATAACCTGCCCAGGAGTATGAAAAATAATTGTACCAAGTTTCGTTAAAATCCGTTGAGTAGTTTTTGTTTCTATAAGGAACATACAGACAGACAGACAGACAAAAATTTTACTGAATGCATTTTTGGCATCAGTATCGATCACTAATCACCCCCTGATAGTTATTTTGAAAATATATTTCATGTACACAATTGACCTCTCTACATATTTATTATAAGTTCGTTCGTTCGTTCGTTTCAGCCGAAAGACGTCCACTGCTGGACAAAGGCCTCCCCCAAGGATTTCCACAAAGTATAGAAGATATATTTTGTTAATCCATTATTTAAGCTGTAAATCCTAGACATTGGAGATATGAATATTTAGTATTAATAGAATTATGCTCGTTTTCTAATTATACCAAGTTTCATTGTTTGATTGTGACTACCAGCTATTAAAAGTTTTCTCAAGAAGTTAGGCCCAACTTTTGAAATTGAATGTCAAATGTTTCGCAAAGTGTAATCACTGATCTATTGACATTCCTGGTAAACCTAAGTACTTCAGTCAGTCAAGGCCCAAGGGCCTTAACCTTAACGAATGGACGGGAGAAAAACGTGGAAGCTTTTTTCATAACGATTAGCGTACAAGACGTTTTTTTAATAAGTAGGAAAATTTGCGAAAAAAAGCTAACGTAGTTTTCATTGACCTTAATATAAATTAATATGGTTAGGGCTTGTTTCCACGGAGACATCCCTTTTTTTGCTTGTTCCTGTTTAGTAATACATACATATAAGTGTTTTCATTTAATTTCACACTTGCAAACATCCCGTTTGTAGCGTTCTGCAAAAAACAGATCCGTTCAAAGTAATTTGCATTTCAAACGCATTGGGGAACGAGCCCATACATTTAGTAATTTTCGTAATCTAACCAGGAGGTTTGCCGCATCTGCTAATCCATCGGGCTATGTCAGTGACTTTAGTTCGTTTACCTATCTCCTCATTTCTGATTCGATCTCGTAAAGAAATACCGAGCCCTCTCCATAGCACGCTGTGTAATTTTCAGCTTATTTATCAGCTTCTTAGTTAACTTACAAATCCGAAGATTCATGGATTACTTGGTTTTTATAATTTTACCTTGTCCTGGGTGAGTAACGCCGGGTTGTGGGTTGCTAGTCTGCCCCGTGCTGTCGGTAGGCGGACGCGGCGGGCGCGGCGGCCTGGGCGGCAGCGGCTTGGGCGGCACTCCGCCGGGCGTGCGACCACAGCCCTTGGGGAAGTAGAGCTTGTCCCATGGCACGATCTGGCCCGGAACCTTCTCGGTCACCGCGTTAGCAGCCCTGGGGACAAGGAATATTATTATTATACGAACTAGTAGATTTTAGTGATAAGGTAAGGATCATTAATCATACTTAAGTATCAATTCGTGCTGGTAAAGAGAGTTAAGCCTAAGTTAAAATGTTGAAATTCAGCTAAACTGGAATCTTTGCTTGCGTATTGCTTCTTGGAATACACTTTGTTACAGAGNTGACCTGGTTGACCTGGGTAGCCAGGTTGTCCTGGCTGTCCTGGTTGTCCTGGGCCTCCTGGCTGTCCTGGTGTTCCTGGCTGTCCTGGTTGACCTGGGTAGCCAGGTTGTCCGGGTTGACCTGGGTGTCCTGGTTGTCCTGGGTAGCCAGGTTGTCCTGGCTGTCCTGGTGTTCCTGGGTAGCCAGGTTGTCCGGGTTGTCCTGGGTGTCCTGGTGTGCCAGGCTGTCCAGGGCCTCCTGGCTGTCCTGGTTGTCCTGGGTAATGTCCCGGTTGTCCTGGGTAACCAGGCTGTCCAGGTTGCCCGGGACTTCCTGGCTGTCCTGGTTGTCCTGGTGTTCCTGGGTATCCAGGCTTTCCAGGGCCTCCTGGTTGTCCTGTTTGGCCTGGGTATCCTGGTTGGCCTGGGCCTCCTGGGGTACCAGGTGAGCCTGGGGTGCCGGGTGAACCTGGGGTGCCGGGTGATCCTGGAGTACCGGGGCGACCAGGAGTGCCAGGTTGTCCTTTAACAGTGAACAATAATACTAAGTTAATGCGAGTATTCGTATTATTTATTTATTTACGAGTATGTTGCTTTTCGATAAGTTATTTTCGATTAGGATATTATTGAAATAATTTATAGCTGTATGTTGGGATAGTCAAATCAGATAATATGAGAGCAGGACGTTGATTTATTAGTGGTCTTTCTTTACTTTAACTAAAAGGTAATACAGGAACGAAAGCTGAATTTTTATTTATTTCTTAGGTTTATGGCAAGTTATTTTGGTTTGAAGAATGTTAGGTTTTCGGTTAGGTTACTCAGATGTAATAATTTCACTACATACCTGGTCCACCTGGTTTTCCTGGTTGTCCGGGGTAGCTTCCACCGCCTACACCAGGTCCGCCTGGGCCACCTGGGCCGCCTGGGCCGCCTGGGCCGCCGGGGCTGCCAGGACTGCCAGGGGTGCCGGGAGATCCGGGAGTTCCGGGTGTGCCAGGGTAGTAACCGCCTTGACCTTTGGGTACAAATAAGACAGGAATATAATTTCTGAACAAATCATTCATTAAAATCATAATAAAATTGTAACAACTGTACGCAACTTAGGAAGAGGACAGTAGAATGAAAGAAGTTACTTCATAGCGATAAGAACACCTAAATTATGTTCCCTTTTTTGTATTTCTATTGGTTTGTGTTTCCAGGTCTACAATAAATTATATTTATTGTTATCAATCATATTATAAATATTATAAAATTACAAAGCAAAAAATATTTTTTCTTTCTTTTCTAGTGGCTCTAGAGGTTACAATATACTTTATTTGACTCTGTTAAGTTTGGTTTCATTAACTACACAACTAAGGCCCGGTTTTTTGATTCGTAGTTAAAATAACCAATGGTCAAATTTGACAGATGTCAAATGACAAGTGGTTAAATATCAGAAAAAAATGTTTTTCGAACAATGGTTAGCTCGACTTTTAATACATTTTTAACTATTAGTTAACATTTTGTTAATATTTAACCATTATTAGTAAAATTTAACAATTTGTTATTTTAACTATGAATCAAAAAACTGGGCCCAACTAAAGTATTTACCTATGTATATGGTAGAAATGTTTACCTGGGTAGTAGCCTGAACCGGGTGGTCCTCCTGGGCCGCCTGGGCCGCCAGGGCCTCCGGGTCCACCTGGTGAACCGGGTGAGCCGGGAGTACCGGGAGTGCCGGGTGTTCCTGGGTAGTATCCTGGAATAATATAATATTTTTTAAACTTTGACAGCAAACACTTAGGCTGAGTTGCACTAGGTACCTAACTTAAACAGTAACCGGCGTGTTTTGTATTGAGTTTGACATCAGACATTAAATTTGTTGAAGTTAAAGTAAGATGGTGCAACCCAGACAAATGGAACGAATTTTAAAACATTTGTATCCGGATAAGATGTGGTATAATATTATACTGATAGAATAGATAATTGCAATATTAAAAAATATTTCGCTATTATAAAGTTGACAGCGCACCAGTGGACTATACATTTTAGCACTTAATATAACATTAGATGTCACAATTTGAAAATTATNAGATGTCACAATGTTAAGGTACATTTGTGCATACTAAATAAAAATGTACCTGGTCCACTTGGGCCTCCAGGTCCTGAAGGTCCGCCGGGTCCGCCAGGTCCAGATGGGCCACCTGGAATGAATAATCTAGGTAGTACAACAGTAGTTTCAGTAGTACATCAACGATTTAGATTGGTGTCGCACCTTTTATGTGATATTCAGGACATTTTTACTGAACAGAAAATATCTAACATAGGGCAGAGTTTAGGTTATCAGTATTCATGAAATTTTATGTAAATTTGATAAATCAGTATGTATTTTTTTGTTTACTTCGGATACATAGTAGGCAAAATTCTACCTGGGTAGTAACCGCCTGAGCCGGGACCACCTGGGCCTCCGGGTCCACCTGGGCCGCCAGGAGAACCGGGAGTGCCAGGGCTACCGGGGGTTCCGGGGGTTCCGGGTGTGCCAGGGTAGTAACCGCCTTGTCCTGTGAAAAAATTTAATGTAATTTATTTATTTGTTTAACTATTCATATCATTTAATTAACCCATCATACTTAGTACACGGATTTGTCCGTGCATTCGCCTATAAAACAGGAGTGCTAAGGTGCTAACTTTTAATGAAACCAAGAACTAGTNGAACTAGTTTTCAAGTAAATTAATCAAAAATGCCGATTTATAATCATATAGCTCTACTTTTCAGTGATGCTGAATGCAAGCGCTTCTTGCTATCTATGGATATTTTTGGTTAAAATTAACCTAAATTAAAGAAACTTATTTTTATTTCAACAGTGTAAAGTTACCAGGATAGTAAGGGCCTTGTCCTTGTCCGCCGGGTCCGCTAGGGCCCCCAGGGCCACCAGGGCCGCCGGGTCCACCAGGACCACCAGGGCTGCCTGGGCTCCCAGGTGTCCCAGGTGTACCAGGTGTGCCGGGAGGTCCTGGGTAGTAACCGCCTTGTCCTGAACAATAAGAAATGTAGGCATCTGTTATTGAAATCAACTTTAGTAATTTATTTAGGTATTTAATATTAAATCTCGAATATTTATTTCTATATCATATTGTTGAACATGCGTACTTCAAAGTAATTATTTTAGTGTAAAACTAGAGAAAAATTTGGTAAGTTACATTTAAAAAAAATATTTTCTTTTTATTTGTAAGTTACATACCACCAGGTCCATTAGGGCCGTTAGGACCTCCAGGTCCATTTGGTCCACCAGGGCCGTTAGGTCCACCAGGTCCATTTGGTCCACCAGGGCCGTAAGGTCCATTAGGTCCTCCGGGTCCATTAGGTCCACCAGGGCCGTACGGTCCATTGGGTCCACCGGGTCCAGATGGCCCACCGGGACCACCAGGTCCTGATGGTCCTCCAGGGCCGTAGGAACCGCCTGAGCCTCCTGAAAATTAATAATAAAAATTATATTCTACGATAGCTTTCTACCTCTTGCAGGTATAACTGCTAGTTTTGAACATACACGCTAAACTTTAAAACTGATACAAAAAGATACGTATTATTATAGGTACATTATACTGTCGAAATTCGAAACATCTACTGTGCATAGTATCACAAAACACTGCAGGATCAAATTGCCGCTTGCTCACTGCCAGGCGTTATTATTGATATAAATTTGATTAATATTATTTTGTTAATCTATGATTTAAGCTGTTAATCTTTGACTTCGGAGATACTCATAATATATTAATATACTCGTATATCCGTTTTCTAATTATACCAAGTTTCATTGTTTGATTGTGACTACCAGCTATTAAAAGTTTTCTCAAGAAGTTAGGCTCAACTTTTGAAATTAAATGTCAAAAGTTTCGCAAAGTGTAATCACACTGATCTATTGACATTCCTGGTAAACCTAAGTACTTCAGTCAGCCAAGACCCAAGGGCCTTAACCTTAACGAATGGACGGGAGAAAAACGTGGAAGCTTTTTTCATAACGATTAGCGTACAAGACGTTTTTTTAATAAGTAGGAAAATTTGCGAAAAAAGCTAACGTAGTTTTCATTGACCATATAAATTAAAGTTAGGGCTTGTTTCCACGGGGATATCCCGTTTTTTGCTGGATAATAAGTTTGCAGTGTCCCGCAAAAAACCGATCCGTTCAAAGTATTCGAATTTCAAATACACATTATTAAGTGTGGTCACTCAATAGCTCATTTTTGCGGGACCCTGCAATACTGGATTGCTATGGGAACGAGCCCAAACAGTTAGTATTTTTTTTAATCTAACCAGAAAGGTTTGTCGCATCAGTTAGTCAACTTATAAATCCCATTCATGGATAACTTGGTTTAAAGTAGTAAGTATTGTGTTAATCTGTCTTTTCAATTTTAAATTAGTAGTGAAAACTATTAGGCTTGTGTAAGACCTATTTTTTGTATGCTATATATCTGTGTTATATTAAAAGCTGTGTTTTCCCAATAAAAAAAATAGTTTTACCTTGTCCTGGGTGAGTAACGCCGGGTTGTGGGTTGCTAGTCTGCCCCGTGCTGTCGGTGGGCGGGCGCGGCGGGCGCGGCGGCCTGGGCGGCAGCGGCTTGGGCGGCACTCCGCCGGGCGTGCGACCACAGCCCTTGGGGAAGTAGAGCTTGTCCCATGGCACGATCTGGCCCGGAACCTTCTCGGTCACCGCGTTAGCAGCCCTGGGGACAAGGAAGATTATTATTATACGAACTAGTAGATTTTAGTGACAAGGCAAGGATCATTAATCAAGCTTAAGTATCAATTCGTGCTAGAAAAGAGTTAACCTGAGTTAAAATGTTGAAATTCAGCTAAACTGGAATCTTTGCTTGAGTATTGCTTCTTGGAATACACTTTATTACAGAGTTGTAAAGTGTTTAGAACAAACAGGTAACTTCTATGGAAACCACACTTAAGCTGTAAAGTATTTTCACTCTCCGATTCTAAGGAATTAATTATTTCGTATTAACAACATTTGTCGTTGAACTCATAAAACAACAACAAAGCAAAATTTAATTTAATATATAATTAATTAATGAAATATTAGGCATAAAGCGTTTCAGGAGTAATTGATGCATTCAACGGGAGGATTTATCTCTACGCTGCTGCTACAAGCCGTGGGAATATAACAGTTTGTAGGTACGCGCGTAGCAAAAATTACTACGAACAAGGACACTAAATTCCAGATTCTTGTTAGAGTAGTCTACTAAAATGTTGTTTGGTGTCGTAGACGACTACGACAGCAGGCGTAGCCACTAATTTTACAAGAAACGAAGCATTTTTTATTGGTTTTTCCTTTCCGATGTATCGATGAATTATCCCTCCCGGTACCTATGTTTGTTGTGCTCTCGAGAGGGACAGTCTCAAGTCTAAACCTTTGAACTGTTGTGTCCTAATATTTNCAATATATTGAAGTGTAGGTATAAATGACTTACTGTTCATCATACTCGTGCTTCTCTTCGGGCCATACTTCGATGGGCTTCTCTGGCTCTACGACCCGGTAGCCGTGGCTGTCGGCCACGTAGTGGGTGGCTCGCAAGTAGCCGTCAGGGTCGACGTAGCCATAGCAACCGTAAGTCACACCATCCGGACCACGGTTCTCATGGTGGAACTGGCCATTCGGACCGACGTCGTAGCCGAAACCGTATGCACCTGGAATTAAAGAGATTCATATTATGTAGAGTTAAAGATGCGAAATCGAAATTTCAAATGACTAGAAAAAATTGAATTGCCTTAGGTGGGAACCGAATCCAGGAATTTAAGGTGCAACTGCTAATGATAATATTCAAGTTCTTAAACTAAACTTTTCCAATGATTGTGGGAGGTGATAAACGATAAAGTGCCAAAAAGTCTCCTAAAAGACACCTACTTATTCAGATAAGCAATTCCAAAAAGAATAGAACAACTCTTAATATTGTGTTTGATTAGGAACAAAACTTTCTTATTTAGGCCTCAGCCTCGAATTTAGCGGGCAGCGGGGCGGGAGCGGCGGCGGCGCGGGAGCGGGGCGGGCAACGCAGACCCGTTCTCGAAACAAGCGGGCAGCTCGCGCGGCACTTTAGCGGTGAAGTGTTGTGTTCGGGGATGTGTTGTCGAGATATTTGTTTTTATTCGCAAACGAAACGTCTGAACAACGGCGACAATTTTATTTCGATTCAAATTTATTCTTAACGCTCGATTTATTGTGGGCAAAAGAAGGAGTGCGCTGCCCGCTAGTTGCCCGCTCCCGCGCCGCTGCCCGCTCATTGCCCGCTCCCGCGCCGCTGCCCGCTCATTGCCCGCTCCCGCGCCGCTGTTTTCGAGAACCGGTCTATTTGATTTTACGCATAAGATCCTGCCGCTCCCGCGCCGCTACCGCCGCCGCCCCGCTGCCCGCTAAATTCGAGGCTGAGGCCTTATTGTACACCTATATTTGTCCTGAATTATACGTACCTACATTATTTGAATCATTACACATGTGGAACGTTAGCAGCTATTGAATTCTTTTTATTATTAGGTATTTCAGAAAAACCAACAATTTTTACCGTTTCTCAGAAATTGTATTATATTTCATACTAAACCAACTTGAGATATTAGCAATTTACAGACACGTAAAATCCATAATAATTATGTATGCTTCAATAGTCTGTAAATCTCTAATGACGTTGACTACAGAAAATTGACGCGTTTATGAAAAACGTTTTCGTACATAGGCATATTTTTTTTAATAGGCTAATAATACCAGTGAATATTATTAATAATAAAGGCCATACAATACAAAACTTTGCGTTGAATTAAATGTCAACTTGTTATAATAACAATCTAGAAACTGGTTACGAAATGGTAACCGTTCATACCTATTTAGTTCTCAGTTACTCGTAGTACCTAGTGGTTACAATTAAATATAAAAATTTTAACACACCATTCTTAACCTTTATTTATTCATTTTCTCATCTTTTTTATGCATAACAAGACAGGTATTTGACCGAATCGCACCTGAAGTTAATGAGATGCAGTCTAGGATTGTACACACCTGCCCTGTAAGTGCCTATACATCAGTATTTAATTTTACAAACGACGCTTGCTTTAAGTGAAGCAGCAAATCGAACGCACAGCGTTGAATAGAGTTCTGTGATTGGTTCGTGTGTGACTCTGTGCGTCCACGCGCACTGTGAGATCTTATCGTATTGTTTGTGAATACGGGCGTTAGAGTTGTTTTGTGAATTGAAACTCGTATCTTTACAGTTGTGGTTTTAACAGCAAGAAACTTACTTGTGTCATAGTTGGTTTCATAATACTGATTCTTCTCGGCGTCCTGTATGTCTACCACGACCTCATTCTCTGAGGACGCGAAGGGCCCGTAAGGCCCGTACTGGCGGCCTGTGCGGGCCTCGCGTATCTCCGCTTCATCAGTCTTCGTTTCGTTTGCTGGCTTAACTTCGCTAGTTTGTATAAATACTAGCAATGCCTGGAACAAAAAAACATATTGTTAAGAGAGTGGAAATGCTATAGCTTTTCAGGGTTACTTGCACACGATAATTATTTATAAACTTAGGGTTACTTAGACATGCTAATACTTTTGAAACAAATACAAGACAATGTTGCTGGAAATAGCGTGTGGACTGGATATCCTAGTCAATTATAGTCAACTCAATATCAAGTGGTTTTAGAGAAATTAACCAAGAATAAATAATGATTTAGTCAGTTGGAATTTACAGAGAGATTATTTACCACAAAGTAATTAAATATGATTTGAGAGAGATATGATTTAGGTAAGTATACTCGTAATAAGGTTTTTCCATTAAGTTATTGTATAATGTTACAAGAATTCTTACTCGCATAAGCAATATTAAAAGTCTCGTTTCTGAGATATTCTGACAAATATCGTTTCTGAGATTTACGGGCAAGGGCATGACTAGCATATTGAACATTTTTTTCAGGCTTGTTTAACAATAACGTGCGAATAGTGCTACACAAATAGGTACATTGATTTACTAAACTACAATAATTGTAAAAGTTAATACCTATTTCCTTTTAGGTGTATCAATGTACACTGTAATGTTTCAAAAAATCTCATAAGCAATATTAAGAGTCCGGAAAGTATCGTTCCTGATAACATTTGTGAATGCGCTATTTTTCATGAGATATTCAGTACAGTATTTTGGTTTGCAGACAAATAATATATTCGCAGTTTGAATAGTTTGAATAGTTATTAATGCAAATATCAGTGGTATTGTTGACAGAATAAATCAGCGTGCGCTGGCCTAGGAAGGTTGCCCAATGACCGTTTGGGATGGGCGCTTACATAATAGATTACTAAACACATTGTTTCGGCTAGCATCTAGGCACACCTTAGCGATGTTACTGAGATTTCAACGCATTTTTATATTCAACTGAAATTTGATTTGTACAATCACACAATTATTAGAGTGCATCGGATGCGTGATCGATGGTAGTCGGTATTTTACAATAATAAACTGCGTTGTTCATTCGGTAAACATTTCAATATGACAAAAACTTCGCCTGCTGTAATCGCTCTGTACCTAATCCATCAAAAAATAAAGGTACGAAAAATTTTCCATTGAAAAGTAGAACGACATTCCGGCCGTTTGGTGTAGTGGTTCAGAACGGACTACTATGCCGAGAGGGGTTTGATTCCCGGCCGGGCAGAAATTGAAATGATGAATTTTAATTTCTGTGACGGGTCTGGGTGTTTTCTATGTATAATATGCATGTATTTACAAAAAAAGTATTTAAGTATGTTTATATCCGTTGTCTAGTACCTATAGTACAAGCTATGCTTAGTTTGGGACTAGAGGGCGCGGTGTAAAATGTCCAAGGATATTTAAATTATATTTATATTCCGTTTTAGAAGCCTTAACGTTAATTATGAATTTCAGAAGTTTCAAATACGAGTAACTGCCGGGATGAAACCCAAACTAATTTAATAGCCATAAAATCTAGGTTTCATTTAGATCGTGAATGAGATTAAAATATAACGATTATGACTTTGAACCATCTGGAATATTTCGTATCACAAAATATAATTTGTTGATTTATGTCTATAAAATTTGCATTAAGACAAACAATGGGTGAGGTTTTTGATTTGTAGCGTCCCTGAATAGAAGTTTTCCTTGCGAAAAAAATCCTAAAGTTGATTTATCTTTTTATGTTCTAATCGAAAGAGTTGCATAATTATACATCAATAATATGCAGATGTTTTTGAATGTCCATATTAATCCATATGAGTTTGTGTTCATTGAAAATGCATTTATGAACATAGGTACAATTTTGAATTACGGTCTTACTTAGTGGGCTGATTGTGTAAAATGTTTACTCCCTAGTTTTGTGCTCAAAACTCGCTTCAAACTTTAGAACTCCATCCCTTTAATTAATTGATTTTCGACCAATCACGGGCTCAGATCTGTTCATGAGATTTAATTTAAATTTTGAATGCAGTCTCATAATTCGAAGTTAATTTTTTCACGAAAGGCCATTAATTTAAAATACAGATTTTTTTCTTTCATAAGTAGAAAATGAATTAGATATCGTAATCTGGGATAGATATCACGAAAACTTTTTACTCTAACCAATTTACTCCGTGCCCAGGGGTCCGTTTTACCAAATTACTTTTCACTTTCCAATTTGCATTTGGGAAAGTTGTCAGTTACTCTGTTTTACGATCAACTTTGCTTTGCCAAGAGTTGACTTATAAATCAATAGGGCGAAAAGGATTGATTACAAAATAAACACGATGCTATTTTAAAAATGAATATTACTTTAGAAATCTTTCGTTTGCAGAGTCAGCATAAAGTGGAATAAGTATAATGTGGAATGTAATAAGAATGTGATATCAAATAAATATGTGAAACTGTATAAAATAAAACAAATTAACAAGGTCATATTACCTAAATTTTTAAGTAATAAATGCAAATATTTTCGTGATCAAATTATTAACAACTAATCTAGCTTTGAGTTATTAATTTCATTTTGTATTATTTATAAATAAGTGTGGTCTTTCGTATCATACATTTTATTTACAAGGTTTATGTAGTTTATTTCTTAAAGTATCCATCAGGATAATACATTATGTTAGATCTTTTAGTGTTTGCATACTGAGGCGTTAAAATATCGGAATTCGTTTATGTTTGCTGGCTGCTTAACAGCAAACGAATTGGTAAAGCATTGCAAAACTGTCAAGGAGCCACTCAATATGAAATATAATAGTGATGTTATAAATTATTGATGCTTTTTTAAGACGTAAATGCATATTCACATTCTGTCAGTGAATATTTATTTTAGCGAACATAAAGTTCATTTGTTTAGTTAATCAATCAATGCCACTTAAATTACAAATAATTAAATCAAACGCGTACATAAAGCAGACAATTATTAAAAAAGTGTTTTGATTTGATTGCCCATTCTATGTACGAGTATGTACCTACCTATCTTTCAGTTATAAGCAAAAATGTAATGTCAAAAGTTGATACTATCCTTTAATGATAAATGGTGTATTTAACTAAAGTAAATTCTTAAATTGTTGTTTGATATTATGTATTAAACATACATAAAGAGTAGATTGGTATAAGTACCTACATTGAATAATTATTCAAATAATTTGCAACATGCTCGAATGTATGATGAAATTCGTTGTTAGTATAATAACTGCAGTGTTTCTTGTTTAACTAAGTGCCTAATTTTGTTTCGAAACCTAATATGATGATACCTAATCTACGACTATGCATGTATTTACATTAGACAATTTATCCTCTAATGATTATCTTGGACAATTTAGAGTAACAAGACTTTATTAGACGGTAGGACCTATTATAAATCTTATGTTTTACATAATATCATCTACTGAAAAATTTTAACCGTTGCATTGTAAGAGTTCATCCTAAGCGAGGCTAAAGCTAAACCAAATTGAATTGATGACTAACAATAAATATAGGTATTTTTCAACAGTATGAAGAACCAAGGTCCTGAAGTATAAAGGTTAGATGTTACAAAAATAAATCTGACGGACCAAAAGATAGAGATCACGGTCAGAAGGTCGAAAAATATTGTGTGCACTTGTTGCTTGACCAAATTTACGATTTATAATGCAGCCCGAGTACACGCGGTTAATACTCGCCTCCGTGACCGTAACCTCGCGCCTTGTTTCAAACTCACGTACGAGACAAACATCAAAGTAAATTGTTTTTTGATCTGGGACACGTAAGTACCCAATAGTAGTCAAACCAGGTTTGTGGACGGCGAAAATTCGCGAAACAAAAGCGTTGACATACAAAGCCAGGCTAAAAGAACCGCGCGTGGTGCGGAATAATACGCAGATTAGTCAGCCATCCTTTGGATTCCGGTCAAACTTCGCTCCTGATCTATGTTCGAATCACTTTTATTTATTTTAAACAGTGCTAGTTACCTACATTTCATTTTGGAGTGTCGGAAGTGAAAAATCGACTATGTATCATCGGTTAAGTAGGTAGAGTTAATAAAATAAGCTTCAAGAGTTAACAGATTGCTACGAGTAAAGATGAAAATATCAAAATAATATCCAATAAACTAAATACACAGCGTATTCACGGAACATGGAAATCATTAATAAGATATTTATGATTTGACGACAAAATGAAACGCACCCATGACGTTTATTGCGGTTTTATGCTCAGGGTCTTTACTGTACCATTTATTTAGTAACTTAGACCCAAAGTTCACATTAAAACGAAGAGGTTCATGAGTCATGGTCGAGATATTTTTGATAGTAATAATTCTTCGCGATATTTCACACATGAATGGAAAAAGAAACAAGATTTGAATTTCGGTTCCTCCAAAATGTTAGGACTGTCGTGATGAAGATGTTCGTGTTGCGATATGCGCTCTTTGATACAACATGTGGTTTATTTTCCCGGATTTAAAGGCGACTTTGTCACATAAAGATGACTGCAATGCATCTAATGTGGTTTATGCGTAGGCCGCAGCGCATTGTGATGATTCATTTAAAACTTGTTACTAGCCCGTGATCATTGAAACATAGTGGTCATATCTTTATGTCCAAGAGGATGCTATCGTGCTACCTACTGCCCTTGTAGGTGTTGCAGTAAAATATGTATTTAATATGCCACAGTGGTCCTTAAATACAATGCATAATGGTTAATTACCGACAGTTACAGAATTTCAATTCTAAAGCGAATGTAATCGATAGGACGTTGAGTATTGTGCATAATTTAAGCTTATTTATATTTATCTATGCGGTAGTGAAGGAACTGATTTAAAATACGTTAATTTGGTAAACAAATATTAAAAAGATATTATAATACACAGAATATTGAATTTTACGCAAATTCACAGCAGATTTGTATTTTTCAAGGATTATTTATTACTCACACTCACAATATTATCATACTAATTTATTCGAGTGAATCGACTAGGTATTTACGAATTTGCAGTGACATAATATTGATCATCGTA